TTTTTCCTTGTATTATTTCCCGCCAACAAGGCTACTTTGATAACTTCTGCCTATTTGTGGGATGCCACAACTCTCCAGGCTAACAACCGATAAATTGCCACAAATAGGTGGCACCGCATATAATAATGTAATATGGATGCATATAAACTGATTTACATTCTATGGTTTCTGTTTTACTGTAATTTCAAATCAGTTATGTTCGGCGAAATACGTCAGAAGTCTCAATCGAATGACAACCTCTAGCGTCCGGTTATTCCAGTCTAAATCGACAGTATTATCCTCTCCAGATAATATGTCGTCACCGTTTAACATGACTTGTGGAATATGTCTAGCCTCGTTCTTCGAGCTCATCTTTTCCTGGTAACATGACAACATCAATGTTGATTTAAATTGACAAATAATTCGTGTTTTCAATGTCGAAAGCTTTGGGTGATATTGTGTTCCCTACTTTAAGCAACGCTTGATAAAATAACTGAATTGAAAAATCATCAACTTTGATAATAATATCTTTAGGTAGATAAACTGATATCAAGATAACGAAGAAGTGCATTTTTTAAGATGGCGAATAAGAGCAAAATAATTAAGGACATGAATATATTAAATGTTAAAAGAATGTGGGACTATTAAGCTTACCACCATGTGGAAATGACAACTTCGTCTCCTTGTATTTGTAAATGTATTTGCTATAATAATCATGGTATTATTGGACTATTTCATCTTTTTTATCATCTGATATAACCAGACAAAAATGATATTCAATAATTATATACGTCTATTGATCCATAAAACAACCAAATAGAAAGTCTCTCACACTATACCGATTAACGTTCGTTGAAGGAAAGCTATCTAATGAAAATTATTGCTCTATTTCGTTTTAATTTTGTTGGCCTACACTATGAAGATCTAACTACTTCTTTGGCGTTTCTCTGTTCTGTTTGAATTCACTGTGATTAGTTAAGGCCAGTTAAGGGATCTGGTGAGATTTTTAGTTGTTGTTAGACTGTACTCTATAGTCTATATAAATACCGTTCCGTACCATGGTAATGTTATGAAAGTTTTCATTTTAGACTAATAAAATAGAATGTTCATGAAAAAACGTCATCTCAAACTGTGAATCTAAAAGAAATCAACAATATAATTCACTAAACGAAACGAAAGTAGAATCTGCGGAAAGAAAATGATGAAATACAGCAGTGGATAGTTTACTTCGATACATTTTAGATTAACAAGGTATTATTTAAACTGTAATATAGTCTTAATCTAAAAAAAAACATAAATCACAACAAAGAGAAAGTAGAGTCTTATTTGAATTAAACCGTGAAATGCACAAGTGAATAGTTTACCTCGGTACATTTTAGGCTAACAAGGTATTATTTCCACAAATAAACTTCATCTTAAACAGCAGTATAAGCTCAATCTAAATAATAAATCACAAAAAAAATAAATCACAAAAAAACGAAAGTAGAATCTTATTTTAATTAGTCTGATAGTTATGCCTCCTGTATTAATGAATGTATAAAGTGATTGAGGGTAATGACCATGTAAATCAAGTTTCCACTGTTCTCAAGATAATAGATTACAATCATTATTTTGACTCTATTATACAACTTGATAAAATTATACATTAGATTGCCGTCTAGGGTTTTGATTACTCCATTAAAAGTTGATACCAATGTATTGTAGTCAAATATTTAAAAGATTTATATCCTAAATGAACGGAATTCCAGGGGTTGCTTAAGAACATACATTATGTCATGATGAAATACTTAATCTGGGAAGGTTCGGCGCCTTTTTAATTAACTAACACGTCAGACAATATTCAAAGTAATTTATCAAAAACGACAATGGCAGCCGCTGCGTTAATATCTTAAGGGAATATTTTAATATGATAATTCTGTTGATTAATAAGAATAATTAGTGGAATTACATTATTTGGTAATGCGATTGTGGTTTCAATTATGACAATTACTTGATTAATTAAACTCAATATTTCTTTAAAAAAATTAGATGATTCACAATTTTGGTTGTATTATGATTTGAAAGACTGGCAATTTTTTTAACAATTGCAATCCGATACATATCCAAGCTATAGGATAATAAGACATTCATGGTTTAGAGGCAGGGGTAAGTTGCTGCGTTGAAAAGCACAACAAATAGTTACACGTTTACTAGTTTGCTACTAATTCAAACATGTGTTTCTCAAAATTTCCATGGTCAACTTCGTATAAGTTTTGGAGCAAGATATAGTCAGATAGTTAAGAGGTTTCAGCTCAACGAACAGTCGGTTAATGATGGAACCGATCTGTATCCTATTGACATCGCACTGGATTTTAGTTATACCTATTAGCGTCCCATGAAAAAAAACCTCCGTAACCACACGGCATTTTACCCATTAAATTATCCAGTTTATGTGTGCTTGTCCAACATTTAACTTCATTTTCGTTAACCTTCCATTGTTAATAAGGGCTAACCCAACCGATTTCTATCAAATTGCACGGTTTATGAGTCACTCGAGACTAAAGACGTTGTATTCATGTACATATAGACAGTCTATTTCATACTTTGATTTGAGTGTTCTGGAAACCGTAAGATTAATCCGTACCATGTCAGGTTGTAAATACCACTGTATGTTTTCTGTCCACAAAAACACCTCGACCAGAATAAAGTGTGACAAGTTTGGTAAACATTGGTTTAATATTGACCTTGTTATGGTGGATTTCGAGATAGTTTTGTCTCGTTGCTTGGAATCTGAAATTATATATGAATTCCAAAGTTCGATTTCGCTAGCTTTACATTAGACAGGGGTGGTCGAGTGGTCTACGTAAGGTATGCGCCTCAGATCATACGATCTGTCAAGTGAAACTAAAATTAAGCTTTTTTAAATTGAAAATTTTCCGCGTTAACTTTGGTGTACAGGCTACCTTACTTATTTTGACTACAAAGTTATTTCGTCAGTTTTTACAGATGTTTAATGTCTGCCTTTCTCTAAGTAACTGTTGTCAGTGCATGCCCTGTACCTGGGTCCAGGAGAGGGCATGAAGGGGTTGGCTCCGGACATCACCAAACCTCAGAGCGCCACTGCACACGACCACGTATAATCTATTCAATTCCTTGTTGTCATGCCACATTTCAAAGTTTCAAACTTGCTGGGCTTTATTCACATTCTCGTGGATATTGATTGAGGTCAGATCAAAAGGTTAGGGCTAGTGTTAGAGTTTGTGTCAGCGAAAGAGTTAACATGAGCAGCTTAATCTTATGTTCAGATTAACAAAAATATATTCAATATTGAAATAAAATTGAAACTCATGGTCATTTTTAATAATTATTTTCGTTCGTTCGTTCGTCCCTGGAGTTTTGCGTCCACTTCCAACAAGGACGATATCGTAGATTAGTTTGTTATATCTACCTTTAAGTACATTATTAGTGGATAATTATATGATTCATGTGAGATAAGCAGTTAAAACTGTATTTATTTACCTGAAACTTAACACTGTGTTGCCCTCAACCAAATTCCCAACATTCTGTTCGCTTTTAATTACTCAAGTTTAGTGAAGCCAACACTTGTGTCACTCTAATTTCCCCAACTGTCCTTCCTATTAATTGGAGGCAGACCACCATTAAATTGTAGTTCGTCTGTTTATAGCAATTCTCTCTCTGTCGTTTTTCTCCCCTTTTGCATGCCCATTTTTGTTGATGTTTTTGGTCTAGAATGAACGAAGAGGGTTGAATTAACATTTTCTGCCAGGTTTTGGTAAATATTCATGAGTGTAAGGCGGAAGGATAACAGGTTGGTTACGCTGATATGTACGGCAACTACATGTAGTTACATGTTTTTAGTATGCTTCTTGAAGTATGTAATCTCAAAACTTTGGAGGTCAACCTCATACAACTTTTAGTGCAAAGACATGACCATTTGTTAATCTGTCTGTAGTGAAAAATATTCAGCCCAACGAAAATTTTGGGAAAAGTTGGAGGTGGACAAATAATTGGTGGTCTGCCTCCAATTATTGTCAAAGTTATTGCCCCTGCTACAAACATATTTGTACAAGCCAGGGGTTTTGAAAATTGTATAACCGAATTAAATCCTTCATGAAAAGGACATGTACACACAACTTTTATTTTTAAAAATATAACATACGATTTCAACAAAAACCTATACATTGTGTGCTTTCTCGACATGTATATATGAAGTTAGGAAATTATCTAATCTTTCGCCATGATAACTTGTAAAATTTCGTGATGATGCCAACTCCTATCTCTTTCAATCTTGTCAAACCAGATTCTCTTATTACACTAATTGAATTGAATAAAAGCCTACCGTCTACAAATTTGTCCACGGCGAAGACCCGTGAACAAACATACCCGGATATAACATGAATATTAAAATAGACACCTTTCATTAATATGTTTTCACGTGGTTTTACAGTTATTAATTACCATTCCAAAGAATGTTCGTTTTCTTTTATTATGTTTCCTTCAACGGGGAGAGGCAATGGGCTAATTCACAAACGCACTCAAATTGTGTGTTAATTTGTCATATAATTAGATGTTATCCACAATCATAGCTAATTGTCATATGATCGGATTATGCGATCCATAACCATAGCAATTTGACAAATAAATAGATTATGTTATCATTAAACATTGGGAATTGTCATATAATTACATGAGTTGTCACATTAATATATTATGTTATTCATAATCTTTGTGATTTGGCTAATAATCAGTTAATGTCATCCATAATCAGTTTGTTCATATTTCGAATGCTACAACACAAATGTTATCGACGATCTGCTTTATATTACCGTCATTTTGGTTGCTTTCTTGGGAACACAGTGGCCATTTTTATTATCGAGAATCTTAATGAAAAAGCTGACTTAGCTGACTCAGGCATAATGATATGATTCAATAAAGGACAACATATCGTTTACATTCTTGAGCTTCCAAATGTGAATCCTAAAAAAACACCCTTTATTTTGTACATTTTATTTTAATTTCAGTATAACTAACTAATGAAGATTTGTGTTTATGCCATTTACAAGTAAAGTTGACCAGAAAGTCCAATATTATGTTGGAACAACTCAAATGTGACCATTCTCGGACATAATCTAAAAGCAACTGCTAGAAAAGGATAGATACGCGCAAGATGTATTGGTGCTTTCTACGAGTATTTTTGATTGTTTGTTTAGCAATTCTGTGGGATGTGATATCACTGGTACAGTCAAATAATGAAATCCAAGCAAACGAAACGTTGCATATAGCTTTCTTTTCAACAGTGAGAAAGGATGCGGACGAACGTAACTTACTTGGATCAGGTCCAGGCATGTTAATTGGTGGTGCCTTCTTCAATGCCTTGGATGAAGTGAATGCCGAATATAAAAATATTCATCTTAATTATACCTTTGTGAACACACCAGAGGAATCGTGGGATACGTTAAGGGAAATAGCTGATTTATATTGTGACAATACAACAGCAGCTCTGATCGGTCCAGATGGATATTGCGAATCCGCAGCCTTAGCAGCAAAAGCCTTCAACCTGCCGTACTTTGCCTACGTAAGTAATCTTAAAGTTTCTTTGTTTTATGTATTTATGAACTTAATTTAAGCATAGAAGTAGATCTATTTCTATGATTTAAGTCATTCGATATCTCACTGTACTATAGTCTGTTCTAGCAGTTTCCTGAACTTCCATGAACTTATCTTTCAAATTGAATGCGTTCCCAATTCCTCATAAAACTATTAAATATTTTGGTAGTATTTGGTAATATACTTTTACAGTCTAATTTATGGACCTTTCATGTGCGACGCTCTCCCCGCAAAAGAGGCTAAGGGTCCGCTTATTCAGGTATGATCGGCTTGAAACGTATGGAGAATTATGGTTCACTTCGAGTTTTAATATGACATTACAATTGCAAGTATTGCTCCGTTCTTAGTCGATGTAGTACGCTCGTACTGGTTTTAAAAAGATTTCGCTATATTCATTAATGGTCCAGGCATTGATTAACATACACACGTACGTAATATAGGGGGTAATGAAACGCAAAAACGCATAACATTAGAGGCATGTCGAAACATGTCGATTTCCCAATTTGCCCACAAAGCATGTGTTGCTAAACAAGCGCAATAACTCTATAGAATGTGTGCAACATTAATCAGACAACTTTTATCAGACTGGTCTAGATAACACACTAGCCAAATAAGTACCTTGGTCACGGCTATGTCGATAACATATTTAAGTTCAATTGTGTGGTAGATGTTCCCTGTACTCGAAGTTTCTTTGTCAAAAAATTTAATACTAAATAGTGATGTGGTTATCAGGTACGCTGGAAAGAGTAACCCTAATGTTTACAGAAAACTTTCTTTAAGTGGAATTACACTTGACAAGGTTTTTAGGGCCACGGTCAAAATATGTATTCTGTCAGACATCAACAGTATCATAATCAACGTCATGGCATGAGACAGTTTCATGTATTAAGTTAACGTAGTTAATGTAGTTATGTAAATGCACGCCAGACAACCAGGAAACTATTGGATGGGTTCTTTATAACATTCTTGATTGTATTAATGGAAAGATAATAAATCTTAGACGATACATCATAATAAATGAAATTCAATAGCCGGTAAATGAACAAAATTACATTGGCGCTATAATTCACAGTTTCGAACATGTCTGCAAGAGCGGCATATGGACAGAGGCCACCATTATGTACTCTTATTTTGGTAGTGCTCCCATTTTTACATGCCAACATTAAAATATGGTAGTATATGGTTGTCGCCCCCGTCCTCCCGTCCGTCCGGTAGCCCGGCGTCAACAATAGCTCTAGAGGTCACATTTAATATCCGATTGAATTTGAATTTATAGAAGTGTTCAAGGACATGAGACCAAGAAGCCTTTGACTTTCAACGATTTCCGATAATTACTGCCAGCTTTAAGGCCTTTGAAATTGATACACTGCGTTTAATGGTACGAGCAAAAGAATCCTATTGATTGTCAACGATTTCCGATAATTACTGCCAGAGTTATATAGCCCTTAATCATTTTGAAAAATGATTGACTTTACGCTTATTGATTTTCCACGATTGCCCATAATTACTGCAAGAGTTATGGCTCTTGATAACTTTTTAAAATCTTGTAGACTCTCTAGAGGTTAAAGGTAAAATCCGATTGACATTAAATTCATACACTGTGTTCAAGGTTATGCAAAAAAAACCAGCCTATTAATTTTCATTCTGATTTAAACACCCATACATGACCTACATTTGTTTTCTTGGGGGGGGGGGGTAAGTAATGAAGCATTTTTATACGCCCACATGGAAATGTGGTCGTATATTGCTGTCGCCCCCGTCCGTCGGTCCGTCCGTCCACAATTTCTTGTGAGCACTCTACAGACTACATTTATCATCTGATTGTTTTGAAATTAATATGTGTTTGCATTAGTGAGAAAGAAACCTATTTAATTCCAATAACTTCTGTTAATTTCTTCTTGAGTTATGACCCTTGTTTAACTTTGTTGCACCTTGTGAACGCTCTAACGACAAAAGTTATCAACCGATCTGTATGAAATTTATATGCATCATTTAAATTTGTGAAAAAGGTCTATTGAATTTCAGCAATTTCCGTCAATAATTTCTAGAGTTATGGCAATTGAGAACCTTGTGAACGTTTGAATGACAAAAGTGGTCGTGTGATCTGTATGAAATTTATATATATTATTTAAATTAGTAAAACGAAAAAGCCTGTCAAGTTTCAACAATTTCTGTAGATTATTTCCAGAGTTGAGACCCTTGTTTCAGTTTGTAGAACCTTGTAAACCCTCAAACGGACAAAATTTATAATCTGATTTGTATGGAACTGTCTTGTAAAGACCCCCAATTACCTACAAAGGAATAAATATGCGACAACACTTGTCGACCGACGGACGATTTAGCTGCTGTGGGCGTATGTTTTGTTGCCTGGCTACCTATCTTTTTAAATATATTTGTGGCAATCTTGACTCTGCACATTATTTTCAGTGTGAGTTGCTGTTATCTTTATACAAAAAGCATTTATGTCGATGAACAAAAACACCGAACAAATACTTTTGTTTTTGTTGTCCGCAGACGACGATCATAGTCCTGCAGACGAACGAATGTTTTAGGTCGAAAAACATCACCGCAGCCGACGAACTTGGTTCCGCAGACGAACATTTCTATTATTCTTATATTCTCATGTTTCTGTTAATCCCTCATCTAATCTAATGACAAACGCTTGACAGCCGACACATTAATGAGTTTAATTGCTGTATATTGTTTTAGTTTATTGCGATGTCTTTTATATTTTAATCTTTCCCCTTTAATTCTTATTAGTAACATTGGTGGATATTGTTAATTCCTTAGATACCAATTTATTATAAATACCGATCTGTACATTTATATAGCATTCTAGATTTCACCCCGTTTCCAGGATAGTCACTCGGATGTCCTGTTCTCCGTATATGATGTTTAATGTCTTTCGGTAATAAATAGTTTCAAGGATATTTCCAGTCTTAGTGATTACCGAAGATTATCACTGCTACAATACGTCATAGTTACCTCCACATAAAGTCAAGTGATTGTTGTAATTGTTGGAATTGGTCAAGTTTGTCTGAAGAAGCCTAATAAATCGGAAATTACTCGCAAAAACCTAGTTTTCTTTCCTGAAACAACTTTATTTCTAATATGTAACACCTGAGAGTAGCTTTAACTATAACCTTTTACTATATGTCATTGGGTAATAGTGTACTGTTCGAGCTAAAGTAGGGGGGTTGGATGGCTGAATAGTTAGCGCGTACACGCTGTATCATAAAGTTCGATTCCCCGGTTGTACGTGACATTGAGTAGGGTCGCCTGTACAACCTTGTGGGTTTTCTCCGGGTCCTCCGGTTTCTTCCCACTGCTAAAGACCCCTACGCGCAAGCGAATTATGGAAATAAAATTAAACAATGTTAGTCCCGAAATGACCTAGTTTGTGTCGAGTGGACGTTAAACACCATTTCTCTCTGCGGACAACAAAAACAAAAATATTTGTTCGGTGATTTTGTTCGTGAACATAAATGTTCCATCGTCTGCGTTATAATTATCTACAGTGTAATCCTATAATATATATGTAGGGCACGCTAGCGCTCTATTAATCTCCGTGTTACGGTACGGTATGTCAATGTTAAAGGTTAAAGGCTTCAGACCGCCTGCTAATCTTCACTTATAAGATGTACGTGTACATTTATTTCTTGCCATGCCTTGAAATTAGATTTCACCCGGTTACTCATCTCTGCATAACCGAAAGCTATATTCCCGAAACACTCAGAAAAGTAGTCAATGATGAAATGAAATGGGGTTTAACGTCCTACTTTTCTTCACCGACTGAGTTAATGAAAACGGGCATACGCCATACATTGCGCCACGGTGAAATTTTACTTGTATAGCCGTACTCCGGCCTACTTTTATATAACAATACAACTGTCAAGGGTTATTTTACGTACACGTCAGTTAAATGTGTTTGACCCATCCTAACGACTAGGGACTGTTAATTGTCAGCCCTTTGTTCTGTGCCACTGATAAGAGGAAACCATGCCGGAAAATTCCGAGGAACTTTCTTGGCCAACACCCGGAGCGAACCAGAGGCCTCCTTGTTAGCGAGCTAGCGTCTTACTCACTGAGCCACTGTGGCTCATCCGAATAACATAAATTAGTTTTTATAACTAGTTTTTACTAAAAAGGAAAACCCAATTTACGCAAGTCAAATGATTGTAACCCTTTTATTTGTAACGAGACTAATCATCCACTTGAGACAAAACCTGTCCAACTTAACCTTATAGTCTTTATTATAGTTGGAGCTTTTTTGTCAATAGGACACTGCTTTAAGTCATCTCGAGTTAGATTAAATTATGTAGCATCTGATTAGAACACTGGAGACCCCTCCAAGCAGGGCCGTCTTAACCGCCTTATAATCCCCCGGGCAAAGCAGTGCATTGTGGCACCTACCTACACAGCCACTAACAGGAATAAAAATGTCAATGGTCGATAAAATTAAACATATTTAATTTAATGTATTCCGACTTTCAATAAAATCAGTGTTTAAACAGCAAGTCACAACATACAAAGATTAACATGGGTCCCCTATCCCCATGGACCCCGGGTAACTGCCCAGCTTGCCCATGCATTAAGACAACACTGCACCCCCAGTTATCTTTTAAAAGATTTAAGCGATTTCAGAGTTAATCCCATCCCAGTTTCCCTGAAAGATTTAAGAAATATGCAGAGTAGAACCCACCCCAGTGTACTGTGAGAGATTTGAAATCAGTCAGGTCGACCGTCTGTGTCGCCATATGAAGAAATGAAAGAGGCATTATCACTTTAAAAGCCTCGGACAATATTTGACTAAGTAGACACATCGTGCATGTTTAATTTAGATTGTCCGTCTCCATTAGCCCAGTCAGAGCAGAACAGTAAGACGTTAAACCCAATTTCATTTTATTTGGATTATATGCGAATCTGCCGGGCCAACGATGGAATGCAAAATGAAATGAAATGGTGTTGAACGTCTAACTTTCTTGCACCGACCGGGATAAATCTATTTGTTAAGGCCAGCTAACTTTTCGTCAATGTCGCTGAAATGTAAATAAGGTTAGTGCACGTGATTGTTGGCGAGATTGTATGTTAGGATTAGGGTAAGCATTGATGCTAGGTCCAGGTTTAGGGTTAGGGTTGGGATTAGCGCTAGCCATGTTTACATCTCGTGACCTTTGAGCAAACTTAAAGTTTGCCTTATCAAATAGATCTGACCCATCAACCGTGATAATGGCTATAATGTGCTATAATGCAAATTTTCCTGTACATCGGCACTGCTACCTAATCTTAATTCCATTTGTAAACTGTCAGGGTGATCTTTAAGGTTCCCCCAATGGTATGAAATGTAAACGCCTTAACTGCTAATTTACGAGTCGTGTGAATAATTTAGTGCTTTTCAAGCAGTTTAACGATCTATGTCAAATGTCAAAGCTTTAATGTTGAAACGATCCAAGTTTATTATTTAAAATTAATTACATTCATTTTCTCGGTGAAAGTGATTTAAACGCATTTGTCAGTAAAATCAAAAGTAGTGATTAAAGTATCGCTAGTGATACTTTGTTTCCGAACATTATCCGGAACTCGGACTGTTTACTAATTTTCAGTATTACCATATTGTATTGACAGTGGAACACAAACTGGATTATATCTCAACTGTGCCCTTATCTACAGACGTATATTTTTTACGAAGGGAGATTACTCTCCCACAAAATAACTGACCATATAAATATACTCTTCAAAAAAAGAAACGCATAGCCCATTTATCATCATTTTTTTTTATTTGAACGGGATCGTTGTTTCCATAAATTTTGCCGAAGTTTACTTTCGCATGAAACCCAAATCTAAGTCCTTTAAAATCCCGGGGTTTTCGGTTTCAAAATCAGTTGCTCATGTGATGCAACATCCGAACGAAGACCAACACAACAATGCTATCGATCGCTTACAAGCAGGTGAATCCCAGACAGATGTAGCTAAGCTACTGAATTTTTCCCAGAGTACCATCACTCGCCTTTGGGATAGGCACCGACAGCGAAGTTCAACACCTGACCAAACGAGCTCAGGCCAAACAAGAGTGGCCTAGTCTGCCCTAGATCGTAAAATCCGGTTACGTCATTTACGGAAATGGTTCACAACAGCGACCTCTACTGCAGCAGCAATTCCTGGACGACGTAGGATCTTAGACCAGACAGTCCGTAAACGCCTACGTGAAACCGGATTACGAGCCAGACGTCCCGTTAGAGCCGTTGTTTTGAAATACGCCAACATTGTCAAATCCAACTTCTATAGGTTCAGACACATAGGTATACATAGCTACAGTAACACTGGAGAATAGTTTTGTTCAGCGACGAGTCGCGGTACCTGTTGCAACGAGGCGATTTTAGAGCGAGGATATACTGAACGAAATGTTACTATGCGTTTCTTTTTTTTTTTTGGAAGAGTATATATCATATCAAACGAAATCCACATTTTATTTTTGACCCAAATCAAATGGCATGAAATGGGGATTAACGTCTCACTTTTTCTGCAACGTCTTTTCTAATGTAGACGGAAACCCAAATCAAAGCCGTCTAGTCGTTTTAATACAAAGTCGCTATGTCATTACAATTTTGCTTTTTTTTCTTCTTAATTCTTTTGTTTGTTTTGTTTTTCGTTTGTTAGTTTGGAGTGAAGAAGGGGTGGGGTGGGGTCTATCGGTCGTAATTTACAAGAATATAAATTGTATTGAGTATTTATATTTTATGTTTTGTCAGGGTTGCCACGAAGCTCTACCTTCTGACCAGAATAACGTCTACACATTTGTCAGCACAGAACCAACTCTGTCCAAAGTGTCAAAATTCATAGTGGCTCTGCTGAAACAGTACAGATGGAATTCATTTTCCATTGTTAGTGGATTAGAATTGAAATGGAGGGACACTGCTAAAGTATTGGAAACGATGTCTATAAAAGAAGAAATTCATCTTAATAATATTACTTATGATGCAGATCTTGATTTTTTCCACCCAGGAACTGCAGCTAAAGGAAGTTTTAACACCCTTCTGGAGAACACCAAGAAGAAAACAAGAAGTAAGATTCATTAGAACTAGAATTTATTTGAAATGTAACTGATTTTCGCTCACTTTATTTTGAAACACATGAAATGCAATGATGTTTAACGTCATACTTTTCTGCACCGGCTGGCGTAATGGAGACGGGCATACGCCATGCAGTGTGCTATAAGGCACAGTTTGCCGGAACAACGCTACGACATTTATACAGTGTAACGAATTGCTTTCAATCCGTATCAATAAAGTTAACGTCTTTTAACCACATGATCGCCAGACTGTCGATTTTGAGCAGTCGTGGTTTAACTAGATTTAAACGGTAGGCATTATCCATTGGTACTCTCCCAACTGACAGAATTGTAATCGTGTAAAACAGAATTGAAGCCTTTGGCAGTTCTATGATATGTCATGATAACCAATAGTCTGTATAAAGCTACTATTTGCAAACAGAAAAATGATGATTTGATATTTCTTGTTAAAAAAGAAATATACAATTGCACAAAAGTATTTAGCAATGGCAGAAGTGTCTAAAACAGTGATTCTCAACCAGTGTGCCGCGGGATCTTCCTAAGTGTGCCGCGGAATTGTGAAAAGCACACTAAGAAAATGCGAAAAACCACATGATCCTAATTGAGTATTTGCTGATACGTTCATAGATGTGTTTTTCTTTATTTAGTTTAAAGGGCCAATCCCGATAATATTTTGGGGAATAAAACTGCTTAATTTTGTGTTAAAATCCCTTAAAATCCTCTACCTTAGGGCCGAGCCACGAACTCAATATATGTGATACATTTTTAAACAACTTAAACCCATCAGTCTTCATCTAGAAATGGAGACCGATGCCCAAGCTGTATTATGCGGTGTCTGGATAAAACCAGACTTTCATTTTATAAAAATAATGTGTAGATGAAATTTACCTTTCGTTATCAAGTACATCACATGGGTCACACACTGTATACACCTCAAAAGGAACAGGAATTGTTTATCAGGTCACCCAACGAGAAAAATGACCGGAAATCTTAAAAGGGTTACGTGTCCGGATAAGCAGTTTTGACGTTCATGTCCAAACGACTCAATAATTTGAGCTGAAATTTTGAGACAAGGTAAATACACCATTCCTTTATAGTTTGGCGCTTAAGTTTCATACGTACTCAGACTTTTATTTTTGAGACCCTGTTCAAATCAGGATAGTCCTTTTAAGACAATCTATGTTTCTATGACTAGTCTCTGTCTACGATTGTATGCCGTCTGACTTGTTTTTATTTTACAAAATTCAAATATCTTTCACGTATATTTAGCCAGGTGTGCCGCTATTTTTATACGCCCACATTTAAATGTGGTCGTATATTGTCGTCGCCCCCGTCCGTTCGTCCGTCGGTCGGACCGTCCGTCGGCCCGGCGTCCACAATTGCTCTAGAGGACGCAATGTGGACGCTCTAGAGGCTAAAGTTAATATCCGATTGACTTTAAATTTATACACAGTGTTTAAGGTCTTGAGACGAAGAAGACTATTGATTTTCAGCGATTTCCGATAATTACTGCAAGAGTTATGGCCCTTGATCACTTCAAAAAAAATCTTGTGGACGCTCTAGAGGCCAAAGTTAATATCCGATTGATCTTAAATTTATACACAGTGTTTAAGGTCATGAGACGAAGAAGCCTATTCAGCGATTTCCGATAATTACTGCCAGAGTTATGGCCCTCGATCACTTCAAAAAAACTTGTGGACGCTCTAGAGGCCAAAGTTAATATCCGATTGACTTTAAATTTATACACAGACGAAGAATTATTTTAATTTTCAGCGATTTCCGATAATTACTGCCAGAGTTATGGCCCTTGATAACTTTGAAAAACCTTGTGAACGCTCTAGAGGCCAAAGTTAATATCCGATTGACCTAAAATGTATACACAATGTTTAAGGTCATGAGACGAAGAATCCTATTTCCGATAATTACTGCCAAAGTTATGGCCCTTGATCACTTTGCAAAATCTTGTGATGCTCTAAAGGCTAAGGTTATCATCCGATTGACTTCAGATTGATACACAGAGTTTAAGATCGTAAGACGAACAAGTATATTGATTTTCAATGAATTTTTATGACTTGGAACAGCTAAATCCATGATATTAAAAGTGTTGTATACAAAACGTTAGCATGGGGCAGAACTTTATAAAAACCAAACAAATTCTAATGGTTTTCTGAGTTGTTGCGCTTAATCAGATTTTAGTTTATTATAAATGTTTCATTACCGAAAAATGTAAAAATATGCGACAACTCTTGTTGACTGCCCGGATGATTTAGCTGCTGTGGGCGTTTGTTTCTTTGCCTGGCAACCTATCTTTTCATGTGTTTCAAGGTGTGCCGTTGGCAAAAAAAGGTTGAGAACCGTGATTACCGTAACTACGACATACAATACAGATTAAGCTAAATCGATCCTAACAAGTTATCCATTGGACGAATTCGATAAATTGGAATAACAACAGTTTTTAGTTTACTTCCATATATGAGGGCTACTGATCAAACATTTTTAAATCTTGTTGACATTCATTAATAAACTGGTCACGATTTGACCTGTATGATTCTAATAAACCTAGTTCATCAAAGTGGGGATATGTGAACAGTATTAATATTATGATCCTTGCCCTTATCCTAAATAAACGTATTATAGAAATCGTCACCGGAATACAGAAGGAACCTACTCACCTCGACTGTGTACTACGTCTTTCTAGTTGCGTGGATTTAGTATCATTATTTCACTAGTCTGTAAATACCGGTCCTAAATTAGTGTACCTTGTTAATTTTATTGACTGTGTGAATGTTGACCCTGAAAGGTCAAAATGCGGTTATTCTCCACATTGTCTGGAGCATGTTTCATCTTTGACTTTGGTAGATCTATACTCTCTAAGTCTATTTTTGTGTATTGCGAAGAAAAGGCTGCAATAGGAACTAGACTAGCTCCCAGAGAGACGTTCAACAGATTTTGTTTAATGATGTTTACAAATTTGGAACAATATATTTGCATGACCAAGGGAAAGATCACCACACTCGACCTGACCATGAATGAGACTTTTAAAGGATTTAATCAAGAAAGTCGCTCGTTATTAAATCAGTATTTAGACTCTTGGCAATCACTAAATGGAATTCTTAAGACTGCCTTTAGATCACGGTCTTTTATGACGAATTAAAAGATTTGCGAGACTGTAGATGAACATAAATATGTTGCCTAGAAGCACATTGCATTCCCACTAAACTGATTTAATTAGAAAAAAATATATCCGAATGCATTTTCGTATTGCTTTCACAACATTAAAATGGGCAACGTTTTAAAGGTATAAGTATGGTTTGTTGTAATGGAAAGACTGTGGAGACTCGGAAGTACTCGGAAGTTATTTTCCGATTGACTTGAAATTTATGTTCATGTTTTATGTAAGCGTGGTACAAACGATCTAAATTACTGTGTGGTTGATTCTAATCATTGTTTATAGTGTCTTTAAAATGTTATCTGTTTAGTTACCTATATAATAAATAAAAACCGGATAGCCTGCTGAACCTCACTCTGGGGGCTCTCCTTATATTACAACCCCTCGTCGATCAGAATACACAAAACTAAAACTTTGAGAGTATAGATCTATTTAACATGCTCTAGACGACTTAGCTACTCTATATTAGATTAATATTACCCAAATTAAACTACGATGATATCTGAACCTTTATTACCATGTAATTTTTTATGGCTTGGATATATTTATTGCGTCATAGGGGATTTAAAGAAAACTTCTTTATGGCTAGATAATAGATTACACAAGCTGCAAACTTTACCCTCGGGAGTTATATCTATTTATCTAGTAATATCCTAATACAATTATCTTCGATTTAATCATAAACACTGTTACAGTTAAATAACAAATAATTGTCTGCTTTACATAAAAAATTATAGTTCATACAATTGGTTTTATACACTGCTATTCGTTTAAGATGTGCAGGTGTTTGTCGCCGTTGACACTCTGGATACGTGCCCTTTAAGACGTGTTAAAGTAGCAATATTGTTATTAATTTGGTAAAAAAAAAACAATAACGTCCAACCTTCTTATGGAGATAAAACTTATTGAATGTTACAAACCTCCACATTTCTCAAATACAACGCTTGAAAAAAAACCTAATTCTTAAATGTTTGTATACAGTAAGTGACGCTATTGAGAGATAAACACTGGGCATTATTCAAGAGTGTTGTCAACACCGGAGCCACAAACAGATATGATTCATAAATAAATACACATATTCAGCAATTAAAAGCTGGCTTGCATAAACTTATTGTCGCTTTAATAAGATAAGATAGTATATAAGGGGTGCACTTGTGTACACGCCTCGAAAAATACTGATAATTGTTTGCTGTAGATTTCACTTTTACTGAACATTACGGCGTAGTGATACATCATTATTTGACAGCAATTCAACCGTTGCAAAGTCCTTTATATTGACCCAGTGTTTCCATCAAGGTCAATTGAATGACAATAGTTCATTTTTAATAAAAAAAAAACGTTACTTTTAATAAGAAATGAACTGTTCTTTGAAAATAAAAAAAAAAGTAGTTCCCTTTCAACTGACCAATCAAATTCATGTTAAGCAATATATCCTAGTAAATATCGCAGTAGATTATGAAATTTATCACACAAACGATATCTACTGTAGAATGTATTATTGGTTGATAAAAAGTAAATTCCCTATTACCGTGCCACAAAATGTTTGTTGCGTTTTAATGTTACGTTTTATTCAGAATTGAAAAGAAATATGGAGTTTTATCCAGAAATGAAATGAAATATGGAGCTTAGCGTCATATTTTTCTGCACTTCCGGACTAATGAAGTCTGACATACGTCATGCAGTGTGTTATGAGGTATATATATATATTTCCCAGACAGCCGTACTACGACTATTTAATTTCATTTGGTGTATATTATTATGTGTACTTATTTTTCTTGCTTGTAGTTTATGTATTTCTGGGAGAGTATGAGGCTCTAATAGAGTTTGCTAGAGTCATGTTTGAAAATCTTGGTGAAGACAGAAAAGATTATGTTCTGATTGGTGTGGATGATCGTCTGCCAGAACCGGAGCATTACAGATATTTTCTACATCGTAAGTCAGTCATAGTTATATCTTGTTAATAAAACTGTTTGATTTACATTGTAAGTCAGTCATAGTCATATTTTGTACATAAAACTGCTTGATTTACATTCAGTTTAAACCAACAACTGGTCCAATCAACCGAAGCACTGTGCGAGTTTCGGTTTTTAATGAAATTTTATCACATGTGAAGGGCTTTCGTGGTAACCCGACAATCTCTACCTGGCATCCGAGAAGACGCGATAATAACGAAGTATTCCGACTCGTAATATGAAAATGACAGAAATACTCACAAGTGCTTGGAAATATGCCCATCTTTTATTGCTTTATCTTTACATGTTTAGATCGTTTCCGCTGGTAAAAACCCCACAACAATTTCCCATCTGTTTATATTGTCGATTTCCGTGAATGCATTAATAACCTAAAAAAATGGAGGCCGCATAATTTTGTACTTTATCTTCAGATGCTGTAAAAAGCATTGTCATCTACTTGTAGGCCCACATTAGACTCACGATTTCAGGGCATACTTTAAAACACAAAAACTAAAAGTATACGTGTTTCTTTGACAGTTCCTTTTGAAGAGGAGGAGGAACCTAATGATGGCCATCTTGAACCATTCCGTAATGTTTTTATACTGACATTACGACCAATCATAAACAAGGAATGGCCTGAATTTCTCAATAAAACATACCAAAGAAATAAACTACCACCAATGAATTTCCCGCAAATACCTCCAGGGTTGGAGGATCGAATAGTAAGTCCGCTTTAAATAATAATAATAAAAGGATATTTCCATTTTGTAAAATAATTTATAATTTCTATTTTTCTCGAGCATCATTCGGCTAACCTTGGCTGATTCTGTGATCTTCATCATCTCATGTAATTTTGCTCGAACAGCGGCGCCACAGCCTACTCATATATCGAATTCCAACTGCCGAGGGATCCTTTACGTACACTCCAATGAGTACACGGGACCTCGGTTTTTCGTCCCATTCGAACGACTACCAGTAGTACTATTAGGCCTATTACTGTGAAAGATGTAGCTGAACCGGGGCTATAAACAATGGCTGTACTTTTCTTCGCGAATTGATCTCGAACGACTTCTGTATTCGCAAAACATCCCAATGTTCACCTGTAATTTCCTTTAATATAATATTGTGATGTATTTACCTCTAGCCCAAAATACCTATCACAGTTGCTTACTTATATGATGCTGTGAAGATATATGCCAAAGCTTTGAATGAAACATTGGCAGCCAACGAAGATATCCGGAATCCTGAAATGGTTATCAAAAAATTGCGTAACCGATCTTACAGAAGTGAGTTGAATTTAGATAATATGATAGCGAATAAATGATACTGGTTGATTCAATGTGATTTTTTTTTTTTTTTTTTTTTGACATTTGGATTTTTATCAGGTTGTGTTGTATATTGAAGGGCTAATTTATGTATCAGCAATATCGGGGTGTGTTAAAGGGGTTTCGTATGCTTATTAGTGTAAAGTTATACAATGTTTTAATGTATTTTAATCGGGTTAATTGAAAATTAAAGGGGTTTTGTATTTATCAGCACGCGTCGTATAATAAAGTTATACGAAGTTTTAATGTGCATATTGACCAATATACCAGTTATATTAATGGTGATATTGTTATTTACTTAAGGTGTACAAGGATTTAGCGTACATATCGATGGACAGGGTGATAATGATGGTAATTATACATTATTAAGTGTACGTGTAAAAGATGGAAAAGCTGTTGCTTGGATGGATTCTGTTAGTGAATATACACGTTCAATTAACAATTCTATACCAGTAAGTGTATCATATATATTAGTTCTATATCGCCATTCAAGCCGTGTAACGCTATCATGTTCCACACATATGTATATTCCCTTGGCAATCGTCACCACAAATACACAGACGTTGATTGAAAATATATTAAAACTATCGAGAAAATACATTTGTTGCCAGGCTCATTTTTATACACCCACATTTTCATGTGGACGTATATTGCCGTCGCCCCTGTCCGTCCGTCCGTCCACAATTGTGTGGAAACTTGAAATATAGGTGTATCTCCAAAAGATCTCTGTTCCTTTCGATATTGGTATGTATCGGATCGATACTTCATGGATTATGGCCCCTGATTGTACTAAAAATCACTCTAGAGGTCACAATTTTTATCCGATTTAAATAAAACTTGAAATGTATATTTACAACCCACGGATCTCGGTTCCTGTTGATATTCGCGCATACCGGAACACAACCTCCTGGATTATGACCCCCTGATTGTACACAAGATCGTGTTTTTAGCTAGTGGTCACTCTAGAGGTCACAATATTTATCCGATTTATAAAACCCTTCAAATATAGCACCGTTACACCATAATGATGATTATGTTCTTATTTCGTGAAAATCGGACGAAACTCCGGACAAAAAAAATTGTCTGACAAATGACCGTTCCTTGTACGCAAACAGTGTAAAAGTATGTAATACCAAGGTTGTGGACCCTATGGAGGTCACAATTTTTATCCGATATATTTTATATCCCGAAGATCTCCGTTCCTGTAGATTTTCATCCATTTGGCTTTACCCTACACAGAACAAACTATAGTTCACGTGCTATTGGCGACCGGCCGTCTGCCAATCGTGGCGTTGATTTTTAAGGATTTATTTTTTATTTTATTTAGTGCGAGCTTACTAATCACTTTCCATCTATAATTATAGGTTTCTATGCCATAAGAACTTCCCCAGTTTTAGTTCATATTGCTCTGTTTGACTTAATCAACCCCGAGCGAACATATCTTTAAATGAATGAGATCCCTATCATGCTAGCGGGGCAGCTGCGTGAATGAACACCATTTCCGTGTATAATTTTAGTTTTAAAAGGGTTCGGGTTTCATTGTTTGACTTAATTAATCCCAACGGAACATATATTTAAATGAATCAGATCTTTGTCATGCTAGCGGTTCTGGAATATTTTGAGTTTATTCTTCATTATGCGGTCAGTTCAGCCGCATGAACAAACATTGAATTGTTCTTCGTGTGTGCGATGTCAAGGTGAACACCGTTGGAAATTTAAATTCAGAAAATTTGGAGAATACCCGATTTCTCTGTTCTAAGGATAAACCAATTTCTATTTCTGTTCTTCGGAAACACCTATTAAAATTCTGACTCAAATTTCTTCAGGAAAATAGCTAATTAAAAAACAAAAAGTATTTAGTTGCTCTTCTTATGAGATTTTGAAATAAAAAAAAAAGCATCGGACACAAACATTGAGTAGTTTGTTTATTTAACAAATCCCCGAAGAACTAAAATGAAACTGGTTCGACCATAGGCTTCTTGGTTGAGTTTATTATTCATTATTGTGTATTTTTATTGCAGAACATGGATCTTAAATTAAACATAAATTGGTTATCAGGTCAACAACCACCTAGCGAACCACAATGTGGTTTCCAGGGAGAGAAATGTAATACAAGTGAGTTTTTGATAACATGGCCAATCGACGACAATCGCATATCTTTTTCACTGACATTTATCGTCTGGCTATTCAATCAGCCAATTTATATGATTTTATAATGGTGGCACGCACTCGGGATGTATGCTTATTCGTCCATCGACACCTGCCACTACATTCGTCTCTCGGTTATTCCTATGTGCTCGACACAAACAAAAATCAATCGCAATTTTTGGCCTTCCATTTTGTGGGATATTTATATTAAAAGATACATTTATGTTTCAGATTGGGAGTTGGCTGTCATTGGTAGCGTTTTAGCGGCGGCTGTTATTGTTCTGTTAGCTTTAGGCTTAGTTGTATTGCGAGTGTCCAAGTAAGTATTTTGTATAATAGTGAGTAAACTTTGTTTAAATTATATTAAATGTGTTGTTTTGCATTGGGAAAAGAAGCCTCATCTCCCTCTCCCTCTCTCTCTCTCTCTCTCTCCCACTTCCGCCCTCTCTCTCTCTCTCCCTCTTCCGCCCTCTCTCAACAATGTATTCTGACCTAAACAAAGATATTTTGCAATGGATGCTCATTTAAAATGCAGAATGAAGTCACCGCAGAAAAGTTTAATATGTCAATATAGATAGAAAACGGTGTTATATTACAACACGCAATTACCTCACAACCTATGGTTTTCTCCAGGAATTTGATTTCATAAATTGATCGATATACGTGACTAAACTTTAAAGGTTATAAATGATCCCTTGTGTCTCAGCAACACTTCATATTGAAACGGTGTTATATTACAACACGCAATTACCCTACAACCTATGGTTTTCTCCAGGAATTTGATTTCATAAATTGATCGATATACGTGACTTATCTTTAAAGGTTATAAATGATCCCTTGTGTCTCAGCAACACTTCATATTGAAACATTGATAGATTTCGTTTTCTACCCCATTTCATGACAGTTAATTCTGTTTTTGAAACTTATCCCCGGTCATATAATGTATATAGATTATCCGTGAGTCATTCTTCCCTTGTATATTATATTATTTCCAGACATATTTTAATATCAAATGATCAGCTTACGTTGTTCAGGAAAGACATAAATCAATCAAGCGAAGATTTTTTTTGTTCAAGCGATGCGGAAGTTTTTTTGTTTGCCCTGCCAGTTTCTGATTTAGTAAATACGAAGGTGGCATATTTTTTCAAATGTCGGGGAATCTGAGACAATTTCATTGAAAGAAATGTCTAAAAACGTAAGTCAGGATAGAACAAGACCAATGACTTACTAAACAGAATTTCGTATTACTTTATGTTTTCTAAGTTAGAAAATCGTGGTATATGAACATCCGTTTTAGGTTTGTTTAATATTGTATTTTGTCCACACACAAAAAAAACCAAGAAATTTGACGAGACACGTAATGTCCTGTCTTTATACGGGGGAGTCCCGGTACCTCAGTGAGTATGGCGCTGGCTCGCTAATCAGGAGGTCTCGGATTTGCTCCCGGTGTTAGCCGAGAACGCTCTTGCCCAATTTGTAGAAACTTTCGAAGCTGTGGTGTAGAAGCCCACTCTGCAGAATCTTGTGAACATTCTAGCAACCAAAGTTATCATCCAGTCTGCCAATAATATATTCCTTATTCAGATTAGTGATCCGTATTTGTGATGATTACTTTTTATACCTATTGTCTTTGATTGTGTTGTATAATCATGTCAAGGCTCTGGTGATGGTGTTTCATCCTGGCCAAAAAATCACAATGTGGCGTTTATGGACCATTGACTGACGTAATTAGTAGTGCTGGGCGTATCCCTCGTTTGTTGGCAACCTTTCTTTATTCTTGGAAGAATATTGAGTAAATTCTTATGTAATTCAATGTGAATTATTACAGTTTTTTGCGTTGATGTGTTTCCTAAAAATGAAAAATTAGATAAGGATAATTGATGATTTGAAAACATCATTCCAAACACTTTACTTTATTTCTGGTATTTCATTTATTTGTGTTATGTCATGTCTATAAACAACTTAATTAAGGCATTTAAAGCGCCAGACAGGTGTTGTTAAAACTCATTATTGCTTGAATCAAGGTTAGTTAAGTGTAAAAGACAGGATTTGTTTTTTATTTACCGTGCTTAAAGGTCTTTATTAAACTGACAATTTTTTCTTCACCAATCCTTGTGAGTTTAATTAAGAAAACGGAAAAATAAAAATCCCTTTTAAGAGTTTATAAATCGTGCGGAAGAACTATTTCTCTTTCTAGACAAATTTTAATATTTTATGGTCTCAAGTGGAATATGGAGCTTGCTTCTATTAACCCAGGTTGAAGTCACTTGTCTAGATCTAATATAAGTATCGTCCCAGCATGCTGACTTCTGAACGTTCACTAAATCAGATAATCCGAGGCATGTGAACTGTACTCTGCGTGGTTAAACAAACGTCAGCATTGGAGAATATGGGTTATGAGATCAAGCCATAAGAGGTCCATTGATGTCTACGATGATATCAAGATGCAAACAAAATCTTCCATACAAATGATAAAGATACTGTAATAACTAATCCTTAAACAAGAGTAGTCGTTTGGATGGTACGGAAAACCGAGGTCATGTGTACACATTAGCGTGCACGTAAAAGAGCCCTTGACAAATGCAAATCTTAGGTATTGTCCCATTTCGTCTTCCATATTAAAGGACAACGTTGTTGTCAGCAAATATTACATGCGTGACGAAGATTTGATCAAACCGGAAGTGATGATAGCAAAAGAAAAAAAACAAGAGTAATCCTTATATATAACTGACTGAAGTAGAGAGCGATAACAGATACACGGTCAATTTTCAGCTCAATTATAATCCCTTTGAATATGAAAAGTTGTAATATTAGCTTGTGAAGTTATCTGTTCGAAACTAACAATTCATAAAAGGAATTGACTGTCACCAGAAGAGAAAGCGAAAAAAAGAGAAAAAGTCCGTGCGTGCATTACCTTGTTTTATTAATTCACTACTTACAAATTTTAAGCGATAATTATTGTTTATTCTGGTACACAATGGAGATATGTTTATGAACTGGTCTCGTCGAATCAAATACAGATCATATTTAACTTTTGATGGTCTGGTTTCTAGAATATATTTATTTATTTATTTTTTTATTACTATTTTTTACAGGTATTATCGCTATGAGAAAAAATTGGCTAGTTTATTATGGAAGATAGATAGGGAAGATTTACGTTTTGTGGATTCCGTTCGCGAATTTTATTCTCCGGGTCGACAAAGAGTAAGTAATATTAAATTATATATTTTATGCGCCCATAGTTCAGTATTATGTGGTCGCCCCTCTCCCCCCGTCGGTCCGCTAACAATAGGCTTGTGAACGCGATTGGTGTAATTTACACCGTAAAAGAGACACTGACGTAGTAGTTGAATCTATATCACAGATGCCTAAATCAATAGTGGAGTCCGGATCGGTGTATTTCCTAATTTCCTAATGTAATGCCCCGATAACTAATAACACAGCCTCTCAAAAGATTTCGTAGAATGTTCGGTATCGGGAGTTTTGATTGGTAGGTTGATTTGATGTCGACCAATTACAGTCTGCGCATTACTAAATGCGTCATATAAAGAAATGCCTTTTGACGAAGATGAAACTAATGATCCACCACCAAACGCCGGGTTTTATATTAATAAAGGGAAGAACCTTTCACAAAACCAATCCATACCCAGAGGCTGCAAATGGAAAAATAGCAAAATCATATTCTAATATCCAGGAGGAAGCTTCTGCGATATCTCTTTTGTGGAAGCGGGGGTTCATGAAATAAGGTACTACTAAGCTGAAGTGGGAGAGAGCAATCGAAATATAACACGGAACCAAGTGTTGTTATAATTTTAATTAATAAGTATGCCAAAGTGTAAAATTTATAAAGCTGTTATCCAACAGACAAACTGTTGGACCAGTAACAGCATATTCGGAAAATACTGTGCTCTTACAGTTTAAAAGTGTATTTCAAACTATATTTGCGAAATATTCTGTGAAGCAAATTATCGGACAAGGAACCTGTTCGGAAAATACTGTACTTTTACCTTAATATGGTTGATATAGTTTATTCACATATTTCATACTATATTTGCGAATAAATAATATCTGTGATGTTTTTATTACGTCGAGGAATCTTTCTAGACATTGTGCTTTGTATATTAAGTGTATATAGTGCTTTGTCGTATAAGTGTACAGAACGACAAGTGACTTTATTACATTATGCTCTAAATTACATTTTCTTAATATATATTCACAAATACTGGAAAATTGATAATCCTGGGCGAAGTTTCATTAAAGATATTTTCTGAGGTTCCCAAATTATGACGACAAGAAATATAATAAAAAGTGGTTTGTTCAAATGATTTTAAACCTGTGGGATTTTGATCTTTTCTTTGATGGAACTAAAGCACCATTTTTAATCAATTTTTCCTTTATGCACTGACTTGATGGAGTGACAAATCAATTTCATATTCTGAGTTTGATTCCAAAATTTGGGTTTTTATCTGACTTTCGGGCTTATCGAGAGTTGTTTTTCACACATAATTATATTTATGACTTATTCCAGATTCTCATATTTCTGGTATATCTATGAGACTGGATAAATGGTGCTTAAAAATTGATAGTTACACGGTGTAGTCTTAATGAGACTGTATTAATGACAATTTCATAGTTCCAACTTATCATCTTAATGCATATTATAATCTCTGCTTGCATTAAAAGAGCATATATTATTTGTTTCAGAAAAAGGTGTCAAGTCCTTGGAAGTTTTTACTTTCGGGTGATAACGAAAGCGAAAAGAGAACAGGGTCCAGAAAAGAGAAACAGAGTAACACCCATGTTGGATCGTATCGTGGAACCATAGTCTTTATCAAACAAGTGACGAGACGAAGTTTGGATATTAACAGAGAGATGAAGAAACAGTTACAGCTAAGGAAAGAATTAAGTCATGATAATATTAATAGATTTATTGGTGCGTGTATTGAATTACCAGAGGTTTATATTGTTACACAGTACTGTGCACGGGAAAGTTTACGGGTATGTTGTAATTAATTTATCAAATAACCTGCGCGTTAACAATTTTATCTGTTCGTGCACCCATCTGTTAAATAAGGTGAAAACCTCAAAAGTTTATTTCAAATTATAGGTGCAAAGTGGGCGTATTTCCACGCCTTATGGGGCTATCTTTATTTTTTTGATTTAGATAATTTTATTTTTAACACGAGTATATAGAAAGTAGATTTAGCTAAGGTGTGATCCCCCGTCCCCAACTTGGGTGCGATTATGAAATTAAATATTGCACCACTTACATGTATGTTCTAGCAACATCACCTATATTCGCAACTAGTATCTTAACAGAACGGGGAAATTAGAGCCACAACGTTGATTATATCGTGAGGTACCACTACATTAATCAAAACATAATCTCATTTCATCCGATTATACGTCTGTGTCGCCTTTGGTCATATTCTTGTGAATGTCAAACGATCAGAGAGACAACTTATCTAAGTAGAAAATTTTGGTAAAATCAGATTACTTATGTATATATTTTATTCACTCGAGAAGAGAGATGTTTTAATGTATAGACGTTCTTTTTAACATAAAGATGCATTATGTAAGATTCAGATAAAGAGCTGACCGTTCTTGGTATAATAGGGTTTTTGGGGTTTTTTTTAAAATTAAACATGAATATAATGAAAATTTCAGTCAAATTACTTTATTCTGAGCAATAATTAATGTTAGTCTCGATTAACCATTTTAATGTTTAACGAAAATATGACAGATATTGTCTAATCCAGTTTATATCTTAGCGAGCTGATTATGAATAAAATGTCTAAGTAATAATTTATAGCATGTTAAACTGCAATGTATTATCAGTGTGGTTTAGTAAAAAGAAATCACCATTTAATGAGACAAAATTATAGCTAATTTTTTTAATGAGATTTTACCTGTTTTATTGTTATTAATACTGTGTTTAATAATCATCTTATTAAAATGGTTGAACTCAATCAGCTAGTGCAATTACAGTTATTATGTTCAATTAAGGGTAAATTATGCAACCGATCTTATTTAAAGTAGCTAAGTCCATAACTCAATATCATCCAAAATCTTCGACATTGAAAACACGAATATTTTTGCAATTTGAGTCAGCATTGGTGTTGTGATCTTACCTGGAAAAGATGGGCTTCTGATATCCAATATTTAAGACAAAATAAACATTTTACCATTGGTACACGAATCGTGTACCATAATGCGTTTCAGCGCCATTTGTAACAAGGTGCTCAAAGAATGAGGCTAGACATATTCCACAAGTCATGTCAAACGGTGATATCATGTTCTTATTTGGAGAGCATGCGCAATAAATAATATCGGTGTTGACTGGAATAACCAGACTCTAGAAACTGACTTGCGGTTGAGACTTCTGGCTATTTCGCCGATATAACTGATGCCAATTCACAGTAAAACGGACAAGATTGAATGTAAAACAGTTTATATAAATTCATATTACATTATTATATGTGTTGCGACCCATTTGTGCCAATTTCTAGGTCCCAAATATTAGCGAGTTAGCTCCTTTGTAGCAACGCATATAATAATGTAATATGAATGTATATAAACTGTTTTACATTCAATCTTTTCCGTTTTTACTCTAATTTCAAATCAGTTATGTTCGGCGAAATACGCCAGAATTTTCAATTGAATGGCAACCGGTTATTTCAGTCTAAACCGACAGTATTTATTGTGCATGTTCTCCAGATAAGAATATGCCGTCACCGTTTGACATGACTAGTGGGATATGTATGGCCCCGTTCTTCGAGTCCCTTGTTACAAATGGTGCTGAAACGCATTATGGTACACGATTGGTATACCAATGGTAAAAATGTTTATTTTGTCTTAAATATTGGATATCAGAAGCCCATCTTTCCAGGGTAAGATCACAACATCAATGTCGATTTAAATTGACAATTCGTGTTTTCAATGACAAAGACTTTGGATGATATTGAGTTAGAGACTGGGCTACTTTAAAGTACAGAGAAATGTCATCATGATTTTCCGTCGTGGTTCCCCTGGCAATGGACAACGGGTGGGACGAAAACCCGAAGTCCCGTGTGCTCATTGGCGTGCACGTAAAAGAACACTTGACAGTTGGAATTTGAAATAAGAGTATGTCGCTGTCCGGGCGAAATGTCACGCATAGCACATTACACGACGTATGCCTGTCTTCATTAGACAAATCAGTGCAGAAAACCCCTTATCATTTCATTTCAATCCCTTTAACTTTCTGTGGTTTTTTTTTATAGTTTTCCTTTAACGTTCTGCGTTCATTTGGATGATTTCTCCCATTAACTTTATGCGTTAATTATTATATTTTCAGGATATTTTACGGAATGAAGATTCACAGCTTGATGAAATGTTTGTATCTTCACTTGTAGCTGATTTAATTAAGGTTCGTTTCCTTTTAACCATATTTTAACGATCTTCGCCAATTGACCATTGGGCGTTTTTCAACATATTTAAATATCCACGCCTACGTTTAGATTAAAATAATTGATGCCGTTTTAAGTTACGCAGAGATTCCAGATGTTATGGTGCTAATTAAAACATGGTCCACAATTTGAAATGTTGAAAATGCACGCATGTGGCATCCGCCGTTATTCTTGCTTCAAACATTGAGGATGTATCAGATATTTTAGAAAACAGCATGCTATAACTCTTTGATCTGTAATCTGTAATTTTCAATGAGGGGGAGCCACGGTGCCTCGGTTATAATGGCGGTAGTTAACTAACCAAGACATCCCGGGTTCTTCGATAATTACACTCCTGGATTTCTCTTGTCAGTGGTGTCAAACGGGGACGGTCTGGCCAGGAAACATGTCTAGTTGTTCGATGGTTCTGTGTATAGACTACAGTTGTCGGCATATCAAATAGACAAGAGCGTTGGTCGTTGCTTCACTACCTTGGAAAAATTGCCTTTAGAGCACACTGCGTAAGCCTATCTTCATTAGGACGTTAGATCCAATTTTATGTCATTTCGTCAAGGCCAAAATAACAAATTATAAACTTACAATATTTTGTTTGATTTGTGAGTCGTGACTATCTGCTGGTAGCTAACGTAACCAACATCTTAACTGTTTTATCCATCCGCCCCAAACTCATAAATATTCAAAACAGAAACTAATCTTTTAGGCAATAACTAATACAAAATGTAAATTAAAAGCCTGTTCTGTGATTCCACTCCAAAAGTAATCGCTACTTAATGGTGGTCAGTATCTATTTGATGTTAATGTTCAATTTTTATACTCCCGCATGGAAATGTGGTCGTATATTGCCGTCGCCCCGTCCGTTTGTCTGTCCGACTCTCCGTCCGTCCGTCGTCCACATTTTCTTGTGAACACTCTACAGATTACATTCATCATTTGTTTTGAAATTGATATGTATTCTTAACATTACTGAGATGAAGAAATCTATTTAAACCATGTGAACACTCTAACAACAAAAGTTGTGTACGATCCGATCTGTATGAAATTTATATGCATCATTTAAATTAGTGAAACGAAGAAGTTTATTGAATTTCCGCTAATTATTTCTAGAGTTATAGACGTTGTTTCACTTTGTTGAACCTTGCGAATGCTCTACCAACAAATGTTATCATCCGATCTGTATGAAGTTTATATCCTATCAAATTTTAACGTAAATTACCTCCAGAGTTAAGGCCCTTTTCCAGTTTGTAGAACCTTTTGAACTCTCAAACGACGGAATTTATAATCTGATTTTTATGAAATGGTCTTGTAAATGCCCCCAATTAACTACAAATGAATAAATATGCGACAACCCTTATCGACCGCTTGGACGATTTAGCTTCTATCAGCGGTATTTTTTGTTGGCTGACAACATATCTTAACATTTGCAATTGCTAGCCTTTACCACCTGTTAATTTGTAGGAGCCGCGTTGATAGGACGAAAAAGACCAATGTTTCCACGTTTTATACGCCCACACGGAAATGTGATCGCATATTGCCGTCGGCCTCGTCCGTCCTTGGTCCACAATTTTATGTGGACACTCAACAGACTACATTTATCATTTTTCAGCAATTTCTGTTAATTACGTCTAGAGTCATGGCCCTTTGTTGAACTTTGCGAATGGTCTAACGACAAAATTTATCATCCGATCTGTATGAAATGTATAAGCATTATTTAAATTTAAAGAAAACGAAAGAGTCTATCGACTTTCAACATTTTCTATAATTACTTCCAGAGTTAAAGCCCTTATTTTAGTTTGTAGAACCTTATTAATTTTCAAACGACAACTGATCTGTATGAAATTTTCTTGTAAATGTCCCCCCATTACCTACAAAGAATAAATATGCGACAACCCTTGTCGACCTCACGGACGATTTACCTGTTGTGGGCGTATGCGTCGTTGCCTGGCAGCCTATCTTTCTTTATTAACACACTTTAATACGATTATTTGTTGCTAGATAGAGCTGTGGTAACAATTTATGTTGAGAGTTTTTTTTATCGTAAAAGCATTGACATTAAATTTTGTAATCATGAAAATTTTGGTTTAGATGTGAACACGGCCATATCTCGATGCCGATATCACAATGTGACATGAAATGTAATCTAACTGTTGGTTATATTATGATTTTACGATTTGCAATCACATTTTATTAACGTACACGTGTTTAATGGTGTAATAGATACAGCAAAATGCACGATAACTTTTAGATAACGAAATTGACATCCTAATGCGGGTTCAGTCCCAAGAGCCACTGTCATTATTAAAGGAGCTAAACCTATTTGATTTAGGTTAAACTAAAATGTTGGATTGGGTTAATTGGATGTGTTATTTCGATTATTGATGGGACAAAATCTATATAACTAAACTGACATTTCGAAATATCAATCGGAAGTCGTTTTGTTTACTAAATGTAGTTTGGCTTTTAGCTGAAAGATGCATAAAGAGCTAAATCTACAGGAATTTTTGCTGGCTTCAAATGTTATGTAAATTGTTATTAAACATTTATTAAAGATACATTATGTAAGATTTGGATAAATAACTGACCGTCCTTGTTATACTAGTTCTAAATAGATAAATGGAAAATGAATATATTGAAAATTTCATTCTGAGCCAAGTTATCACTGTTTATAATTTTGAAAAGATGTGTGCATTGATTGTTTATTATGGTGACCACGATGCTGGTTATTCGAGGCTTTTCCTCGCTTTTCCATTTTTTAAATTAAATCATTAAATCATGGCATCTGGGGTTGATTATGGTCTTAATAAATATCTAATTTATAATTTATACAACATTTAAGGCCTAAATAAAGGCCTGCAATATGCCGATTTAGCTCTTGAATAATGCCTCTTTCACATGAAAATCCCATAACCAACTCACTGGGCCATCACATGACCCCGATTTTAAGAATTGCTATATTAAGAGTAATATCTAGAAACGACATATCAAAAGCATAGCCTTACCAGATTAGATATTAGATAAAAGGAAACCGCGGTGGATCAGTGAGTAAGATGCTGACTCTCTAACCAGTTCGTCCTGGTTCGATACCCGTATTGGTCGATAAAGTCCTCCGGGATTTTCCAGTATGGTTTCCCCTTTGCAGTGGTCCAGGACACGTTACGCACACGTGCATGCACCTTCAATAGAATTATATAGTACAATGTTTGATTGGAAGATTGAAGTTTCTCTCACCTTCGTTTCGGCCGAACAGATATGGGCCACTGTGGTTAAATAGGGGCTTACTAGTTAGTATTACTGTTACTGCAGTGGCACAGGACACGTTACGCACACGTGGGTGCACCTTCAATAGAATTATATAGTACAATGTTTGATTGGAAGATTGCAGTTTCACCTAGCTTCGTTTCGGCCGAACAGATATGGGCCACTGTGGTTAAATAGGGGCTTACTGGTTAGTATTACTGTTAACGTCATCGCTGCTATCTTTGAAATGAGACTTCAATCGATGGGCATTGTCCAAAAAACAAACATCGTAATCGAGTTCGCGGAACCTTGAACTTTTTGAATGAGCGTCACTCCAAGAACAGCAATAACAAGAAGTTTATCAAGTGCGTGCAGTCAGTTCCTTGATTGACGTGTCCACGTACACATAAGTCTTACCTGTGCTGTATGATGAGGAACACTGGTTATTACTGTCAGTGGTCAATTTCCTTTATTGTAGATTAATTTTCTATGGTAAACAAATTGACACGATTTTCCATTAAAAAAAACCTAAAAGACAAGAACGAACCTCACTTTAACACGAAGTTCCTGTTGACAACAGTTCCCTCCTGCGTAGTAATTCGCCTTGATTTAATGCATTTAAGGTTCTGGGACTATTAACTTGTAATATTATTGAACTCAGTCACGAAACATTATTAATTGTTTTAACATAAAACCGTTTATTTAAAGCTAATAATTGTGACATATTAACATTTAAAGGGTGTTTTAAAGAATTTTATGAAATGGAATTCATCAAAAGAAATGTTTGGTGTTCTGTTTTTATGTCTGTATCCTGAACTTTTTGTTGATAGAAGGAAGCGATATTTCAAGAAAGCCGCAGATTATAAACTCTCCAGAGAATGTATAGCGATTATCTCTTTTTATAATTATTTAATATACAGTGTATACCCTTTGTTCATTATTTTAAAAAAAACCATAAATGTTGGGGGCGTTACGAGACATAAGATATGTTCAAACTTTTTAATATAATCATGAAAATGTATTGTCTTTTTGTGTCGTGCACGTTTCAATGATACAATGATACCCTTTTTCATTATTAATCTTTTAATACATAAATGTTGGGGCGTTGACTAAGTTCAATCATAAACGTTACAGAAATGTTGGGGCGCTGATTAAATTCAGTCATGAACATATTTGCATAGGCAAAGTTTGATTTCCAGATGCTGTACAGAAAGGTAAATCTGAAACCAATTATTGAGTTTCTGATCATTATTTTGGGATTAATGCGGGGGAAATCAGCCTGTTGGGATATTACGAAACATAAGGCATGTTCCAAGTTTATAATATGAATTATGAAGAAGCAATCGTTTTCACCCAGCCATTGGGTACAATTATGTGATGTGCTGATGAGAAAATAATATCGTCTGTATCAGATATAGATTAATGTGTATTTATATTATCATATATAGTTTAATGAAAATAAATTACGATTTCCTCTTCATGGTGTGTAGTCATGTAAGATGCGTTACCTAGGGAATGATTAAGTCATCTTTTTGACACTATCAACTTATTTTTATCGCAAAGTGTCAAATTAATGCTGTAATGGCCAGGAAAAATCAATCTGGGGTCAGACATGAATTGAAAATAAAGGAAAAAGAAATAACACGCAGACAGGTGAAAATTTGTGTCTGGTAAAATGAACATGGTAAATTAAATAATTCCTCAATCAGACACATGACATTAATTATATTGTATGAGACCTGATTAGTCACATGAAACCTAATTAGTGACATAAGACCTAATTAGTGACAGGCGTCTTTGTTTGTTTGTTTTTTTTTTTAATGTTATCATCGCTGGATAAAGACCAAAAAATGCAGTAAAATATCGCTGCATTATAAACAGTAATTATATTCCATAGAATTGTGCCCTACATATTTCCAGTTATGTTACTAAATTTCATTGAACCACTCTATTGCTAATACAGGGTGTTGTTTATATTTATAGGCAATATATTATTATTTCAGGGCATGGTATTTATACATGACAGTGATATAATATCCCATGGTAATTTAACATCCAGTAATTGTTTGGTTGATAGTAGATGGGTTCTACAAATTGCTGATTTTGGTCTACCCTCAGCCTTATCTTCTACACCCCCTGCTGTTGAGGATGTTGATAGGTACTATGAAAGTAAGTTGTTTACATCCAATTAATTCTGTGCCTGTAAAAGAGAGAAAAGGGCATAAATTAATAACCAAAACATAGAATAGGTTTTTATTGGGACAGTGGTAAAACACAATCACTTATCTCAAAAAAATTCTTGGCAAAATGAAGGGGAGAGAGAGAGAGACAAACTAGGTCATTTCGGGACTAACATATGGTTCAATTTTATTTCCATAATTCGATTGCGCGTAGGGGTCTTTAGCAGTGGGAGGAAACCGGAGGACCCGGAGAAAACCCACGTGGTTGGACAGGCGACCCTACTCCTTGTCACGTACAATCGGGGATTCGAAACCACGCCAGTTGACTCAATGACAGACTTAATGATACAGCGCGCACTTGCTAACCACTAAGCCATCCAACCCCCCTGCAAAATGAAGGTCAAAAATCATACATAACACTACTTGTAAATAACCAAATAAACAATTTTTTTGCGAATAAAAATTGAATCAAAATGGCAAGTTGTTCAAACTCGGAATCATTAAATTGGATACATTTAACTATTGTGCGTAAGAAGTGTAATTCTGAAATTTAAGAATATTTTCCGCAAACCATTAAGATGTTAATTCTGAACACGTCTTGTATGATAACAACCGGGAGTTTAACAACGAATAGTTTAACGCGTGTAATTTAGATCACAAGGTCTGTCTTTGAGTCAAGTGGCGTGGTTTTTATTCCCTGCTTCTATTTGACATGGAGTGGTATCGCCTGTCCAACCTTGCGGGTCCTCGGGTTTCCTTCCACTGCTGAAGATCCCTACGTGCAAGCAAATTATTGAGAGAAAACTGAACAGCGTGTTAGTCCCGAAATGACCTAGTGTCGTGTGGACGTTAAACACATTTCTAATTGGTTATCAGATTCTGTATTTTTGCAGAAGATGTATTATTAAATTTTTCGCTAATTCATCAAAAACTAGAAATATATAAATGTTCGATGCCCAATGGCGATATAAAAATATAACATTGATCGTTATATTTAATCCAAGTAAACGATCATATTATGGGCTACCAGCACCACACAATTCTATCTATATTCTCTTGTGCTATGTAGGCAAGTTAGTTTAACGAAGTCTTTGGTCACTGTGGCGTCTTGCCCCTGGCTTTCACATGAAACAAAAAACGGTTAATAGGACTAGTAGTAGATGTATATTAGAACAAATAAATCTCCATATTATGAGTAACTATTAAAATCTCTAAGTTTATAATGGCAAATCTAATGTCATCACACTTATAACCCTATTTCAATTAACCTACTAAATACCTTTTAACTGTGTGTAATCGATTGATGAAAATAAAACCCTGCCTCCAGCAAATGGAACAAGAGCGAACACTTCAATTAATGAAAAAATATATGAGATCTTTTTTCCATTTTTGTCCCAAAAAAAGAACAAATTCCATTACATTTCGATATTGAATACACTCGAAATGTCCATAACACTTCAATAACTCTATGTTCATTTTGCAGAATTAGTCCTGAAAGCTCCAGAATTACTCCGCAATACCAATCATCATCCTCGGGGCACACAGAAAGCGGATGTTTATTCCTTCGCTATTATATTGTATGAGATACATGGCAGAAAAGGACCTTGGGGCGACGTGAAAGTAAATCTTAAAGGTATTGATTTGTTTTTTTAATGTTATTACTGATGTAAAGTCGAATGCATTGCACTTAATCAAATTCACACCCACTTAACAGAAGTCAGATTCTGCTCTTCTAAATCTGGTTCTGTGTCAAAAAACTAACAGGGCATTATTAATAGCTAGTTTAAAAAAATTATATTATATAATGGATCTGTGGTATTTTTCTATCGTGAATTATCGACTGTCGTCAATAATCAAATTAGTCAAAGAGCTATCGTTTATTTACATGACTAATGACCCAGTGATGAAGGCGCTGGCATACTAAGAAGGTTATCCAGGTGTCGATCGAGCAAGTTTCTCGAGATTTTGGATTGTGGTTTTCTGTTGTCAGTAGTGCAGGTCGGAGGGTCTGGCAAGGAACAGTGTCTCGAAATGCGATGGGACAATAAACTGAGATCCCGTGTACAGGTTGGCGTGCACGTAAAAGAACTGTTGGCGGTTGGAATTAGGAATAATGTAGGCCATGGCACAATTTCCCCATATTACACTGCATGGCGTATGCTAGTCTTCATTATCCCGGTTGGTGCAGAAAAGTAAGACGTTAACCAATCATTTCATATCATTTACTATACTTAATTTTATTTAAGTTCAAAGAGTTATCAGTTGCGATAAAGGGCAAAGACCAATACATATATTTTAAAACTCAAGACTGTACTATTTGTTCTACTTATAGTCTGTTTATTCAGTCTTATTAAGGAATCATGGGTACATAATATAATAGCATAAAAGGATTTGGCAATGGTCAAGATATTATAAGTCAAACTAATGAAAATGTCGGAATGACGACAGTAGAAAATAATTTGAATTTTAAAATGGCCATAATTTAATTAAGAAAACAAAACCAGAATATCAACGACTTGGATTCACACGGATGAAAAAGTGTCCCACCAAACACTTCGCCGAACACCTGTATCTTATATGTGTGTACTATTTACAGATATTGTCGAACGTGTTAAATACTGTGGAGATGCGCCGCCATTTAGACCGGACCTACAGGAAATGACGTGTGAATCGTACATCACCAGCTGTATCAAAGATTGTTGGGCGGAAGATCCTGAATACCGACCCGACTTTAAGACAGTTAGAACGAGGTTGAAGCCAATGCAACAGGGATTGTAAGTTGACTTTAACGGTAATCTTTAGGTTATGCAGTTATCACAACGTATCGTAGAATGCTATTCAGCTTAAAGATCAAACTTAAAGATTAAACTGATCATAAAGATTTAACTTCATAATCAAGATTAAGGTTAACTTAAAGGTTAAACTTATCATAAAGGTTAAACTTATCATAAAGGTTAAACGTATCATAAAGGTTAAACCTATCACAAAGATTAAACAAGTCCAGTTCAAATTCAACGTCCAACGTCCAAATGCCGATAAATGTTTTTTGAGTAGCAACATTCGGTTATTTGTTTCATAAAATTCATTAGACTACAGAAATACAATTAACTTTTTTTAGAATTCAGTTCAATATACAATACTATCAATGTTATTCTATACACGGAAATGTTTTGGATTCAAGCAATCAGAATATGATCTAATTATTTATTGCTTGAAGTTTATGTTATTTTTTTGTTACAATATTGGTTATTGGTTAAAGGACAAATTTAATATGTGAACTGTTTCAGACTCTCACATAGAAATGTGATCGTATATTGTCGTCACTCCTTTCATCTGCGTGTACGCTCTGGATGCTAAAGTTACCATTTAATGCATACACAGTGTTTATTGACTTTCAGCGATTTCCAATAATTGCTGTTGGAGTTATGACACTTGATCTATTTGAAAAATCGTGTAACTCCCTTTGCATTTATTATTGTGAGACGGATAATCTGATAATTACTTTTGGGGTCATCGCCTATGGTAGGTTTGGAAAATCGAAATTATTTGATATAAGGAGTCACAATGAAACACGTCTGGTCGTTCGGGAGGGACGAAAGGTCGAGGACCCGTCCACACGTTTGCGTGCTCATGTTGACATTCGGGTTATGTATAGTTTGAACACTTAATTATTCGGGAAGGGGTGGAAACCCGAGGTCCAAATGTATGTTTCAAAATGGCCGAATTCCATAAATCTATCTATATATATATTTGTGACTGTCGTTTGTCTGTCTGTCTGTCTGTCTGTTCGGGGTTGGCGGCTACACTAGGTCTGCCCCGAGTCTGAAATTTGGGGTATAGGGGTAGCTCGGACCGAGGAATAACATAGGCCAGGTGGCGTTAGTCTACCACTTCCGGTTTCGGAGTTATGACCCCCGAGCGAAGTCTGTCTGTTCGGGCTTGGCGGGCACATCTACCCCGAGTCTGAAATTTGGGGTATAGCGGTAGCTCCTACCGGGGATTAACATAGGCCAGGTGGCGTTAGTCTACCACTTCCGGTTTCGGAGTTATGACCCCCGAGCGAAGCCGGTCTGTTCGGGGTTGGCGGCTACACTAGGTCTGCCCCGAGTCTGAAATTTGGGGTATAGGGGTAGCTCGGACCGGGGAGTAACATAGACCAGGTGGCGTTAGTCTACCACTTCCGGTGTCGGAGTTATGACCCCCGGGCGAAGTCTGTCTGTTCGGGGTTGACGGCTACACTAGGTCTGCCCCGAGTCTGAAATTTGGGGTATAGGGGTAGCTAGGATCGGGGAGTAACATAGGCCAGGTGGCGTTAGTCTACCACTTCCGGTTTCGGAGTTATGACCCCCGAGCGAAGTCGGTCTGTTCGGGGTTGGCGGCTACACTCGGTCTGCCCCGAATCTGAAATTTGGGGTATAGGGGTAGCTCGGACCGGGGAGTAACATAGGCCAGGTAGCTCGGACCGGGGAGTAACATAGGCCAGGTGGCGTTAGTCTATCACTTCCGGTTTCGGAGTTATGACCCCCGAGCGAAGCCAGGTATCCTGCTAGTAAAATATAAAACATCTGTACCCACGGATGTTCCCTTTAATACAATATAATAATGAATGTATTCTGTGCTGAAACCGGAAGTCCATATTCTTCCCTAGTTATATGATATAACTAAAAAAAACTAATAAATTATTAAAAGGCTAATATGATCATAACTTAAAGAGCAAGCTAAAAGAACAAACTGATCCATTTGGGGGCGAATGGTTAACGCGTGTGTGTTGCGTCATAAAGTCTGTAATTGAGTCATTTGGCGTGGTTTCGATTCCTCGCTTGTACATGACAAGGGGTAGGTTCTCCGTTTTTCTCCGACTGCTAAGGACCCCAACGCTCATGCGAAATAATGGAATAAAATTGAACCATATGTTAGTCCCCAAATGACCTAGTTTGTGTCGAGTGGACGTTAAACCCCTAATAAAGACGGGCAGTGGCGTTTCCGACAACTCTTCATCAAACTCCAACAATCAAGGGTTGTAGCGCAATATTGCACTGATAGGTCAACTGCCAGCAAGTAACAAAAATCAATATTTTAAGAAAATAGACAAAAAGTGAAAACGGCAACTCTTTCTTGGACTACTAATGAAACTACCACTTCGAATGTTGTTTGCATTTTGTTCTGCTCTGTCGTATTGTAGCAACCACTAAAATGGTGGCTTGTGAACGAGTAGAAATGCTTAGTTTGATCGACCAGTGAATTTAAAGTTCATTCTATTGAATGACAATTTTTCAGGGATACTGGTTCGAACACTTAAAAGTTTGTTTACTCTTGCGATGCCGGTGAATATTGTTGCTCAGAAAATTAAATCTTTGTTTGATCTGGCGACCCCAGTGTGAATAGGGCCTTAAGGATATTGTTGCTCAAACAATAATCTTTGTGTGAATCTGGCCTTAAGAATAACATGGTCTAAACATTTACTTGATTTAGCGATGATTGATGCCAGTGGAAATCTTTTGTATTTTCTATTGTTTAAAAACAATATAACTGTACATTTAATACATTTTAAGAATGCCAATATTCATGTTTACATGTATATACATTTTAGGAAAGCCAATATATTTGACAATATGCTGGCTATGATGGAGAAATATGCTAATAATTTGGAAGCCTTGGTAGCTGAAAGAACTGACCAATTATCCGTAGAGAAAAAGATGACAGAAAACCTTCTATTGAGAATGTTGCCACGGTATGATATGTCGTAGGTTTTATACTTATTTCTTCCTTTTAAATTTTCACTAATAATAGAACAGTCCAACTCACTAATTTCAATATCTGTGCTATCTTAAGTATTTCTTATAATCTATATTAATTAATACAAATTCTAGATTTAAATACTTTCTATACTTTCAAATAGTTATTTTAATAAGAACAACTTGATAAAGCTATTAGTATGAAGCAGTAATACACAGTCTCTTTAATGCATAGTTTTATCAACTGCCTTAAGTACTTGAAGCTATCATAATATTTTACAATTTACGCTTTCTGTTATATGCTTCACTGGAATGACAAATTGCTGGCATTTGTTAATATCTATTTTATCAGATCACAGTAATTCTATCTGCAATCTCCATTTTCAATTTTATATTATTTTAGTAATTGTATGCATTTTCGATCTATAAATATGATTGCGAATTGTTTTATTAATATAAAAGTCATGTTGATAATGGACGCAATCAAGGGGAACAGTGTGATAGATCACTGTTGAACCATTAAGAATATGACACAAATATCATCTTGGTCTGAGTGATTCAGATGATTTAGATGCCAATGGTGTTGAAAAGTGTTCTGGGCTGTTCGCCATTTGATACTAATAGTAATTATAATATATTTTATGATATCCATATAGAATCGACTTCAGGATAGCCTAAGACCATTCCATGGTCATGTAACTGCTTGATTATGCAAATAGCTGTCATCCGTATGTCTGATTCCCTCGCCATTTACGCATTTCTAGCCTCATTATTGAATATATGTAAGAAGATGTCTTGAGGGTGTCTGAATGATAGAGAACAGACTGTGTATTATTAAATAAATTGGCCAGTATATAATCCTATTTATATATATCTCGTATAATAAGCTCCATAGTATTCTTATTTAATTTTTTTTATACAAGTTGTTAACCTTTCAAATGCTGACTCCCACAATGTCTGTCAATTTTCTTTTTAAAAGAAGAATTTATGTTTTTACATTGTCGTCACCCATATGGTCTGTCATACTTGTGATAAAGACATCTATTAATTCCCTTAAATCCGACAGTTAACGCTATCAGCGTTTATATTATCGGCACGAAGAACTTGACATCTATCTAAATTTTACTGTTTCTATAAATTATTCATATTGTTGTCTTTGTTCAGTTTTTAGTGTTGAGTAAATGGTCTCATACGTACAAAAGTATATTTGTTATTTGGCAACTTATCTTTGTTTTTGAAACTTACAGAGGGAGGAAGAGTAAAATCCTGATGCATTCCTATCGGAGGAAACTGTACTGACATAGTTGTAAATTTATTTTGAAATATTTGAAATTTACTATAGTGTTCTCTTGCTTACAATATCTGCCTGCTCCTTTGGTATCAGCGCAATTAAAAATCTGGGGTATTTCGAGTCTTTGCTATTAAAGCTCTCGTCAAAGAAATCTGTACTTCTTGCTCATTTGCTTCTGCCTGACTGCGCCATGGTTTCTATGCTATCAAAGACCGCTTAACTTCAATCCTTCTGCAATTAAAGTAACATAAAATAGTCAATGCAGTATAGGCTATAGATTTTTGTATTTTCAGACCGGTAGCAGAACAATTAAAACGTGGACAGCCGGTTGTACCGGAACAATATGAATGTGTCAGTATCTATTTTAGCGATATTGTTGGTTTTACAGCATTATCAGCACAGTGCACACCTATGCAGGTTTGTTTAACTTTCTTTATTCACCATTTTTTGTTTAAAAGATTAAAAATTTGCTTAGCACTAAAGATTTAGATATATAATACGCCTACGGACACTAGTATACTGATCGCACCGTTTCACCTCCTTTCTACAGATGTGAGATCTGGAGTGAAAATATGTCGGAATGACTGTAGAAAGAAAGCGAAATTATCAAAGGGGGTAAGGCGTGGGGTGGGGCAGAAACAAACAAACAAAAAAACAACAAAATTATGCTAAAACCTGAATATGCAATAGTTACTTTATATTCTACTCTCACTTTACGGCTGTTAATAAATGGCGCAACCCAAAGATCACGTGTTCCCATCTTCCGGTCAGGGTTTAAAGGTACGAACAGTATACAATACTCACAATGTAACCACCAGTTTGGGCAGAACAGTAGGATGTTAAACCCCATTTCGTTTTATTTCACGCACGAAACTACTGTGCCAATTCACAATATTTTGTTTGGGTGGGGTGGAGGTAGGACACAATGAATACTTCCATTTTCAGGGAAAAAGATTTACGTGTTGTAGGTTAATCCTCACAATATAAATGCTAGTCCATGAAACTCAATAATTATTGGGCAATGATGTCTAAAAACGTTAAACAATGAACCAACTCTCCCCAATTTACTTTAGTAACGGATTCTTATCTGACTCTGTCCAATCCGTTACTGTCTGATTCTATATACAACTAATATGAAAATAAGGCTTTCCCCCACCTCGATTCTAAGGCTATTTTGGAATCCTTACCGTCTATTTTTCACCGTGATCTTTCTTTGTTCGCCAAAAGGAATCATTTCTTGTCACATGCGATAGAAATTATAATAATAATAATATTAAACGGTAAGGATTCCAAAATAGCCTTAGAACCAAGGTGGTGGGAAAAGCCTTATTTTCATATTTGTTGTGTATAGGATCAGACAGTAACGGGTCTTCTATCACCTCAATCCACAACTCTTATTATTTCAAGTTTATTTTTAGCTTGTGTAAATTATTAGAATGGAATACTCCATTCCGGTAACTCGTAAACTTACCCAGTTAATTAGAGCAAGTCTATTTTTATACTTCCATTTTTCATGACGTGTCAGAATTCGTACCGAAAATAACCGCATTTCGTCAAGGTACAATATATCTGCTCCGTTTTATCTCTTGGGAAAGGGGTTATTTCGGTTGGCCATCTCTCTTATTACCGTAATTAGTCTAATAGGATCTCTGTAATGGATAGGTATGCTGAACTCCCAGGTATATGATGTAATTCAACTAAAACCTAATGTTCCTATCAATCTCAATCACCGTTGATGCCACTTAAAGATAAAAGAACGGGACATCCTATGTCGTATTTTCCATTATCTGATCGTATTTAAGAACCTTTGGTACGTTTCTTGTTACACAACGCTCTTAATTCTTTTTGTGACAAATAATTTACAGATGGGTTCGCTTTATTTTATTTCAAGAACTGTCTTCTTTGATCGCTGCTAAGAATTAATTTTGTCCAAGTGTGAGAACAACCCTCTACTCGGCGTTAAGTCTTAACGCTGTATTCGAGTCCAGTTGATCGATTGATGTTCATGTACTGACACGAACTAGAATTATCTCTAAATTAATTGATGAGTTCCGTACCAGATTGGCTTCCTGGGATCATTTTAGGGTAATCGTAGAGTTTGTGAATGTCAATAACAATATAGATGTTGAGAAATGATGTGTTATGTTTATACTATCTGGGGTATTAATACACAGCATCTTGTCGTCATTGATTTATATCTATGTTGACTGACACGTGAAATCAACATTTAAGATAAATGACATGGGGGATCGTATTAACTCATTTACTCCAAATATTGGTCTCCGTTTTACACACAATTACATCAAGAATCAATGTTCATACACGGTTCGTGTGATTTTCCCTTGCTTGTGATTCAGAACGGAGGGCCTGGAAAGAAGCAGTGTGTAGTCGTTCGGGGGGGACGAAAATCTGAGGTCCCGCGTACACGTTGGTAACATTTTCCAAATAGCACAATGCATGGCGTATGCCCGTCTTCATTCGCCTAATCTCTCTTTTTCAATCAAAACGGAAGGGAAATAATTTATACAATGCCGTATTTATCTCATAGTTTTCGATAATACATGGTAACAGTTCATCATTGAATTACTGTGGGATTCGGAAATAGAGCAATACCATTGCGTGTTCCAAAAATGTCATTAAAGTTATGCCGCGGATCTTAAAAGCACCTCACTTTTGTGACTGTAGGTTGCCAATCATCAATTGGATTATTTACAAACCACTCATTTTGCCCGTTGGAAATCTAAGTTCTTTGTTTACAATTTTATACATGCACATTACACTAATATAACTGTGTAGGAGAATAATCTATCTTCTGTTCATTTCCAAAATAAAACCAGGTGATTACAATTGTTGATTGGTTAATCGAGTTTATCGTCTGTAAATCACCAGGAAGCCGCGGTTGTATGTGTGTCCTGTTATCTTCGTCATTTCACTGAATTATAAGACAGTTGATCTAGCATAATTGAATAACGTGGCGAACAGGACACTCAAGATGAACTCCGTGGATTAAATTCCCGTGCCATATTTGCATATTAACTTTAATTTGCATATTTTATACGATAAGGCGAGAATAAGAAATGATCAGTCTATAGAACTAAGTCATCTTTTTAATTGAACCGTGGTGTGACTAAACATGTTTTCGCCTTTATGATCAAACTGTCTTCATACATATGCCATTTTTATGTGTTAGTGTAATTTTGCCCTTTAATGTACTTATCATGTATGTACCTGACCTAGTTTAAAAGTATGTTTACATTTCCTGATCTCATCTTGATATATATAATTTTAAATCGGACAATATGATTTGCTGATATTTGCTAAGGACTTGAACAGAATGGTGCATTCTTTCGGAAATAATTAGTCCGAAAACTCATTGGGTCCCTTTCTTTGTGGAAAACTTCCACGGCACTCTTGATGTGACATTTTCCAATTTACACTAGAATATTGTCCAATTACACGTTTATGATTCATAACTTTCGGGTAAGAGAGGCAACAACTGCGCATGCATTTACACAAAGCCTCAAAGCCTCTTACCTCTACAATATGTATAGGTTTTGGAGAAAAGGGTAAAATTGACGCGCAGCTGTTTAAAGTTCAAGGTATAAAGTTCAAGAATATATTTAAATGAAAATTCGGCAGCCATTTTTTATAAATTTAGCGCAGCCGTTGGATTTAGGAAAATGAACTAATCAATTTGAGGTACAAATCTCGTGCATATTCCAATTCTAGTTCGGCAAATTCAATTTCTTTTAACTGATTTCAACAACATAGGTAAAGGTACGAAGTGAGGTACGAATGAACTAAGTACGAAACAGCCAGGCTACGAAACAGCCTGCACCCAGCAGAGGCAGCAGCTACGGATAGAATTAATATACTACTCTGAAATTTGTCTCTTATATAATGTTATCAAAATACCTTTCTTATATAACTGTATTATATACATCGAAAAGCTTATCGTAAAAAAATATTACATCTTTCTCATCCAGATTCTAATTTCTTCCAATCGTCTGTCTGAGGCGAAATTCCGCAATAATTTCATTGATATTCCAGGGTTCTCATTCTTTCGTTTGTGTCGGAATGTTTGAATGATAAGTACCATATGTGGGAATTGTGCTGGAGCTGAACTAACTCAATCATTTATTATCAGTGGCTCATAATTATAATAGTAGTCTGTGTCTGTATACAATCAAAAAGGTGTGGAAAACACTTCAGTAAAATAGGCAGGGGTGTCATGCGTGTAGATCCCAAGGCCTGTCATCAATATTCAAGTGGTCGTCTAGCTGCTTATCCTCGTGGATTTACACTGGGTTCTCTGGTAAGTGTATTATCGACATAAAATAATAGTCCCGAAAAGAACTAGATCGTGATTAGTGTTCGTTAGTGGCTCGTATATTAATATTCTACACGTGATATTTCGACGATAAAGACAAACTACACAGACATTGCAAGAAATAAAGAACACTGATTAAATGACGTGAATGAATCCGGCAGCTGTACCGTCATGGGCATGTGATGATACAGACTTCACTCAAAATGACTAAATAACACAATGAATGATATACATGAAAGACGTAATAAGAATAATGCGAAGAACTATTTCTAGAAACATTAGAGTTTGGGGGCCTGGGGCTGTCATTAAACCCCCATAATGTTCTATTTAACATAATGCTGCTCATATCAGATGACACGCACCATATCGCTAAGATGAGTGTGTTTTAACTTGAAAACCGTACTGTTTTTATTAGTTTTCAAAGTGTTAAAAGAACTTAACTTCTTGACATTAGTAATTACTTTGGCAATTATAGACATATTATAGACATATTGCTTTTCTAATTAATAAGCGTGTAACTTAATTTTTTTCAACAGTATTAATTACCCCAAAGTCCAGGAAATTTCCCCCGGATCATCCAATAGAAAGCTCGCACCAGTTGTTTTCGGCTCATGGCTGCGTCATTCGTATTAGGGGCCTGTGCATCAGCCGGTCACAGGTTTGCTAAACACATTCCCAAATAAAATCGATATGTGCTCCCCTGCCACCAAGTATAGATACGTTGCCTAATAAACATGCAACTGAAATGTTTAGAATTTTCGAGTTTGGTAATTATTAATTAGTATAGCAGGTAGGGTGGTTGTGTGGCTGAATGATTTAACTCGAGAACTTCGATCAGAAGATCTGTCGTCATGTGCGTGATTACGATCGTACACTTGAACATGGCAAGGAGTCAGGTCGCCTGTCTAGCCTCGTGAGTTTTCTTCCGGTCTTCCGGTTTCCTACCGCTGATAAGGAACCGAAATGTTAGTTCCGAAATGACCCATTTTGTATTGAGTTGACGTTAGACCCCATTGATTTTCTAATTAATAAACATGGCGGATGTATCCTTTTTTTATCCAAACTTTAATATCTGAGCCTGCAAATTATTATTTTCTTATTGTGTTTCAGGTTATTGACATGCTAAACGATCTGTATAGTTTATTTGACTCCATATTAGAGAACTACGACGTCTACAAGGTGGAAACTATCGGAGACGCTTACGTCGTGGTCAGTGGTCTACCAATTAGGAATCATGACAATCATGCCGGAGAGATCGCCTCCATGTCACTACATTTGCTAAGTGGTCTGGAAATGTTCCGACTTCGTCATCAACCAGACCAATCAGTTAAGATAAGAATCGGCATTCATTCAGGTTAGATTATTCCATTTGGACATGTCACTTAAGTCAAATGTTAAATTGTAATTTCCGGCCTACTGTCTTTAATAGGGTGTCTGTAGTTTCCAGTAAAATAATATCGTTTTGATGATTTATAGATTTTGTCGCACGAGACTGATACGAATCAAATTTCGTAGAATAAAATATAGATTAAATTGAAATGAAACGAAATCACGAAATTTTATTATCTGTCTTTTAATAATAATATAATCCCCCAAGCACCAAATTTTTGTCTTGAAATCGAATTATTTTTTATTTCGAATATAATTATTTAGCTTAGCCATGGATGCAAGTATTCATTATTCGGAAAGTTCACAAAGTTAGGTGTACTTTGAATTCGTGACCCAGAATATCTACACGATCTTTGATTATATTCTTAGTATATATCCTGATATCCTAGAAATTGATCAATGGAAAAGGCTAAACCTTTACAAATTGGTAGGTCTTTAAAATAAAATGGCCCCCCCCCCCCCCCGTCATTCTCGTCATTCAAACTTTGTATATTCTTTTATTATACGAAAGTTAGTGTCTGAACATACATATTTAAGACATTGTTTTTATTTATAAGTCCCGATTTTATTTGGTTTCATTTGTTGGTCTGTTGAAATGTGTGTTTACGTGTAGACACAGTAAGACAAAATGAATTTAAAAATTAGTAAATAATCCTACTTCCGCTTCCGCCTCATCTTTCGAAATTGAATTTAATCCTAAAGCTTTTCATACCATTAGTCATACAAATAGCTCAACAGATCTATCGAATTCAATACTTTATTTTAACCTTTATCAAAGAAATTAAGCTGCTTTAAATTGACAAGAGGACCTCATGATATTGTATTTGATCATTAGGTCCATGTTGTGCTGGAGTGGTTGGTCATAAGATGCCGAGGTATTGTCTATTTGGTGATACAGTTAATACAGCTTCTAGAATGGAATCAACGGGGGAAGGTAAGCTAGTCTGATTATAAGATTAAAGGGGTTGATTAAATCCATAATCACCTTACAGGTTACCCAATCGCTCATAATCGACTTCGATTTAGCTGTACGGATTGCCCAATCTGCTATAATAGCCTTCGATTTAGCTGTACGGATTGCCCAGTCCCTGTATCTGTATATGTTCTCTGCCATGGCTGTCATACCAAACTTTGAAAATAATCCAGAATGTTGTTTAAAATAATGCATATAACGTTTAAACTCCAAGCTCTGAAAAATCGCCAGAACCTCACAAAAAATTGTAACTATCTTGATGTCCGATTGGGCATACTCGTGTATGACGTGGCTGATATATACGGGCATCCATGGTGTGATCCCTAAACGTTTTCAAACACGTTTTAAAGTTATTGCCAAGAAGAATTGCCACAGTTCAATCCTAAATTCCCCACACTATCAAAACATCGCGACGACCCACGGCTGTGACGGGCGTTCCAATTCGAGAAACACTGTTTTATACAATTTAACAACAAAATTGACTGGCATGAGGAGGTCAATAATCACTTTAATACTTATTGTATTGACAGATCAGGACTGGTGATAATATTTATTTAAAGAAGAATTAAAACAGTCTAGCTTACATAATCTTCTGAAATCGGTTAGAAATGCAAACTAATTGATGCTTTACACTATTTAAAGATACTTTCCCACAAAAGTATTTATCGGGTGGTTATTTCCAATAAGAATATGGCAATTTTGGTATAATATGGAAAGTGAAGACACCCAAAAATGTAATGATGTCACTAATTGGCAGCCTGACGATTAGGGCTGTCTGCTTGAGTGACGTCAAATGTTGCATGCGTAGATTATCTGACCACTTTTCATTAGAGAGCGCTTTATGTATATGTTGATAAACATGACTGTGAGCGGACGTAGAAAAAGTTAGAGATTTAAACATAAAACAGATTCTTGACGGCAGGGGAGAATCCCAGAATTTACTTAGACTGCGATAGTTATGGTAAATGGGCTCAGGGATCAAAGACAACACCGTCTTTTATATGCAATGAATTCTCCCTCATCTTGGCGATTTACACAAACATGGCTTCTTTAAATACCTTTCCATTTAGCTTGGGGCATTTCCTTGAGAATATAATGTTGTGAGAGGGACTTGGAGCATTTTTTGATAAATTAATTAGTTTTTAGTATAAACATAATCATCAAATCACCAATTTGAACATGGGACGACAACTTTAAATACAATAATCAAAGGGGAAGGCCAACGATTTTCAACAAGGTTTCCATAAATCTTAAATATATATTGATAAATAATCCCCTCTGTCACACAAGCAAAAATGGTTTTGTAAGCGCGAAATTAATTTTTATTAAAACCGGAAGTGACATAGTTGGTTCAACACGCTCACTGGGCTCTATAGTAAGCGTACAGATTTGGTATAAGTTTACTGCTGTGTTGTGTTCAAGCGTCGTCCTTTGGCCAAAAATCTGATCAAATGGGCTGTTTGTTAGGATATTATAAACAGGAATTTATGTTTTTTTAACGTTTAGTACAAAAAGCCGTCGCGTAAATTCACTCATACTGAACCGTATGCTGTGCCTCAATTCACGCCGCATGGCTAATTGTTTACATCACGTGGTTTGATTGACAGCTTGCAAGTGACATGTTTGTCTATCGATATAGAATGCCTTGAGTATATTTATTTTCAAATTTCAGCCTTAAAGATTCACTGCAGTCAAGAATTAAAGAATATATTGGATAAGTTGGGCGGGTATAATCTACAAGAGAGAGGATTTACAGCAATGAAGGTAACTTTGATGTTATAGATAAATGTATAGTTTAGTAAATTTTAAAAAAAGCATGTTATGGCCGATAAACATGATGGCATTAATGATTTAGAATAAGGCGATGCCGCCCCAATTCAGACTAAATATAAATCGTATGATTCGATTGTGGTGACCCTGTTATTGTCAAGATTAACTTCAAATGTATGGAAACTGAAACATACCAGGAGGTTTGAAGCGATAAATCTTACATGCATCTAATACGTATTACATACTGTGATATATGTCATAACACACCATGATTTGAATTACAAAAGTAAATATATTTTAATCCTGATCATGCTCAAGTTTCGGATCTTGTGGGCTGTACAAGTCCATCAATCGATGAGCTTAAATTCGACTTAATTCCCACAGAAACATGCAACAGAGACAAGAATCTGTTAAATGTTATTGTTACAAAAAAAATCTGAAAAGGCTGTAACTAAGCATTAGGGAGCAGGATGGAACTTTAAGGTAATACGTACGTTTAAAGCCAGTTTTGAAATGCGATTAGAACGTTATAGCTTATGTCCAATGTTCCAGAAAATCAAAATCAAAAGCCAAAGTTTAAATCAATCTCATCGTAATCATATGTCACAATAGCATGTGGCTTATAAATAGCTATTTTAGGTCTTCGGGATTAAATATTTAATTACGTTTATTTGGGGACGAGTTTAAACACTGTGAAGAAATAAAATGATGAAATTCTTTATAGTATTGTCAAGTAAAATACACTATCATAGCAAATTGTCATGTGGGCGTCGCGCTTGCTCAGTGTGTAAGGCACAGGTTCACTAATTTCCCTCATGGCACACTGTATATGGAATTCTCGGCCAGTAATGAGATCGACTAAATCACCGGACGAACGAATGAAAGAACTGTTTTTTTAACACGATCTTTAATGGAATTTAGTGATGTTTAGTGCTCGTCACCTGTCAATGCGTGGGAATAAATATTTGATACGTCTCACAGCGGTCGTGAAATGAAATGAAATGAAATGGGGTTTAACGTCCTACTGTTCTGCTTCTATACTGGGTTAATTAAGATGGGCATACGCCATACAGTGTGCTATGAGGGAAATTTTTCCCGGGCAGCGGCACTATAGCCTAGACAGCTGTCCTTGTCAGGTCCTCCGTCCTGCACCACTGACAAGTGGAATCCACGCCGGAAAATCTGGATGAACTTTCTCGGCCAATGCAGGGATCGAACACCCGACCTCCAGGCTAGCGGGCCAGCGTCTTAACCCCCTAGCCACCGTGGCTTCCACAGCGGTCGTGCCGAACGCTTGTAATATAGGTTTCCGTAACCGTATTCCATTTATTCTAGAAGGTCGCGTGGTTAAAACCGCCTTAGTTGCTCCTTTGCACTAATAACATAAACAAAACTAATGCGACATCTGGTATTCGTATTTGTAATTTAATAAATAAGTGAATTGTTTATTTGACCTTTTTTTGCAGGGTAAAGGTGAACGATTAACTTATTTCCTAGTCGGAGAAGATAAAAATCATAGAATTCGTCGAATCTCAACAGATAAAGAATACGACAAGCGTTGTGTTTCATCTGGTAACCCTGACTATAGCTCTTCGCTCAAAACGTATGAAGCCTTCGTCAATGGCAATGTTCTTCTGGAAAATTCAGAGTCCACTGAAAATCCGCCACAAACAGACAAGTCTTCGAATCCCGTGGTTCAAGCAGACATACGACCGGAAATAACGGACAAAAACACCGTTAATTCGACAATCCCCAAGGACAGTTTTCTATTGGTGCGTGAAAATCTGCCACGTCGTTCCAGTAGTATGAATGGTACACCCTCCCGAGAAGGATCTCCCCAGTCGGACTCCACGTGTAGCGAATGTGAGCAAATGACGTTTACAATTGAAGATCCAAATGAACGGAAGTGCCTATTGAAAACTAAGCATGCCAAACAGTGCCATAAAGTCAGAAAGCATAATTCCATGCTTAATAAGAAACCAAGTCATGTTTGTGATGATTTTAGTCAAGTGAATGGTTCGGTCCCAGAAAGTATTCTGTGATGAGTTAAATAACATGTTTTTATTCTCGGTGCCTGCAGTATTTTCAACTTGTATATTTTTATTGAATCTCATGTCGTGTTTCAACATTATTGTGTTTTTGGAGAACTCCTATTTTGAGAAACAACTATTATCATTTGTGTTGAAAGGATAACTCATATATGATTTTTTGTTTTATATAGATATACTTTAAATATTATATAGTGTCCTTCTTATCCTAAAAGTCATTCAGAAGTAAAATACTTAATATATAACCTTTAAAGTTTATTACTCTGGGGGGGGGGGGGTTGCATCCATCATATAAATACACACACACTTAACTTATTATATACATTATTCTCGATCTTAACCAATAAGTATACCTTAACCAACCTTGTGTCAATTTATAATCATATAAATGATATATGCGGTTATTGTTCTAAAATTTAGTATGATTTAAAAATTGTCTTAATAAAGAAGCATAATTTTAAAAAACGTTTCCTACTGTGCATAATTTATAAAGAGTTTACTAAAGGGGTATATTCCAAAGGGCGTTCTCTAATTGTGCATAATTTAAACAGAGTTTCGAGATTTTCAAGATATTGTATACCGGATAAATGGCTTTAAAACTAAAATGGACATAGTTATAAGCATGTTTATATAATAATTGAGATTGATTTTTTAATAAACATTTTAGAATATTTGAAGAATAATTGTCCACATTAAACAGAATATTCAATGCTTTCTGTAAAATATTCTTGTATTGTTATCTAAATATAGAAGCATTTAATTGTTTTGCAAAAGGATATGTTCTTATTATTGTTCATCTGATAACATATATTTATTTTGCTATAAAAATGCTCTTTTTATTGTTCTTATGATAACATGTTATGCTATAATAAATGCTCTTATTATTGTTCTTATGATAACATGTTCTGCTATAATAAATGCTCTTATTATTGTTTTTATCATTGTTCATCGGATAATATTTGTTACTGTTATAACTGTATATCTGTATTTATTCAGCCGTATAGAATTCCCCATAGACTACACTGCCAACAATAAAGTGTTAAAAAACATTAATAAAGTTCAAATTGGCATAATATTTTGTGGACATTGGGGATTCCGATATCATAAATTAATTTGAAAGCAATCTAAATAAAATGAATTATTCATGTATAATTAGCAGGACAATTTAGAATATTGTGGATTCCGAAATTCAAAATGGTAAAGAAACAAAAATAAACAAATTTCAGTCTAGGGCATTTTCAAAATATGTTTTCTACATTGAGTAATTAAGTAGTTTTGAAAGTTTATCACTTTATTATATTTGGAGTGCATCTTGTTTCACATTTATTCTTTAATATGTGGCTCTGGGAATCTTTGACAACAAAGTTCTGTTTGTAGACAACTTTTGAGTACAGTCAGTACTATAAAATAAATATGTCATCGCTGGTTCGGTGAATTGCCATCTCGCACATTTGACGAGTTTGGAATAAAATCAAGCGTTTGTAGAGTACACTGACTGCCCTAAGCAGAAATCATCAATAAAAAATCGAAGATTTGAATCCCAAATTCCCAGAGTCACCGAGTTGACACTTGATGATGGGTATCCCAAAAATCTTGTTTCAATGATCACAGTATTTAATACATAATGCATACTACAATAAAAGATCGTAATTATTTAATTCATATAATATACTATTTACATTGAATTATTTCTATTTTAACATGTTGATAAAATGTATATACAATAAAATAAAATACTTATTGATAAAATAATCATGAAATAACTTATAATAATTACATTCACAAAAGACAAATGAGACAATTATACGCAAAAAGGTTTTTGTTCAATCGGAACAACCTCATTTACTTCGCTATCAGTGGAATTACATCTCGAATGCAGCAGAAGAAAATCTACCTAATTTAAACCACGTAACTAAATCGCGGTGCTAAATAACCCAACCTGAGAGTGGACAGGTTTGAAATCAAATCAAGTATCATGTGGGGGGGGGGGCTGGGTGGCCGAATGGTTTAAGGTCTGGCAGCGAGTCAAGGTATAGGATCGCATGTTCAACTTTGTGGGATTTCTCCGGGTATTGAAATATGATAATCCGGAAATGTTCAACTTTGTGGGATTTCTCCGGCTATTGACATATGACAATCCCGAAATGACCTAGTTACCCCTCACCCCCTGCCCCACTCTCTTTATGTCAGACAATTGTGGATCCAGGTACCAGCAGCCCCCCCCCCCCATCCTCTCCATGACAGTATAAAATATTCACTTATTATATATTAAGGTGAATTTGAGCTTTTTGTTGGTTGTGGTATAGTAGGGTTGTAGCTGGTGAAATTTATTGTCATATTCGAGTTCTATATATTCACCACAAATACCCATTGACAACCTGATTTTCAAAATGTTATCCAACACATATAGGTGGCGCCAACTTCTTTATATTTTCTGCAATGCCTGCTGAATGTTGCGAAAATTTATATTTAGTATGTCTTTGTAACATACTGAAGGGAATTGAACCATATGGGCTGATATTAATTTTAGAAAAACAACTATTACAATATCACAAAAAGGTTATGCACATACCTATGTTATCAAAACATTTAACTGAAGGGCCAAGGCAATAATAAGATGGGCACAACATTTGACGGCATCAGCAAAATACAAAATTATTATTATATTTATGAAAGGGTTTTTATAATTATGTATAGTCGACCTATATGGGCTATGACTACCCTTGTTTAACAAATGAACACTTTATGTTGATAATATATTATGTACATACTAAAAATACTTATGAACACTATTTTATTATGCTTCAAGTTTTGCAAAGAAACAATTGGTCTCCAGAACGTTTTGTAGAAAGAATAACACCATTTCATTTTCGGCAGTGTAGAATTTCACAATTTCATCTTGGGATTGTTTTTCACAGCAGTTGCTAGAACTGTTTTACGAAAGTAAACACTGGATTGGGTTTGGTACTACCACCTTGAATTGTTCTCCAAATTAAGCAACGACAAAAATAAAATACAAATTGGTACTGCTTTCACGGTCATTATGCAAATCAGAGATAATAAGTCTAGCTACAAGAATAGTTGTTACTATAGCAACTATGTGATAAACAAGAAATATCCCGAAACTAAACAATGTGGCGGGTTTGGTACTTTGTCTTTTCTCTCCGATATAGACAACAACAAAATTGCTATTGATACTGATTCTGACTGTACATACGCTCGTAATTCATGATATTCAATATTCTAATCACGAACAGTAAGTCTAGCTGCAATCACGATTATTACTATTGCAACTATGTGATAAACATGGAAATATTACGAAACTAAACAATGTGTTCGGTTTGATAATACCATCTTGGTCAATCACAAAAAATAAGTCAAGCTGCAAGCACAGTTGTTACTGTACCAACTACGTGATAACCATTGAAATATTACGAAACTGAACAATGTAAATGAAACAACACAAAATACGAAATAAAAATTAATCCAATTTTCAGTATACCTGAATTGCTGATCATAGGTGAACAGTACTTCAGTTATCTAATAGCAAACGTGTTCATATTGCAACCGTTTGATACAAATTACGCAATTAAACAAACGAGTTCTCTGAGAAAGTCACTGTGTTGGGTTTGGAATGCTGCGACCCATTGCTGTCTGTACGGTCTCGGACCACTAGAAAGTTATTAGAATCGTTAGATTCGGGATGAACCTTGTTGACCTGGAACAACCCTGTCCGTAATGATGTTTTTGAATTGGCATTTTTCCCCGGTTCAACCATGTTCAGATTTCCATTTTTAATACTCTTTGACCTCCTGAGTGAGCCGTTCATAATAAAATTGTTATTTGTGTAGCCATTACATAAGCCAACGTCCGAAAGTGCTGGAGGGCGAACAACAGTTTCTCCGTTAGATGTTTCGACCGAAGATGAAACTCGCAAATTATCGAACTCGTTATTACTGGTCCGGGGTGACGCTTTTCTGTCAAATATTCCCGATGAACGCATAGCTGTATTCATATTGAGATGTGAGATATGTTTGAGACTAGACCTTAATTTAGGAATATTTCTATCAAGGTCCGGTAATACAGTAGAAGAAAGGTCAAGGTTGACTCCACTATCTGTGGAATTACTCAGGCGTATTTCACGCACCGTTTCATCTTCATCCACCAACCAATACGTATTAACTTCTCCCTTGCCCTAAAAAACAGAATGTTGATTTCTTGAAATGGATAATAGATATTTAGTTGACCAAGAGGTGTGAATACTATATTTTTTAAAATACTGTTTTTATATTTGCTGTGTAGCGTGAGATATGTATGATTACGCAACGTATGCTTGGTCGGACTATTATTAAATTTCTAAAATCGATACACTTTGAGAATGTGTATTAAGTCAAATTTCATGAATGTGATAAAAAGGAAAAAAGAGGCACGAATTGATACGAAACTAACCTTCATTGCTACTAAACCCCTGCCTTCAAGAACATAACCACCTAATTCATCCAGTATTTCTTTACATTGTTCACTAGTGTGAATCTTTAAAGCTGAAATAAAACATTAATAAATCAGTAGTCTATACACTACCACATTCTCCGTCCTATGCATTGCTACGCCCTCTTCCCTATACACTACCACTCCCTCCTCCCTATAAACCATACTATACCTCCTCCCTGTAAACACTACCACACCTCCTCCCTATAAATACTACAACACCTCCTCACTATAAACACTACCACACCTCCTCCCTATAAACACTACCACATTCTCTGACACACCTCCTTGCTGTAAACACTACCAAACTCTCCTCCCTATAAACACTACCACATTCTCTACCACACCTTCTTGCTGTAAACACTACCAAACTCTCCTCCCTATAAACACTACCACATTCTCTACCACACCTCCTTGCTGTAAACAGTACCAAACTGTCCTCCCTATAAACGCTACAACACCCTCTACTACACACACATCCTTATTACACAAAGCGTTTCATGTCAAACGTCGTGTCAACAAAATACAAGTCATCTTCATTTCAATGGTTGCGAAGTGGCCCATACTCTACTGTCAGTGGTTCTTTAAATTCCAACTGTCAGTGGTTCATTAACATGCACGCTAATGTGTTCACAGATTGACCCCGGTTTATTGTCATCCCTTCAAAACGGTTTGTTTTACTAGTGGACAGAAGAGAATAATTTAATATGTATTAAAATATAATACAAAAATTTAACAAAAGGGTGGGGGGGGGGCTGAACTTACGTTCTCCATTGGATTCCATTCTGGAAGCTGTATTGACCGTATCACCAAATAGACAATACCTGGGCATAGTTAAACCTACAACCCCGGTTACTACTGGGCCTAAATAATAACAATAAGATATTTCATTAAAAACATAATTAAACATAATAAAACAAAACACGGTATGAACTTCTACAGCACTGTAATCTGATCTTGTATATCGTGAATTCGGGTAATGAACAATCCCAAAACATTTTAAACATTCCATTGGAAACTTTTCCCGTGTACGTTTCACTAGCTTTAAAATGTTTATAGTAGCCTTGAAATATAATTTGTTCGAATTCGATCTGAGACACCTGTGAAGTTTCCCTGATAACATTATTTATATCATCAGTTCTTTATGATTAATTGGTTTATCAGGAATGCTGTATTTGTTTTGTCCTTTGGCATTATGATTACTCTCTACACAGTCGGCATATAATTACATCATTCTATATTCTAAATTAGCAGCTGCTATGTTCTCCTTTAATGTTGTATTACCGTCAGATACATTGCATATTGGGTGTTTTTATTGTAATTTTGTTTGTTAGCTACATTGCTGGTGTTATTGAGAACAAAACGCCTGGCAGTGTATAAATATTTTACTTCAGTCGTGCAACATGCGAGCAAACGAATTCACGATTACCACTTAAATGACCTACACGAGTTTCCTTAATGACATGGATCAAAGAGACTTGCACTTATGGTCCTTTGACTAACAGAATATATTCTTGACATGGAAACACACATGTTTACACAATAGTTTTAAACATTTTGTTCGCATGCCAATATATGCAAATGCAGAAATCAAAGAAATCCTCAGATGTTGACTTCATCAGTACTCTTTAAGCTAATATAGTCAGCCGATTAAACGAGTTACTATGCTATCCCCCAGAGCTAAAAGCTCAAAAATACAATATCATCGAGAAATAATAGTGGAGTAGCGTGGATTGCCAGCGCCGGCAAGTCAAGAACTGCGCCCCCTAAGCCATGGACCGATAACACACCCATCCGTCCCTTCCACAAGTATTAAACCGCTTACCAAGCACATTTATTGTATCTTAAGAAATACTCATGTGATTAAGAGACGCAACGAATATGCACCATTGATTTGACCACATAGGCCTATAATAACTTTACTTTACAGTGAAACGTAGGAACCAGGGGTAAAAATCAAAGGTCAGCAGTACAGAGAGCTGCAAATGTTGCCGGATAATGTGTCGGTCTTGTTGAGGAGATTGGCACAGTTTGACAACCAAATAAATAGTACATAAAATGATCATGTAAATGTGGTATGATTATATATATTTCATACAAATTTCCATTCAAATCCATTGAAAATATATTGCATAATTTACTCAGTTTTGTGGGAATTGGTGTAAAGTCATTTAAACAAATTTCATTCAAATTAGATTTGTGTGAAAGTGGTGTAAAGTATGCCTACCACTCTTATATGGTTATTATATGTATATAGTGTATATTTACCTGAATGTAATCCAATTCTTAATTTGATAATCTCATTTGGCATATGACGAATTTTAAACTGTTTTATAGATGATAAAAGATGTAGGGACATGGATGCTATTTCTCCAGCATGGTTTAATCCGTTACGATTGGGTAATCCACTGACGACCATGTAAGCATCTCCTATAGTCTCTACCTTATAGACATCGTAATTCTTGATTATAGAATCAAAGAGTGTATACAGATCATTCAATAGATCAACAACCTGGTTAGAAAAAAAAACAACCCTCATAATTAACCAACACGAAATGCAAATCAAATGGGGTTTAACGTCCATCTTATATCTCTTATGGGTGGGGGGTGGGGGTGGATGGCCTAATGGTTACCACGTGCGCGCTGTATCATACGGTCTGTCATTGAGTCAACTAGCGGGGTTTCGATTTCCCGGGTGTACGGGACAAGGCGTAGGGTCGCCTGTCCAACCTCGTGGGTTTCTCCGAGTCCTTCGGTTTTCTCCCACTGCTAAAGACTCCTACTTGCAAGCGAATTATTGAAATAAAATTGAACCATGTGTTAGTCCCAAAGTGACCTAGTTTGTATCGAGTGGACGTTAAACCTCATTTATCTCTCTATATATATATATATATATATATATATCTCTTATGTCGGTAAAGATGAAAGATATATACACAGAATTGGTTTTTTTAAGAATTGACATGGCTGGAATTGAATCGGGTTTTTTTTCATGGCAGAAGTATTACTCACTTGCCATACAGCATGACAAGGCGTCTGTGCTGTGCTGCCAAGTTTTAAATTTATAAAACAAAAAACAAAAACATTTTATATGGAACTTACGCAGACTTCCTTGTCACACAATAAAAAATATCCTCGAAAACAATTAAATTCCCTTTTCCAACGTATTGATAAAAAAATATTAAAGATTGAGTTTTCAATAGATCCAAAGAGTTATTATATATCCTATATAAATAACAAAAATATAACATTGAGAGAAACCTATTAGATTTAATCATGTATATTTGTAAGGCCGTGCTCACAAACACTGTGATTTTTGCTATAATGATACGCTACGAGAACCCGTGATAGTCTGCGACAGGACAAAAGTCATAAATACTCCTAGAATCAGGGGGAGGGGGCGTCCAAAAGTCTAGCGCGTATGATTTAGATCATAAGGTCTATGATTGAGTCAAGTGGTGTTGTAGGGGGCATGGAGTAGGATCGCTTTTTAACCTCGTGGGTTTTCTCTAGGTCTTCAGGTTTATTCCCACTGCTAAAGATCCCAATTGCTGAAATAAGTTTGAGTCGTAGACGTTAACCCCCAACTCCCCTCTCTCTCTCTCTCTCTCTCTCTCTCATAAAAACGACAGTGTGTGGGGTCAGCTGAATGGTATAGGTTAAGGAGCGCTGTGGGACATTTAAAGTCTAGACGATAAGCCAAGGCTTAGCTTAACGTCGTAAGAATGATTGAGCAGGTTCATTATGGGGGTTTTACTGCCAGTTCTCGGCACTAGAAACGACACCTACCTGGAATGGAGTACTTTTAGCAGACATGGCGGTAAAACCACAAATATCACTAAAATATATTGTTACGGAATCAAAATCTTCTGGCACCACTGACCGACCTCGTACTAACTGAGCAGCAACAGATCTGAAATAATCAAAATACTATATGGTAAACACCAAATCGGGCTATTTTTAGGCCTCTCGTCCATCCACACGGATTGCCTATTAATATATTGTTCCAATTACTTTATTTCGAACAAGGTTCATATGAGGACATGGCTAAAAATTTAAAATTGACTCGCGCTAATATTTGATTCAGGGATATGGTTGTTGATTCGTTGTTTTTGGGAACTTTTTGGGTCGGTTTTTGCAGGTAAAACACAATATATTAGAACAGAAAATGAGACAAAAAGTAAGCATCGTTGGATTTGCTATGAAATAAAATAGCCTACTCCTCTTCGAATTCTAACTGCCAATGTGCACGCGAATGTATACACATGTACTTGCTTTTCCTGTAAAGCCAAAAGAATGGGTGATTTCTCTTGCCATGCACTCTCTCAAGAAAGTATCGGGATCCAAACCATAATGATCAAGCACCATACGCACTGGACCACCATAACCTCCGGAATTTGTTGATATCAAACTATAGTGTTACCTTGGCAACATACTATGTAGTAAAGTTTCCGTCTTTTTCTTCTCCTCTGCTAGTTCTACAGTTCTTTCTGCTACAATCGTTTCTAAATTATTGGCATATTTCTCCATCATTATCATCATATTATCAAATATATTCGATTTCCTGGAAATATATAATTAATGTAATAACCGTCATTTGCAATTGCAGCGTGATTTCTCACGCGGATAAGGGGAGATAACACAATTTTATATGGATGCAGACCAACAAATATTCTCATATTAACTTCAATGACTTTGCTTCCCAATTTTTCTGAACTTTTAGTAGGGCTGACTTGCTCTTCACTAGAGAAGGAGTAACCATGGACAATGTCTCGCGTCAAAATTTGAAGTAGTATATTAGTAAGCATGTAACTATTCGCCGTACAGCTCACCGTGACCAACCCTTGCTGTTAACATTGAGCTTTTAAACTATAAATATTCATCCAAACCAGTCAAAACAATTGCCATTTGAGCGGGAAAGGGGTGGGAAAGAGCGAATGACATATACTTAACACATTAAAAACTCAAACTAACCGACCATGAAGGAAGTAACGAACGACATTGATCTGTCAATGATCTTCTGGAAAGGACAAACATGTAGTATACAACTATACCCTTGACCCGAGGTTGCACGGGTAGAGCCTTGACCGGAAGTAATATAACTTCGAAGCTATCTGCCAACTCCCTTTTTGGCGGGACAAACAAGTATTATATATACTATTCAAAAAAAGTAGGGGATATTTGATTTTGGGGGCATAATACTAAAATATGCAAATGACTACGAAAAAAGTCACTATAGAACCTAACAGAAGAAACATTTCCAGTTACATGTGACGCCCAAACGCACCAATAGCTACCGCATGGAATGAAGGTGATGCTTGGGATCATCATGGGGGTCCAACCCAAGATTTGCACGACTCTGACTTTGAATGTTACAGTCATTGTGGCATTGAATTCCAGGGTGGAAACATCAGTTTAATTGTTTTAGTGACCAGAAAACAAATTTTGATATGCGTCGGCTTACCCAAAATGAAAGGTTACGTGCCCTTGGCATGCTACAGATCGGCACAACACAGGCGGTTGTGGCGCGGACGATGAATGTTTCTCAGTCTGTCATAAGCAGGCTATGGTCCAGATACCGTGATACACAATCTGTACAGGACAGACCACGCTCAGGTCGACCAAGGGCGACAACTCAAGCCCAGGATCGATTTATCCGTACCTTGGCCTTGAGAAATCGTGTCATCACAGCAAATCAGATCAGCGCTCGTCTTCAAACAGACACTGGTGTGAGAGTGAGTGGCCAGACGATTCGGAATCGACTGCATAGGGGTCACCTTCGCGCCCGACGTCCTCGCGTGATCCCTCTTTTGAGAGATCATCACATTCAGGCAAGACGTCGTTGGTGTAGGGATCGTCAACACTGGGATAATCGACGCTGGAGCAATGTGATGTTTTCAGATGAGTCAAGGTTCACTGTTGATTTTTTGGACAGACGTAGGAGGGTGTGGCGTCGTCGAAACGAGCGCTTCCAAGACGTTAACGTCATCAGACATGATCGATTTGGGGGTGGTTCTGTTATGGTGTGGGGAGGCATCACTGTTGCTGGAAGAACGGCTTTACATGTTGTTGCAGGGCGTGTTACAGGCCAGTACTACCGGGACAACATCTTGGCAGTCCATGTTGTGCCGTTCGCACGACGTCATGGCCGCCGTTTCATCTTCCAGGATGACAACGCAAGATGTCACAGGGCCAGGATCGTTACAGGTTACCTCCAACAACAGAACATCACCACATCACCTTGGCCAGCACTGAGTCCCGACCTCTCCCCCATCGAGCATGTCTGGGACATGCTTGGACAGAGGTTACGTCAACGTCAACAACGTCCTGCCAATGTCCAAGAACTTGCTGCTGCGTTGCAACATGAATGGGACAATCTGGACCAAAATGACCTTAGACGTCTCATTAGGAGTATGCCACGTCGGATCAATGCTTGTTTGGCAAACAGAGGAGGATTTACCCGTTACTGACTTGGTTGTGATGCTGTGGTAACTTTGCTGTTTGACCCCGGGTATCATTTTACCCTTATAATGGTCAGTCTGTGCCTTACTTAGTCTAACGATCATTTGGAATAAATCGATGAATGTGAACTTCATTTCATTTTGTCATTTGTTTCTTCGTCAGTTTCATTAGGTGACTTTAATAACACTTAAAAATCAAATATCCCCTACTTTTTTTGAATAGTATACAATCAGGGGCGGATCCAGGATTTTTTGCAGGACCTGGTTAGGAAATTTGACAGTTGACAATGCATGATACCATCATTGTCTCCAAATTAGTAGGCATACATACACACTGAGATTTTTATAGAGAGACAATTTTATTATGAATTAATAGGATTACATTGTGATTCAATTTCATTGATGCAAAGCATTAATTATTATATCACACAGGCCTATGTCTATAACATTATCTCGCGCTTTCAATGCCTATCCTATCCCACCATGTGACGATAAAGAATAACGCACGTGACCGTGAGTGATAGGGGGAGCGTGGACAACCCAAACCCCACAACATCCTCTGGATCCGTTCGTTTTTTCTGGACCATCCGATATAGTGGATTCCAATATGAAACTACTTACAATCCTTTCTGCATGGGTCGAAGCCTTTTTCTACACGTCTTCATATCTGGTCTCATTTCAGGATCTTCCAACCAACAGTCTCTCATTACTTCCAGTATATAAGCTTCTGTATCTAACTGAGATAAACTAGGTCGAAAATATACCCCATTTTCTGGTCCCGCTTTAACCCTTTCAATTATTTCTGTTAAAATAAATGACATTAACATTTTATTTTAACTTGTTACTCCTTTGAATTTGGAAATTCACGACAAGTTTTCCTTTCGATAGCCCTCGTAAAGTATGCATACATATTATATTCTGGGGGTTGACTGACTTTACACCTCACAATGGTCACGAACGACGAAAGTCAGTCATTAACAACTCATATCATGCTATTTGGTCGTAAACAAAAACCTTAAACCGGGATTTCTTTATCGTCCAATAATAGCAGGAGATTTGATTAAATAATTATTTTGTAAATAGAATGTAATAATTTATGAAAAATTTACCAAAAGACATTTTTATTTTATTGGCTGAAAGAAATAATAATATTGTATGAAGCTAAAATAAAAATGAAGAATATGTGTCATGACGAGAAAACGAAACCAGCTCGATTCACCTTTCCCGTACCCCACCCTTAGATCATTTTTTTTTTTTTGGGGGGGGGGGGGTTAGGCCATTATATTTTTCAGTGGATGCGAAGGTGAATATCTTTTTTCCAGTAGGGCCAATGGGCCCCTAACCCCATTTGGGCCCTCGGACTTCCGTCTATCCGAGGGCCACGTCTGCGCATAAATGAGTTATAACCAATATGTAACCAATATGTAACTAATGATTAATGTAACTGTCTTACCTTTTGGTGTAAAAAGACTGTTACCAAACGGACCAGATCGTGATAATATTTCATACAGTAAAATACCAAACGAATAAACATCTCCTTTCTGCGTTCCACCCAACAAAACTTTATCTAGTCTCAGCAACTCAGGAGATGTCCAAAGATACCCTGTATAGAAACAAGAGCAAGTGAAATGAAATGGAGTTTTAACGTCCCACTAGTCTGTTCCATCCGGGTCAATGTAGACGGGAGAAAAAAGAACATTAACTAGAAGGTAAATCAAAATTCACGCACAATCGATTTCCAATAAAATGAATTAAGAACAATCAAGTAAGGACAGAAAGTGTGTTCACCACACGAGAAAAAACAATCCCCAAAAGATACCCTGCGCAGCGCATATTATCATACGATCAATAAATTTCCAAGATAGAAGAATGCAAATTATCGATCAATATTCATAAACCTGTACTATCGATAAAAACGGGGTGTGGTCAAAACGACGTATAATAAAAACGGCAAAAATTCACGTTTGTCAAAAGAATAAAATTTGGTCAAAATTTACATAAATGATTGGGGTCATAATAAATAACAAAGATTTCATTCGGGGTTTAATGGCCGTTGTGACCAATCTATGGCCATTTTAACGAAAAGTTAGTTATGGCCATTTTGACTAAAAGTTATGGATGGCTATTCATTTTGACTAAACGTTTTGGTCATTTTGACTAAAAGTTAAAGTTGTGGTCAGAAAGAACGAGAAAGTGACCAAAGAACGAGGCTTGACATATTCCATAACTCATGTCAAACGGTGACGCCATGAGAGCATGCGCAATAGACTGGAATAACCACACGATAGAAATTGACATTCAGTTGAGACTCATGCCGTATTTCGCTGGACATAACTGAAACAATTGAATGTAAATCAGTTTATATACAATTAGATTACATTATTATATGCGTTGCGACCCATTTGTGTCAATTTCTAGGTCCCAAATATTAGCGATTTAGCTCCTTTAATAAAAATATTGTTTATTAAAAAAGGAGTTTTAGCTAAAACTTTTGAAATCCTAATAAATTGACTGAAATTATAATTTGAATTGTATCAAGAAAGAACATACCGTGTACTTACGTTTATAGAAAGCGTGCTCGCCATGATAAGGTATTTCCTGACCACACTGAAACTTAGTCAAACCAAAATCTGTTATTTTTACAACCCACCGACTGTCAACTAAACAGTTAGAAGACTTTAGATTACCGTGTGATCTTATAACACTCATATGTAGATAAATCATCCCCTGAAATAAGACATAGGTATGAGATCACAATCAACAACACACGAGATATTTTGGAAATAAGGAAATAGGGTTTAACATCCTACGTTTTTGCACCAATGAAAGCGTCCTCACTGCTAAACTCTGTCAGTATTTTTCTTTTGACGGATTGCATAGTGTACATTGGACCTCGCCAATGTTCCTAGACGCTGTCCCATGTCATGGGCTATGTCCTGTGTCGCTTCAGGTTTGAAAAGACCAATCACTTAGCACGGTGAGATACAAATCTACTTAATTCTATAGATTATAGTTCAATGACATACAAAAGATATCCCGAAAAAATAATAACTGTTATTTGAAAACATGAAAACAGTCCAGTTCACAAAACACGTGTTTAACCACATCTAAGTATTTCGGTTTTAAAAGGCACCCGACCTGATGATAACCAAATACATACTAGTGACTATATTTTGTAATTTGTTTCCTGCATTTGTAAATTTAAGACATTTAGTATTAATAATATATATGTTTTAGTAGTAAGCATATAGTCTGGTTTACCTTTAAGATATCAGCTATTATAGAAGCTATAAACATACTGTCTAACTTGACATCATCGTTCTCTAATATATCCTGGTCAAAAAATGTATAAAAGAAGTTAGAATAAATGAAATGAAATGAAATGGGATTTAACGTCATACGTTTCTGTGCTTATGAAGACGGGCATATGCTAGGAGAGAAATATTGCCCACACAGCAGCACTACGGCCTACTCTTATTTCAAATTTCCACTGTCAAATTTTATTTTACGTGCGAGCTAATTTGGTTTTCCGCCTCATCCAAACCACTAGACACTGTTACGGCAGAAGTCCATATTTGCATCAATATTTGATCCGGGTCAATAAATTAGACGCTTTGAATCGTAGTGCATAATTTTTACTATGCGTAACCATATCGACGCATAATGGCTGCCGCTAGTGTCAAAAAGAAAACGCAACGGTAAGTTAAACGTCCCTAAGTCCCCTTACAAGTTGTAGGTGGATTTTATATTGTTAGGTCTATTTCCCACATGTTTTTTTTGTAAGATTTGGCAATTTTCCTAATACCGCAGAGTTTTGAAAATGTTAGGATAATACTAGTTCGTTTGTTGAACTGTACACATTTGTTTTTTGAACTGTTTACTTTCGCTTGTATATCGTGTGTGTTATTAACGTATAACGTGTGTGTTTATTATTAACGAATAATGTTCATTCCTGTATTTCAACGCAACAATTTCAACGTAACGATGTAATAAACGTAATAAACCTATTCACAAATTGAACGCGTGTTTGACTTAGGTGGACAACGCAAGGGGATTACTTCTACAAGTCACTGTAGACTGTGCCTTCTACAGACACTGTTCCTTGTTGGACCTTCCCCTTCCTGAATCACAAACAAACTTTCTCGGCCAAGAACTCCTCTTTACCAAGCCAGCGTCTCGAAATAAAAGGGTTACTAATCATGTATATTTAATGTTAAGGTATTTCAAGTACATATTGTATATTTAAAGTAAAGGCATTTCACGTACCCGTAAAGTTATGCAATTCACGAATAATTATAACAATTGGTGAGTAAATTACGTAGGGGTTATTTTTTTAAGTAGGCTAAACTTTTCCGCCAGTCACATGTAGATATTCTTGGACGACACCATGGATCGAAAATGATAAATTGAATGCTAATTATGTAATATTGAATCATGAACGGAAATATTTCAAACTTTCTTACTCTGTTGGCCTGGATGTGGACGTGGGTGGTGGGTCAAGATCTATCCGCGAATTATTCGTTTGGACGCAAGTTTTGAAATATTCCAAAGATGCCTTAGCACGAGTAATTAAGGTACTATTCTAACAAAAAACAAGAATACATTATCATTAGAATTAATGGTACATGTGATTGTACTTAAAACTAAGAATAAGTAACTCACGTGAAATTTAAACAAAGGAAAGTAAATTTACGTGTAATTAAAACAAAGGATAAGTTATTTACGTACATGTATAATTAAAATAAAGTATAAATATTTTACATGTGATTAAAATTAAGGATAAGTAATTCACGTGTGATTAAACATACATTATGCAAGAGCCAAATCTGCCAATTGCAGGTCTTTCTTTAGGCCTGAAATGTTATCTAATAGACATTAATTAACTTATCCAGAACATAATCAAGAAGGGGTAAGTAATTCATGTGTAATGACAACTTAAGTGGAACACTTTTTGCGTATAACTGAGAATCAGTATAATTGATTATCGCACGCATAATTAAAACAAAGGGTGAATAACTAGTGAGTAAGAGAGTGTATGTAAAAAGGGTTTGTTACCTCTAAACTCCCTTTAGGGCAATATTCTGTAACAATATAGATTTCATGTGACTCTATACACGCACCAATAAACTCTGTTAAATTATCGTGACGTAAATCACGCATCTAAAAAAAATGAAGTGACATTTAGTATGTACATTACAAGACACAAAATCAACGTTTGGAAGTGAATATAAGTTCAGGTATAAAGGGAAGTAATCGTGTTGTACCAACATCCCGGATACCCCGCTAATTTCTGAACAAAAATTATTGTTATAAGCACAGTTTGATAGATATACTACATACAAGGACAATCTATATTTTTGATGATTAACCTATTTGGAATAAGGATCGTCTTATTTTTTTTTATTTTTTTTTTTTGGGGGGGGGGGGGGGTGTGGAGGGGCGCCGGGGGGGATATGTACTTTAAACATCTCAGATACTATAACTGATATGTACCACTGGACATTTTTAATACTCAGTGGAGAGGAGAAAGGGGGGTGGGGCGGGGGTGCATGTAATCACACTGAGAAATTAAATAAAAGGTGTTTGGTAACTCTGTTGTACAAGCTACCATATTTAATTGGAATAAAAAATGTATTTCATAGTTTATTTATTTTGACATAAAATTTAAAATATCTTCTATTGAGTACTAGGCCCGTATAATCGAGTCTGCAAGCCACTGTGAATACTTTACTGCGTAATATATTCTGTTGGCATATTATTATTAGTAATCTGTTTTGTATAAATAGTTGTTATTTTATCTATAATTACCTGTTTTAATTCCATTTTAACTTCTCGTGATAGATCGACATTTTTCTTCTTTTTAACGAGTTTTAACGCCACGAGTACACCTCTATATACACCAGCTTGTGTAAAAGTTTGTTCATTACGTTCATGACTTATTGTGGTCTGACTGCTGAATATATTCTAAAAATAAAGAAATGTATTACCTTTGTTAAAATATATTAATATGTAGTAAAACACAGGATAAGTAGTTCACGTGTGATTCAAACAATATATAAGTAATTCGCGTGTGATTTGAAAGAATGAGTGTGTAATTCACGTGTTATTAAACGTGGGGATAAATAATTCACGTGTGGTTACAAGGGGTTAATATGTTCACTTCAATATGCATTAATATGTTAAAGGCCGCTTTGTGATAGAACAAATAAAACACGTTCCAAATATAATTTTAACACGGAGATCATTGCTACGATAGAAACGTTATGAAGATTTCAATAAATGGAAGTTACGAACGCAAAAGGAAAACACGGGTTATCCTTCTATATAACTGACTGAAGTGACGAGTGATAAGGGATACATGGGCGAATCTTTGCTCACTAATAATTCCTTCCAAGACCAAAAGTTGTTAAGTGAGGCTGTGAGAGGATATCTGATAATTACAAAAGAAATTGAATGTCACTAGATAAGGGAAAACTAGAAAAATATTTAATAGTCCGTACATTAATAAAAACAGGGTAATGCACTGACTTTTTCTATTTTTCTCCTTTTCTCTTATTTAGTGACAGTGAAAAAAAAATGTTTTTCAGATATCCTCCCACAGTCTCATAGAACAGCTTTTCGTCTTCGAAGGAATTATAAGTGAGCAGAAATCCCCCCGTTTATCTGTTATCATTCGTCACTTCAATCAGTTATATAGAAGGATAATCCATGTTTTCTTTTTGCGTTCGTCACTTCCGTTTTTGAAATCTTTATAACGCATCTATCGTAGCAATAATTATATTTGGAACGTGTTTAAACAGTTCTATCAGAAATGTGATAATGACTGACACCAATATTGTGATTTAAATAACGATATACCCTCCCCGAAATGACATACCCTCTCTCTCTCTCTCTCTCTCTCTCTCTCTGTGCAGAGGTCAGTTGCGAACTCTGCTTTATGGAATGTTCACAAAAGAAGCGAACAAATTGACTGATGTATCCTGACAGTGATATTACGTCTTACGTGTCTACACTAAGTTGGCGAACATAAAAACAGGAACGCACTCAGAAACTTCTAAATTTCTTCATATTTCTCATTATTGTGAACGACTTCAAAAGGGCGGGTGCTTACATTACTTATTATTATCGTGTTAATTGGCCAGATATGTAGCTATCGGGAAATTGCAAAATTATTCCAATTACACTTGTGGTAATTTGGTATAATTATTACAGGTATATAGTGAGATAATGGTTCCTTATTTCCACCTGTCCAATATCATAACAGCATTTATTGTCATTTTGCCCTTGAAATAACACAGAACTAAAATTGACTATTACAGTACAATTCATCTTCGTTAACCATATTAAAATATTTTTCTTGCATACGGCTATATAGATGACAGGAAACGGATATAGTTGCTGGATACAGAAGATGTATTTTTTTTATTTCCAGCGAGGTTTAATCTGTTCTTCATAACACTTACTGGTGTATTACTAGCAAATGATAGAGCTGAATGTGCTGCATCCGGCTGTAGCATAATCTCCTTCAAGTCTATCTTCCATATTAAACTAGCCAATTCTTGTTCATATTTCCAATTTCTGCAAACATCAAACAAAATTGTTAATACAGCCAGAACGAGCTTACAGTGAGAATAAGTCTAGGCAAAGCAAAAAAATATGTCGTCATTCATCAGCTCTTTATCATACTAATTGCTGAATATTTGTGTTAATTTAGAACTTAATACAGTTTTTAATATATTTATTAATTTAGAAATTGCTATAGTTTTTAATATTTGTGTTAATAATTTAGAAATTGTTACAGTTTAAGCTCTGGTACTTGCAATATATTTGAAAAATGTCTATAAACATTCGAAAGGAAATAATTGAAAATTAACGAAAAGCTAAATTTCTGACCAGGTTATAATTCTCTTGTCTTTAACATGACAGAAATATAGGCTAAATACAAGAGTTTAAGACCTTTGATCAAAATACATTTCAGGGTCGTAGCTAGCAAAGGGGGAGGGGGGCAGGGGGGCAACATAACCACTTAAATCCCTATTCTTTGGCACTTAGAAATGGACACAAATGCACAAATAGGTCACAACGCATATATAATAATGTATATAAATCGATTTACATTCAATCGTTTTTGTCCAGATTGAATGGCAGTCTTTGGCGTTTGGTTATTCCAGCCAACACTGGTAGTATTCTCCTATGGGATATGGTTAGCCTCGTTCATCGAGTCGCTTCATTACAAATGGCACTCGAAAGCATTCTGGCACGCGATTAGTGTGCCATTTTTGAAATGTTCATTTTGTCTTAAATATTGTATATCAGAAGCTCATCTTTCACGTTAAGATAACAACATCAATGTTGATTTAAATTGACCAATAAGTCTTGTTTGCAATGTCAAATTTATGGTCATTTTAAGTTTAAATTGGTCGTTTTCGCGTGACCAATTTAATCTCTCTTATGGTTCTGTTACACGAATACACGAATGGATCCCAGTTTTTGTACCAACACGGGGATCCGTACCCGGAACCTCATATGGTTAGTGAGACAGCACTGACCCAATGTCATGTGGAGGTGATGACCTTTCACCTCCAGTGACAAAAATTTAAGATTGTTATACCGATAAATAGTCAACAGTCCTATCAATAACTGTGTTTGTCGTAGAATTCCTTCAATTTTCTAGTTAATGAGCTTAAACAACAAACAGTAGCCTTCAGCTTAATGAAGATATCAAAATAACAAAGTAACACTGGTAGGAGAAATGGAAAAGTTGAAAGTATCTAGGGGCATTCCAGATTATATCACTCGGTATTGTTTGACAATGGAGAGAAAAAAAGTAATAGGATCGATTATTATTACACAAGGATTTTTGTATCCACCAACAATGTATTGAGAGTTTCGAAAAAATTGATAGTTATTTATTCATTCATGGCCCGTAGCTAGCCCAAAAATGTTTGGGGGAGGGGGGCGGCTTGGCAAGGGACAACGTATAGTCGCTCGGATGGGGCGAAAAACCGAGGTTCTGTGTCCACGTTGGCGTGCCCGTAAAAGAAACCTTGACAGTTCGAATTTAAAATAAGAGCAGGCCGTAGCACCGCTGTCCAGGCACCCCCCCCCCCCCCATAGCACACTGCATAGCGTATGCCCTTCTTCATTTGCCCAACTCGGAGCAGAACAGTGAGAAGTTAAATCCCATTTCATTTCATTTCAAAAACTCCTCAAATGAAGATCAGAGGCTTTCAGTGATAACATTTAATTCTTAAAACAATATATAGCAAGATTAGCAATCGCAAAATCAAATAAAGCCGGTCATTATTTTAATATTGTATAGTAGCCAATAATTGATACTTTCGTCTGTTATTGAATGAATGAATGAATGAATGAATGAATGAATAAGTAACTTTTTATTAAGTTCAAACCATTATTATGTTAATATCGAATAGCAGCCAATATATTTTTTATTATCGAAAGAATAAGTAACCTTTAATTTTGCTAACCCTCCATTATGTTAATAGTATATAGTAGCCTATATATTTTGGGTATTTTCTTATATCATTAGCTAGCGGGAGGGGGCAAGGGGACAGCTGCCTCTGCATATTGAAAAAAATCGGCGCACCCAATGGGTGCCCTTTCCATTGGGCGCAATACGAAGCCAACGACCAACGTGTCCATATCGGTATAGATAGATGCCCCTTAAAGCCGAGTGTCATTGGTTGGGCGCCCACGGCGAGATTCGCGGGGCACCAAACCAATGTCACTTGGTTTTATGGGCGCCCCGTCAACTTGATTGATGGGGCGCCCAAAACGGCGTGATCTGTGGGTGCCTTATCCCGGAGGGGCGCCCATAATGACATGATTGGTGGGGCGCCTTATAATGACAATATATGATTGCCGAGCCGTACATAATACACAATGACAAGTGAGATTGGTTGGGCGCCCACGACTTGATCAATGGGGCGCCCAAAACGGCATGATTGGTGGGGTGCCCCATGGCGAAGGGGCGCCCATAATGCCGAGATTGGTTTTTTCGCCCACGACGAGATCATAGGCGCCCAACCACGAAACCGACCGCATACCTACGCCCGAAAAAATCTACTATAAGAAAACCTACTGGAGAATGTAGGAATTTTCCAGGCCAAATTCACGATTAGTAGGGGAGCTGGCTGACCGTTATTCCTAAAATCGCGGACAAAATTGGCACTATGCCTAACGGAGGCACCATGATGGCCGATGTTCAGAATGGAAATGCTTAAGTTGCACATCCCCTGGGTTTAGGGGCCGTTATACGTGACAAGGAGTAGGATCGCCTGTCCAACCTTGTGGGTTTTCCCCGGTTCCTCCGGTTTCCTCCCACTGCTAAAGACCCCTACGCGCAAGCGAATTATTGAAATAAAATTAAACCATATGTTTGTCCCGAAATGACCTAGTTTGTGTTGAGTGGACGTTAAACCCCATTTCTCTCTCTCCCTCTCCTTTAGGGGCTGTACGCCCCCGAAATCGCGGAAAAGGTCGGTTTAATTCAAATCTTTGCGGACAAACTTAATCATCGCTACATATGTTCACGTTGCTAAGGCAAACTTTAAAAGTGCCCTTCAGAACAAAAAATCCCCTGGCTTTTGGCTTCAAATCGCCCCCTAGTGACCCGAGTACGTAGGTTTATTTCAAATATGACGGACAACTTTGATTCCTTTTTCAACTGATAGGGTATGGTCCTAAACCCAGGGGATGTGCAACTTAAGAATTCCCATTCTGATCATCGTCCACCATGGTGCCTCCGTTAGGCATAGTGCCAGTTTTGTCCGCGAGTTTAGGAATAACGGTCAGCTAGCTCCTAGATGGGGATGAGATTGATTCAAGCGCGCACCAGGCGTGATAATCTTCAAAATTCATACAAGTCGCACTCCTACCCGATTCCGAAACTTTTCGTTTTTCTCATAAATTATTATAGGTACGCTAAATTCGTATGTCATTGTCATAGTTCCTCTCCTCAGGTGCAAACCCTTTTTTCCAAAATTTTCTGGGGAAGAGCACCCAAGACCCTTCTCCGAAGGGATGCCCGTCCGCCAATAATTTGACCACAAGTACTCCTTTCTCTAGTTTATTGCACGCAAGTAACTAATCGGTTAGATACAATGATGTAACTGGAAGAAGCCTCATTTTATCATAGAAGTGAGACTTCTAGAATGTAAACTTTCAGAAAAAATAAAAACCTGCTATACTCTATACTGATCTCCCAGTTGCGAGAGTTGCCATTAGTTAACTAAACAGTCGATCTTTATTTCAAGCCCATTTCATTTCCGTTGTATCTATGGTAGATTAAGTAATTAAAAAACACAACGGGATATAGTTTTTCTCACACTCTGTGTGTGTTCCATACCCAAATAATTCACTGTTTATGGCCAGTTAAAACAAGCGGTTTCCATGCAAGATACGACAACATTTTGGAAGAAATGGATGGGGAAGAGGTAAAATTCCTAGGATGGTAGCCCCCATCCCCAATCATGAATTCCTTCCGTCGGCCCTGTCTTTTGATAGGTCTCTTTTTAATCCGATTGAATCTAATCCACTAGATTATCTACTGTTGATATTTTGGTCTTGTTTTCTTAATTAAACGTTAAATAATCAATTTGAATACATTTTAGCATGGATTGAGCCGTGGAAAATGAGATATTGTCTGAAAATAAATGACTTGATAATGAGGGAATCCTTTAGGATCTGGATTATATTATGGGGTTAAACAATGAATGAATGAAATGGGGGTTTAACGTGAATTTTTTCTGAACCAACAATGCTCAGGGTTTAATTTTGTCCCATCCGAACAACTAGTCGATGTACTTGCCAGACCCTACTTACAAGAGGTAAAAACTCCGAAAATATCCCGAGGAACTTCCGCGACCAACACCTCCTGGTTAGCGAGCCAGCGCCTTACTCACTGGACCACCGTGGCTCTCCATTAGACTTAATAATCTATGTATATTACAATTACTTTACATTTACGATACGAATAAATATACTCTGTAGGCCATGGATGGGGTGAAAGCTATTTGTGTTCAGATGCTTGTAGCAATGACAAGGAACTGGAATAATAATAAATGTCACTCTAACTTTACTAAGATGGTTAAAAACCATCTGGTATAAAAGGTCTAGACTATTTGAATAAGATAATATAGAATATATATCACTTACGTAACATAAGCATACGATATCAATAACATAAAAACATCTGTCATTGATATATAAAAATATAATACTACACAGAATACAAGAATAAAGGAAAAAGTGTTTTGAATGTATAAATAATATTATAATTAGTGTATAGACTATATTATAAAAATGTATGTATGTTATATATGGGGAATATATGAATAAAATTATAGAACATTTGAGGAATAGTGTATAGAATTTATGTAGTTGTTTGTAAAGGATATAGAATTTATTTATAATAATACAAGTAATATTTAATATGTATAGAATCTATGTAGTTTGTATAAAGTATATCCACAAAATCATGCATGCATTCCTATATTATAGAATATAGTAAATAAGAATACATAAGCAATAAATAATATAGGTAAAGTATATAATACCTGTAAACAATTACTAATACAACAATAGCTATAAGTAAAAGTCCTCCTAATGTAGCACCCACAATATAACCAACATAACCTGTATAAGAGAAATATTAATACACTTTTAAAATAAACACTAAAATTAAAATGGGATTTAGCGCCCCGCTTTGTGTAGTCACTGGGATAATCAAGACGGGTAACCATCCAAATCAATATGCGCACAAAATAATTTATTTCATTTGATCAGTGTTTCGTATGCTTTGATGGGCGTCACAATACCCGATTCTTTGAAGGATTATTAACCTCAAATTGTACGGGATGCACAGGGCCCACAACTTTGGGATGATGGGAGTCTAAAAGTTTAAGTATTTGATAATAATAAAGTAATACGTATGTAATAGTAGTAAAGGTTGTTGATCTGTTGGTGAAATTGTTTGTTTACAATCTACTAAAATCAAATGATTATTATTGAAAGAAAATTTAGCTTGTGTCAAGGTAGACAGGGGACGGGGAAGGCGGGCAGAATACTCTACACAGAGCCCGAAATATTCTACGGTCGATCTATACCTTCTATAAAGAAGCTTTGATTTTTTGGTCTAAGTTCAAATTGTCGGTGCATATAATTGCAAGTCATGGTATATATTTGTTTCTATATATAATAGTAGAGCCATAACGAAGTCTTAAAAAAATATGTATAAGAATGATATAGTATATATTTTTCTAAAATGTCTGAATACGTATTACCATAACGATGTTTTAAAATATATAAGAATGAGGATATCGATAATAAGTCATACAATCTAACTCCAATCGTTATACCAATTACGTAAACAAGAAGCAAGACAATATAGGGCGTATAATGGTTGTATATTGTTGAACATTCTGCATAAAAAACCTCGTCATAAATATCCTTTATATTACGAAGATAATTTTCAATAATTGTATCATGAAAAGGATATCAGGCTGATCATCAATTAAATGATCTACGCCGATCTTTTATTATTCACCATATAATCACGAAACTAGGTACTTGTTCGTGTATTAATCATTAGATAGAAAATTTTCTCAGTTATTGAAGACACTATAAAAACTTATCCTTCCGTAACTATAGGCAGAAAATCCGGTAAAGTGGGATAAAAATCCATTATTCAATCACGGAAAGTGTATGAAAAATAATGAAGGCAGCTTAACCGAACCATTTTCAATAGGTCGACGTGTCATTTATGGGTAGATAAATTACTCGGGGAGTAATTGACAATATCGCCCAGAAGACCGGACATCGCAAGACTTTTGTTTATTTTTTAACAATTCTCTCCCGTAATGGCATATCGAATATCTATAAAAGATATGTTTGAAGATCGTTAATTAATCAAGTTAGTTGATATACTTTATTATTAAACGTGACAAATGTCACTGTCAACAAAATGTATTTTTTTATTTATCTTTGAATATTTTAAGCCACACTTAAGGTATCAAATATCGTGGAACATGTACGGGAAATAGAACGTTATTAGTCGTCTTTAACTTCAAAAAAAAACCTTGTAATTTGACATCAACGCGCTTCAGTTCGCATTTTCATTACTTTTCAAGAGTTCCTGTTATGCTTGATTATACTTTGAAGCTCATTCTCCATTATATAATAATTTTGCATACATGGGTTTCAAATTAATATTAAAAAAATTTTCTTTTATAAACTTCTTATAAGATAAAAGGTATTAAAGTGTCGTGATGGACGTATTTCATGGGATAAAACCGGGAAGTTCAGAGTGGAAACGGGGTTTAACGACCTATTTATATGTATCAAAATCAAAATATCTAATGAAGACGGACAGACGCCATACAGGGTACTATAGCGAAACTTTTGCCTGGACAGTGCGTTTCCGCCTACTCTACATCGATTTCCAACAACTGCCAAGCACGCCAACGCGTACACGGGATTTCGGTTTATCGCCCATTCCCAACGAATAGACACTGTTCCTGCACCACTGACAAGCGGAATTCAAACCGGGAGGTTCCAGAAACGAACCCCGGACCTCCTGAATAGTGAGCTAGACTTTTTTGTCAGTCACGCAGGCAGTTATTGAATTATGTACTAATTTACATAAAAACAAATCTACGGACAAGACACAATACGCAGAAATCACAAACAACCGAACATATCAAATTAAGTGAATGGATCCGGGGGCTAGCCGTAAGCGCCCACTGCGCTGTACAGTTCCGGGCCTGTAGTGATACAGACTTCACTCAACAATCTATTTCATTTGATGAAATTAATTGTAAGATTCTTCTAGGTAGTATCTTACATCATGGTTATAAAGTAGCCAAAAATCCAGTAATTTTACTTACTAGGGTTTTTTTTACATTTAGCCCCATCGTAGCCACAAGCCGGTTCATCTTTAGGTATAATGCCACCAAATATTTCTATATCTTTATTATAAGCCTGTAAATATACAAAAATATTCAATATTTCTTAAATTTGAATTTTTGTATTGTAAATCAAATATGGAATAAAATACAAATCATTTCAAGTTGAACACGTTTTGAATATTTTAACAAAATTGACCGAATGGACAGACGTGCAAGCAGGCTGGCAGTGGACAAAAATCAAAACATTAAAGTCCAATTATGCCTTGCTAGAATTGCATCAGAAAAGTCTTCGAAATGGAATATTAAAATTTCAACTTTAATATGGGAGATTATTGTATCATTCTTCAAAATGTCAGAGCTATAAATTATATCAATGTTATGAAAATCGTGGTTTTGAAAAATCGCTCCAACAAATTACCGATTATGAAATTTTATGGTATATTTCCCCTCAACTGATCTTATTTGAACACAAGAATCTTACAGTGTCAGTCTATAAAGTTTAACAAAGTTTAACAGCAATCTTCGACAGGTATTTAGTGGGTGAACACAATAAAAACACAACAACCATTTATATGGTATACAATCACTTTATTGTTATACATATAGCACGACGTTTCGGCAAGTGTTCTCTTGTCCGTTTCATCATTTGTCCTTAAAAACAACACGAGCATGCGTGTTGAAACGTTGTGCTATATGTATATTAGTGATCGTATTTCATACTGTATAAAATGACCGTTATGATTGTAATGCGCATGGTCCTAGTGGGATCACAACGTCTCAGCTAGACTGACAATGGCTTACTAACCAGATGTCTCCGGTTCGATCCTGGTGTGATTATATTCAATATAAATGGTTATAGCTTTTATACCTTTCATATAAGCCTCTAAACTGTCGAACGCAAAATCCAGGATACCTCAACAATTGCATGACTGCAAAATTTCTCAAGCTGCATTATGTAAGAGCGAAATCTGCTTATTGAAGGTCTTTTTTTCTGGCTTCAAACGTTATTTAAATTATTATTTAGACATTCATTTCCAATGGCAAGCCCATTATAAACTCTCTATACCATCGGGTGGCTTGGATTAGACCACTTGAATGGTTAACAACAAATGGAAAATCGAGATATCGTTTATCATTGAAGCAATGTCAATCGGGGCTCTGTTATTCTTGTTAGAACTTCAAACAATCATAACTTCGCTCAGAATAATGTAATTTGACTGAAATGTTGAATATATTCATTATCTATTTTTGAACTAGTATAGCAAGAACAGTCAGTTTTTTATCTATATCTTACATAGTACATCTTTATCAAAACACTGTTTTATGTACAATAAAGCAAATTAAGAAAATAATTCAATCAAATTAAAGAGATCGTTTAACAGTAAATACTCACCACGTCTATATTTTTATCGGGATGTCTGAGAAATCTACCAACAGGTTTTAAACCATAGCCAAATTTACTGTTATCTGGTTCTAATGCTAATACTGTATAATTAGCTTCCGCATCGCCATTTTCATCTATGTATCCCAGTATCCCCATTATGCCTTCAAAAAGTATAAACAAGAGATAGATTTTAAGCAAAAAGAAATTCATATTTTACGTCATAATTTATAGATTTTAATGTTGTGGGAAACCAAACGGTCCTGTTTTATAAATACAGGTATTCCCCACTCAAAAACAAAATTAATTAATATTTTTACATCGTTTGTGAATTGGTACATAAAATTCTTTGTCAAAGTTCTCAGTTTAAAGATGTAAACATGTAATGAAGTGTGTATTGTTTAAGTTTAAAATACTTGAACCAAACCTTGTATAAGTTTTACCTACTTTGAAATGTTCTGTCGTTTATTTTGTTGACAATAGCTCGACCATCATACGGATTTCCCCCAGCTTGCAACACTTCATCTAAAGCCCGAGCATAAACCATCACAGCATCGTATAAGTATGCAGCAAATATATCAATCTGAAAACAAATTAATGCAATGCAGATATGACCTATATCTGAATGACAAATACAAGATTTTGAAAACAATAAATCAGTAATAATATAATAAATGAGTTCTGCGAATCTGATTGGAATATCTCAGACCCCTAACACACCCTTACATTATGACAATGGTGATAGGATATAGCAGATCAAATTTAGGCTTGCAAATACTTCTTAAACTCTGGACCTCATATATCAAAATTGAATTCTAATTAATATGAGACATTCTTTTATTCGCTATTTCAAAATGGAATCAGTTTTGTTAAAATACTTTTTAAACTCAGAAACCTGACTTGACTGTATATCAGAATTAAATTCTAAAATATAGGAGGCACTCTTTCGTTTGCTTTTCCCAAATAGAATCAGTTTTGGTCAATAAGAATTTTCTTACGTATTATTTGACAAATTATTATAATCTACGTACGGCCATGAACATAAAATATTGAATCTAAATCGATTTACTACTAAATTCGTAAGATTGACAATGAAATATAAAAATAAGAGCGTCTTCAATAAACTGTCCATCATGGTAGAAGGTCATAAATAATTTCACCTTTTGTCTTAAATTCCTTTCTAGCCATTGTTATTTCGCACCATTGCATTCACTTTTTATTCGCAAATTGACTTCCAGGAAATGAGTATGACGTCAAGTTTTAGGGAACAATACATCGATTCCACGTACTACCGGCATTTGATGGTATAGGAAACGAGAAGTGGCGATTTATTAGAAAAAGAAATGATTAAATTAACACATATAATAAGGTCGTAGTATAATTAGATATGAGGCTAAGAAAAATAATACTTCTGTTTACCGTTACTTGGGCCCAAAAGTCGGTTGGTCGAAAGATTTTTTTCAAGGGGTTTGACGGGTAAGATTAGACAGAACAAACTGGACTGATAAATTAAACCTTTAATAACCTATATCGATTCTTGCGTGTTATAGTCTTTTGTACACCATTTTAAGTACGGTAAAGTGTTTATTATTTATCGACGTTTGACGTCCGCTTCCCCTAGGGTGATATAGAACACAAATTCATTTCCTAGCTTTATTATTGAGTAGGTTCTGGAAAATAATATCGCTACTGATTGTTGTAAATACCGAAATGTTAGGGTTCGAATTTTCCAGCAGAAAACGATGCCAAGACCGATTTATACGACCTGGGAAATGAGAAAAAATGTTTAGGATCGGCGATTTTTGTTCACAATATAGGGCCGGGCGGTTAACCCTAAACATGGGTAATTTTTCTGGCCTTAAGTAAGGTCGTAGAGAACGTGGCCTACACAGTTAATCGATTATAGAGTTATCAAAGAGTTATTGCCTAGCGGAGATCATCGAGAAAATCCAACCATTAACAATGACCACGGACACTTTGAACGGATTAATATAAATATCAATGAAATGAAATGAAGTGGGGTTATACGGCCTAATTACATAACAACCGTCTATAGGTTGTGTGACCTTTGAAATACATATGTAGGTTCTAGCTTCGTGCCTTTAATATCTTTATTTATTTATTTATTTATTTTTGTTGCTGTCGAGCCCTGCTTTTGTATATTATTAATATATAATCGTTGTTAATGTGTATAGTACTCCTGAAGGGGGGGGGGGGAGAGAGAATAAAAATGGTATTTAGCATTGTTCTGCACCAACCGTCTAATAAAATCCGGTCATGCTGTGGGGTAAAATATCTATTCGTGGGTTCTGAGTATAATAATCATTCTGTAAGATTCATATTTAGGGATTGTGACAGAACAGAACGTTTCATACAGGTCTGTTGCTTGCCATGCTCTGCACCACTGTCGAGTGGAAACCTGTTTGGAATATCCCAACATAGAGATCGAACCCGGGATTTCCTGGTTATTGAGCTAGCTCAATACTCACCGAGACAACTTGGGAGTGGGGGTGGGGGGGGGCATCGAATCAAATAATCAAATAGTATTTATTTAGTCTTGGCAAAGCATTAATAAATGATAATAAATAAATTAACAAGGCGATATCAATCAAGAAGATTGCTGCTGATAGTGCAAATTGTACTCAATTAAAGGAGCCAAAGAGCAGTTGAGAGAGAGAGAGGGTTGGTGGGAGGTTTAACGTCCATTCGACACAAAGTATCGGTTTACTCGCAATGGAAGGATACCAAATTATTTATATCAACTTTTATGTTTTGATGTTTGCTCGACAGCTTAGAAATTAACCATCTATTGAGGCATAAATAAAATATCCAAATTCAATTATATCCGTATAAATATTCCATTGAATCAACGACTAATGACAGCGGTTCTATGTTACTCAACAGAAATAAATCAATGTGAAACAGTTTAATCACGTTTATATTTTTACATTTATCAAATCAAGTTGAAATAGGAACCCGGCGAATCAATAAACGCATCTTTGTTACATGGTCTGAACAAAACAAACTCAGATTTTGAGAAAAGGTCATACGGCGCATTTAGCAAATTTTATCATTTGTCTGAGAATATTCGGAGCTTCGTCGCTCAGTGGGTGCTGGCTCACTAATAAGGAGGCCAGGGGTTGGATACCGGCGTTGGCCTTGATTTTCAAGAGTGATTTCCCCTTGTCAGTGGTGCAGGCGGAGGGCCTGGCAAGGAACAGCATATAGTCGTTAGGAAGGTACACGTAAAAGAAACCTTGACAGCTGGAATTCATTTGTTGTCCGGGCAAATGCTGTCTGGCTCCATTAGCCCGATTGGTGCAGAAAAGTAGGACGTTAAACCCTATTTCAGTTATTCGCTTATTTTGAGAATATTCTCAAGTAAACGATCTATTACTCACATACATAAGTATGTACATGGATCCAACGGAAGCGTCAACAGATTTGCAGGAAAGAAATATTGACGTATTGACTTCTGTGAGATTCAAATGTTTACCAGACAATAGTAAACTTATTAATGGTCTTAACTCGCCATTTTTTTAATACACTTCTGCTAATATCATGGATTTACTATCGATAATCGATTAATCATTTTTTCAAAGGGAAATAATTCATCAATACGAGTATATTATGTCATTTTATTTTTGACCTTACGCAAGGCCTTTGATTAATGTAGCGTGTAGATAAATTTACGGTGCTAAAATAATCGATATTTGATTCCGGTAATACATGTAGAAGTTTAGAAAATAGGAAGTGACCGTTTTCCTGGGGTTTGTTCTTAAGTTATTATCGTAATGGATATTCTCAGTAAATGTAGATTATATCATTTTCGCTCAATACATGAGTGAAATATCTAAACGTTTCATTAATTGTTAACAATAATGCCGACCAGTGCTATAAACCGGATTGCGTGTTTGTTTGAGGATATTTAACTTCCGCACCCGTTCTATAAAAATGAATTTAGTTGATTATAATATTAAGATTCTATCACTAGGTATTAAATACGTACACCATATACATTTGCAATTATATTAGCGCTTTTTTTATCTGACTAAAACAAACCCTGTGTTGATTATTTACGCTAAGGATATTTTATTTCTGGGACCTGTTTCACGAAATTTTAACTAAGATAAAAATCCAAATTTTAGTAATTTGATTGGATAATATTAGGTTGACTTTAGTGCTTAGCCAATCAAAATTGAACTATCTACTAAAATTTGGATTTTATCTTTAGTTAAGATTTCGAGAAACGGGGCCCAGGCAAATGAGAGAGAGAGAGAGAAAAATGGGGTTTAACGTCCACTCGACACAAACTAGGTCATTTCGGGACTAACATAAATTTTAGCAGTGGGAGGAAACCGGAGGCCCCGGAGAAAACCCACGAGGTTGGACAGGCGACCCTACTCCTTGCCACGTACAACCGGGGATTCGAAACCACCCAGGCAAATGAACACAGTTTTTTTATATAGATGAATGTGACGACGAACGCGCGTTAACCGTGCACCACGAGGGATTTGGAATTCAAAGGTGAAGTTATATCGGGATTTACAAAATTAAACGAAACGCAATTACCATTCCATTTTAGTCTGAGTGGAAAGCGGCCCAGAATTCGTTGAGATTCAAATTCAAAACAGTCCAGATTGAACAGCAGTCGTTTGCGCCTACTTTGTCCATTCTACAACGTTTTTTTTATATCATTTTGTATTTCACATATTTTGGATAATATCGTGTTAAGAGGTTTAGCTCCTTTTGAATGTGTGTTTTTCTTGGTTTAAAATACAACTATACACAAACAACAATAATAATTTCCGCGTAATTGAAATGTTTGGTGACAGAAGGTATATTGGACAATGTCATGTTAATATATAATATCTAGATCTGTACATAGATAATGTTAATAGGCACAAAATGCCTCAAGAAACACATAAAAGGGTAAAATCAAGTTTAAAGATAATGATAGGCGAGACAAAATTTAGATCAGCAATGCTTGGATATTATTAGGCCAAATAAAAAAAATACCCTTGTTACGTTACTTGGCAACAAAAGATATGGCTGGTCGATGCGAATTTTTTTTCTTTTCTTTTTTTTTTCTTTCGGACGGGATGCAAACCCTAAATCCCGTGTAAACATTCGCGTGCACGTAAAAGAACCCTTGACAGTTGGAATTCGAACGAATAGTAGGCAGTACCTTATACTGCGTGGTGTATGCCCGAATTTATTTTGCCCAGGCGGTGCAGAAAAGTAGAGCGTTAACCACATTTTATTTCACTGCATACATAACTCATATGCATTGGAAAGATATTCGACTGAATGTCCCATTAAAACGACTATCATTATCATCGATATCGTCTTCTCGCCGCCTGTACAATATATTAATGATAATGTCGTGTATGATAGGTAATAAAGGAAAGTACTATTATCCATATCATTCCATGCGTGCTAATGTTTATCCTCAGATAAATAATCTCTTTTCACACCTTTAAGTATGTTGGACAAATCTCTTTATGGTGTCAGTCACCGTACCTTGCAGGCATAAATCTTATTATTAAAACAAACATTAAATAATTTCTTCTTCAAGTACAGTTAACACTAATTCACGAATGCAATTCAAACAATGCATTTCTCAAAATAACTCGTGTGTGTTAAAATGCCGATCTGCTAATATCAATCGTATAGTACAACAACATTGTCCAATGGGCTGCCACAGGGATCAGTTCGTGGTACATATATTCCCCAATTTGAGCAGCGGGTGTTCCAAGATAGAGACAATGCAAAGTATTGTGTGAATTATGGCGGATTACCCGGGAATTTTATAAAATGAGACGCTTTGAGACAAGTATCGGCTCATTTAGTAGATGCATGCATAGGATAAGAGTGCAATAAGGCCTAAACGACCCCCGCCCAACCCACCCCCATACACACACCTCCCGGACACGCGCCTGATATTTAGCATTTTCTACACATATTCTCGAAATATATTAACTTAAAGTAGCGAAGTCTCTAACTCAATATCATCCAAAGTCTTCGGCATTGAAAACACGAATTATTTGTCAATTTAAATTAACATTGATGTTGTGATTTTACCGGGCAAAGACGGGCTTCTGATATTCAATATTTAAGACAAACATTGTACCATTGGTACACGAATCGTGTACCACAATGCGATTCAGCGCCATTTGTAACAAGGGACCATATTCTATCTTGAGGGCATGAACAATAAATACTATCGGTGTAGATTGGAATAACTAGACGCTAGAGATTACAGATTACATATAACATTATTACATGCGTTGAGACTCATTCGTGTCAATTTCTAGGTCCCAAATATTAGCGACTTAGCCCCTTTAAGGGCTCCTTTAATCTATGTAAAACTTGAACTTTAAGTACTAGAAACTAAAAAAGATAGGAAGGGCGAGAATTAGCGTTTCTTCAACATTATGCATCCGTTACTGTTGAACTAACATATATCTTTAGAATATTTATTTTATTTTCTGTAAAGACGTGCATGAATGTTCACTATGACATACGAAATATTATTTTATAGTAATTAAATCGATAAATACTGTGTCCAATAGGTTTTTTTTTTGGTTTTTTTTTTAATTTGCTGAGGCAGTTGTTGATTAATATTACTCAAATTCACATTGGCGTGAAATCAGATATTATCATGTTTCTCAGCATGTAAATTTCACCCAGGGTAATAACATCAAATTTAGATCATGTTATTATTATATTAAAATTAAGTAGCACAATTGTTCAATCGATTAAATAAAAGTTACAGTAATGAAAATGAAATGAAGACGGGCATACGCCATACAGTGTGCTACGAGAGAGATTTTGTCCGGACAGCGGTGTTACGGCCTAGTCTTATATCAAACTCCCAACTGTTAATGGTTATTTTTATGTCTACGTATACACAGAACTTCGGGTTTTCGTCCCATTCAAACGACTAGACGCTGTCATTGCCAGGCCCTCCATCCTGCACCACTGACAAGGGGAAACCACACTGGAAAATCCCGGACAACTTTATCGGCCAACAACGAGACGGAACCCTGGAACACCAGGTTAGCGCCTTACTCAGTGAGCCAAAGCGACTATCGAAACGATATAGCGTAATACGCCAACCAGAAATATGAACACAAAGTTTAATCGTATATTTGATCAAATCTAATAAATAAAATTCTATACATATGCACATGCTCTTGGCTTAACTGTATATATATTAGTCGTAAACAATGTAATAAATCTCCTCCAATAAAATACGGTGTATATATATTCTATGTTTATCGTAAAAATATTAGCGGCAAACCATTTAATTAAATTTATTGCCAGTTTCGAATTTATCGCCGTAATGCTCATCTATCTATTATTCAATCAGCAATAAACAAATACAACACATTCACATAAAATTTATAGATAGTTTATGTTCTCCCATGTGCAATTTCAAAATAATATTAAATAACTTGATAACCCAAACATATACCATCTAGCTAAATTGACACTATACATGTGTACCATCGTTCAAACATTGATCAATACTCTATCAAGATTTCAACCACGCCTGTAACATTGATACACTTGTATGATCTGTACCGCTCTCAAACAATGATGATCTATAGTATTCGAACCACATATCAAGACTTATCAAGACTTATATCACCATCTCTAATAATGATGCTCCATCAGATTGAAACCATCTTTCAAGACTTATACCGCCACCTCTAATAATGGCGCGCCATCAGATTGAAACCATATATCATTGATATCAAGACTTATACAGGACCGGCGGAAGCAATTCTTGATTGCGGTGGGGGGGGGGGAGCTACCATCCTAGGCCTTGAAGCGAAACTCCTTGGGGTCTAGATCGAGAGACGCTTTCTGAGTGATTTCTGGCTGTACCATCACTCTAACATTGATTTATGATATATCAAGAATTAAACTTCTACTCTAACAATGTTGTTCTCAAAGTATCTGTACCTTCTCTTTAACATTGATACCACATCAACAACCCGGGGATATCTTCAATGCTACTTCATTGTTGTTATTTTAAATATAAATGAACATACTTTATCTGTTTTACCAAATACTACTACAGAACCTTATCTCGACCTTTAATACCTGATAATATTTAAATACGTCTAGAAACGAACCTCAACTTGAATAATACTTAAATGGGTCTGAAAACTTACCTCAACTTGAATACCCAATATTATTTCAATGGTGCTTGGTGGGGGTAGACTAACTGGTGGTTTATATAACAAACTTCTAACTTCGTTTTTCCATTCTGTATAATTTGGATTAGTTGGGGGACTTGACATTAGTTGTAGCACTGGACGGAATGCCTGAACTGATGAATTCGACCGATCTTGAACGAATTCCACATCTAATAAAATATAAATCTAACAGTTATTTATAATACAACTAATTAAATTGAAGCCCAACCAATCCTAACCCGTAGTTCAAATACAAAGTTCCAATCAGTGACTACAACAGCAGTGAGGCATTTTAAAGATACATTATGGGAGATTAGATAAAAAGCTGGCAGTTCTCACTATAATAGTTAACAACTAGATAATGTAAAGGGAATTGGCCTAAAATTTCAGTCAAATTGATCCACTCTGAACCGAGATTTTAGCGATTGAATTTTCGGTCTAGCCTCGATTATCATTACTAAAGTTGGTAAGATAAAAAAAATATAGTCTCGATTATCCATTTCATGATTAAATCAAGAATGAAAGTGGAGCAGTAAATGGTATCCTAATCGCAGGCTAGCGTTGAGATCGAGAGTTGATTATGCTCTGGATAAGTTAATTAATGTCTAATTAATAATTTAGATAACATTTCACGCTTAAAGAAAGGCCTGCAATAGGCAGATTTAGCTCTTGCATAATGTATGTTTAACGTATTATTCTAAACATATAGTAGATAGCAAAAAACACTCGTTATGTTGTGTACCATCGTGTATCGGGATACGGTCATTTTATAGCAGTTAACTGTTGTTAGTAAAGACTTCAAACAGCTGACAGTAGCTAATGAAGACTTCAAACAGTTGACAGTAATTAGTAAACACTTCACACAGTTGAGAGTAGCTAATAAAGACTTCAAGCAGTTGACAGTAATTAGTAAAGACTTCAAACAATTGATAGAAGTTAATAAATACTTCAAACAGTTGACGTTAAGTAGTAAAGACTGCAAACAGTTGACAGTAAGTAGTAAATATTGCAGTCAGTTGACAGAAGTAAAGACTTCAGACACTGTTGATAGTAATTAGTAAAGACTGCAAACAGTTATCGTTGAATTATTTATCTTATTCTTTGTTGGTTATCCTTTATCCGAGTCTACGAGTCGACATCTTAACACAAAACACGAACAGACTTGTTATTACCGTGTATGATTGTCATGTTGAGCGGTAGGGTGTCTTTAGTGGTGCTCTTTTCGTTGGGTAGATGTGGGAGGGGGGGGGGGTGTTAAACATCAAATCATATCTTACAGTTTTGTTTATTCGAGTGAACTTTACCTTAGAGATCATGGAATGACTTTAAGCGTTACCAGATAAGGCGTGACCCTTATCGACTGGACTATATTCCGAAGAATACCGAAAACTTCCGAAAAAAATCCGAAAAAGCACCGAAAATACTTTTTTTGGTACTAATTACCGAAAAAAATCCGACAAAAACTCTATATACCGAAACATCACTAAATACTGAACAAACAACAATAATTACCGAAAAATACCTAGCTCACACATACAAATGGGTCATAGGTCATGGTATAGACCACATATAAAAATTGTAGGGAAATCTGGGTCACGCATGAAAATGGTGGACATTCTAGGTGGGTAATGGGCCACGCTAGGCCACTCCTAAATATAGTGGGACACTAGTTATAAAACATCCTAATGCAGGTTGTAAGCATCTTTTAGTTTTTGGTGTTTTGATGTTCAGCAATCAACCGACGGTCGATATGCCAAGTTTGGAGGTAACAAAGAAAAAAAGAGGAAAGTCGGGGCAGCCTAAAAGTTCATCAAATAACTTTCGGTTTCCTACTAGTAAAAGACCATGCCCTACATGCAGAAAAAAAATATACAGGGGATCAGGACTGCATTAACTGTAATAAATGCAAACATTGATTTCATTCCACGTGCTCATATTGAAGACCTACTTCTGGTTATTTTTCGTGTGGACTTTGTGCCTTTAGTGATGACTTTTATAGATCATTACTACTATTTTCATTTGAACTTTAACGCTTGTAAACCCCGAGTGAAAGTTTCAGATATTAGCCATAAAATTGAGCTGGATTAAGTTGGCGAAGCACGCTCGCAAAGGAGTCTGTGGGTGAACTTAAGCGATTATCTCGCGGCCTGCTATTTAGAAACCATTTAGAGCCACGAAAGTGTCAAAATCGTTTAGATAAGTCAAAAAAGGACGTATATGGCCGTTTCCGCGTTGATGGGGGACACGGTTGTGGAAATATGGACTTTCTAAAGTTACCCTACCCACCCTGATTTGAGTTATAGACCATCAGTGGTGGACTATGACACAATAGACAATCAGTAGTGGAATATGACACAATAGACCACCAGTAGTGGAATATGACACAATAGGTCACCAGTGGTGGACTGGGGCCCACCGACTATTAGTGGTGGACTGGGAACACAGACAATCAGTGGTAGACTGGGACACACAATCAGTGGTGGACTATGACACAATAGACAATCAAAGGTGGACTGGGACACAGACCACCAATGGTAGACTGGGACACGCAGACGATCAACGGTGGGATGAGCCACATACCATCAGTGACGGAATGGGATACACAGACCTTCAGTGGTGGACTATGACGCAATATACCATCATTGGTGGACTGTGTCACAGACCATTAGTTCATAACGAAAATGCCGCGCTGAATGGTGTAAACGGAAGAAATTGCCGTCTGAAAAGACCCTAACCTGTGGCCCACCTAGAGTACCCCACAATTTTTATAAGTGACCTAGCCTGACCCATGAGCCACCTACAATGCCCACAAGTCTTATGAGGGACCTATTATGATCCATAACCAACCTTTATTTATTCGTGACCGATCGTGACCCAATACCCGTCTATTGTGTCCAGAATTTTTATGCCTGGCCTGGTCTGACCCATGTGTGCCCTAGGATTTTTTCGGTAATTAGTGGGGTTTTTCTCGGTATTTTTAGGTAATTAGTTGTTTCGGTATTTTTCGGTTATAGTGGCAAATTAGGACAACGTGTCGTGGTCTTATTATTTTGGTAATAAGTTATAGTATCGAAATATTGGTTAAATCAACCCTAAGCCCTAACCTATCAGGGCTTGGTAATTTCTCGGTATTTTTAGGTAATTAGTTTTTTTCGGTATTTTTCAGTTGTAGTGGCAAATTAGGAAAGCGTGTCGTGGTCTTATTTTTGGTAATAATTTATAGTATCGAAATATTGGTTAAATCAACCCCAAACCCTAACCCTTCGACACTTTCTTTACACCACATAGAAAAAAACAAACAAATTGTAAACAAATAAAAAGAACAATAGAGATAGAAAATCTGGTTATTATTGACTAGTTAGATATAAATATATACGATTTCTGATACCTTGAAACATGAGATTGTTATTACCAGCCACGTCATAGACTTCATCATCTCTGATACCAATAATAACATATTCTCCGGTATCTGTTAAACCCAATTTCTGTACAAATCTCACAAAATCTATAAAAGCTGCTGGATACGAATACATTACATACACTGAAAGGTAAAAAGTCAAATCTTTAGTGTCAAATTGTATAATGAAAATCAATAGTAATGGTAATAGAAAAATGAATCCCAAGAATATCAGTCTAGTTTCCCAGTCCCAAATGGTCAGGTTAATATGTCCAGGTTCCCTAAAAATTGGCCATTATAGGATGTGGACAGGTATTCATGAAGGCATCAAGATCAAACGGTATCGTTGAAACTAGTCTGGTTTAATCTAAATGTCATTTCCGGGTAAATGTATCCAATTGACAATTAGGACAAGTGATTACCAAAACAAGTATTGCCAGCTTTTTAAGTCAAATTTCTATTGGGTTTATTTTAATGGCTGTAGAACGGTAAAGCCTTTCAAGGGTCGCCGAAGTCGCAAAATTTACTTGGGCTGTCGTTCCATGAACCTTGGTTCCTTATGAAGCTGTCAAGGGGTTTAAATTTGAATTTAAACAAATATTTAGAGCAAAATGCGCTTAAAACTGCAACATTTTCTCCGGGGACTCACTCCCTAGATACCAAAAGGGTGCTTCTATCGATAGCTAGGGATATAATTTCAGACAAATTATTGAGCTGAATGGTCAATAATTATGAGATAAATGGTGAATAAAATTGAGCGGATTTGTCAATCAGATTGAGAAAGAGCTAGTTACTGAATAAGAATGGGCTGATTGGTATATAATAATTGGTTGATTAGTAAATAAGAATGGGATGATTAGGAAATAATAATGGTACGTTTAGGCAATAATCCCAACGTAAATATGTTAGGTATTTCCAAGAAAACCTATTTTATTTAAACAGGTCTGCGACTACTGTAGAAATACAATGTGATGTGATAGATATATCCATTCTAAGATTAAATTAAATATGAGCTAGGAGGATGATAAGGCTTGGGGGAATAGCATATCTACAAACTGTGTAATGTATAATCATATAAAAGAGAGAACTCCAACAACGAATTAGCTATTTTATGATCAGGAATATGGTTGTAACTAAATATGTAGGCTAACTGCTCTCAAGGCGTTTCAGGTCGTGATTTCCTTTCATCTGATATTCCGTATAAGCGGCATACACATCCAAATAATGGTGCTGGTTTAATAACTATGAGATCACGGGTTTAATCCCGGTATTGGGAATGAAATTTCCTCAGGTTTGTCCAGTCTAGTTAGTATTTGCATGGCAAATAAGTCTAGTCATGTACTCGTTTGTGTGAAGGACAAATTTCGCTCACATATTATACTGTATGACGTATACCCATCTTCATAAGCCCGGGTCTTGCAGATATGCAGGACGTTAAATCCCATTCATTTTATATAATTATTTCAAACTTTCTGATAAAGATTCAACAGTGTGAACTCCATTTAAAGTTTACATTACTTGCTTTAGATTTCACACCGCCATCTTTAATTTTTAGTAACTGTCGTTTGTTGTTTTAATTAAGTCTAAAGAAGATTTTCAGTGGCCTTAATTCAGTGGTATGGTGCGGGGCTCTTGCAAGGAACAGTGTCAAGTTGTTCGAATGCAAACATGCCCGCCTTCGTTAGCCCAACTGGAGTCAAAATGTAGCATGTTAAACCCCATTTCATTATTACTTTCTTGGGTTCATAATAATAATTTTACCATGATGTGTATTTTCAGAATATAAAATTATGAAATAAATTTGTATAATAACGGTAGTCTGTAAATGTACTAAAGAATTTCGTGATTTAGCAAGTAATACGGCCATATATCCCGTTCTAAGGTAGTCATTTTACGCTACTTATCGACCGGCTATAGATTTAAATAGGAAACTACTCATCTAATAACCTAGTCATTTTCTCATCATCAAAAAAATAAACGCTTGCAACAACATGCTCCCAGGTCATTATACCCTAGCAGAAGGCCATCTTCTATGATTATGAGCAGACTTCATATTTTGGCGTTTCATTGCTCTTAATGGTGCACTTGCGGGCAGTTGTTATGATCGACAGGCTGGACACTTTGGAATCTCAACTCTGATTCGAAACTAAACAGTGGATAGCGCATTGTTTAGGCCAAATGGAACTTTAAACATTATATAAGTCTAGAAGTGACTTACATTCCATAACCCCTCATTTAATACACATGACATGCTGTGATTCTTCTTAATTCCTTGAAAGGGCATTGCTATGTAACAGCCTTAAAGCTAGAATTATGTGTCGTTTTATTCTAGACTTGCACTTTTTAACCGGTACCCAAATTAGATTTACCATGTTGTATGTTAAAACATATTGCCTGCGGCTAATCGGTAAAGAAACTCAAAATAAGGATGGTGGTTCATCTTGGCTGGCATTGTCTAATTCTCTTGGAAGTGGTTTTTGTCTTAATATAATTAGTTGTAGATCATCTTTCAATTTACGGGTTTAGAACAGTAATTCATGGGTAGATGTTGTAATAGAAGTTGTTGTAACCCTGGTAATTTAACGTTTGCTGCCACAATAGCGGATAAACGTATAAACCTTTTACCGGTAAAATCCAGTGTTTCAAAGAGTGTATAAAATGACAATATAAAAGTGGTAGGTACTTAAACTTTACACTACACCAATTTCACACCGATCAAAGAATACTCTTCAAGAGAGAGAGGGAGAGAGAGATGGCGAGAAGGAAAGAGTGAGAGAGAAGGATGGAATACAAACTAGGTCATTTCGGGACTAACATGGTACAATCATAATTCAGCCATTATTTTGTGCGTAGGGGTCATTAGCAGTGGGACGGGGGGGGGGGGGCGAGAGAAAACCAAAAGGGTTAGGCCGGCGACCCTACTGGCCTAGTTTCGAGGCCACGCCGCTCGACTTAATGACAGGCCCCATGATCTAAAGTGCACATGTTTGACACCCCATCCCTCTGTTTTCAATGTAAAAGCTGAGACTACGCCAATTTTTAACCAGATTACTTTAGCGTTAAGTTTGGTCTTTCGCCATGAATAACAATAATGATTAATGTAGCTATTCCCTTTCATTTCTTTGATCTCAACTACCAAAGGATGATAAATGATAAATAATTCATCTCTAAAGGTCAAAAGTTCCTCCCCCCCCCCCCGCCTCGACTCAGAAGTTCGATAAATAAAAGAGCTGAACTTCCTAGTGTGTTGTAGTATTTTGAAAAGTTTTCAAAATTGAAACCTGGTGTATAATGGGTAGTTACAGATCAAGTTTGAGATACCTCACATTGCTCGCGTTGTGTTTAACGAAAGTCATGAAACTTTATTTTTTTTTGCCAAAATGCGTTGCGATACTGAAGTAACAGTGTGTAGATCAAGTTTGAGTTATTTTCCAATCGGCCCCCATTACTAGAGTTAAGTTCCTTGTATTTCATAAAGCAAAATCATGGAAATTTCAGTTTTCCAGAATTCTCTTCGTACAGTTCTTTGGAATATTGAACTAAAGTTTTATGGAACAGAAACTTTGTACTGCTAGTAGTTACAGGTCGAACTATGGTCTCATCACGGTTGACCTTTTTCTGACTGTAGGCATTCTTGTCATTATGACACGCCTTCATTGTTGTATTTATAGAACTATTGATTTGTATACTATGAATGTGTTAAATATCCTTTAGCATTCAATTAATTAAAGTAACAGTGCGTCATTTGTATTTTTCACTATAATATTAAAATTGTCAGGGCTGTTAGATACACGCTCATATGTACATGTATTCAGATTTATTATTTAACATTCAAGAAATAATATCCTGGCTTAGATTCAATCGGATATTGAACACGCCCATCGATTCTGTTCTCCCATAACAAAATGGCGGCGGGCGTATTACATAGCGAGCACCATAGATCGATGAAATACTAATTCAACATATTTTTGTAAATACTGAACCCGGTTTGGACATAAATTCCTAGAGATTTATCTTTCACAGTATTGTAGTTTTCAAGTGATTCCATTTGCACTAAAATGACGCAATGAGACATTAATAACACTGTAGATATTGGTTATATATATAGTTACTATATATATAGTATGATTTTAAACACCGCCCACCCCAAACCCCACCCTCACACACACACACCTAAACACATACACACACACACTCCGACTTATGTTTGAAAATTGTAGGTTGTGCATACGGTTTTCTCCCGTGGATATTTATCAATTCGTTATAAGGAAAGGGATTGTTAAGGTCGTTACCATGGGTATTGTTCGCTTCATATTGTGACACGGATAATATTTCCTTTATTCCTAAATAATCTGTATATATGCATGAAAAATCCAATATATTTAGAGTAATTATTTTTCTATTTTTATATATTCTGTTTCAGAACGCCTGGTCCTTCCGGTATTACATACAATAATTATTTAATATCTGTTTCGAAATGCGAAGTATAACTTTTCCAAATAATAACATTTTTTGAAACTATACAAAATTCAAAATATATGCCTGTGCTTTATAGAGTGATTGCCATAGCGCCACTGTCCTGGCAAAATGTCCTTCATGGCACACTGTATGGCGTATGTCCGTCTTCATTAGTCCAGTCGGAGCAGAACAGTAGGGCGTTAAACCACATTTCATTTTCTCGAATTCCAAATGACGAGGGCTCTTTTCCGTGCACGTCAACATCTACACGTACGTAACTATTTATTGGGGGCTCATCCGAATGACTAGACGTGTACAACTGAAGAAAATGAACCCGACTGGAAAATACGGAGAATCTTTCTCGTTCAACAGTGGGATCGAACGCGAGACCTCCTAGTTAGGTACGTGAACCAGTGTCAAGCTCACTGAGCAATCGTGACTTTCTAAGCAACTATGTAGCAACTAACAAACTAAAACGAGATCCTTACTTTCATTTATAAATGGAATAAAATACAAGGGGGTGATGTGACAGTCAGTTCATTAGCAGCTAACAAACAACTACTTCTATTCCTTTTCGCTGCAATTCCAATATGAATGGTGGACGGATTCTGGTATCTTGCCAATTAAACATGTTACTTAAATAGTGCGAACGTTAGCAGTGGCAGCACCATTACATAAGCGTGCCCCATTATTCACCAGAAAGAATTTATTCCCCACCCCTTTCGATGTCACAGAGAATAGCAGGTGAAACTTTGTAATACACCACAATATCGAAGTCCTAAGGGGTATATAAACAACTGCGCCCAGGAATACACATATTATTATATTTTAGAAAAATGATACCACAAAAGAAACCATTAATCATAACTATTTATGACCCTGTGTTGATGCACACCAAACAATTATGTCACGGAAAGGAAAAAGGAGATGTTTATTATATTACAATACGTATATCCATTAATATAAATTATCGACATAACACACTACGAAGTATGTGAATTATATAGTAAAATTATATAGTTCGAGCGTACCGTATTGGCCAGAAATCTTGCATGACGTCATCGCAACCATATTGGAATTCTGGAATCGAGTTCTTCAACCGATGCGCAAATGATCAAGTAACGAACATGCCAAGTTTCATATCAATCTTACTTGAATTGACGGAGCCATAGATTTTTTTGTTGAAGAGTGTAGCCCATACGAACAACAGCAAAAAAAATGAGTAGCTCTTGTGGCCCAGTTTCTGGGCCAAAAATAACAATTACCTTTGTATCTACGGAAATGTTCGAATATACTTACCTCGAGTTTGAAGGTACGTCTTCATCACTAGAGACTGGATTTCATTAAAATTTTCAAAAGAACCGTAAGGACCGGTGAAATTGACCAAAGCATTAACTGTCATATTGTTGAACTCGGCCAACGCCTTCAGTTTTTCAGCTGCACGAATCATAAGGTCTCTTCTTTCTACGACTATAGTAAATTTATTCCATTTATAATGTTGCATTAAAGCTATCACAGATTTTGCTGATAAGGTACTTGGGGGTTGAGTTCGGGCGAATGTTGGGAATCTCACCTTATCCGAAACAACGGGATCATCACATTTCTGAAAATAGAAAATCATAATAGTAAATGTCTATTAAGCTCCACAGAAATATACCCCTAGAGTCTTTGGCTGATAGTTATAACTTGTTTGAAACAAATGAGCTTTATACAGTTTCTTGAATGATGTTAAGGATGTACATTGGCGAAGGTTAACAAACAGTGAAGGATAGGGACGTTTCCATTTACGCATTTAAAAAAAAGTGGGAACAGTGGAGCACTCTATATCATTTAGAAGGGATGTGATGGGGCGGGATCTAGCTGATTTGGTCAACATAATGACACTTTGGCAGTAGAGTTCTGTATTCGTTTTAGGCGCTTAAAATGACATTGTCGGAGATCTGCAAGAAGGCTGTTGCAATTATTAGCAGTTCAAGAATTGTTCAGTTCCTTTCAGAATTTACAAAGATATGTTGTTTCAATGGTATTTAGTAATTGAACTGGAATATACAGGTCATAAGCAGTAATTGTATTCCATAGAATCATGATCTCTCTATACAAACATGTGATGAACTGAACATTTCCCAACATGCTGAATCACCAGAAACAAGTTAGCGCCACCTCTATATGCGGGGTAGCATCCTTACGTGACCATCTTTTAATCCTATTGAATCTAAGCCGGGAGATTATCTCCCGTTGATATCTTTATTTTGTTTTCTTAATTAAATGTTAAATACTCAATTTGAGTATTGACCTAAAAATGCAAATGACAGTCAACAGTCAACATATGGTTCAATTTTATTTCAATAATTCGCTTGCGCGTAGGGGTCTTCAGCAGTGGGACTGGGAGGGAACTGGGGAGCCCGGAGAAAACCCACGAGATTGGACAGGCTACCCTACTCCTTGTCACGTACAACCGGGGAATCGAAACCACTCCAGTTGACTCAATGACATACCTTATCATACAACGCGCACGTGCTAACCCCCCTGTTTATCAAGGGCTACTATATTAATTTTTATGTTTACGCGATCGCCATATCTATTTATCTACAAACGTAAAGCCAACTTAAAAAAGACAAAAGAATAAAATTCTAAAACGAGATAAAAAAAATTATACAGTTTGATAAATTGATCAATTTAACGGACAATTAACGGCTATCTTGACCAGTAAATAACTCCAATTATCTTCATCTAATTTTCTGTACAAATCTAGGGAAAGCTATAGAAAATAGAAAAAGTATGTTGTCAATAAGTCAATTATTTCACAATCCAATTGCGTTCTTTGTCCACAATCTATAGAAACTTATCGTGACCACTATTAAACCTATTATTGGCCTTCATACTAGAAGATGCTTTCATTCATAACAAAAGACTTAAATGTCATAAAAAAAATCATTTTATTTAAATATCGACCAGGCGTACATTTTCAAAATATAATACATTTCTGTTCAATCGACACACAAAAAGAAACACACAGGGCTTCTTTCTGCACAATTTTCTCGAATTGTATCCTTCGGTTTAATTTCCGTAAATGATTCCGTACGTCCTTAATAAACCTTATCCGAGAGACTGTTCCAGATGGAGTAATCCATCGGAGTTAGAGTTAAGTTGTTAAACATCCATGTTGTGGGGAACTTTTACCACATGTGAAATTTTAATGATATATACTATTCAAAAAAAGTAGGGGATATTTGATTTTTAAGTGTTATTAAAGTCACCTAATGAAACTGACGAAGAAACAAATGACAAAATGAAATGAAGTTCACATTCATCGATTTATTCCAAATGATCGTTAGACTAAGTAAGGCACAGACTGACCATTATAAGGCTAAAATGATACCCGGGGTCAAACAGCAAAGTTACCACAGCATCACAACCAAGTCAGTAACGGGTAAATCCTCCTCTGTTTGCCAAACAAGCATTGATCCGACGTGGCATACTCCTAATGAGACGTCTAAGGTCATTTTGGTCCAGATTGTCCCATTCCTGTTGCAACGCAGCAGCAAGTTCTTGGACATTGGCAGGACGTTGTTGACGTTGACGTAACCTCTGTCCAAGCATGTCCCAGACATGCTCGATGGGGGAGAGGTCGGGACTCAGTGCTGGCCAAGGTAATGTGGTGATGTTCTGTTGTTGGAGGTAACCTGTAACGATCCTGGCCAGGTGACATCTTGCGTTGTCATCCTGGAAGATGAAACGGCGGCCATGACGTCGTGCGAACGGCACAACATGGACTGCCAAGATGTTGTCCCGGTAGTACTGGCCTGTAACACGCCCTGCAACAACATGTAAAGCCGTTCTTCCAGCAACAGTGATGCCTCCCCACACCATAACAGAACCACCCCCAAATCGATCATGTCTGATGACGTTAACGTCTTGGAAGCGCTCGTTTCGACGACGCCACACCCTCCTACGTCTGTCCAAAAAATCAACAGTGAACCTTGACTCATCTGAAAACATCACATTGCTCCAGCGTCGATTATCCCGGTGTTGACGATCCCTACACCAACGACGTCTTGCCTGAATGTGATGATCTGTCAAACAAGGGATCACGCGAGGACGTCGGGCGCGAAGGTGACCCCTATGCAGTCGATTCCGAATCGTCTGGCCACTCACTCTCACACCAGTGTCTGTTTGAAGACGAACGCTGATCTGATTTGCTGTGATGACACGATTTCTCAAGGCCAAGGTACGGATAAATCGATCCTGGGCTTGGGTTGTCGCCCTTGGTCGACCTGAGCGTGGTCTGTCCTGTACAGATTGTGTATCACGGTATCTGGACCATAGCCTGCTTATGACAGACTGAGAAACATTCATCGTCCGCGCCACAACCGCCTGTGTTGTGCCGATCTGTAGCATGCCAAGGGCACGTAACCTTTCATTTTGGGTAAGCCGACGCATATCAAAATTTGTTTTCTGGTCACTAAAACAATTAAACTGATGTTTCCACCCTGGAATTCAATGCCACAATGACTGTAACATTCAAAGTCAGAGTCGTGCAAATCTTGGGTTGGACCCCCATGATGATCCCAAGCATCACCTGCATTCCATGCGGTAGCTATTGGTAAGTTTGGTATGTCACATGTAACTGGAAATGTTTCTTCTGTTAGGTTCTATAGTGACTTTTTTCGTAGTCATTTGCATATTTTAGTATTATGCCCCCAAAATCAAATATCCCCTACTTTTTTTGAATAGTAGGTATAATACTTTTTTGAATTATTAAACTTTAACAGGTGTACAGGTTTTTTTCTGGGCCACTCGATATATCTACTTTATGTCAGTCGCCCATGTCCCATATAAAATAGAACATCGGTGCCATCTGTACATATTTAATTACTTCAGGTTATTAAGAAAAGTTGAAAACGATAATGATGTATAATATTGTTGGTTAAATAGATTTCTCTATAAGATGAAGGCATATATTATTCATATTACTTCAGAACATTCCTAAAATATTTAACTAAAAGGGTAATTTAATCATGTATAGAATTCACTCTCTGTTCTCCGTAGGGGTACGAGAAACAATTGCCGAAAAATAATACATAGATAGGCTGATGTTAATTCAGAACTTTACAGATGAGTAAGCAATTTCACCAAGGATGTGTCATCTATTGACCGGCAAACCACCAAACATTCTCTACTTGTTATAGGAAGATGAGTATCAAATTTAATACTGACACATCAATAGGAAGTGGTTTATATAGGGATAGTAGACAGGGGACATATACATATCAACCCTGACTTGTAACGGTACAAATTGCGTTTTTCTTATCATACAAAAATCAGACCCCTTATCCCATGTATTCGTTATCTGATATTCTTGTTTTGTATAAAATATGCCAGTCCCTATTTTAACCTTAGATATGTTTTTAAAAAGATGTTTATTCATTTCCATTAGTAGTTACAGTGTCACTTTTCAAATTAAATATTTATCTTTGCGTTGAGCATAGAAACACAAGATGTTCCGTACTGCTGTCGGGAGCTCAAATTCGACAGTTGATCCTTTAAAGGGTGTGAAATATATGCTTCGTCCGTCCTTTTATCATTTTAAAAACATGTTTATTCATTTCAATAAGTAGTTACATTGTCACTTTTAAAATTAAATATCCACCGGTGATCGTATAGAGTTGGCGATAAAATATAACGTGTCACTTGGTGTCCTATTGCTTCAATAGGGGCTTCTACACAGTTGGTTTGAGTTGGCCATTTAAAGTGTAAAGAATATATGCCTCGTCCTTTCCTGATTTATATCAAAATTTCTATATTCCAATATATTGCAAGGGAATAATAAACATTTAATCACATGTAACGTCTATGAATCTAAGTCTTAACAATACAAGCAAACTTTCTATTATTAGTATATATATTGATACGAATTGTAATTTTCTTTGATATTATTAGAAACTTAAGAAGACAAATCGCCTAAAAAATGGATTTGATAAATGTTTAGGCTTATCGAATCAATTGAGGTATACTCACTAAACAAGGGAACTATTTGGCAAAGCGGACACACACAAAACAAAACAACACAACAGAAACCAAAAACAAGTATACAAAAATAAACAAACAAAAGCAAACGCAAATTGATTTAAATCAAAAGCATCAAACTGATTCGAGCTATTAACTAGATAAACCTAGACCACATATAACTTTCACAAAATTAATAAACGTAGCATAAGGTGGTCCTGTAGAGCAACCATGCCCTGCTTGACGCATGACATCCACCAAAATTTGTAGTTAAAACACAAACATATGGAAGATTCGTTCGGATGGGACGTGCACATGCTGGCGTGCACGTAAAAGAACCCTTGGAACAATTGGAATTCGATATAAGAGTAGGTCGTACCGCCACTGTCCTGACAAAATATCCCTCATAGCACACTGTATGGCGTGCTAATTGTATAGCAGGTTGGGGAGGTTGGGGTATTCCAGAGTCCACAATGGCTGCATTATGGAAATGATAATTTTGATGAATACTAAACCTAAGCCTAACCCTTTTTAGAAGACTTAAATTTTATCTTTTACCACTCATAAAAGTGTTAGGGTTAGGGTTAGTATTCCCCCAAAATACTCATTTATAAAAAGCGGCCATTGTATACCTCCCCAATCGGCCTACAATTAGCATCTCCTCCGTATGGCGTATGCCCGTCTTCATGATTAGCCCAATCGGCGAAAATAGTATAAGGATGTTAAACCTCATTTCAATTGATTTAACTTCATATTTTAAATATACCAAAATAATACAAACATATATGTGCAATATGTTTTTACAAAACACATATTTTATATCCTCAAGAAAAACTGATCATCGACTAAAAACCCAACCCTATTTTTTATCATCAAAGCGTAGAAATAAAACGGTTATAAAAAGAAAACTGAGGGTTGTTGACGATGGCAAGATAAGATAATTGAATATTAAAATAACTACCCCTCGGTATCAGTTTTTATTTGTTATACGAGTCACGTGAGTGGTAAATAGTTTCCGGTTATTTTTGACGATTGCCCGATATATGATATCATCAATATAAGAATTATTTAGTTTGAAATTGCTGTGACGTATTACTAACACTCCTTCGTGCATTTTAACATGTAGGCCTTTCTAATTCTTTCGGAGTGTTTTAGGTATAAAGGGTAAACGAAACTGTTAAAAATGAAAATAGGGTTTAACATCCGGGCTAATGAAGATGAGCAAAAACAATACAGTCTTCTGTGAGGCTACGTTTGCCTGGATCGCGGCGGGGGGTGGATGGCTGAATGGTTAGCACGTGCGCGCTGTACCATAAAGTCTGTCAGTCATTGAGTCAACTGGCGTGGTTTCGGTTCCCCGATTGTACGTGACAAGGAGTAGGGTTGCCTGTCCAACTTCGTGGGTTTTCTCCGGGTCCTCCGGTTTCCTCCCACTGTTAAGATTCCTACGTGCAAGCGAATTATGGAAATAAAATTGAATCATATGTACGTCCTGAAATGACCTGGTTTGTGTCGAGTGGACGTTAAGCCCCATTTCTCTATCTCTTTCTCTCTCTCTCTCTCTCTCTGGATCGTGGCGCTGCTCGAATTCAAACTGTCTGTGGTTCTTTTATGCGCACGCTTACGTGTACGCGGACCTCGGGTTTCCTTCACATCCGTATGACTAGGCGCTGTTTCGTGCCAGGCCCTCCCTCCTGCACCACTGACATAATGCAAGATACCGGTTACTACTTATTTTCCATTTTACATACAGACTGTAAGACGTCAGAGTAAACTTCTTTTTTCATTTTTCCAAAGAAACCCATCCTTATGGGGGAAATTGGTGTTTTTCGTCCCATTGGATTGGCTAGGCGTTGTTCATTGCTAGACCCTTCGTCCTGCACCACTAAGAAGGAGAACTCACACGGGGGGAAACCCGGGAAAATCCTTCCGCCAATATCGGGTTCGAACCCAGGACACTTTGTTTTGGTGAAAACGCGCCTTACTGAGCCAGTGCTGCTCCGTTAGAGAAAAAGGCATAGATCTGTACAACTTAATAGCGCACCTAGACACTGGCAAGTTATAGGAGTCGTCATAAATTTACAGTATTATTTCATTTTTAATACTTATTAAAATAAGGTCGCTTTCGCCCTAGGTGATATACACCTTGAAAAAATGGGCTGTATCCAAATATTTTTTCTCAGATCGGACCGCTTACAAAGTAGGTTTGCGCTCATGGTGATTGATAATCTAACAATATCAATATACGGTTGAAGATTTTCATTTAGCTCGATCGAACATACTCTAGACTTAAATATCCGATCTCAATCCTTTTATCAATAACTATAGTATCATTGCATTATATAATGTCAATTTGTAATATTGCGATTCTTCCGTAAGTCGATATGCTGTCCTATTACGTCGATTTAGGCGTAGAATGGTCAACGTTAATGAACATACAACGTAACTCAACCAATTAGCCCTTAAATCATACATACAAACTCATCATTTCTTACCAAAACGCATTATTATCGAAAGTCGATGGTGGTGTGTGGGGGTGGGGGGCGGAGCAGGGTGGGGGGGGGGGCGCCGGTTAACGGGACAATACCACCAATAATTTCAAAAATCTTAACATACAAAGATTTATATTTTCCACCAGTATATAACTGATCATAATTTTATGGATTGAATGAGTGATACAATTAAAGAGTGCAATTTTTATTTATTCTCTAATTGTAAATTTTAACCATTATAGCTATTATTTTTGAAATTATAGACTGGTTACCGCCCTTATTTTTGCTAGGGTTTTGCCATGGTGGCTTAATGTCGTGAGTCACGTGATCAGTCGCATTCTTTGAATCATTTCTTTCTTGTGCCCAGTGTATAGAGTTCATTTCTTTTGAAATTATAGACTGGTTACCGCCCTTATTTTTGCTAGGGTTTTGCCATGGTGGCTTAATGACGTGAGTCACGTGATCAGTCGCATTCTTTGAATCATTTCTTTCTTGTGCCCAGTGTATAGAGTTCATTTCTTCTTCTTTCTTTTTTTGAAGAGCGAGGGGGGGGGGGGGATTTCTATTTTGGTAATTCAATACACTCATTCCTATATTTTCATATATTTCCCAAATACTTGTGAGTTTAAAAAGAACGATTACTTCGATCATTTCAGCAAAATGAATGCATCTACATTGAGGTTTCTTATGAGCACACGGCTTGTCTTGATATACCGTATAATAACATAATGTTTGGGAATGCTTTTGAGTAGTTTCCCTTGTTATGAGATGGTTTTCATTTTGAGTGAAACATATATCGTTGGGTCTGGGACTGTATTATGTGTTTGGTTATGCAGTGTTCTGTTGTTGTGTGTGTTGCGGTTCTCCCGCTTTTACCATTAGATATGATAGCAAGTGTAGGAGGATTGCAACAAACACATCTATAAATAAACACAAAATAGAAAAACAACAAAATACCCTGACATTAACAAAACACTGACATTGTAAGCCATTGGATAAATAAAAAGTAAATGGCTGCGGGCATCGGTGTCGTAGTTTACATACTATCATATAGTATCTAATCACCACACTTCAGGCAGAACATATTTCTTACGGGTCGTAAACCATGGCCAACAAGTTTTTGGTGATCCAATGCCCAATCCCAGGCCAACAAAGAACATACACCAGTAATAAAACATGGTACTAAATGTGGTTCAAAGACGTCTGGAAATATAAAAACCTGTCACGTGTTGTTCAGATGAAATTTGACAGGATTTAGTTTACCAATTATTGAAGGCTGGCTTTACTAAATCTATTTAATGTTTTAGCATGTCGGGGAAAAAAGACATTACCACAGAATGAAGTATTTTTATAATCTAATATCTGGAAAAGACGAACAGCAGACCACATGCTGTGCGTTCGAAAGATATTAGTCAATATAATACTATATAAGCCCACATCAGCACAAATGGGGGGAGGGGGCAAATAAAGAAATGAATTTTTACGTTCACTCTAGAGAGGTCATTTCTGGACTGAGATGTATTTCATTATGCATACGGGTCATAAACAGTGAATCTGTCAAAGGAAATGCACAGGGTTAATTAAATACGGTAAACCTGTATAATCGCGGTGTAAGCAAAGATGATAATATTTCCCAAAGATCCGCCCGACCGAAGAAATAGCACGATTCGGAGGAAGCCACTGTGGCTTGGTGATTAGGGCGCTGGCTGACTAACCAGGGAATCCGATGTTGGGTCACAGTGTTGACCGAGAGAGTTCCCCAGAGTGGTTTCCCCTTGCCAATGGTGCAGGGCAGGGGCCTGGCAAGGAACAGTGTCTAGTCGTTCGGTGGGACGAAAAGCTAAGGTCGGGTGAATAAGGAAAGTTCTTTTTTTATGATTTGATTTCTGAAACAAAAAATACACAAAATATATTTTTTAAAACACTTACGTAGGATATCATTGGTAGGTTCCATGCTGCTGCTACACTGGCTTCAATTTCACAGTAATCTTCCGGGCCGAAAAAGGCGATGGCACCCTTTTTCCATTGCTCCGTTTCAACACTGATACTAACAAAGGGATCATCCAAATTATCTCCGAATAAAAAATGCAGGGTATGATTAGTTAATACACTGGGATTGCTATTTACATGATCAATGGCCAGTTTCATGGCCCCTGCTATTTTTCTGCCCTGAGCTTTACTTCTATCCGCGATATTCAAAGTTGTGATAAACCCCACGGTGAAGTTATCACAATTACAGTATTTTAAATAAATTAATAAAGTTACACAAGAAACTAATATAAAATGCATATTGAATCAGGTAAGACGAGTTAAGATGGCGTCGTAATTTATGATACTAATAAAGATACTATCCAATTCAAATCTTGCATAAAACGCATCACCGTTTTCACATTACCTTAAACAATTTTTTCTGAACAATTTTCTGTTATTTCATTTCTTTTAGCCCTGCTGCAACACACACGATTTAATAACATTATTAAAAGTCTACACTAGTCGTCTAAAATCCATATAAACACTACCCAAAACACAACATAGAATATACGTTACTCTCGTGTTATATTCCACTATTAATTAATGTCATTTTGTGTTGTTAAGTACGTTACACCGATAATATTATCCCGTGGATTCCAACGCTGTAATGTCAAGCATGTATTGCTGCTGCACTGACGTTCCTGGATTTTTTTTCAAAATACCCTGCAGTATACTAATGAAGAATTCCGTTATTTCATAATATTTAAAAGTTTGCGTTCTTTATTAATATGATCGTTTCCTGCTCTTTCGATTTGTTTTTCATGCGTTCTTCATAGATTACGGAAGTGTGCTGTATTAACTTCAGATTCCGTTGGGTGGATCAAAAAACATAATCCTTAATGCATATCCAAAAGAACATAATATTATTAATCCATTAGCCATGATGTCACGATTGATAACCATCTTTTATCATTCCATGAAAAAAATATTATCATTATCAATGCTCTAGTCAGGGCGACTTGTCCGTATAACAGTTAAAAATTTCCAAATAAATAAAAGTCCAACGAAACACAATTGGGTCAGTGTATGACAGTCATTGAATTCATGTATAGATGTTATCTTTAGGGTTTCTCATCAACTGTGCCCAAGGGTACGGGCTACGCTCAACTGACTCTTCGTAGTCGTTAGTTTACCTTTTCGCTTGTCGTCTGCTCAATGTTGGATGTGAAATCCAGCCAATATCCGCCTCGAGTAACAGTGAACTATCCGATCGCTATCTCGATCTATAGCCAATTTCATCGATGCTTCGGGCTTCGATTCTCACCAGTACGTAAACTCTCCCCTAACAATAATTCTGACGAGCTTTATAGCTTTGTTAGATTTACGGGGTAGGGCAAAGTCAATACAGGCGATTTCGCGATAAACTGTTGGATTATCGCCTTTCGTCATTCATGACTAGCTTTAAATAGTATAATTTGCTGTTTGCGAACATCAAAATGACAAATCGAGCTCGAAGTACGCTAATTACGATGTAATTGTGTATTTTAAGTAAGCGAATCAAAACACTTTATGCCTTTCCTCGCATCTATAAGTGTATTAAAAGTATTATAACGGAATGAATCTCGGATAACATTTTTTTATAATCAAATATATCTAATTTTAATTTGGAGTCGCGTTACAAAAATGACCGCCCTGTTATAAAAAAACCCCAACGACTAATATTTAACAAAGAAAAGACCAAAATATGCAAGTGGGGTGGAGTGCAATGATATGATCAGTGCGCCTACAATTTTTTTTGTATCAAACTGCTAGAGATTCTTGAACGCTAATTCGACCCCTAAAGAGAATTATTGTTATTATCCGCGATATTTCCGGTAGTCATACAGGTGATGAAAAGGGGAGATTCAGCTTTATTCAGGAGCAGGTGGATTCATTCTGGATAGTACATTCTTCCTAATAGGTCGCATAATTGTAACCACTGACTTTTTACCTCGGTGAAAATATGTCATCTTTACCTCGGTGAAAATATTTCATCTTTACCTCGGTGGAAATATTTAAATATTTCATATTTTTTTTATTGTTTGGGGACGGTGTGGGGGGAGGGGCGACTAGTTCATATCTTTTTTAATGTTTTTGTATATTATAATATCGAAACGTTGTCTAAGATTATATTCACTCTGACGTTAGTAGGTTTTATACGTTTTTGTATATTATAATATCGAAATATTGTCTTAGATTAAATTCACTCCGACATTAGCTGGTTTTAAGTGTTTCTGTATATTATACATTTTGTTTTATCCGAGTATAACATAATTCATTGGCAGACAATTATAGGTTATGTTAAATACTTAATTTTAATATATATGGTTAACATGGATTAAGCCGTGAAAAATTCGATATTGTCCGAAGAAATGCAAATAATGATCAACGGTTTAGAAACGTTTACATATCTGTTTACAATGCCATTTAATGTCTGTATATACACCAGGAAGTATTGATAATAATAAAGTGTATTTATCGCTAAAGGCTCGAAAATGTGGCAAAAATAAAATGTGTAGTTTCGTAATGGAAATGTTGGGAGAACATAATATTATACATAAAATCAATAAGAAACTTAATAAACACAAAAACATAATATGGAACAAAATTACTATTTTAATTAAAGCGACGTTTCGTTGAGGGTTCTCTCAACGTTTTAAAGCAAATGATAATGAAAATATGTGTAAGTTAGTTGTATTTTACGCCCGCTTCCACCGAGGTGATATCGCAGACAAGATAATCAAAATAATGTACAGAACAAAAACAAGTAACAGCTAATTAATCATAATCAACAGGAAAACCATTTAATATATTAAGTCAATCTCCGATATGAGAATAAAAGCTTATGAAATCATGTACACAACATATATAACAACTAATTATAGCCAATAAACCATTGGGGAAACCACTAATCATAGTAAAGTTACAGGTCAAAGGGAAACTTATAATAACGTACAAAATAAATTACATGTGTCTGCGATATCACCTCGGTGGAAGCGGACGTTAAATAAAGCTATTTCACACATGTTTTCAATCATTTGCTTGAAAACGTTGAGAGAACCCTCAACGAAACGTCACTTTAATTAAAATAGTAATTGTGTTCCATATTATGTTTTTGTGTTTATTACGTTATGTCAATTGCTAAGAAAATAAGAAACTTGTTAAAACTATATGGACTAGGCTACATATTAATCAACATCTATATACGTAATAGGTATATCCAGTATCACAACAGTGTGTGGCGGTATATACGCTTACTTTTTTAAAATTACGTGCATTATATAATATTTTACTTGATATAATAGTTCAAAAATAGATAATGAAACATGAATATATTGAAACTTTCGTCAAATTACTTTATTCTGAGCAATTTAAGGCTCTATTCTGCTCAATAACCTTTTTTGATTCCTTCATAAGCAAATAAGGTTTGATACAAAATGGGAACCAGCACTTGGGTTCACCACACTCCAACCCGCACAAGTAAATTTAAGTCACCTTTTCATGATCAGTCGTATCTAAACTAAAATAAATTTTAGCGCCAAATATTTCGAGAACTGTATATATACTCTTCAAAAAAAGTAGGGGATATTGAAATGCAAATACCTATGCAGGTTGTGATATGATAAATAGTCATGGACACTTGGCATGCTTTGAGAGTATTTTCACAGATGAAGACGTTATCGCCCCAACAGAACCACTGAACTGCACATGCGACACGCAATAGCGCCATACACGTGGGGGGGGGGGGCGTTCATTGTCAAATTTGACACTTCAAGGAAGGGTTGATGAAAACTGCCGCGTGCTGGTTTATCTTTACCATGTTTGCTTTCCTATCGGTTCTTGCATAAGATTTACTGTTTAGAGTAACTTTGCTTTAGTGTGTTACGTTTAATTTGATCGGGGGACATTAACTTCAACCGACAATACTGCAAGAATTGGTCGTGAAACTGCAAGAGGAGTGGGTCAGATTGCCCCAAATCCTGAATGGACGGTTGATTAGGAGCATGCCACGACGAACTGCTGAATGTCTGAGGATTGGTGGAGCAATTACTCATTATTAAAGGGACTATCCCGATTTGAACGGAGTCTAAAAAATAAAAGTCCGAGTATGTATGAAATTTAAGCGCCTAAATATAGAGGCATGGTGTATTTACCTTGTCTCAAAGTTTCAACTCAAAATATTGAGTCGTTTGGACCTCATTGTCAAAACTGCTTATCCGGACTCGTAACCCCTTTAAGATTTCGGGTCAATTTTTACGTTGGGTGACCTAATAATCGATTCCCGTTCCTTGAGGGGCCTATACAGTGAATGACCCATGTGCTGTACTTTATAACGAAAGGTAAATTTCACCTACATATTATTTTTATTTAAAAAATGTCTGGTTTTATCCAGACACCGCATAATACAGCTGGGGACACCAACCTGTATAAAATTTCGACCTATGTATTTTTTGTTTTATAGTATTCTTTTGATTGGTTAATTTAAAAATGATACACGGGTGAATAACAACGACAATGATTAGCTTTTACAACAGACCAGTTGTACTATATTTTATTTAGCTTCTTCGGTTAGGCTACGGAGGCTGTACTTGAGGGGTAAAGCTTTGGCCCCTCAATCAGAAAAACCCGGTTTCATATCCCGTTTGGACCTAGAAGATCATCTGGTATTTTTCAAGTCTGTTTCTCAAATGTTGTATAGTTTGGATGTGACAGTGTCTACTCGTATACACATTGTCGTGCACGTAAAAGAACCATTGGCAGCTGAAATTCTATGAACAGTATACATGGGGAAAACGCAGCAGCCCGGCATATATTCCATTGCACACATAACCATAGAAATAAAAATACCATGTTGGGACGTTAAACCCCATTCAATACCATTCTCCCGGATAGTACAGATGTGGAATTATAGACAACATTCCGTTATGTCTGATATATGTAAATTATGTAGGCCTATTCTTCCATATAACGACAACAATTAGATATGCACATTATACAGCACAGCCTATAGTAGGAAACTATAGTATAACATAACATGTATGTACAAGCTGTTCAGTGATTATATAGATGATCAAAAACACACTTTTATGGATAACAATTACTATGGTTTATTTCACTGCGACGTTTCAACAAGGTTTCACAAGTCGTTATCAAGCATATATGATTTGTGTATATGCTTGATAACGACTTGTGAAACCTTGTTGAAACGTCGCAGTGAAATAAACCATAGTAATTGTTATCCATAAAAGTGTGTTTTTGATTATGTTCCAATTACTAAATGCCATTCAAAGAATAGATTATATAGATGATTTTTTTCAAATAAATGATGTTAAAATTTTGTGAACAACTAAGTCTTGTTTTCTGGCTAGACTTCATTTATTGTGTGTAATGCCAAATGAATATCATATTGGCCAAAGATAAATTTAGTATAAAGAATAATTCGAAATAGGAGTAGACCGTAGCGCCACTTTCCGGGCAAATTTCCCTCATAGCACACTGTATGGCGTGAGTCAGTCTTCACAAGCCCAGTCGATGCAGAAAAGTATGACGTTAAACCCCATTTTAGATCAGTTCGAGTCAATTGTCAATAGGTTTATCATAGCAATTTAGCTTTTGATCGAAAAATTATTATAAAGGAAAGTATGTGTATTTGACTTAACTTTTATGTGGGAAGATAATATGGAAATCTCACAGTATCATCTAGGCCTACATCCCACTTTTTCCCATATATTCTCTCCACACCACATATTCCCCACATAGGGTAGTGCAGCTTTGAATCCGGGTTGGTGCAAGAAAAATTGACTTTTATTTTTCCCCAGGATAATTATTATGATTGTTGTTATTTTTATTTGTATTACTATTGATTCATTGCGCGGGGTGGGGTGGGAATCCGCACGCTTTCCATATTTGATATATAGTTTTTAAAGTCGTCCATCAATCATTAGCAGTTACAGTTTCAACTTAACACTTTTGGAGGCAGACCACCATTAAATTGTAGTTCGTCTATTTATAGCAAGTCTCTCTCTGTCTCTTTTCTCCCCTTTTGCATGCCCATTTTTGTTGATGTTTTGGTCTAGAATGGACGAAGAGGGTTTGAATTAACATTTTCTGTCAGGTTTTGGTAAATATTCATGATTTTGAGGCGGAAGGATAATGGGGTTATCAGGTTGGCTGCTGTGACATGTACGGCAACTAGTTACATTTTTTTAGTATTAGTATGCTTTTTCAAGTTTGTTTATCTCAAAATTTTGGTGGTCAACCTCATACAAATTTTAGTGTAAAGACATGGCCATTTGTTCCTCTGTCTGTAGTGAAAAGCATTCAGCCCAACGAAAATTTGGGGAAAAGTTGGAGGTGGGCAAAGAGGCCAGAATTAACATTGAAGTCAATGGAAAAATAATGGTGGTCTGCCTCCTTTTCGGCCTCCATAGAATTTAAACATAGAGTTATAGGACTTTGTGTGTTACCTGTTCCGGAAGGTGAAAAGAGTCTCAAGTAAATAAAGCATGGAGAATAAAACAGAAAATAAAATACCCAAACATAAATCTAAAAAGAACAGAGCAACTAAACTTATTTTATCTTTTGATGAAACAAGACGAAGGTATAGAAAATTGCATTGAAAATCGTACACATTTTGTTGTTCCAGACACAGTATTTAATTCTAATGGGTACTATTTCAGTAACGTACCTCTACCATGTCGGTTCACTATACGTCTCTGAACCGTTGTAAATTTTAAACGATTTTTTCGATGAATCGATGACGATTGTGCACAAACTACTTAAAGGGGCTAAATCGCTAACATTTGGAACCTAGAAATTGACAAAAGTGGGTAGCAACGCATATAATACTGTAATATGAATCAGCTAGGGGCGTAAGATTTTTTTTTTAATCCACTAGGCAGGGCTGTAGTAGTCTACTAGTACTACTGTCAGGCACTAGCCTGGCATTAATATCCACTAGTCCATAGTTTGACAAGGTACAAGATTTAATCTTCAATATTTGGGCATATGTTTTGTTGCCTGCCAACCTATCGTTTTTAATAAAGATCGTAGACTTGATTGCCAAATAATTAAGGATGTTTACGGCTACTCGGTTAACCGGTAACGCTTCGGTTGCACTGGTGAAACGGTTAAAAAAAACTACAAACCGATATTTGTTTTCATATCACTGGAACCATTCATCATGGCGTGTGTGTAATGAACACGTGTAGTAAATTCTTTGGAAATACCCGACATGTTAAATAATCAAAATTATCTTGTATTTAAAAATACAAAGGTAAGCTTTCAAATATTTATGTCAGAACTAATCTAATATAAAGTATAAGTGAGTCTTTTGTTTTTAAATCAACCTGATTTCAACTGGTTTATACATGACCTTATACATGACCTGTCAAAGCGTGCAAGATGGAGAAATGAAATGTCAATTATGAATGAATAAAAGGGAATAGAAGGGGTACAGTAAATACTACAGAAAATCTATTCTTATGATTGAGTTTTCCTTGGAATATGAGGAATAAATGTGGGATATTTTACAGTTTATTTATTTATATCGTCACTAGTTTGAGTCATAAACCAATGAAAGGGCACTAGCCCAAGACTAGTACGGCTAAATAGATCACTAGCCCGTAAGTTACTTTTGGTAGCCCCGGGCGTCGGGCTAGTGGATTTTTACAACCCTGATATGAATGTATATAAACTGATTTACATTCAATGGTTTCCATTTTTACTCTAATTTCAAACCAGTTATGTTCGGCGAAATAAGCCAGCAGTCTCAAGCGAGTGCAGATTTCTAGCGTCTGGTTATTCCAGTCTACATACGCCGTTTGATTTGGTGCAATGTGTCTAGCCTCGTCCCTCGAGTCTCTTGATACAACTGGGGCTGAAGCACACTATGGTACACGATTCGTGTACCAATGGTAAAATGTTTATTTTGTCTTAAATATTGGATATCAAAAGCCCATCTTTTTCCGGTAAGATCACAACATGAATGTTGATTTAATTTGACAAATAAATCGTGTTTTCAATGTTGAAGATTTTGGATGATATTGAGTTAGAGACTTAGCTACTTTAATAATTGTTATTTAAAACTTGCCTATGCCTATGTGTTTGATATTAACTCCCGTTAAATAAAATCCATTGCACAATTAAAAAACCCAACGAAAAAAAAGTTGTCTCCTGAAAAGTCAATGTTTTTGGTTTTGAAATTGCACACGTCACGTGAGAGCTAAACCATCGTTTGAAATTAACTCCCGTTAAATAAAATCCATTGCCCAATTAAAAACCCAACGAAAAAAAAGTTGTCTCATGAAAAGTCAATGTTTTTGGTTGCATTTTCGATTGTGCTCGTCACAACATTGCACATGTCACACGAGAGCTAAACCATCCTAAGATGTTGAAGGGGGGGGGGGGTAAAGGTTGAGAATTTTGACAATTACGTGTGCTTCAATCAAAACAACGTGCAACCTTTCCAATGTTTGAGTCTGGGCAACAAAAAATAGCAACTGAAGACAATAACATTAATTTGGAAACAATTTAATTGTCAGTCTACTAAATTATATTCACAATGAATATATCACTGATTACCCGGATGCTCATAAATAAGATATTGCTTTTCACATCATCATCACCCCATAATTGTAAATACCCTGTATATTATACATATTTTTATAAATTATATTACAGTACATCCCTGTCAATTATAGGCAACTTCAACTTCAATGAAATACCTCACAAAATCCTTTGTTGGACATGACATGAAGGTGCTGGGTGAACTTAACATGCGCGAGGTCGGATGTTCCCCCTTATCGTGAAAAGTTAAAAAAGTGGCAACATTTATAAATAAACACACTTTATTTCATAATTTTAGTTTATCATATTTCATAATGGGGTCTGATCCCAATGCTTTGTGATTATTAGTCCATTTTCAAAGTTTTATGATTACCATATGAAATATGAAAAAAAAAAGGTTGCAGCTTCTCAATAATTTCGATATTTAATTCACGTTCCGATTGTTCATATCAATTATATTCCCGATACAATTATGTTTTTTTTTTTGTTTATTCGACAGATACTGAAATCAAAATATTCTTGATAAGAATAGTTCAGGATGTCTAAACATCATTTATTGTCTTAATAAAATGAATTTAAAACAAAAAATCACCCGTCAAAAGAGGCATCGCGTACATATTATTAGGTCCCGTGTGTTAATTATTCAGACAGTGAGAAAAACTTGTGCAAGTTTCGTACTAAATTTAACCATTTCCACTGCATCTGTGTTGTATACAATAACTCAAATGGCATGGAAACTAGAATACAAAGCGTTGATTGGCTAAGGCATGATCGTGATCTACGAAATGCCATCAGAAAATTCCATTCTCCTCGGATTTCAAAATGGAGTTGTAGGCCCTACTTGTGATTAAAACATTGCCCTGTGAATATCAAAACGAAGCCAGGCTTTTCTGAAATTGTGTTACCAAGACACACGATTATAAAATTTGAACAGTTTTTGAACAACGGAAATAGTATACGAAGAGAAATAAAAAGAAATGGAACAATTTGTCATAATTAAACCGATGTGCGGTATGATTTGTTGATTTGTTAAATAATGTTTGGTATTTATAAAAATCAAATAACGTTATATACATATTCAATGATTTAATGGTCTCCGTTATTTATTTTGCAGAAGAAAATGTAAAATACATTGGCATTTACTGATTTACCTCGGCTACAGCCGATTGCTGAGGTTGATTGACAGGAAATATTAAAATATTCAAAAGGGTCAGATTCAAGGTCCGTAAAACAAATGTCGTTCTTTTTGTTCTGCACCTGTGTTAAAAAAAAGTTCCAACTCTCTAATCAAGTAATTAATACAAGACAGAAACAAAATATAACAGACTAAGGGTGTATTTATGTTTGTAAACTCCCAAACTCATTACTGCATGGATCCGAGAGCAATAGCTTATTCATACACAAAATTTTATTTGTCGTAAAAGAGCCAGACACCATTACGATAGACAAGCCTTGCTGCTACCTCCTTGTACGAAATGATCTATCCCAATAAAGTGACGTAATTGGCTTCCATTTTTGTATTTCTCGATGTCCAAGTTTGTGTGATGGTTTCAATTTTACAAGAGTGAACTCTATTATTCGTGGATTTTATTTAACAGTAGGTGATTTCAAACACACAGATAAGTTTATAATAACCAAAGTTAATAAGTAGTTTGTTCATAATCAAAGAAATCCGTTCAAAATTTATGACGGTTCACTTCTTTTAAAATCTTAGTTCCTGTTTATATTTTTACTCCAGAAGGCAAACAACTTAAAGTGTTTCTTTAGAAAGGTTAACATTGTAGGCCTGATAAAAGATTGGGTTACAGACAAAACAGCCCAATATTTTATACTCAAAACGCCCCATGGTTTGCCTAAAACGACCAGAAGAAAAACTGTTGGCACTCGTCTCGATAATATATAGTAATTACTCTCTAATCTACTCACAATAGATCAGCATCAGTCGTAAAACAGATGTTTTGTTGTCTTATTGCAAGTACCTTGTTTTTTTTTATTATCTGTTAGAGATTACCTGACAGGCTTCAGAAGACGTAAAAAGGAAAGACAAACCCATTATAAGGAGAAATTAGAAAATAAGATAAGAAATGAGAAGAAAGAATTCAGAAAAGAAGTAAGTACTGTATAGAATACACATTTCTACAAATAAAATGAAGTTTAATGTCCTAAATGTATTTTTATGCATCAATCAGGCTGATGAAGACTTTCAAATGATTGTATTAAGCCTATTATACCATGACTAAACCCAAACTTATATGGTATCTAGAGAATTCTTCCTTTGCTGTTGGGATAAAATGAGGTTTATGCCTACAAACTATTGGAAAATTGAAAAAAATTTCAATTCTACTGCATAAAATAAATTTACAACCGACACTATTGAACCCAATACATTATATCTGTCTTCAGAAAATTTGATTTTTTGTAAAGCTATATTTGTGACAACTTGCAGGCTAAAGAACTCATGTGTAAAGCTCATTTAGAGCCTGATATGTTACCTGATGTTCAAGACTTAGTAAAGCCTACTGTTGTTGATCTACCAGAACATACAGTTATTATAACAGATATAACAGAAGTGGATTTCTCAGGTGGATGTGGTCTAAGATTGGGTAAAAATCTGGTTAGTATTAACACATTTATAATTGAAAATGAAATGAAGTGGGGTTTAGTGTAGTACTGTTCTGCATTGACTTGGCTAATGAAGATGGGCATGTGGCATGCAGTGTGTTATGAAATAAATTTAAACCAGACATTGGTGTTTCCATCTATAAATTCCAAGTGGCAGGTGTTCTTTGATATGCAATCCAATTTATAGACAGGACCTTGCTTTTTTGCATCATCTGAATGACTAGTCACTTGCCTTGTCAGTTCCTCCATCCTGCACTATTGACAAAGGGAAACCACCCTGGAAAAAATGAGGATCTTTCTTGGCCAGCATTTGATTCAACACAGGACCTCCTGGTTAATGAACCAGCACCATACTCAAGAAACCCAAAATCTCACTCGGCACTCCATAGAATTGTATCATGTCTATATACCGTTCAAATATTAGATGCCATTCATATTTAAGTATAATAATGATACTTATTTCTAGGTAAAATAGTTCTAGGTACATTTATTTGTTATTTATAAGTAAAATAAAACTTAGATTTCTTTGTTAGGTTTAAGATATTAAATGGCGACTTAACAGTCAAATAAAATATAACTACATACATTATATGTTTTACATGTAAAATATAACCACATACATTGTACAGTTTACATGTAAGGTGTAAGATATAACCACATACATCATACAGTTTACATGTAAAATATATACCACATACATCATATAGTTTGCATGTAAAATATCACCACATACATCATACAGCTTACATGTAAGATATAACTACATAAATCATACAGCTTACATGTAAAATATAACCACATAATTAATACAGCTTACAAGTAACATATAACCATAAATACTATATATTTTAAATGTAAAATATAACCACATAATTATATAATTTACATGTAAAATATAACCCCATAATTATATTATACAGTTTACATGTAAAATACAGTTTAGATGTTAAATATAACCACATATATTATATGGTTTACATGTAAAATATAACCATATATATTATACAGTTTACGTGCACGATGATGTATACACAGGTCCTCGTTTTTTCGTCCCTTGCGACTGACTAGACAACTGTGCTTGTCAGGCCCAATGTCCTGCACCACCGATATGGGGAAAACACGTCGGAAAATCCTGATGCACTTTCTCGGCCAATGCAGGGATCGAACATGCAACCTCCAGGCTAGCGAGCCAGCGTCTTACCCACTTAGCCACCGTGACTCCCCATATATTATACAGTAAACTTATAAACTATGTTTTTGTTAAAGGTAAATGATGCAAAAGAAGATTATACATCCGAGTACAAACAAAATAAAGATGTAAAAGAATTAACCAAACAGAAGTCAGCTATGAAGAAAAGGTAATCAGATTATCTTGTGGGGAATCTTAGATTATTATTACATTATTATCACGAGATGCGATGTGCTCATGATGTGACTAGATAGTCCAGTTACATTGGGGTTTTTTGTTCCATGCTAAAATTAAAAGCCTCAAACAAGCTACTGGATGATTGATGAAGCCAAATGGAAAGGGAAAAAGTTTTGCAGTCTTTAAAGTCCCATTGCTTTATGTGCATTTTTGCTACAATATCAAATTTCCCATGGCTTAACCCACACTAATATGTACTCAGATTGATTATTTAACATTTGATTAGGAAAATATCAAAATACCAACACTAGATAATCTCTCGGCTTGGATTAAATTGGATTTAGAACAGGACCATCAGTTATGTTCAAGAACAACAAAATGGTGACAACTTATTAAATTTTTGACTGATATTCCTATTGGGGATTCATCTTTCACAATATTGTAGTTTTTCAAAGGGATTCCTATTGCGCTAAAATGACCCAATGAGACTTTAAATATCATACACTAGATATGATCTATTATAAATGATCTTACTAAAGAATATATGATTTAATACTGCCATTTTTTTCACAGAATGGAGCACATCAGCACATTGGAAGTAAAACACAAGATGATAACCGATAAACTTGAATGTAAAGCAAAAAATAAACATAAAAAACGTCGCAGGGGCAACAAGTCAAAGATGAAGAAAGGAAACAAGAAAGGCGGTAGAAAGAAATAATTGATTTTGTCTTTAACTTATCCTGTAAATAAAATTATGTAGTTATTACCATAATGAATATATATGTATTATCATAATAAATACAGAACTTGAAAGTGTTTGAAGCTGTTAAAGTAGTTAACGTAGGGATTTTTAAGTGTGTTTATTGTCAAGATTGGCGATTGCAAGTCATTCAGATGGGATGAAATTCTTTGGTCCATCTATGTACACATTAGCATGAATGTTAGAGAATAGAGATATCTTGAAGAGAAGGCAAAACTGCAGCTGTTGAGGACACATTCACCTCTTTTATTCCACATTTACCCATAGAAATAAGAATTACCATGTTCATCTCAAAAAAACAAAAATACTGACATTTTTTCAGTCTCAACAATTTAGGCTATAAACAAAATTATTCGGGTTCTCAGACAATCCTTCAAAAAGATATGATGTGGTAAGGAGGTTTTTATACGCCCACATTTTCATGTAGACGATTATTGTCGTTGCCCCTGTCCGTCCGTCCGCAATTATTTGTGGACACGTCCGCAATTATTTGTGGACACTCTACAGGTCACAATTTTTATCCGATTTCAACGTGACTTGAAATATAGGTTTATCTCCCTAAGAACTTGGTTCCTCTCGATATTGGCATGTATCGGACCATAACTTAATGGATTATGGCCCTTGATTGTACGAAAAATCGTGTTTTTAGCTTGTGGACACTATAGAGGTCATAATTTTTATCTGGTTTTGTTGAAATTTGAAATATAAGTTTATAACCCAAAGATCTTGGTTCCTTTCGATATTCGCGCATATCGGACCGTAACTTACGGAATTAAGGCCCCTGATTGTACAAATAATCTGTTTTTTAGCTTGTGGACCCTATGGAGGTCACAATTTTATTCTGATTTAAAAAAAGATTTGAATATATAACCGTTACACCTTAATGACGGTTGAGTTTGAATTTCGTGAAAATTGGACCAAAACTGCCGGACAGAATGGCCGCCCCTCGTACGCAAACAGTGTCAAAATATGGTATATCAAGGTTGTGAACCCTCGAAAGCTCACAATTTCAATCCGATTTTGATGAAACTTGTTTATAACCCAAAGATCTTGGTTCCTTTCGATATTTGTGCATATCGGATCGTAAATTCCTGATTTATGGCCCTTCACTGGACGAAAAATCACGTTTTTAGCTTGTGGTGCCTCTAGAGGTCACAATTATTATCCGATTTAAAAAAACGTGTGAATAGATCACCGTTAAACCGTAATGATGGTTGAGTTCGAATTTCGTGAAAATCGGACCAAAACTGATGGACAAAATGGCCGCCCCTCGTACGCTAATAGTGTAAAAATATGGTATATCATTATCAAGGTTGTGAACTCTCTAGAGGTCATAATTTTGATCCGATTTTGATGAAACTGGAAATGCATGTTTAAAATCCAAAGATCTTGGTTGCTATCAATATTCGCGCATATCAGATCGTTACTTCCTGAATTATGTCCCCAGATTGTATAGCATTTTTTGGCTTGTGGTCCCTCTAGAGGCCACAATTATTATCTGATTTACAAAAACGTTCAAATATATCATCGTTACATCATAATGTCGGTTGAGTTTGAATTTCGTAAAAATCGGACCAAAACTGTCGGACAAAATGGCCGCCCCTCGTACGCAAATAGTGTAAACATCTGGTATATCAAGGTTGTGGACCCTCTAGAGGTCACAATTTTGATCCGATTTTGATGAAACTCGAAATACATGTCTATAATCCACAGATATTGGTTCGTTTAGATATTTGCGCGTATCCGATTCCTGACTTCCTGAATTATGGCCCTTGATTGTACGAAAAATCATGTTTTTAGCTTGTGGTCCCTCTAGAGGTCACAATTTTTATCCGATTTGAAAAAACATTTTAGTATATCACCGTTACATCCTATTGATGGTTGAGTTTGTAATTTGTGAAAATCGGACCGCTGCCAGACAAAATAGTGTAAATATATGGTATGTCAAGGTTTTAGACCCTCTAGAATTCACAATTTTGATCTGATTTTGATGAAACTTGAAATATATCTTTAGAACCCAAAGGTCTTGGTTCCTGTCGATATTTGCGCATATCGGATCGTAACTTTCTGAATTATGGCCCTTGATTGTTCAAAAAATTGCTTTTTGTTTCACTTTTTCTCTATCCATTTCTTGCAAAATGTGGGCGTATCCTGTCTGGCAGCCGCTGGTTATTTTATTTTGTCAAAGGAACACAACTGGGCTAAATGACTTCTCACAGCGTACATCTATATCATCATGCTGTTTAAAGGAATGTGTGATTATCCAGCATTATTTACGAATATGATTGTTGGTAACATCAGGGTGTCGGTGGCTCAGTGATCAAGACACTTGCTCGTTATCCAGGAGGTCTTAGGTTGTTGGTCAGGAAAGTTCCTCCCCTTATATGTGGTGCAGGACGGAGGGCCTGGCAAGGACAGTGTCTAGTCATTCGGATGGTACAGTGTAGTCATTCACAAGTACCTGGGACAGTAGGCCATAGCTCGTCTTCATTAGTCCAATCAGTTCAGAAAAGTAGGATGTTAAATCTCATTTTATACATGAGTGAATTAATGAGAAATAAAAACATGTCTTCCAGCACTTAAGTGATGCAGGAGTATCTGACAATAAGAATATTATTTTTGATATGGCCTTATGATAGTTTGTAAATATTAATATTTTAAAATTAAAATGATTGATATTTATAAATTATTATTACTGGTATTTCGTTTTACTTGGCTTCTTAACTTGATACTTTCAGTATTTGATGAGAGCTGCAGAGGCTCAATCACGGGGTTGGCCCCTAAAAGTGTTTTTCCATCATGTTTTCTGTTTTCTGCATATCCGTGGTACAGGATGGAGGGCCTGGCAAGGACACTGTCTAGTCATTTGGATGGGACAAAAAAAACCTAGGTCCTGTGTACACATTGACATGCATGTAAAATTTCCCACAGTATATTGCTAGGCACTGCCCAGTGGGTGCAGAGAATATTTAAGTTATGTAGAACTTAAAGATACATTATGTAAGATTTAGATAAAAAGCTGGTTGTTCTTGCTATAATGGTTCAAAAAAAGATAATGCAAATGTATTGAAAATTTTATTCAAATTACTTTATTCTGTGCCAAGTTATTACTGTTTGTAGTTTTCATAAGATGTGTGCATCTTTTCCTTATTATCGTAACCACAGTACTTGTTAAACAAGCCGTTGTCACACCACTTTTAAAGAAACCCACACTTGACCAAGACATTCTGAAACACTATAGACCCATTTCCAACTTGTCATTTTTATCTAAACCTATTGAGAAGATAGTCTCATTTAGATTGAAAGCCCACATCAAGTGTCAAAGCATCGACAACAAATTCCAATCTGCCTACAAGTCATACCATAGTACAGAAACAGCTTTGCTTCGAGTATACAATGACGTCTTATGTCATATCGACAATAAAAACAGTGTATATCTTCTCTTACTTGACTTGAGCGCAGCATTTGACACGGTCGATCATGAAATCCTACTAGAGCGACTCTGGTCCCGTTTCGGAATCTCAGGCACTGCGCTGTGCTGGTTCAGATCTTACCTGACTTCAAGAACACAAACTATATCTGTCAACGGAATTCAATCAAAAGCCACTATCCTAAAATATGGAGAACCACAAGGGTCCGTTCTTGGGCCGTTATTGTTCACTACATATACTTCTCCTTTAAGCGACATTATTTCAAATCATGGACTTGACTTCCACCTGTACGCTGATGATACGCAGCTGTATATCGCACTTAAACCATCTACTCAAACATTTGAAAAAGCCAAATTAGAAAACTGTGTGGCTGAGATTCGTCACTGGATGAAATCAAACCTGTTAAAACTAAATGACGATAAGACTGACTTTATAAAACTTGGTACAAAACATATTTTAAATCAAATCGGCGACGACGGTGTTAATATTGGAGACTGTGCTATACCCGTCAGTAAAACTGTTAAAAACCTTGGAGTCACATTTGACAGCACTCTTTCTATGCAAGATCATATATCAGCCGTAACAAAATCCTGTAACTTTCATATCTACCAAATTGGCAAAATCAGAAAATACCTAAACCTCAAAACAACGAAACTTCTAGTAAATGCACTGATCACCTCAAAATTAGATTACTGTAACTCACTCCTGATCAATATTCCGGCAAAATCTATTTGACCATTAAAACTTATTCAGCACAAAGCAGCAAGAATTGTTTCCAGATCAAAACCATTCACTAATATTACACCTGTACTCAAAGAACTGCACTGGTTGCCCTTAGAGTATCGCATTAAATTCAAACTCTTATGTTTCACATACGGTTCCCTTTACTCTACTGAATTCCCTGAATACATATCCACACTGCTACAACAATACCAACCAACTAGAAGCCTTCGCTCAGAGAACCAGAACCTATTAGTTGTACCAAAAGTAAGAAGTAATATTGGTCTCCGAAGCTTCAAAGTGGCTGCTCCGGCACTATGGAACGAACTTCCACTTACACTGAAAAGTGTAGACACCATATACATTTTCAAAAAGAAACTAAAAACTCATTTTTTTAACGAAGCTTTCACGATTCCCCCATGCGATCTTCAATTTTTTTTTTTTTTTTTTAGTGCACCAGAGCAGCTAATCTAGCTGGAAGTTGGCGCTCTATAAATGTCCATTATTATTATTATTATTATTACTTGTATATTCAAGTCTTAGCATCGCTTCTCCATTTTTAAATTATATCATTAAATGGCTGTCCTTGGGGTGTAAGGAATAAGTTCCAAACAATCCATTCAGAATTGCTACCTGTATGCGATAAACACAAAGATAGGTTTCCAGGCAATGAAACATACGCCCACAGCAGCTATATCGTCCGGGCAGTCAACAAGAGTTGTCGCATATTTTTACTTTTTTCGGTAATGAAACATTTATAATACATTAAAATCTGATTAAGAGTAACAACTCATTAAGTAATTATCAGAAAACCATTAGAATTTGTTTGGTTTTTATAAAGTTCTGTCCCATGCTAATGTTTAGTATACAAAACTTTTAACATCATGGATTTAGCTGTTCAAGTCATAAAGATTCATTGAAAATCAATATACTTGTTCGTCTCAAGACCCTAAACTCTGTGTACCAATCTGAAGTCAATCGGTGATAACTTTAGCCTCTAGAGCGTCACAAGATTTTTCAAAGTGATCATGGGCCATAACTCTGGCAGTAATTATCCGAAATCGTTGAAAATCGTTGAAGTCAATCGGATAATAATTTTAGCCTCTACAGCGTCCACAAGATTTTTCAAAGTGATCAAGGGCCATAACCCTGGCAGTAATTATCGGAAATCGCTGAAAATCAATAGGCTTCTTTGTCTCATGACCTTAAACACTGTGCATAAATTTAAAGTCAATCGGATATTAACTTTAGCCTCTAGGGCGTCCACAAGATTATTCAAAGGGATCAAGGGCCATAACTCTGGCAGTATTTATTGGAAATCACTGAAAATCAATAGGCTTCATCTCATGGCCTTAAACACTGTGTATAAGTTTGAAGTCAATTGGATATTAACTTTGACCTCTAGAGCGTCCACAAGATTTTTCAAAGTGATCAAGGGCCATAACTCTGGCAGTAATTATCGGAAATCGGTGAAAATCAATAGGCTTCTTTGTCTCATGACCTTAAACACTGTGTATAAATTTGAAGTCAATCGGATATTAACTTTGACCTCTAGAGCGTCCACAAGATTTTTTGAAGTGATCAAGGGCCATAACTCTGGCAGTAATTATCGGGAATCGCTGAAAATCAATAGGCTTCTTCGTCTCATGACCTTAAACACTGTGTATAAATTTAAAGTCAATCGGATATTAACTTTAGCCTCTAGAGCGTCCACAAGCAATTGTGGACGACGGACCGACGGACGGGGGCGACGACAATATACGACCACATTTCAATGTGGGCGTATAAAAATTGGATGTGGCTAAGTTCCTTGAGGTATGGCACAATTCTAAAAAAACAATAGGGATCAACATAGGGTATGCAGGTATGCTTATTTCAAGACCATCCGTTAAGAATTGTGGACTATAGGCTACCCACAGGGGTGACAGCATAATAGTTCACATTAAGAATGCAGACGTATGAAAAGTTTTACAGGTAAAAATAGTTTTCGCCTTTTATTCATTGGTGACCAGTGTAGGAATATTTGGTGAGTTGTGTCCACATTTGCAGGATAATACATTTTGGGGGAAATTCATAATTTTATCTCCCTTATATATTCCAATTCTAAAAATCTACAATTCTTCAAAAAAAAAAAAAAAAAGCCCTCTGAATTAGACTAGAAAGTTGTCATTCAAAAATATTGCCTCCACAGTCTCATGTTTATGGGATGTCCCAGAGAAAAGTCAAGAAATTATTCTGGTGGCCCTTGCATCTACCAGTACCCTCTTGTCATAAACAAATATGGGTTCGAAACCATTCCACTTCCCTCAATGACAGACCTTATCATATAAGGTCATCCAAATACCACATGAGACTGTAAAGATAGGTTGCCAGCAACGAAACATACGCCGGCAGCAGCTAAATTGTCCGAGCGATCGACAAGGGTTGTCGCATATTTATTCCTTTGTAGTAGGTAGTAGGTAATTGGGGGCCTTTACAAGACAGTTCCATACAGATCAGATTATAAATTTTGTCATTTGAGGGTTTAAAAGGTTCTACAAACTGAAACAAACATTCACAAATCGCCATAACTCTAGAAATTAATGACTGAAATTGCTGAAATTCAATAGACCTCTGTTTCACAAATTTAAATGATGCATATAAATTTCATACATATTGGATGATAACTTTCATCAATCAAGCATTAACAAGGTTTAACAAAGTGAAACAAGGGCCATAACTCTAGAAGTAATTATTGTAAATTGCTGAAATGCAATAGGCTTCGTGGTTTCACTAATTTAAATAATGCATATAAATTTCACAAATATCCGATGATAACTTTCCGCGTTGGAGCGTTCACAAGGTTCAGTAAAGTTAAAAAAGCCATAATTCTAGACCTAATAAACGGAAATTGCTTAAATTCAATAGGATTGTTCTTTTTACTAACTTAAATGGCACATATAAATTTCATACAGATCGGCAGTTAATTTTAGAGGTTAGAGCGTTCACAAAGTCAAACATGGGCCATAACTCTAGAAGTAATAAACGGAAATTGCTGAAATTCAATAGGATTCTTCTCTTGACTAATTTAAATAACACATGTATATTTCATACAGATCATTCCCATGGTGCAACAAAGTGAAACAGGGGCCATAACTCTAGACGTAATAAACAGAAATTCCTGAAATTCAATAGACTTCCTCGTTTCACTAATTTAAAAAATGCATATTAATTTCACAAAGATTGGGTGATAACAGCATTCACAAGGTTCAATAACGTGAAACAAGGGCCATAACTCTAGATGTAATAAACAGAAATTCCTGAAATTCAATAGTCTCCTCGTTTCACTAATTTGAATCATGCATATAAATTTCACAAAGATTGGGTGATAACTTTTGGTGTAAACAGCGTTCACAAGGTTCAATAAAGTGAAACAAAGGCCATAACACTAGATGTAGTAAACGGAAATTGCTGAAATTCAATAGGCTTCTTCGTTTCACTAATTTAAATAATGCATATAAATTTCAGAAAGATCGGATGATAACTTTTGGCATTAGAGCGTTCACAAGGTTCAACAAAGTGAAACAAGTGCCATAACTCTAGACGTAATACACAGAAATTAAATAGGTGTCTTCATCTCACTAATTTAAACAACATATATCAATTTTAAAACAACTGGATGATAACTTTTGGTGGACGATGGACGGGGTCCACGGCAATATACGTCCAAATTTCAATGTGGGCTTCAATGTGGGCGTATAATAATGGAAGTATAATCAGTGATATATTTGAATTGATTTTACTATTTATTGGTAAGCAAAAGCTAAATATACATGTTGTAAAGCAACAGTGCCATACATAATAACTACAGTGAATAATATACAGTTGGAGTTTATTACTACATCACTACAAGTTAAGCAGATTTAAATATGATGGTAGGTTGCTTTAATATACCTAAATCATCATAATTTAATCTGATCCACCTACAGGCACTTTAAGTCATAAATATTACATAACATGGCTTCACAATAAGATGGCCGCTATATAGTAGCAATCAGGCAGTAGATGGTGTATATAATAATACTGATATCATATGTTATAATATATAATTTATACAACAAGATACATGTTAGGGCTGTTCCAATTAACAAGGAATGGGTAGAACAGATCTTGAAATGTAAGTCAACACCAATTGTGGGTGTATAAAAACTTCATTCTGTTAGTGTTGGATAAAGGGTTTTCAAAACATGTTTTGGATACAAATTTTGGGAAGAAAATGAATTGGTGGTATGGTTGTAAGTACATAAATCACATTGGTGCAAGGTTAAAAAAAAAATGGTGTACCCTTACATATTTTAAATGAAATAGCCCTAATGATAACACAACATTATTTACGACATACATGTAACATATTATTATGATAACTTTATCCTAATAAGACACCCAAGAGGGTGTTCATCTTGACGGAGTACATACATGTACAACATAAAATTCAACAACACAAAACTTAAATCAGTGAAGACATTAATCAACACAATACTTATAAAGATGAGGGATTTAATCCTGTGCTGATGAATTCTACGATTATTTACTCCAGCTCATCGAGTGACGTTGTAATTCTCCTACTATATAATAAGCCACTGTACAATTAAAGTGCCTGCAAGTTTAAAATGATCAAATGAGGTTATGTGTAGATTGTATTATTAAAAGGTATACAGAGGGAGAGTAATTAATTACAAAAGAGCTTTCACCACAACAAATATTGATCTAAGGACCTGCCGAATATATATAAGTTTATCTGTATTCTTATTATAATATACATATATATAGAGATAGGTAGAAAACAATGACTATACAAAAGAAATCAGTTCACTACAATACAAAAAACATCTCTTCAAATAAAAAATATACACGTTCATTAATTAAACTTAAAACTAAGTCAGGACATCCATGATTTAATCAAACTAAAATTAAGTTTCATTTTTTTTTTTATAAAATACTAAAAAAAAAGGGAGGGACTGGCTCACAGTCAACATGTAAAATAGAAACCTACCCTTTATCGAAGAAAATCACAATGACTGTTAAAAATGAAAAATTACATAAAATGTATTCAAGACTGTTCCATGTCAATTATTGAATTAATCAAAATGTCTTCACATTAAAAAAAAAAACAATTTAATTTGTATCTATTTTGATCTGTTATTGCTAGTTACAGTCATTTATTATGATTGCTTGATACTGAGTATTGTTATATCAACCCTGTCCAATGATCTATTTCTATAATTATGACATGATTTACTAAACTGGATTCGACCTGCGTTCGTTCATTGAGACCTACACCTATTGCAGCATCAACAGGAATTACCTCCCTTTAAGAGAGAATATAAATAATATACATGAGGTCACCTACGAGTTTTTTTGAGTTCAAACAGCTTCAACAAATATCTATTTGATTTATGGAACAATTCATTTGATATATACATTACAACACATTCATAATTCAAGTTATTCATATTGATACGATACTATCAGCTTAACGCATTCACACAACAGAGGAGGTTTACCATTTTTTTTACCATTTTTCTTTAGACTGGAAGATACAGAAAAGGAAGGATTGGGGTTTTTCTTTACAAGTATTGTCATGACAAGAAGATATATTTACCATTTTCGAGATAAGAATCACAGATTTTGTTACACAAATCATTGCTTGCTGCTCACATGTAATAAACAAATTAAACTAGAATTGTAACACATCAACAGCATAACTACTTGTAGCATTTCTTTTAAAATGCAGGGAAATTGGAAAAAAAAAACCAGAATCATTTCATCCACATGATGCAGTCAGTCGCACAAACAAAGGGAGATCATCCCTTCATCCTTGTTTCAATGACAAGTCCAATGAGTCTTTTATCAATCACAAGTAACAACCAAATTCAGGGTTCATAACCTTGTTTCACTTCAACATATGTTATAGGGAAGACACCAACTTGGGCATTGAGCTCTCCTTTCCACCAATTTTCATCGACCTTTTCTATCACTCGAATTATGTCACGTCTTTTAAAAGCTAATTCATCTTGACTCTGTGGCTCAAAATCAAACTTGGCCTCCACATACTGCAAAAAAAATAAATTGATAGATTTTAAACCCATTAAGAGGAAATTCCCTCATGACAACTTCTGGGAAATCGATCTACAGTTCCATGCAACACACTGCCCCATGAACTATGACGTCTGCTAAAAAGCTTAAACATAAAGTTTCATTTTATAAAACGAAAAAAAATGGAATTCACTGTGTTGAAAACAGAATTTCTCATTTTGGGAAATCATCACTATTACATAACGTCTACACATTTTTGTTTGTTGGTTGGTGCAGAAAACAGTCATTTAACCCCATTCTACATATCGTCAGTGAAGTGTCAAAAGGGTGTATCTCGGGGAAATTAGTCAAATACACTTTTTTGCATTTTTAAAATCTCCCAATTAATATGCACATTTCTTTCTAAGCTGTGTATCTCTATGTAAATTAGAACTATTCTGGGTATCATGTGTCCAAATGTTGTATCTTGATTTGTTGAAATTTTGAAATGCAAATGTTTTATTTCTTAATCTATAGAAATTCTTAGATACACCCTTTTTGACACTTTACCGACGATATACCATTAAAAGACCTGACTATTTCAGATTTGACATAAAGGTTTAATGAGAGATAAATATTAGTACAATCAAAATAAAAGTCATTATCATCCATAGTCTACAAAGTTACTCTACATATGTATGAAGTTAATAATGCAAAAAGAAAGGGAGAGAAATGGGGTTGAAAATAACATCTACCTAACAAATGCTTAATTCACGACTAGTAACATGGTGCAATTTTATTTCAATAATGAACTTGCAAGTAGGCGTCTTTAGTAGTGTTAGGAAACCTGAGAAAATCCACTAGGTTGAACAAACGACACTAGTCATCCTATCCCCTGCAGAGTACAGGCTGGGAATCAAAACAACGCTGCTCGACTGAATGAAAGATATTATGATCTAAAGTGTACACCATTCAGCCACACAAACTCCCTTATGGGGGAAGAAACCAAGGCACGAATGGAAATGTGCTTGTACTTACTGTAGGTTGTTGTACCATATCCGTAAGCGTTATATTTTGAGTTCTGCTAACAGATGATAATCTGTGATAATCAACCAATTCATTAATTGAATTAAATTTTACCACCCACAAAAAATAGTGACCATTGCCATCTCGTAAGACTTTAAAATGTTGCACACCATTATCAAATCTATCAAAAAGAAAATATAAACATTGATTAATCTTCCCAATGCATAAAATTCAGAAAGTAAATATGTCACCCTTTGGCTAAAGGAGACACATGGGTAAAAAAAAACCTTTTCCATCAATTTAAATACTGCATGTAAGGACCTTTAAATTGGTACATGCATGTGACCTTGTAAAATTGCTAAGATATTTAGCTTTGAAGTCAGAAGACAATAATATTTTCAGAAAATTAAATCTCAAATAGGGACTGTCAACACTTGCAAACTAAGACAGACACTTTTTTCAAAACCCACCGTCAAAAGAATTAGCTATGATGACCTACTGAATAATTTTTGTGAAAACAAATGTGATGATTCTCATCTAGAAATAAATATATCATTCATTATACCCTATATATACTATCTACACGTAACCACTTAGTTTAATGAATATATGTAAACTGAAAGCAAATATATATATGCTACTTTTTTCAAATTACAAGTCTGGTAGCAAACCAAATGTTATAGTCATCTCTATTTAAAGTAGTATATAAGATCTCCCTCTACAATTCTTTCTTTTCAGGCTTACCTCTTTTTGTAGACTGATTGAAAATATGGAAGCACAGAATATTGAATGAAAAGAAAATCCCCAAATTAATTAAAAAAGAAAATTTTGTGAAGTCTGTTTTTTATCTTACATATATTCAACAGTTTCAAAATTTAAAAAAAAAGCTACTTACTTAACAGATATAGAGAATTCTCCAGGAGCACTTTCACTGTCCCGAACTAAAAATGCCCCATCATGCTGGTCTGGTCCCATTAAAATTTCTTCAGCTTTCGCTCTGGAAATCTTTCCGTAAAACCATCTGTAAAAAATAAATAGTGTACATATCTCGAATGGGTTCCTTTTGACTACCAGCCAAAACAATGCCAGCCATTTGAGAAAATAAAAACTCATGAACTCTTGACTGATGAGTGTTTCAAAGTTTTGGGGACAACAAAATCTCTGTGTAAATCAAAAGTGAAACTACCGTACTTGAAACAATACCAACAAGTTTGGGAAAAAAAACCATCCCCAAAACTCTGACTTCCATTATGGAAGATCTGACAAAAAGGTTTGATTCAATATCTCATACTAATGTGCATAAAACTGTTTGAATTCGGTGAACTATAGCGTACAATGTACTTACGGCCTATTTGTAAACTGAATGTAATTATGGGGGATGTATCCTTCTTTTCCATTTATTTCCGCCTTAAACCAATTTTTATCATCTTTGGTACTGAGGATCTAAAAATAAATAATAATCATCAACAATTTAACTAAATATTAGCTTACATGTATGTACATGTAACACGTTATAAACAAATTTAAGCCAGCCTTATGACTTATAGACTAAAAGTAAATACTTTGCCGACTTTATTTAGGAACTGCTGCTACATTGTAGGCTACCTTTTACATGTTACCGGTACTTACTTGTTTTGCAGCTACCTACCTTCTTGTAAGTTTGTTTACATTATATCACTGCAGGTAGTGGGATGTACAAGTACAGTAATGTGGATCCATTCAACTGATTGAGCACTTTTATCTTGGTTTTGTGTGTAAGGCTGTTCTCCTGCACTTTCTATTTGAGAAGAACTTAAGCATGCCATGTTTTTCAATTATATGTATTATGTGTGACTGAATGCAATGCAAAGGGGATAGTTTTGTCCAGACTGCGATGTTTTAAATTCCAACTATCAAGGATCTTGTATGTTCAAATTGTTTGTCATCCCATCCAAAAACTAGACACACTATCCTCATCATCCTCACCGATACGATCCCCAACAAGTGGGAACCATGCTTGAATTATCTTGATGGTTCTTCCCCCCATTATTAGTATTACATTATAATATAAAAGTAATATGTGTTCGGACTGAGACTATATAGTTACAAGTAGTTGTTACATGTATGTTTGGTGTGGAGTATCAAAATGCATCATACATCATATTTTGGATACATACAGCTGTAGTTCAAATATTTCAATATCAGTCAGTTGACATCTCAAAGAACTTTTATCAAATCATAAAATTTGCACTAGGGATGGTTATGGTCTGAGAGAAATCTTTTTGTGTTTTTTTTATAGGAAAATAACCAATCAGAAACATTACTTTACCACAGCAACTGTAGCATTGGTAAATGAACTGGTAATGCTCATAAACATCACTGCAGGAATATTGGCATACAAGTTAGTAAAGTGTTTTTAATTTATTAAAGTACACGTGTGATGACGTAGTTTTAGCTTAAAGGTTAAATCTTCTAATCATTCATATTAAGTTGACAGGTACGGGAAGCTTATCATTTGAAAATATTTAAACATATGTAACTCAACAAAAATTAAATAAACTCATCATGTGATCACATCAAGAGTTTTAACTTTGTGACTCAGCTTATTATCTTAAGAAAGACAGACAAGCATATTTAATAATATTCTATTTTTACAGTTGTGAGCAACTTAAATTGATATTTTCTTCACAAAGGTTTGACTGTTAAACATTATGTGACAAGTTGATTGACTTCTTTATAAACAAGTAATAATCAGCTGTTTACAAATAAAACAAAATGTACCTGGTACTTTGATTTACGATACCATAGTGTTAGGTTGGGTTCATTGTTTATCAGTCAGCTTTTACAAACATTGAACAGATACAATCAATCTATTAAGATCCGTGCTTCAAAAGTCAATCAATCCATACACAAAAAGTATTGAAAAATTTTGTTTAGTTTTGGATCCATCATTTACATGTAGGTGTGTCATCCATCCACTCCACAAGAGTCATTGAGTCATGTGACGAGGAGAAAGGTCGCCTGTCCAACCTTGTGGGTTTTCTATGGGTCCACCGGTTTCCTCCACTGCTAAAGACCCCTACGCGCAAGTGAATTATTTAAATGTGGTATGCTAGTCACGAAATAACCTAATTAGTGTTGAGTGGACATTTCAACCCATCTCTCTCTCTACTAACAGATATAAATAATATACATGTATTCAGAATTCAATTTGGAAACTGTTGTAAGTAGTACACAATATCTATTACAGTTATTTTAACCTAAGTTGCCCTTGTATTGTGACAATCTAGTTCCATCCTTCATTTACCTATGTGGGCCCTATATTGTATTATGTGTAGGATGTCAGAATATATTTGATTTAAGTCCAATAGAAAAAAATATCCTTTATCATTTATGTTATTTATGACTCATTTCCTATTGTTATTTATGTAGGGCATGGCAGTTGTAATTTTTTTTTATCATCTTCATTTTAGTATAATTGAATAATAGAAGGAAAGATAGTCATTTTTAGTCAGTAGATACATGTATATGTTAACTTAATCTAACTAACTATTTCATCTGTGAATATAATATTACTACCACATGAATTACCCTGGCAAAAACTAAACTGTATTACAGTGTCTTTCAGTAGTAAGACTACTCTTTATTAATAAGAGAACACTGAAATGAAATTATGTTTAACGTCCTATTTTTCTGCACCAACTGAGATAATGAAGACAAACATATGTCACAAAGTGTTCTAAGAAATGGGAAATTTGCCAGGACAGTGGTTTTTTAAACCTATTCTTCACAGAACACAGAATAATCTTATATCATTTAGAATTACATGAAGATACCACAATTATGATATAATTCACGTTTTATTGTTGTTGAGCACATTTTTCACCCCTTGAATAGGTTGCAACTGCATGGCTGTGTTGCGCAGAGTCCGCTCTGTCCACGCAGATATGAAACTGGAGCACAGATTGTCAACTTTGCACTGATTAATCCTCAATGTTTCTAAAAATGAAAGAAGGGTGTCAGACTTTGTACAGTAATTGTAATGATTTTCAAATAATTTTCAAAATCGCTGAAAAATGAGTGTGTGTGCTAAGAATAACATTTAAATTCGAGTCCGCAGACAATCCTTGCTACATCAACTGATCATGTGACTGAATATCCAAAAATATTTGTTGTAATTACCGTAAATTTCAGTGTTATTTTTGTATAGTTGAAATAAATACATTTATAACAACCAGTTGACCGATTTTTAAATATTTGATCAAACTCACAGTTCAGGTCTAAGTGTTTCTGAATTCCGGTTAAGTGGACATAAATCCACACAGATACGTGTATACATGCGTATGTGCGATCCCAATTTTTTCAAAGGGCTGTTGGGCTGTGACGAAGCAACAATTTGGTCAGTTCCCACTAAAATATATTATTGTAAGCAACTCCACATAAATATAGCCTACTCTTAACAGATTTTGATTAAATCGATGGTTGTTTCAGAAAAAGTTTGAAACATTTAAAAAAAAAGCTAGGAGTAGGGATGAACCATTTTGAATCCTTGCTTCCTTTAATTTAAGTAAGGTAATCAATTGTGCGATCATACTTTTCTATCAGTATCACCATGCTCGTACTTGTACTGATGGTCGCAAAATTCATTAAAACGAATAAAACTAACGCAATGATCCATGGTGAATACCGAATAGGATTAGACAGATTATCATCGAAATACCATAGGCAGAGTTAACTCTGTATGCACAGATTAATTAGTAACATATATTATTAGACAGAGATTCATGCATGTACAGGCCGGGTTAATATGTCTGTGATTGTGAAGTGAAATCTGTGTTCAACATTTACATAAAACCCATCTTTTTGTCATTGATTTGTCTAAATTGAGACCTTATATAACATTATCTACTGGGCCTCTAGTAATGGATCCTTAAAGACCAAAATACATACATGTATTTAAGTTGAGATATTAAATACATGTAATATAAGGTCATAGAAATAGCTACGGATAAGCTTTAACCAGGAAGTAGACTTCATAATATTGTATAGATATTATACTTCTCATTATGCGCCGTTTCTATTACAAGGTAATAAAAAATAACAAATAATATACATCTATAAGCACACCTGAGTTTGTTGTCCAAGCCTGACAGTGGATAGACTAAAAAAGACTCAAGTTTGTTGTCATTTTTCGAAGGATTGACGGGTAGGCCTACGCTGTGGAAGGGCTTCATATATGGCTGTTTTACACAACAGGGTAACTAATTTGATGCACAATGATGGCCAAGACATAGATGATACAATATTCTAACTCAAAACTAACCTTCAGTACACTATTTTTCTTAAAACTTAGTTCATCTTCAGCAGTTGCATTAAAGTCGTGTTTACTAATGGCCTCCATCTTGAAAACTCTGGGGCATGCTGGGTAATGTTATCTCTCCGCGTCAGACAGTAAATATCTTTCCTAAAAATAAATGTTTGTCACGTTTAGTCGTTTTCAATTCAATATCGAAGTATTGATAGTGGTGTATATTAACACCATTGGTCCCAGGGGCTCGTTGGGCCCCACCTTAATATTTATTATTCTTTACTGGGTAATTATGTCGACAGACTGATAACTTAATTTAATAATTACTAGATAAACCAGTGGAGGCGGCCTAACTAAATATTTTAATTTATACTCATCATGATCATAGCTAGCTTTTTTTGGTCATATTGTTTTTCAATTTTATATGGTTCGTTCCCCTAGGAGTCGCCTGCCAAACTTCGAACTTCGTGGGTTTTCCCCGCCCCCGCCCCCACTAATATAAAAATAAACCCATATGACCAGGGCCCCACCTTAATTAAATATTTATTATTCTGTATACCTAAGTGGAGGCGGCCCAAACTCATTCATACTCATCAAAGCTATAGCTAATTTTGTTTTTTGGGTTTTTTTATTTTTTTATTTTATATGTTTCGTTCCCCTATAGAGTCGCCGGCCAAACTTCGAACTTCGCGTGGGTTTTCTCCGAACCTCCCCCCACTTATAAAAATAAACCCTTAGGACGCACTATCGAATTATCGAAATAGAAATGAACCAAATTCCCGAAATTCGCGTTTTTATATATGTTAAAAAAAAAACGAAAATAGAAGGTTCAAATTAAGTGTGTTATCATGATAAAAGGGGTAATTTAAATTTGGATTTTAATGTGCGTTAAATTTAGGGCCCATGAGGGCGAGGGGGCAGCTGGGACACTTGTCCATGATCCCACCCAGCAGTGCTGGACTGGGCCTAAGCCTATAAAGAAGAAAGAAAAAAGAAGAAAAAGAAAAGAGAAAAAAAGGTGAGGGGGGGGGGGAGAAAAGAAAGAAGGAAGGAAAGGACATGAGAAAGAAAAGATAGGAAAAAAATGACTGACAAACAACACAAAAAAAAGAAGTGTACTACAATGAAAGAACTGAGAACCATCACTTCCGGGTTTGGATTTCACTTTCAGTTTCAGTTTCGATTTCTGCCTGGAGACCAGGCAAAATAGTGTCATGGTAGACGTATTATATTATAATTTGCTTTATTTACATTGCGGAGAATAAAAGGTTTTTAAATTGTTTTCGACACTGAAAAGAATTCTCAGATTCATCTAATGATAGTGCTCTTAGGTCATTCTGTATCAGGAAATCAAAAATTTGCCTTCTTGCCCCCCCTTGGACGCTCGCGCGCCTTCGGCGCTTACTTGCGTGGGCCTTGGTCAATAACCTGACAGGTGGGCCTTTGGCCCATCAGTCCGGCACTGCCACCCAGTAAGCACCACAACATCTAGGACCTGTTTTTTCCACCTCCGCTCTATCAGAAACATTCGTCATTTCATATCGAAGGACGCAGCTCATATACGCTGGTTCTATCACTCGTTTTGTCAAGCTTAGACTTTTTTTTTTTTTTTTGACATGGCAATTATAGCTTGTTATCTGGAATATCCCACAAACTGCATGGTATCAAAACTCCAAACAGTTCGAAATACTGCAGCTCGAATCATCAGTCGCTTTACCCAGGAACTCGCATTATTACACCAGCACTCACAGAACTTCATTGGCTGCAAATTAATTTAAGTAATAGATTTTAAGATCTTGTGCCTTGCATGCATGGAGACGGACCTTCCTATCACCATATTGCCCTGGAGGTAATTAACCTACACTCCGTTCTCAACAGAGAGAGTGAGAGAAATGGGGTCTAACGTCCACTCGACACAAACTGTGCCTTGCATATATACTGAGCGCCATGGAAAACGCATCACTTAGTTTTTCGTATAACAAAATGATCCTGTAAACATATCTTATTTATTTTGCTTCTTATTGTGAACAATATTCAAATGGGAACACATCAATAACAACACATTTGTACACTTATGGATGTTTAGTCTGTAATCAAGGGTACGTAGCGCCTACAAAGTCAGAGGGGTCAAAACCAAAAGTACGACACAGATGTCAGTAGTGCGTGTGTCCTCCACGGGCCATCATCAAATGTGTAGGGCGGTCCGGTGATGAAATGTGAAGCCTCCCCACACCATTACATTCCCCCACCCCATCGATTCGTTTCGAAGACGCAGCAGTCTGCAAGCCGTTCCCCAAGACGTCTCCACACACGTTGACGGCCATCAGCGTGATAAAGATGAAAGCGACTCTCATCACTGAAGAGCACACTTTGCCAGTCTACTCTTCTCCATGTCTGGTGTCCTTGAGCCCATATCAAACGCCGCTGACGGTGATGATCCCTGAGGATAGCTCCAACATAAGGTCGTCGTGCACGGAGTCCTACTTCCCTTAGACGACGTCTTACGGTGTTGGCACTTACTGGTCCTTGTCTTCCGACGGAATCTGTCACGCAGATGAGTGACCCGGATGTAGCGGTCTTGAGCCTGGGTTGTAACGCGTTGTGGACCAGGACGTTGACGGTCACGTGTTGATCCAGTAACTCGAACACGTTCCACCAACCTTACAATAGTGGACTGATGACAATTGAAGTGTCTGGCAATAGCACGTGTAGACATGCCAGCCCTGGACATTCCCATGGCTTCATTCCGTTGATTTTCAGTAAGTCTCGGCATCTCTAGCTCGATTCCTTCACACGTCGAACAACAAATTACGACAGATTGACGTTTCACAGTTCATGTACTGCACATTAAGTTGAAAACATGCTTTTAAAGGGCTCACACACAATGCTGCACGTGAATATTGGGTTTTTCATGTGCATCTCGTGCAATTTCTTTTTGTACACACGGGCCGATATTTTTTGCATTTGGGAGCATTGTGTGAAACAATAGTTCATAGTATTGCATAATATTATACATACAAAACCACCTAGTAATAAAATATTTGGGAAAAAAAAGTGTTGCGTTTTCCATGGCGCTCAGTACAAGTGCTTACTTGGAAACGGACCTTCCTATCAGCATATTGTCCTGGGGCCTCTGTTTCAAGAAATTTTAACTAAGATGAAATCCAAATTTTAGTTATTTAATTGGATAATATTAGGTTGATTTTAGTGCTTAGCCAATCAAAATTGAAGTATTGGCGTCAGTCATTATCACATATATGATAGAACTGGTTAAATACATTCCAAATATAATTTTAACACCGAGAGCATTGCTACGATAGTCTATGCGTAGTGAAGGTTTTAAGAATCGGATGTGGCTAATAAAAGGAAAGACACGAGTTATCCTTCTATATAACTGAATGAAGTGACGAGTGATAGATAACAGATACACGGGCGAATTTCTGCTCACTAATAATTCCTTCGAAGACCAAAAGTTGTTATATGAGACTGTAAGGGGATATCTGACGATTCAATAAAGTAATTGAATGTCATTAGATAAGAGAACACGGGAAAAATAGAAATACATACGCTCACACCAGGGATCGAAACCACAACCGCAAGCCAGAAGTGACCGGCTACTTATATATATGAAAACCCTTAGATTAGATTTGAGCCTAAATTTCTAACAAATATTTGAATTGAAACAAAGCATCTATAAATATGTAATTTTCTCACTATAACAGTTATATGGCAAAATAAAATAGTTCGGTAAGGGAGTGGCAATTGTGATGAAGAGAACAACAAATCAAATGTAGTTTAATGCCTAAATGTTCGGTATCGACCGGGATAATGAAGATGTGCATACGCCATACATTATGCTATAACAGCGATGTTAGGGTTTGCTTTTTTTATTTCTAATTCGAGCCCTTAAGAGTTCTTTTACGTGCACGCCAACGTGTGCACGGGACCTCAGTTCTATGTCCCATGCGAATAACTAGACGCTGCCCATCACAGTACCCCTTCCTGCACTATTGACAAGGGAAAACAACACTGGGAAGTTTGGGAACCTGACTAGGTCAACAAGGGGATCAAACCCCGGACCTCCTGATTAGTGAGTCATGGACCAGGATCAAACCCCGGAACGCCCGGTAAGTGAGCCAGCCCCTTACTGAGACACCACGACTCCCTTGCACTGATGACACTTGCATGGAAAGCAAGAATACTGGCTGTGTACGCGCGCTACGGCCTACTCTTAAATCGAAATTCCAACTGTCAACGGTTCTTTTACATGCACACCAACGTGTACACATGACCTCGATTTCCTGTCCCATCTCAACGACTAGACGCTATCCTTGCCTTCCGAGAACTTTCTCGGCTAATACCGGGATCTAACATCGGACATCCTGGTTAGCGAGTCAGCGCCTTACTCACATAACCACTGCGGCTCCCCAGATCTGTTGATAACAACATAAAACAAAATAACTTGATAGATATTTGAATTAGTTTAAAATTACAGACGAGATTTATTTTACAAAATTACAGTAAATAGCAAATAGGTCCTACGACATTTCACACCAAATGGTATAAAAGTGGGTTAAAGGAGGCAAGTCGCTAACTCGATATCATCCACAGTCTTCGATAATGCAAACACGACTTATTGGTCAATTTAAAATCATCATTGGTGCTATTATCTTACCGTGAAAGATGTGCTTCTGGTATCCAATATTTAAGACAAAATGAACATTTTAAGATTGGCACAGGAATCGCGTGCCAGAATACTACCGGTGTAGACTGGAATAACCAGATGCCAAAGACTGCCATTCAATTTGGACTCTTGGCGTATTTCGCCGAAATAACGGTAAAAACAGTTTATATACATTCATAATAGATTATTATATTATTATGCTTTACGACAATTTAGATCCTTTAAGTATGTAAATCAAACCCCAACATATTACGATATACCCTATTTATCATACGCCTCGCAGTGTTTAGTTTGATTAGATCTAATCCCACTCAGACACTGCTGTAACGAAAGCAAATTTGTTTTCCAAATTATGACTGGTCAATAGTCCGATTAACAATCAATACCTAACTGCGTAACAATATCATTCGGATTTAAACAGAGCTCCAGATATGTTTACAATACGTTACGTCATGACTCACGAAATTTGTTACGTCCAATTAACCGGTGCATAAAAGAATATTGCAGAAAAAACTATTTGCGTGACAAACGAGCCTATCAAAACGGTTACAATTTAAACAATACTGCTTGGAGACGAATAATACTTTCGCCGTTTTTTATACGTTAAATCACTATCCATAGTTTTAAGGAAGACCCCAGAATAAAGGAAGGGCTGTCGTGTTGCTGTACTTAGGAGAGATTTGATTGAACAGGAAGAATAGACACACTCCCTCAAAAGCTCAAGAATCAGACGTCAATCCAGCAATGGCCAGAGATGGATTTCTTGGTCCATTGCTTCGGGAATATGCCTATTTATCTAATTTGAAAGTAGTCTACCGTTAGATTTGTTTAATAGTAATTGCATAAGTGCCTTGATAATCGCGGCAAGTAAATAGATTATTGAGACACATAAACAGAGGGGATTTTGGGGACTGCTGGCCAAACCCACATAGGAACTGGAAGTTTGAAATTCTTCGAAACAGTATCACTGCAGAGCTAGTGATGCTGTTCGTGTTAAGGGAAGAAGCTTAGATCTTTATACCGTTATTCGATTCGCAACTATAAGCACGCGGAAAGGAAGAACCAATTGTGAAACCCCATTGCCAAAGCAATTCTGTCAAATGGCAAGATCGACATTATGCTTACATTGCCAGGACTTGATAGATGTGATCTGGGAATACATAGTGGAATATGAACAATAATTAAAGCTCAAAAGTAACATATAGTTGAAAATTAAACAAAATAATTACAAATATTATTGATTTATAAATAAAATAAAAATAAGGGTATAAACTATTTTTTACATGTAGTAAAAGAAATACAAAAGTTAAAAAAAGAAACACAAACGTTTCAATATGCTAAGTCAAAATTTTTAAAGGAATATGTTAAAACAAATGTTTTAAGGGAATATTATGTTAGAACACATGGTTCAAAGAAATATTTTCAGTAAAATATTTTAAATGGAATATATTAAGTCAAATGTTTTAAAGGAATAATTTCGAATTTTAATACCTGGCATTATTATTTGTTATAATGTTAAAAGGAATATGTCATGTCAAATGTTTTAAAGGAATATTTTTGATTTTTAATGCGTAGCATTATTATTTATTTATTCATTTTTATTCATTCATTCATTTGACAACAGCATAATATATCTACTATAAAAATGTTATAAAATTATACATATAGATATTAAAGATGATAGTTCAATGCAAGTTTACAGACAAAATACATACACGCATCATAATTATAGGATATAAATAACATTCTAGCTAATAGTTAGGTCACAGGAACTATTTAACTATTAAACCTGATATATAATAAAGTTGTAAGTATATATTATTAGGCCAGAATAAAGTCAAAGATCACTGTTAATTTATTAGCACCAACACATCTTCTTTTCTCTAATTGATATCAATAGTTCAGTTTCCAAAAGTGTTCTTTGTTTTATTAATTGAAGCAAAATTATTGTTGGATTTTCACGTAATTTGATGGCACTACTCCAGTTCTGCCTTTGGAATCTTCTGCTCCAAGCCAATCAGGATCAGACTGGTCTGTTATAACCAACATGTCATGCGCTTTAAATGACAGTTCTTCGGGCTGAGTTGACTGAAAATTATACAGTGCTTTTGCCATCTGAAAAGAAATATTATTTTTTAATCTTTCAGTCTGGTTTACGTCCATGTTCGTAAGCGAGATTATTAAATAATAGCTCGCTCTCTAAACATTCATTAATATATTTTTATAAACACTTTAAATATCAGGACTCGTCTTTTTAAATCACCGGCGCTCGTGATACGTATTGAATTATATAGATAATAATAGGAAAATAACAACCTGTACACTACAAATTTCGGTATAATTATTAGCAGCTTTCTTGGCTAATGAACTTTCCCTTTTATTCCACTGACTAGTGGAAATCTCGATGAATGGAGAAATTACTCAGCCAGTGACCCAAAGCCTTACTCACTGAGCCACCGACTGCTTTTACTTTACTTTTACTTACAACTTGAGAGCTTTTGGATCCCATTTCTCTTAGAAACAACTCAGTGCTGGGTGATCTGGTTATTGTTTCGTGCTTGTGATTTTCAATTAGTTGGTTTATGGAACGAAAATGTTTTGACCACAGATAATATGACCCCGAAGAATCGTTTAATATTCTAAAATGCTGTACACAGCTTCCATTTCTGAAAAAGAAAAAAAACAAAAAAACATTTCTTATGCTGGACAATCGCCTTTCTCAACTCATGAAATAAATAGACTCCTCATGAAAATTGTCGGAAACTAGGCTTTTATTGACACATTAATTAGGATATAAGCTAAACACGATGCTGGTGATAATGTTGTTGATTAACAAATTCGTCAAAATGAAGGAATTTGAATCTATTGCTGGCCATTATAATATTGTGAAACGGAATCCCTTTATAAATCAGTCCGATAATGGTACATTTCCCTTCAGACGATAGAAAGCGAGCACATCCATTCAGTTTTGGAGAAACGTCGATTTTTCTATGGTTTGTGTTAGCCCCTCCCCCTCTCTCTCTCTGGATACTATAATAAACTTACTTGACTGACAGAGAGAAGCTTGTTGGATCATTTTCACTTTTTCTCACCAAGAAAGTACCATCAGTATGTTTCAATCTTCCAGAACTATCTTTTTCATTTAATATTTTTTCGGCATCACCTCGGCCTTTCTTCCCCACGAACCACCTTAAATAAAGAATCAATAACGCGTGTAATATGAAAACGTGATGGGGGGTACAATAAATTTGGGTGTAATTAAAAACTGTAAGTAGTGCTAATTAAGGGTAGCGTTTTTTTAAAAAAATGTAATAATATTTCCAAGGGTAACAAACTAAAAGAACTACACCTAACAAGTGTAACCGATATTCATGACTACTGAACACCTGAATAGATGTAATTGTGAGGTGTTTTTGATAAGCTACACCACTACCAGTGTTATACTTCATTTACACCAAAGGGTGTAACTATTATTGGGGGATAAATCCTAGAACAAAATCAATTTTACAGCGTTTATTGGGTTGCAAAAGTTTTATCGATATTCATGAATACTGAACTGAACACCAGGAAAGGTGTAATTGTAGCCGCTAAAAGGTGTTTGGGATGAGCTACCCTTCTACAAGCGTTTTATTACATTTACACCAACAGGTGTAATTATTTTAGGGAAACATTCCTCCGAATGACGTGTCAATTTTACACAGTATCTTGAGTAACGAATGTATTTATTTTGTGTACTCCAATTTGAGTGTTTTTTGTAAAATATGGTGTTAATTGCATTTTAGAGTGTTTACTCGTAACGAATATAAGTCTTTCAGAATATTATCATGTATAATAATCTCAATAATATTTCATAACGCCTCAAGTATAGATTATTTTAGCTTGTATACACTTAAAAGTGTAAATGTTCCAAAATATTACCATGTACAATATCTTAATTAGTTATTCTTCATTCAGGTGAGGGGCATAAATGAATAAACCACATTATTCAGCTAAGTTGTAAGGATGTCTAATTGCCCAATCTCACACAACAACTTTTGGTCTTCGAAGGAATTATTAGTGAGCAGATATTCGCCCGTATATCCGTTATCACTCGTCACATCAGTCAGTTATATAGAGAGATGACTCGTGTTTTCCTTTGGCGTTCGACACTTCCGATTCAGGAAAACTGTATTACTTAGCTATCGTAGCAATGATCTCTGTTAAAATTATATTTGGAATGTGTTTAACCAGCTTCATCACATATGTGATAATGACTGGCACCAATATTGTCCTTTAATGTCTTTGTAAAAAGAAGCGAAGTAGCCGACGGTCAATATGTAAACTTGGTTGGGCGAAACGCACTATTCTAATTATCACAGAGACCTATAGCCAATTTCAAGTTTTCTGATCTTAAAAGTCGTTGGCTTGAAATAAATATCCAACAAAACAAATTACACCCGCGTTGATGTAATAATTAAATGGAAGTGTAATTTACAAAACATCCTTGAGGGATAATGCTTCATCTACACCCACGGGTGTAAACTATTTAAGTGTAACATCAGGCAGGTTACACTACTGGAAGTGGCCACTATATTATATAGTTTCCACCTGAATTGGTGTAATGTTTTACACTAGTTGGGTGTTATCGGTTTACATCACTAAAGGCTAGGAGTTACCCCTATTTGGGTGGCAACTAGTTTCCACACGAATTGGTGTAAACAACCTTATTATTTTTAACAGTGTAGTATATACATCTTAACGACCGATCAGATAATTCAGATAGTACTTCAGAAAACTAAACAATTTCAAACGATTAAAGATTCAAGAAGGCAGTGACGTAAAATCAAAAGAAACTGATGCGTTTTTTGCTGCTGAGGGAGTAAAATGCAAAATTGAAAATGTGTGCGTGATTAATACGTACGGATGTGGGGCCATAGTTAAATATGATGCCGGAACTAAGCCTTCATGTCCGCCCTTTTCTGCTTTATACCAGTCAGGATCATCGGTATCTAATATCTGAAATGAATGAAATGAAATGGGGATTAACGTCCTACTTTTCCGCATCTACCGGACCATCAAGACGGACATACGCCATGCATGTGCTATCAGGTATATTTTGGTCCGGACTGCCATGTATGGTAAGGATACAGGACATATTTTTTATTTGCGTTCATCGGATATTTAATATCAGTTTTTGTTACAATACAATCTGATTATTTCGAAAACCAGCGTTTGCCAGGCAAGATACGCCCACATTTTGCAAGAGATGGATAGGGAACAAGCACAAAAAAAATGAAGCTATTTTTCGTACAATCAGGGGCCATATAATCCAGGAAGTTACGATCCTACATGCGCGAATATCGAAAGGAACCAAGATCTTTAGGTTATAAGCATGCATTTCAAGTTTCCTCAATGAGCGCATAAAAATGAAATACCAGATGTGATTTTAAAAATAAAATATGATTTATAAATGTGACGACATTTGAACTTGCGTCACGTTTTCCATCCATAAATTAACAATGCGTGACGCGGGGCTTTGCGTCTGACACATTTGACCAAGTACAGGTTGTTTCTTAGACTTACTGGTCTGCGTCAACATAAACATTCAGCAGATTACGGTTACTGTTCATGGGGTGCTTGTGAGGTCTTGTTTTCAATTCATAGAGTTCTTGATCAAGACCTCGTGCGTTCAACTAATTTGGTTTAGTTTTGTTCAGTAATCCATCAAATAGATCTTCTAAAGATCTTTATATCACTGACTTTGAAGAATGATATAGTTTTATCACAATGTATTAATGATATATACAGTGTATGTAGTGACACTTTAGATTTGCATATACAAATAAACGATTATCTCAGCTACAAGTCTACTAAAGTGTTTATATAATCCTATCATGGTAAGATTAAGTTGTATCATTTATACACAAACTATTTCATTTCGGCACGAAATAGTTCAATTATATTTTAATAACTCGCTTGCGAGTAGGGATCTTTAGCAGTGGGGGGAAACCGGGGGACAGGCGACAAGACTGAGTAATTGAACTGGAATATACAGGTCACAATTTTATGGAATACAATTACTGCTTATACTGGGCGATCAAGCAATCACGTGATTTCATGTCACGCGAAAATACAGGAAATCTGTTCGGTAATATAACATAAGATGTCAGTGTTCCACTCTTCACTATTTGTAACATAATTACTTATTTCCATGCAAACTGTGATGATATGTGTTGAAAGTTTTGCAATTGAACCTTATTTTACTTGCGCAAAGCCTCGAACAGTGTATCAAGAATGATCACGGTCTCAAATATTGCAGCTAAGTAGGGAAAAGACGAGGTCCGGGAGGTTGCCTCCCCCTGAACGTGAGAAAAGTTTTAAGTTTCGGTAAACCTTAATGGACTTTTGGGATGTGAACGCCTTGTTTTTTTTATCTTTTACAAAGTAGTGAGTAATTCTTTTCTGCATTTCTCCCACTATAGTGAAACGTTAAAAATGAACATGATCACGAACAACGATGGATATATAATTTTGTAACAAAAGAGTAATTACAAATAAATAAGCATATTATGCCTTAGAATTGATCATTTTATGGTTTTCTAGCGCATGGGTAAATGTTTTTAGCGTTTTTAGATTGTCAGTATTACTTGTTTGTTTCCGCAATCGTGTATGTATACACAGGTGGTTGTGAATGAACTATAATTATTACAAGATACCTATACAATATATAAAGGAATGATGCATCCCCTGTGATTTTACTAAATAAACATACTTATTTCACAAAACCTCGTAGTAAAAATAATTGTGATTATAACAAATGTAAGCTCAGACTTGTGCTTAAAACAGCGTATTTTTCTTTTCACGAAACGTTACACCACCACCCTGTGAAAAAATTGTCGACCATAAAAAACAAAAAACCTAGATACATGCAGTGTCCGTCAATTTTACAGCACCCCTGAAAACACTTCCTGCCCCCGTTGCTCTGAGCTAGTTATGGCCCTGTTCGGAAATTTTATAATAAATCTTTGTTAAACTGGTATTAGATCAGTTATTGTATTGGGTATGAGGACAATAGAGATAGTAGCCTACTTCATTATAGATTGTAGAAAAAGAGACAATCTACAGGCCCATTTAATCTTTAGCAAAGAGGGTGGGTAATTCGGTATGTGCCCCCACCCGCCCACCATCTCCCAGATCCTACAGCTATCGTTTTAAATGGGTGTATGTATTACACAGCGTATAGAAAATATACTCTGTTGAATCATAAACGGAAATGTGTCAACATTTTCTTACTCCGTAGGTTCGGATGTTAGAAGATCGATCCGCGGGGCTATTCGTATGGACTGATGGGTTTGTTTTGAGAAACACAGGGTCGAGAGATTAAGTTTCTTATCCAGGTCCCTATAATCTACGTATATAACATAATATATAACAAAATTAACTGTACGAAGTTTAAACAAGGAAGTTTATTAGACTGAGGAGGAACTTAAATATTTTGTTTGTATCTCCTTGAATATTCATATGTCCAATAAAATTTCCACATCAAATAAACACATTATAATCTTACAAACCTTTACTAGATCGCCCTTTTTACAGCTTAATTCATCACTGTTTGTCGGTTCAAACAAATATTTCATTGTTGCTTCCATGATGATCGTATGTGTCAAGAACTTGTGGATCTCCGATAAGTGCGTACACGCCGATTGGTTTACTAGTTATTAAAAGCTATAAATAGCAATGAATCTTATCCGGAGTTCCCGTTGTGTGGGTTGAATAGTACTGTTCAATGTTTAACAGATAACCGGGTACTTTAACTTACTTCTTGGTTTTAATTAAATTCCAATGTAATAATATGGTATAATAGTTATATAGTTGCACTGTTTACACAACGTAAACATTTCAGTAACAGGCTATAGTTTTAGCTTATGTTGTGTACTCCATACAAAGCTTAATACATGTACTTAGAAGTGCATATCAAATTTATTCTGCAATTTTTATTTATTCATACAGTGCTGCTTAATTTTGGGGCATTAACATCCTACTAATATATTTTCTATGAGTATATGGCCAATATGGACTAAAAAGAATGTAGCCCTTGCTATCGATCTGTATGCACAAACATATTTTTTAAAATATCTAACTCTCATTGCTCTTTTCTACATCCTTTTTTACAAAAAATATTTAATTTGGGCTGATACAAAAAGGAAGCTTTTGAAAACTGGTTGTGGGGTACAGATCTATATGTTGTGAAAAGATGCAGGACCATTAATTGTTGTTAAACCAAAAGGCAACAGTAAAATTTGAGGACTAACTTCTTGTAAGACATTACTTAAGGCATATATCATCTTATATAATTTGATGTATGTATTGTTCACATATATTTATTTATTTGGTGCATTCAGTGGTTCAGTACATCACAAATTTTGTGATCTTGCAGTCATTTATCTTATTGTGTGGGCTACTTTTAAAAAAAGAAAAAAGTGAACACAATGGGGCAAGAATAGGGCTTGTTCAACAAGGGGAGACAACCATCTCATTGTTCTAGGAGGCATGCATATAATTTTGTAACCCAGGTGGACTCAGACTAGCAATTACTTGCCCATTGACTTCAATGTTAAATGACTGTAACATCACAGGCTGTAGCTTTTTGCTCAACATTCCGTTGGTTCCAATCTTTATAGGCACAATGGGGACAACATTTGGCAATCTCCTCATCATAATTTTGTAGGGGGTTGACCATTTAGATTTTTTGCTACACGGATTTGAAGTTGACAGGGGTGAAAATCTCACTTCCGACACAATGATTGCTCTGCAGAAAGACACTTTACACCCCCTATCCCTCCGCTGTAATATCATCAGTATTACCCAAAACTGCTATGAAATTGCAAATTTGATCCCTTTTCTCCAATTCTAGACCAAAAAGTCAACCCAAAAATGCAGGAAGAGGGGAGAAAAAAATTAAGGGAAAAATTGTCTATTAATAACTCGCACTACATTCGTCCATCATGAAATAAGGGGAAATAATTACTAGTCTTAGTCCTATATACCTCACATGTTTCTGCAGTTTAAACAAATCTGTTGTTATCTAATAAACAAACATATATGCAATTCCCTGGCCAAAGAATATGAAAATCTATGCATTTTCAGATGAGCTGTGCGGCATTCTGCAAACACTATAATACATCAGAAAACTGCGGAATTTCAGACAGAAATTTAAAAGCACATGAATTTTGAATTAAACAGAACATTTTTATTTTTGAACATAAATGCATTCTGTAAAAAGATGAGATAAATTCAATATAAATCAAACACGAAAATACTTTAAAACAGTAATCATGATGCAATATTAGACTTTTTAACACTTTCATCGAAAACCACACAGTTTTTCTCTGTTAACGTAGTTTCAAGTGCCAAATTGTGGTCAAATCTAAAATGTTGAAACATGCAGTGCCTATCAATTTTAAAATATCTCCTATATAGCTGTATTTCCATAGGATAAGTAAGTTGAAATAATCTGATTATGTAACACTACAACAGCTTTTTCATCCCCACCCCCCAGTTTGGAATCTGATAATTTAAAAGCACATGAATTTTGAATTCCACAGAACATTTTTATTTTTGAACATAAATGCATTCTTCAAAAAGATGAGATGAATTCAATATAAATCAAACACGAAAATACTTTAAAACAGTAATCATGATGCAATATTAGACTTTTAACACTTTCATCGAAAACCACACAGTTTTTCTCTGTTAACATAGTTTCAAGTGCCAAATTGTGGTCAAATCTAAAATGTTGAAACATGCAGTGCCTATGAATTTCAAAATATCTCCTATCTAGCTGTATTTCCACAGGATAAGTAAGTTGAAATAATCTGATTATGTAACACTACAACAGTTTTTTCATCCCCACCCCCCATTATGGAATCCGATACATTGCTGACCAATCATAGGTCGCCCTGTTCACTCGGGCCTGTCAAATGATTTACAATGGCGATGGTGCCTACAACTTTCCTGACCAAGAGATATGCACAACCGTCGATCAACACACAAGCCATTAATGTTATCTTCCAATATGAGAGGCCATGATAAACACACGGGCGTCCTTTTCAAGCTCGGAAATTAAGTCATCACCAAAAAGCAAAGTTTACAGAGGTCCTCGGGGCTGGAACCCAAACTGATTACGATTTGCCCTCCACTTCCACCACAGGTGTCATAGAGATCAGGGATGAAATTGATATGCATCATCGTTCTCCTAAAGCCAGTCCAGGAAGACATCAGGTTTTGAGATGTAGACCTGAAATGTTAAATTTGGATGAGAATGAGAATTCTGGGGCGAATACTATCCAGGGAAACGGTCATTGACATCCAGAAAATGGTCAAAATGTGGAATTCTGTCATTCAGTTAAATGTCAAGGGGAGAAGACAGGCCTGTGCAGTACCAAATTTCCAGCCCATTACTATTAGTGAGCAGAAGTGTGGGGATCAGGTTGGATGTACTTCTTAAAGTGTATGAAATGCACATTTATCTCACCTGTTTTGCTTCTTTTTTTTTAATACTTGTGTTGAGGTCAATCATTCCACTCTATGAAACATTACCCTGGCACCTGAAATGATAGGAGGCTGGGGATAAATATGCAATAAAAAAACAGTGAGAAAATAAGAAAAAAATATGGTTTCAACTGGAAATAGAAATAAACCTCTTTATTTCTAGCGAACAGCCTGTCACTGGCCCTCCAAAAAGAAACCAGTTAACAGGCAGTAAAAAAGTAAACCTTGAGTGTCACATAAGTCTAAGCCAATCTCAAAGATAGATGCCATGTTTTGAGGTTTGGTCTAAATATTAAGGCCAACTGCATGTTTGGTCAAAAGTCACACAGGTGTGAATTTTGGAGTGTACATGTTAACATTTCATTGTATGATGTCAAAAACATGTTAGGTCTAAATGTTAAGGCCAACGGCAGACTTGGTTCAAGGTCGCAACATGTAAATAGGGTTAGGGCACATGATTTTTTGACACAATTGTGGGTTTGGGCTAGGGTCAGGACTAGGTCTTGGCTTAGGCCTAGGGTACATGCTTTTTGACAAGATTGTGGGTTAGGGTTAGGGTAAGGACTGGGTCTTGGGTTAGGGTCAGTCTTGTTTACATCTAGTGACTTTAGACCAAATCTGCAGTTGAGTTGGCCTTAATATTTAGACCTAACCATGTTTTGATATCATTGTGAACAAAATGTTACACATTTACAACCCAAAATTCACACTCAACCAACGGATACCCCCAATCATGGCTATTTTGATACCAAATAGTCAAAAAACTTACTGCTGGGCAATAAAAAAGCAGTATTCTTACCATTTCTGACACTTTCCATTCAAAACTTCAGGAAATAAGCCGTTGAAAAAATATCAACATCCCGAGTCGGCCATGCTTCTTTATATCATCAGGACTCAGACTAGCAATTACTTGCCCATTGACTTCAATGTTAAATGACTGTAACATCACAGGCTGTAGCTTTTTGCTCAACATTCCGTTGGTTCCAATCTTTATAGGCACAATGGGGACAACATTTGGCAATCTCCTCATCATAATTTTGTAGGGGGTTGACCATTTAGATTTTTTGCTACACGGATTTGAAGTTGACAGGGGTGAAAATCTCACTTCCGACACAATGATTGCTCTGCAGAAAGACACTTTACACCCCCTATCCCTCCGCTGTAATATCATCAGTATTACCCAAAACTGCTATGAAATTGCAAATTTGATCCCTTTTCTCCAATTCTAGACCAAAAAGTCAACCCAAAAATGCAGGAAGAGGGGAGAAAAAAATTAAGGGAAAAATTGTCTATTTATAACTCGCACTACATTCGTCCATCATGAAATAAGGGGAAATAATTACTAGTCTTAGTCCAGGTATGTATAATTTGCAACACTTTCTAAACAAATAAAATAAACAGATGGGCTTACAGTCAATAAAACAATTCAATATTTTTTTCCATAAAATATTTTATTTTTTGATGAAGCTATTAGCTAATTGTCTTGAGCTCTTAACATGCAATATCAGGCTTAAATGAACATACAATTTTTTTGTCATTAAATATGCTATGTCAATGTTCTCCTCTGAACAGTGGGCTCCTTCACACCTTTCGGAATTTTAAATTCCTGTTTATTTTCAACACAATACAACATACCGTTTAAATCTTAATATAGTATATGATAGAAAGACATGGAACAAATCATAATAATTCACTTGTTATATACTCTTCTAAAAAAGTAGGGGATATTCAGAAACAATACAAAAAATGCACTGCTGTTTTTATTAGAGGTAACCAGTGTATGTTAATAACAGGCCAATTACCTACACATGAACATAAACAGTTCATATTGGTGGCTAACCTGACGGCCCCATTTCACTCGCAAAGAGATACACTATCAAAAGTGAAAATGGACGTTTTTGATTTTTGTCTTAATAACGAGTAATTGATCCACCAATCCTCAGACATTCAGCAATTCGTCGTGGTATGCTCCTAATCAACCGTCCAATCATGATTTGGGGCAATCTGACCCACTCCTCTTGCAGTGCAACAGCCAATTCTTGCAGTGTTGTCGATTGACATTGACGAACATGTCTCCCGATCAAATTAAACGTAACACACTAAAGCAAAAATACGCTGAACAGTAAATCTTATGCAGGAACCGATAGGAAAGCAAACATGGATAGATAAACCAGCACCTGGCAGTTTTCATCAACCCTTCCATGAAGTGTCAAATTTGACAATGAACCCCTCCCACGTGTATGGCGCTATTGCTTGTCGCATGTGCAGCTCAGTGGTTCTGTTGGGGCGATGAGTTCTCCATCTGTGAACATACACTCAAAGCATGTCAAATGTCCATGACTATTTATCATATCGCAACCTGCATAAGTATTTGCATTTCAATATCCCCTACTTTTTTTGAAGAGTATATAATAAACAATACATTAATCATTCTTCACCAACAGAACATTGTTAAAAATAATTAAATATAACTATTTAACATTTAGTAGTTTCAAAGCAAAACCCCCAGTTTTCCCAGAAATGTTTCCATTATGTGTAGCCCATTTAGAATAACAACTGATCATATTATGAATAACAATAATATTGAATGTTTCATGATGCATGTAGATCTGTATTGAACAAATAAAGGCATATATACCTTTAGATGCCAAAAAGCTATTAAGGACTAAGTTAGCAGAATTAACTGCTACATGCAAGTAAATCATCACTTTTACTTATAAAACTGAGTATGTTACGCTACAATTTTCTTTACTAGGACTAATTGGTAACAAATACTGTCAAATTAAAATATAATATAAAACTTTATCAATTTATCTAACATTGTGAATTTCATCTTAAAGGTAAAGAAAAATAAAGGTCAACTGGGACTGTCTATGTGAAGAAGTAAAATAAAAAGAAAGAAATTGCCGTTCACCATCTTCACATTCAACTGATATCTCTTTAGCCATGGTGAAGTTATCTGAATGCAGGGTATTAGTAATAGGCAAAGCACACAAATGCCACCAATCACAATGTTACAAATTGAAGCATCAGGGTAACTAAAGCAATGAAGTTATGAACCCAACCTACTTTGATGTTATTTTAATTGGGATATTGGCTCAAATAGTACAAGAAAGTAAGCTAACACAGTGAATTTTTCTGATGTATGCAGGGTTGATATTATGAAACCATTTTAATGCATGCAACATAATAAATATTTAGCTTTTAAATTGCTTCCCACTAACAGTTTAGGTATTTAAAACTAAATCCTATTTCTAAAAATGATACAATCTATACTATTTGATATGACTCAACTAAAATATACTTAATCCACAAGGATTTGAATTAAGTAATATATTGACAAACAAACATAAATTCATCTATCTAAATCAAAAGTCTATTTTCTTAAAAAGAAAGAATCTAGAAGACACTACTAACAAAACTTTGATAGTGTAGTGAGCTGCAAAAAGAGAAAAACATTTAATTTTGAGCAATATAATTATTGAGATAGAAAATGATAAAATTATGTCAGAGGATTGAACTTAGGTGAAAAGACAAACATTGAATAAATGACATCGATACATGCATTTAAAAAATTCAGAATATTTATACCTTATTGAACATTCAAAAAAATATCTTAATACAACAGCACAGAAAAACCGTGTTAGCTGTGTGACACGAAACCCAGGTAGGGTTGCAAAGGTATCTGAATCTGTGATATGATATGCATTAAGATTCACAGTACCATGTAATAAGAGCTTGATTATCAAACTCAACTGAGCAACAGGAAAGTTAATTTTACATTTCTATCTCATTCTAAGGCAATACAAAAAAATATTCTGGTTCTCAGAAAATCCTTCCAAACAATTCTGATTCGGGAGGAGTCTTTGTATTTTTGTGTTTTAATTTTGCCAAAGGATCACTACTGGGCTAAATGACTTCTAATAAACATCACATTTCATGACACTAAATTTATCTCATCATGTTATTAATAACAAGTATCACTTCATTTTTAGATTCATTCAAATTTTGTATGATTTTTACTTCCTGTGACCCGAGCCATAATTAAATAGACTGTTTTTATGTTTTATTGTTTGAAATAAAAACGGGTGCTGGTTAATTTGAGAAGCAGAATTTTTTTTTTATATGGCCTTAATGTAAGATTTTATTTTATACATTATGCCATGGAACATAGTTGGTATTGTATGTGAGTTTATATTCAGCTATATGTATCAGGATGCATGATTATCCAAGAATCACTGCAACCTAGTATCAGGTGTTCCACAAAGAGTGAGCACATACTGCCACATACACAACATCACTTAAAATGAATTTTTGACATAGTATTAACAACTTTTTTTTTTATCAAAATACATGGTAAATAAAACTTGTATAATTATAAGTTTCTTCATAATAAATAGTACTCTTTTTATAAATCCTGTAGAAAGATTTATTATAAAATGTAAACTCTTTGGGTTGTATGCACCTCTCTTACTTTTGTGGATAAAGTATAATGTATGTTCAGCTACACCTAACAATACCGGTATACATATTCAAAACTTTACAAAGTTAAACTTTAGTCAAAGTAAAAGGTGTATACAACACAAAACATATACTCTACAATATTCTATTGTGTAAAAAATATCATTTTTACAAGCTACCTTTTCAAAATTTGTTTTATTTGTTATGATATACTAATACATTTTAAATGAACTATACAACAAGAGTCTTATTTACGAAAACCTGAACTAAGATATTCTAAGTGACCGGCTTTTACATTGGCTAAGAGTTCAAATTTGTACTTGGATTTTAACCCTCAACCTATGAAAAGAATGCATCCTTAAAGTAATGATTTTAGTTATGTTTTCAGGAACAAGGACCCAGATTTGAAAATATATATATGCACATGATTAGGAAATTACAAATTAAAACAAATATCTAATTAAGGGAGAATAAAATAACTTTATAGAGTCTAAAACCATACCTAATCCAGAGTACATGTAGTCTTAAATTGAATGGCCAAAAAGATATTAAAACCGTTGATACATAGGTTATGACCATTTTTAGCTTTAAATCAGTTTCTGTGAATGTCAACAACATCTGAAGTAGTATTTAAGCTGATAGATAGTAATTCTGAAAACTTTCCAAATAAACCAGAACATACAGGTTTTGAATTGGTTGATTGGATTGCAATAATTTGATCTTAAAAATATTTTTGACCATTAATCTAATTTGATACCAACTCATGGCAAATTTGACCATGTGGTTTACTGTCCTTCTAAAAAAAATAACATGATAAATTAATCCAATTTGATACCATGGCAAATTTGAATCAATGGACTAATTATACATGCATATATATATATAAACCTATATAACTAGATAACATATCCATTGCAAAGTGAAATGTGAAATGTCAAATGCAATAATATACATATCTGTTCTAAATTACGGTAAGTACATGTGAGCTTCCAGGATTTAAATGACAATCAACTCAAAGTCATTATTCAATCAGGATAAAATTCAGAGTGCAACAGATCTAGATATGGGACAAACAATTAGAACTGAGTAATAAAGTTGAATATAATGGATCAACCATGCAGTAATACATGCATTTGTGAAGTCTGTGCTACAATTAGTCCACAATATGTGATGTATAAATCACTTTATTTACAAAAACACCACAAAACGTCCAACAATGTATTATATTTACATAGAAATGGCTTCAAATGAAATTGTTAGAACTTTATCCATACACTGAAATTGGAAAACCAAAAGATTTGATACTTTGAGACCATCAATCTTTAGTTACGTATGTAAACAAACACAGCTGGAAAAACAGTTGTACAGTGTATTAAAAATTAAATGTCTCCTCCTCTCAATATGATTAAAATACAGATTTTAATTTCACATTTTTGTTTCTGTAGCACTATGTGCATGTCATAATTTGTTATAACATTGTGTCCATCTATTACAATTGATGAAATCAATCAAATTAATAATGTTTTATTTAGTTATCCTAAAATACAAAATTTATCTCTTAAGACCTCTATCCAGCGGCTAACTTCTAGAAGTGGTAGAACTAAAGGCATGTGGTTTTTATTGGTATCCATCAATAGGATTTACTCTAAATATACGAGCTCAAAATGTAACAACTCTGTTTGAGCCAGTTTGAGGGGTAGTGCAGTGGACATATCTCCTTATCTCCACCTCGTCTGGACCGCCATTAAACAAGACCAAACACACTTGCTACACAGTAGTAGACATATATATAGAAATGGTGATAACTATCACCTTATAAGTCAACTATTTATTTTTTTTCATCGAAAATAACACTAAATCATCTTTCTGATAATCAACATATTAGCGTAATACAATTTTCTAAGCAAACAAGCAATTAATGAGCTCTTTTCCAAACTCAATAAACACCATCCAAACCTTTTATTTTTGCAAACAATTCTCACATCGTGATGCCCTTGGCATTGTCGAAGGAAAATGTTATTTTCTGAACTTAATATGGCATGGTTATTATCTTGTTTTGTAAGAAAGCCCAACAAGTAGCCAACAAACAAACAACTATATACAAGTGAAATAAGATAAACAATCTATTTTTGTCTGAACATGAATGAATGAAGCTGTATTGCCACTTAATAGTTGCTATTTATAGTATTACTGTTAAGTTTCTGAAATATCGGTAGTACTAAATTTTCCTGTTCCTTTCTCCCATTACAGTGCCTGTATCCATTCACATAATCAGTACCTGACTTCAAAACATTTGGTCCCTTTTGGATGATAGACAGTTTATAACCAAGATATTTAAAGTCTTAGCGCATCATTTTTAGTGCTATAGGAATCACTTGCAAATTACAATATTGTAAAATATGTATCTCTAATAGGAATATCAGTCCAAAAATGGTTCAATTTCATTTAATATTTACAAAGTTATGATCAATTAAAATTTCATTGATCTATGGTGCTCGATGGTGCTATTGGTAGCAGAGAAACCTGATGGGCCTAGTTTAAATCTGACGGAATCCAAGCTAGAAGATTATCTAGCATTGATATTTTTATTTCTTAAGTTAAATAATCAACCTGAGTACATATTTATCGTGTATTAAGCCATGAGAAATTTGATAATTTAGCAAAAATGCAAATGACACATCAAGCCTTTAAATAGCATAATACTGCAACATAAATTCTAATCAGCAGTTGGGATTTTAGAAAAAGCCAATAATAATATGAAATCCTAATCAATTTTCATGTAATAATCAAATTAAATACATACCTTACATTTCATCAAAAACAATAAAACACTACTCAAGCCCATATCCTATTGGCGAGATTTTTTGTTCTTAAATAAAAGCAATCAATTAATCTCAATGATAAACTAACAAGCTACTAAAGTCACACTTCTAAAAATAATTTCAAATATCATTATCTAATATCATAAGCTAAAGTTTGTTAAACTTATAGAAAAAGCAAATTTCCATTTAACAACATAATTTACTATGTGATGGTGATTTCCTTATGCTAACCAATGTTCAAATACAAACAGATTTCTTTTTTGTTTAGTTAAAGGCAAAATCACAACAATGAGTAGAAAATTTCTCAAATGGGGATAGGTTTTCATAATACAAATCTAATCGTTGGTTGCTTAATTGTCCTTATATACATAACCTTGAGTAGAAAAGCACTTAAATTTTTCGTAATACAAATCTAAACGTTAGTAGCTCGCCCTTATAAATGAAACATTTGAAAGAATCAAACTGACACATTACTCTTACAAAAACGATGTTAATGATGCTTTACTTAAAATTTCAAAACTTCTAACTAAAAGCTTTTGAGAAGTGCAACTAGTTTTTGCTAAATTTAGTTATTTTCCCAAAGAAATAGAAAGCAAAATATTTTTGAAATAGATGTTCACGAAGAACTTAAATTTAAATTTGTATGGTCTAATTACTGAATGTTAATATTTAAATCCCAAAAATATTATTATTTGTAAGCATTTCTGATGTGTTTCAACTGATAAATTCAAAATTACTTGAATAAAACTTTAGCTTTAGATATGATCAATGCATACAGCCTCCAGAATAAGAAAAGAATTCAAAAACAAGTTTTCATGATTAGTTTACATTCAGTGCATATTAACTTAACAAGTAAAGAAACTGCGAACCAGCACAGATTACACTCATTAAACAAAGTTGATTAAAACTTGTTAATAATTCTACTTAAACTAATAGAATAGCCGTTTAAAGACAAATGTGGCAGACTGATGTCTATCTCCATTACATTATGTCAATTCAATCTTTACATAATTTGATGGTATGAATCCGGTCTTTCCATTTAACTCAGCTTTAAACCAATCCTGATCAGACTGATCTTGTATGACTAAAACATCACCTCTATTGAAAGAAAGTTCTTCAGGTCCACTGGCTGAAAATTCAAATAGTGCTTTCGCATGCTGAAACACAAGACAAAAAAAACTATTTTTAACATAGGCACATTTTGTCTGGAAAGCAGCGTTTTCACCTACTCTTCTTCAAATTCCATCTACATATATTATGGGTACTTTGTCCCTTTCAACAATTAGATAGCTCTTTCCTCGTCAGATTTGCTCTTCAAATATGGAAACCCCGCTTACAGAATATCCAACACATTGTTCTCAGTCAAACCCCATGCCAATATGCCAGGATTAAGCCTCAGATATTCTATTTCAGATTCTCATGGACTGCAAGAAGACGGATAAATGTTGAAATGTAGTGTACTTACCACTATTCGAGGAACTCCTGTATTCATATCTTTTAAAAGTAAATTCGTATGAGCGTTTCGAGAAACAGACTCTTTTTTATGATTCTGAACAAGTTCTGTCACAGAACGGAAAAGTTTTGTCCACAAATAATATGATCCCGAAGAGTTATTCAAAATTTTAAAATGTTGAACACTATTTCCTTGCCTGAAAAATATAAAAAATATATGGTTTTACATAGCTGAAAAGTTATGTGTTTCTGGTTACAATAAATCTTTAGCAAATATTAACATCTACATGTAGATAACAACATCAGTAACAGAGCTTCACTATAAAAAGTTGCCAGTCTGACAACTTTAGAAGTTTTTTGTTTTTTAAAAATACATTTGAACTGTTTTAACAGTTCAAAACAGTTAACTTAGCTGCATTTATTGTGTTCTATTGTTATATGTTTTTCACTCTCAAGACTGGCAAAACCTAAAATACCTCACTGCACAGCATTCAAAGTTCATCCATTATTCAGAAAATTCATCTTAAAGTCAGTACTGATATTATTTAGTTTTTGAAAATTTAGAGGCTCTACATCCTTTTCTATAAATGGATAAAGAGAGGGACCATGTTTGATTTAAATAAACCAGAAGTAATATAAATTAACTGTCCTTTATTAGACACATCAAACTTTAAATGTCCAAAATAAATCATTTAACACTTTTTCTTCTTGTGAAAATACAGGGGGGTTGGATGGCTGAATGGTTAGCGTATGCGCACTGTATCATAAAGTCTGTCATTGAGTCAACTGGCGTGGTTTCGAATCCCCGGTTGTACGTGACAAGGAGTAGGGTGACCTGTCCAACCTCGTGGGTTTTCTCCGGATACTCCGGTTTCCTCCCACTGCTAAAAACCCCTATGCGCAAGCGAATTATTGAAATAAAATTAACCCATATGTTAGTCCCGAAATGACCTGGTTTGTGTCGAGTGGACATTAAACCCCATTTGTCTCTCTCTGTGTACATACATTTTTTAAAAACAAATTTTAGATATGTGAGTCATAGGGGAGAGAGAGTTATTATGTGTAAATCAATAGTCTAGGTTTACAAAGTAGACTTTACTTACTTGACAGATAGGGAAAACCCTGAAGCATCTGATTCACTATTACGAACTAAAAATGCACCATCATCATGTTTATGTCGACCAGATTGATCTGTCTCTGATAATATTTGTTCAGCTTCACCTCTTGTAATTTTACCCAAATACCATCTGAAAAATGTGATAAAATATTACTACAAAAACCACCTACAAATCATTACATAAATATTATTAAATATCAGATACAACCTAAAACATGACAAGTATTAAATTATTAAATACCACCTAAAACTTTATGGATTTACAATATTTCGACAATTACACCACAATATTTATATATATTTTTATATATATACCAATTCCTTAAATCAGTTTCGCAAATTTATAGTCACTAAATAAGCGGTCATGTTGTACTTAATAAGCTATGACCATTTAACCATCAATAAATAATAGACTGCAAAATGGTTACGAATGTCGGCCATAACATCCAGGCACTTTTGAGTAAAAAATAGGTTTTGTTTTAGTTCGCTTAACCAGTCTAACAACCATTCTCCATCTGATTGACAGGCCGGCATAATCGAGACTACTTTTTTACGAAACATAAGAGAAAGCTGGAACAAGAAATTGAATTTAGAAACATGCACATTAGGTAACTCAAGAATTGTTTTAAGGACCTTGTAAAAATAAAATGAAACTACTGCTAGTATCATGTTCTTGCCTAACCTGAATGAAATGAAATGAAATGAAATAGGGTTTAACGTTATACTGTTCTGCACCTATAATGGGCTAATGAAGACGGGCATATGCCATACAGTGCGCTATGAGGGGAATTTTGCCCGGGCAGCGGCACTATCGCCTACTCTTATATCGAATTCCAACTGCCAAGGGATCTTTTATGTGCATTCCAATGTATACACGGGACCTCAGTTTTTCGTCTCATCCGAACTAACCTGAATGTTTCAGAGATATTATTTGTACTAAACCAAAAGTTGCCGCTCCTAATGGTATAGTTAATGAAAAAGTAATTTAAAAAATAAAACAAGTAATTTCTAAAGCTGCTGTAATAACCAAAAGCTAAATATTACTGCTATTCAGAACGTCAACAATTGATTTTTTACGGCTTTAAGAGTTGATAGATGTGTAGAGAATTTCACATGCGATAGCTATTTATACTCTTGCCACTAAAGTGTGCACATTCGCCGTGTCAAGCGCACTTTTCAGTAGGGAAAATTTTTGCTGCACGGGGCACTTAAGTATTTATATTACTACAATAAGTGAAAATATTATTATTAAATGAATCTACCAAGTCAAAAATCATGGCAATACGTAACACATGCTATTATCAAATACCACCAAGAAAAAAGATTTTAGTGACGATCATAGATGGTGTTTGTTTGTTTTGAACATATCCTGTCAGCAGTGGATTCCGAATATTAACAAATTCATCTTACTAAACTAATTGAACCATTTTAGAGATTCAACAATCACAATATTTAGTTAAGAAGGGAAGAAAATTTGATAAATGACCATGCAAGGCTAAAAGTGCAAAAAAATACATACTGGTGTGGTAACATAGTCAAATATGTAGATGGAACCATTCCTACTCTTCCATTTTTCTCTGCTTTAAACCAATCAGCATCATCCATATCTAGTACCTAAAATTACAAATAATGTTATTTAATAAATTAAAATAAAATGTCTATTACATCTGGAATCATTTCTAATTTGGTGAGTTTATAAATATGAATAACAGTTTTTGTTACACCTTTTGCATACCCTACTGTATCAAGCTTGTGTATACGATGACAGATTTAAAGGACAATATTGGTGCCAGTCATTATCACATATGTGATAGAACTGGTTAAACACGTTCCAAATATTATTTTTTCACAGAGATCATTGCAACGATAGATGAGTAATCAATGTTTCAACAATAGGAAGTGACGAACGCAAAAGGAAAACACGAGTTATTCCTCTATAAAACTGGCTGAAGTGACGCGTGATAACAGATACATGGGCGAATTTCTGCTCACTAAAAATTCGTTCGAAGATCAAAAGTTGTTATATGAGACTGTAAGAGTATATCTGACAATTCAAAAAAATAATTGAATGTCATTAGATAAGAGAACACGAGAAAAATAGAAACAGTCCGTACATTCACAGGTGTTTATTCATTGTATACTTATAAAAACATGGTAATGGTAATGCACAGACTTTTCTATTTTTCTTTCATGTTCTCTTATCTAGTGACAGTCAATTTTGTTTATGAATTGTCAGATATCCTTTCACAGTCCCATACAACAACTTTTGGTCTTCGAAGAAATTATTAACACCAGTCACTTCAGCCAGTTTTATAGAGGGATAACTCGTGTTTTCCTTTTGCGTTCGTCACTTCCTATTGTTGAAACATTGATTACTCATCTATCGTAGCAATGATCTCTGTGAAAAAATAATATTTGGAACGTGTTTAACCAGTTCCATCACATATGTGATAATGACTGGCACCAATATTGTCCTTTAAGAAATGTGTTTGACTCCTTCTCTGGCCTTATTAAACATCAGGGGGTGAATGGTTGTCACAGACTGTATTATCAGTTTTTTATCTTTCCAATTTTAACTGACCTAATGAACAATCTTAGAACAAAGCTATGGAAATGTCCGAATGAACAATCTGTATGGAAGGGTATCGCTGCCAATATTAGATGCTCTGCTAAAATGTCCTTTCAATTGATTTTATGTAAAAAGTACAATGTACAAAATCCTAATACTGGTAATGATAAAGTCAAAATACCTCTAAGGCCCAACTTAACCCTTGTCAGTGCATGTGTGGTCTCCGTGGACCCCATGCACATGTTTTATAATAACTACTGGGCACTGCTTTCTGAAATTTAGTGACTTTGTCTCCTAGTCCTATGCATTTTTACACGTAGCGAAGAGTTCGGTATTCATCTGCTTCCCAAGTGCAGAGTTCTGTTACATGCAAATCAGGCCCAACGCTTGAAGGGAACAAGGGGTCCAATCGGACCTCAAACTTACAACTCACAGTAGGGATTTTGCTAATGTGTTTGCTGCCTGATACCATATTGCGTATGCCAGAGTATTCTTTCTTTTAACATCTGCATGTTACAAATACCAAAAATTAAATGATGAATTCCAAATATTCAATGTTTTTTGTATCAAGCGTGAATTGCCATTTAACCTCTTTATCACATAGTACACAAAGTAGTAATTTTGTGAGAATTATTAAATCTTTTCCAAATGTCACTAAAATGTTTTTGTATAATAATTTAGTTGTTTTTCAGTTGTCAAATATGAATGCAAATAAAAACTAAACCGCTGCTTTTAATTCAAATATATCTGTACGTAAAAACTTTGAATTATAACTGGGGTCCATATGGACCCCTTGATACCTGTTATGTGATTCTCACAATGTGCACCGACAGGGGTTAAATGTTAAACGTCAAAGTAATGTGTCAAATGACAAATGTCTTATTGGAAAATGCTGATTTTTGAGGTGTCAACATTGAACATTTCTCCCATTACATTTTACATTTGTGCTCTGCTGCATCTCATTTGTCCTTCAAGCTTTCTGATAGCATCTTACCGGTTACAGCTGTATCTTTGATATTATGCAAATGTAGGATATCCTGTGACTTATTAACATAAACGACACCGAGATCAACCTGGCACACTATATAAGCCAGCGCTCACACAATAAGATAAATTGAAAGTATAGTCTATTTTTGATAGCGACACATTTTTTTTAAAGATAACGTGGATCTTTCTTTCTTTTATAAAACATGTAATCATGAATGTGCCAGGAAATAACTGATCGATTCAAAGAAACATAATTTCCAGTTATGTATCTATACTAATATTTGTGACTGTCATTTGTCTGTCTGTCTGTTTGTCTGTCTGTTCGGGGTTGGCGGCTACACTAGGTCTGCCCCGAGTCTGAAATTTGGGGTATAGGGGTAGCTCGGACAGGGGAGTAACAAAGTCCAGGTGGCGTTAGTCTACCACTTCCGATTTCGGGGTTATGACCCCCAAGCGAAGCCGGGCATTCTTCTAGTATAACATAAAACGATAACTGGAATTTCATATTAAGACCTGTATTTTGATATTTTAAAAACTTGCATCCTCCCCAAACACCGCAACCTCTCTTTGTTCATCTTAAAGAAAGGAATGACTATACATTTAATACTAATAGTATAGATATACAGATTTCTGGGTTAAGCGCTACACCTTTAGTTCACACTACCCTTGCAACTTTTTTTTTATGAAACTATGATATCTGGAATATTTTTACTTTAAATACACCTACCCCTCATCATTTAATAGAGATTCTTTCAACCCAACGTTTTTCAAGGTATGCAAATATGAATGTGCCAGAAAATTATTTACATATTTGAACATGCTTTTCAGTTATAGGTAACATGATATTTGGAATTTCGTATTAAGACCCGTATTTTAACATTGAATACCTCCCCTCCCCCCACTCACTCAGTCACTTAATACAGGTTAGTACCATCCAAATGATCTTTTCTCAAGTCATGATCGTAAATACGAATGTGCCAGACAATTATTTACAAAAAGAAATGAACGCTACTTTCAACGATATGTAACATGTAATTTGGAATTTCGTATCAGGACAAGTATTTTGATATTGCATCCCCAATCCCCCCCTCCCCATTACATTTCACGTTTTTCATTTAACTTTGCCCTTGGAGGTATTTTGACTTCATCATTACCGGTATTAGGACTTTGTATATTGTACTTTTTACATATAATCAATCGAAAAGACATTTTATAAGAGCATTTAATATTGGCAGCGATACCCTTCCATAAATCTGATCCAATACCTCTAAAATTTCACTTTGTCTCAATGAAAAGTACAATTTTGACTGACAATTTAGCCCAAACAATTGATCTTTAAAATTATTTTCATCATACATACATGTAGCTATATATCATGACCAACGGCAATGAACTATTGGTCATTTGCTCACTTTTCAATGATATATGTATGTATGTCATTCTTAGCCTTTGGGCAAAATTTGTTAAATACTCTTTACGAAAAATGAAAATGACCTTGTTAACTTTGTGCCTATCATACCTGTCAAATGATCAGTGAACTGTTGCTAATCCTAAGCCATTTTTCTAGTCTAATGCTTAGTTGTTTGGTTGGTATAAATGTGTTACAGCGATGGGGTCTATTTTGTTAATGAAATTGCGTATCACATAATTGTTTTCAATGTCAAACAATAAAGTACGGTTTTATTAGTTTTAATTCAGATAGCAAGAATATAATATAATTCATTATTTTATACAGTAATACAGCTTAAATCAGATAGCAAGAATATAATATAATTCATTATTTTATAACCCTCATAAAGATAACATATAGTCATTTGATTTAGTCAAAGTTTAAAACATGTTACTCTCCATAGGCATGGGGCAATACACAGAAAGAAAGCAACTAGGTTTAATGTTAACATTTACATAGCACAAACTAGATAATTCTGGGACTAACTCCTCATATAAGCATGGGATCAAAACCATGTTACTGGTATTTGTTAATTATTTCTGCCACATCCAACCTCGTGTAAAATCCTGCCCGACATTTTAAAACGGAATAGGTTTGATGCCTCAACTTCATGAAGGCGGGCTAAATATACTGTACAACAGCTGATCAAAACATGTGACTTAAAATTAAAGGTAGAGACCCTTTATGGTTCGCGCATGACTAATGCACTTTTCTTAAGTATTTCAACGTAGCTAAAAAAACGTTGAGATCTGTCAAACTTAATTACTTTAATAATGCATGTAACACCTTAAAAATAATTTAATTTTAAACTATTAGGACTAATTAAACAAACCCAAACCAATGTAGTGAAACAACTTTCGGTCATCTACGAATATTGTCAGTAAAGTTAATCAAGCTGTGTTTTTATCAAACATGGATATTTCATAATTCTGTACTTCTCACGTATTTTGATTGGCTTTTGTACAAGACATATACTTAGCCCTGCCTTCATGACATAAAGAAGTCAAACCTTTCCATTTTAAAATGTCGGGAAACACCAGCTATATCGCTTTCTATATAAAAGTTCAAAGAGGATTACAGTATAAATAAATGGTAGTTGAATTTCGCAGAAATGTAATAAATAACAATAATCAATCGTTGTTTTGAAGAAAAAAATTGAAATTTTTTCTGATTGTAGTACTATCTGATTAGCACCCTACTTTGCCAGGTGGAACTATCTAATAAATTGAGTCAATGAGTGTGTTAATTACTGTCACTCACTGTGTAGCCTACATTGTTGTTAGTCATGTAGGTAAGAGGACCAGGACGTTTGTGTGTAGAATATTTCCAATTGTGAGCATGTAGTAATGGGAAGTGGCATCAAAGAACTGCATCATTATCACCACAACTGAGTATTGGGCCTAGAATTGAGTAAAATTATAGGGCCTAGTCAAAACTGACAGATTTAATTACCCGTCCAGGTCATTAATCAGGAAGTTTGACATATTTGTTCCTAATCTTACAGCTGTTTCACCACTACTTTTACAATATCATATAAAAACATTATGTCGACTGTTTACAGAACTTTATAATATAAACAAACCTTTATGACATCATCTCTTTCCATGTCTAATTCATCACTTTGTGAGCCTTTAAAACTATACTTCGCCCTAGCCTCCATGATGGCTGTCTGTCGGTATCAATGCGCCCTCTGGTGGCATAAAATGACAGTTCACCATTATTATCAATGGACTACACAATATTAATCATTTCGTGAGGTACAACATATTAAATTCTATCAAAAAGCATAAATCAGCCCCATTTTCGTTAATATACCATGTCCAAATCGTACACTTTTTAGATGAAATTAACATAAACGTGGTCAGGTGTTTGAAAATGAATTACTCGGGCTTAACATGAATGCCAACAGAAACCGAACGCGAGTGTTTCACATCTAAATTATAGGAAGAAACCAATTGATAATGACCACGTGTTCGGTTCAAAGGGCTTTAATTCAGCTGATTCCCTTTGCAACTACATATATGATTTAGGGTTTACAACTGAACAAACATAAATGGCCCCGTTATATTGTACAACTGTATCTCATTACACTTTGACTGTAGCAGTAACGTGAAAATGGCAGTGACGGCAACGAAAAGACAAGATACTTTCTTGTTTAAATATACTTTATCGGCCACATCAGCAATTATTGCAGAAAGTGGTAAGTTATTGGTTACTAAGTTTGACCGGACGGTAGGATTAGTTTGTATTGGACAGTGACTCCCCCTGAAAAGTAATAAAAGTCTGTGTCAGGTTTGGTCTACATATTACCAATAATTGGTCTACATTTTATAAATGGGTCAATGAGAAAAAAACCTTAGCCCAGTCATACTCATAATGATAATCATCTTAGTTAAGACTAAGAGCCCATGCATCGAATAACTAAAGCAGTTAAAGTCCTTCCTAATGATGAGTGATATATTTGATATAGTAGCCTACCTGTACGGTAATTAACACAGACATAATAACCACATTTAATTCAAAATGTTTTATTTTTTTTTACTTCAGTAACATATCCATTAGACTTGACTAAGACACGACTACAGATACAGGGAGAGGCTGCACAACATAAAAGTCATGGTAAACCTACTAGTCAACCCTACAGGGGTATGATAAAAACAGCATTTGGAATAGGTAGGTTGTCTACACGTACAGCACCTATCTATCATATTATTGTGTGAGTCAACAGTGGCGCGGGATCACAGTCCTTCACGTTTAAGGCGCTTTCGCTCCTTCTCCTCTCGACGCATCTCGACTTTCATTTGTGGGAGTCATTAAAGACTCCTGCAAATTACCTAATTCGCTCTACTAAATAGTGAGATTAATTATAAACTACTTTCAGTTTCAAGCTATCGCTATCCATGATGATAATTCTGACGTTATCATATTCACCAAACATATTCACCAAATATTAAACAAGACTAAAGCATAAATACATTTTGGCTCTCCTTAATTCAAGAAAATGCATTTACGTGAGCTGTTTTCTCATTTTTGAAATTGGCAGGCGCTTTTTATGGCTCCCACATAATTTTATAAACGCGAAGGACTGGGATAAACCCAGTCGGCTTAGTTGGCGTTTATCGCATGGTTTGCCAACCCACATTTTTCTAACGATCTTTTTGATGTATAGGCTACTCATCTCATTTCATCACTGGTCAGTTGATACCTTGAGATTCACCACCTCACAATTGAATGTTTAAAATGGCAGGAATTACTTCCCATGCCATGATAATTGTCAACATGCTTCCTCACTACCCAAAAGGTTTCTGGTAGGTATATTCCAGCAGAAATACTAGAAAATGACTCTAGAATACAGCAATTTCCAAATGGTTTTGCCTAGCTACCTTAACCTAGAATTAAAAGTCTGCCAACCCACTTAAAATATAGGTCCTGCGCTACTTTGTGCAGAAAAAGTAGGATGTGTAATCAGGGTCACACGGCAAACACTTGTCTATGGTATGGAATTAACTAGATAACGTCGCCAATCCTGAGAAGGGAGTTTTTTTGAATATCTAAATTTGAGCGCCTGAATCCACGCTAAAATATATTTACATTGATTATTTACTGATTAATTAAGAAAACAACCAAACCATCAACAATAGATAATATCCCATCTTGAATTTGATTGGATTAATGAATAGACCTGTTCCTTGCCAGATTTAAAGAAAGCAAATGAAAATGAGGATTAATGTCCTACTGTTCTGTACAAACAGGATTAATGAAGATGGGCATATGCCTTACACTGTGTTATGAGGGAAATTCTGCCTGGACATCGATGCTATAATCTACTCTTATTTCGAATTCCAACTGTCAAGGGTTCTTTTACGTGCTTGTAAATGTGTACACAGGATTTTAGTTTTGCATTCCATCCAAACAACTAGGCCTGTTCCTTTGCGGGGAAACCACACATGATTAACTTTCTTTGCCAACATCTGAGACATCTTGATTAGCGACCAGCGTCTTATTCATTGAACCACTACAGCTCCCAAATAGACTTGAAGGAAGTATGATGCATGTATTTTGTTGTTTGATTATTTAAGTTTAACAGTTAAAGACAAATTACTTGATAACACATTTAATCTATTTTCAGCAAGTGAAGAAGGCTTCTTTAAGTTATGGCAGGGAGTTTCCCCAGCTCTGTATAGACATGTCTGTAAGATATACGTTAAGTTTTCTTTATGTTTTATAGTTACACATTTTATAGTTACAAACAGTTTCAAGTTTTGTGTAAAATTTTATTTTTTTGGTGGGGTGGGGTGGGTCAGGTGCAACTCCCACACTGTCGATTGCCAGTTGGAATTGTCACTCTATTGGGTTGTCAATAATAGGGCTATCTATTGTCTATTAATCAAGTAGTTGGACTTGACTAGGACATAAAATAGCCTGGCACCATTCCCACTTTCAATGCCTGTACAGACATTTTCATGCCCCTATCTATTTGTATAACATTTAATGGGGCAATGTCTGTACATAGATACATAGAAAGCAGTTCACTTAGAAAATTGATTATAATTTTTTTGATGTGTTAAGGGAGATAACTCTTTAAATAATTTTTAAACTGTGGTGGGGGGGGGGGGGTTGCTTTTGGGTTACCATAGACAAGTCACCCAGCCCTGCACTGTTATTGTGATGTCCTTAATGGATAAATATATATCTTCATGTGAATAATTGTTTCAGCAAAAAAACCCAAACAAAACAAACATATAATGAATTCATGAAGTGTTTTGATCAATTTGGATTTTTTCATCTATTTATTTATTTTTAAAAATCTGGTATTTGTCACCCTTGACTTCTACTTTCAGTTTATTCTGGGTGTCGTATGACATTTTATGAACTTCTCAGGGATAATGTTCTTGGCAAAAATAAGGATGGAACATTTCCATTGTGGTGAGTAAACATCCACCAGCACAAAAGTTTTTTGGCCCTTACCTCTTTGACATGACTCTTCAGTCTTCAGTCTACCCAAATCTCACATTCTGTTCGCTTTTATTAACAAGAACTAGTGTACTAGGGACCAGGAACTAAGTATACCATCATTGCATCCATCTTTGAATTGAGTCAATTCCCTGGCATTTAAGGTCATTGCTGGGAGCAAATTCTTTTGAACAAGATGGTCAGAAATAAGCTGTTGTACAGTCTGTTGCTCCATGCACTGGTACAGTGGAACTATTAACTGGGCAGTTCACTAACACTGTGAACATGATAGTGATGAATTAGTATAAGACCACAGTGGAATGGAAGAATGATGACATAGTGGAATTGAGCACCTGCGGCATGAATTGTTTTAGGTAATAACGCATAATATGTAATATACTAAGCTTTTAATTCGGGGCTTGATTTAAACTGGACTTTGTGCATAATCTTTCATTTTTGTTTACGTGCTGTGTCTATGCTTTAGGAAAGCCACCATAGCCAGTACAGTAGCCGGAGCAGGCGGTCAATTTGTTGCAAGTCCAACTGACCTTATAAAAGTTCAAATGCAAATGGAGGGTAAAAGAAGGTTGGAAGGAAAACCACCCAGGTATTAAATAAATTACTTAGTATAGGTTTTAAAATCACAGATTACTAAAATTTCATTTGATCAAAATTTTGTGTTAGGACATACCTATGATTCCATTTACTTGGCGCCCAAAATAGGGTCGATTGAAAAATTGGTCTTCCGGACCTGGGAAATGAGAAAAAAGGTTTAGGGTCAGCAATTTTGGCTTAAACAAAATAGGGGCAGTTGGGTAACTGTTAGAACGGGCATTTTTCTTTTGGGTCCTATTAGGTGGAAAAGGATTATTTTCTAAAATTCAAAATTTTGATACGCCCATATTTTCATGTGGACGTATATTGTCGTCGCCCCTGTCCTTCCGTCCCCAATTGTTCGTGGACACTCTACAGGTCACAATTCTTATCTGATTTTGATGAAACTTGAAATATAGGTTTATTTCCAAAAGATCTTGGTTGCTTTCGATATTGGCATGTATTGGATGGAAACTTCATGGATTATGGCCCCTGATTGTACGAAAATCACGTTTTTAGCTTGTGGACCCTAGAGAGGTCACAATTTTAATCCTATTTTGATGAAACTTGAAATGTAAGTTTATAACCCAAAGATCTTGGTTCCTGTCTATATTCATGTATATCAGACCGTAACTTCCTGAATTATTGCCCCTGATTGTACGAAAAATTGCGTTTTTAGCTTGTGGACCCTATAGAGGTCATAATTTTTATCCGATTTAAAAAAACGTTTTAATTATCACCATTACACCCTAAGGGTGGTTGAGTTCGAATTTTGTGAAAATCATCCCAAAACTGACAGACAAAATGGCCGCCCCTTGTTCTCAAATAGCGTAAAAATATGGTATATCAAGGTTGTGGACCCTCTAAGAGGTCACAATTTTCTTCTGATTTTGATGAAACTTAAAATGTAAGTTTATAACCCAAGATCTCGGTTCGTTTCGATATTCGTGCATTTCGGACCGTAACTTCCTGAATTATGGCTCCTGGTTGTACGAAAAATCGCGTTTTTATCTTGTGGACCCTATAGCGGTCATAATTTATATCATATTTAAAAAAACGTTTGAATATATCAGCGTTACACCCTAAGGATGGTTGAGTTCAAATTTCGTAAAAATCGGACCAAAACTGACAGACAAAATGGCTGCCCCTCGTACTCAATTAGCATAAAAATATGGTATATCAATGTTGTGGATCGTAACTTCCTGAATTATGGCCCTTGATTGAACAAAAAATCACGTTTTTAGCTTGTGGTCCCTGTAGAGGTCACAAATTTTATCTGATTTTAAAAAAATGTGTGAATATATCAACATTACACGCTAAGATCTTGGATCCTTTTGATAATCGCGGATACCCGAACATCCTGGATTATGGTCCCTGATTGTTCGAAAAATGGCATTTTTAGCTTGCAGATTCTCTAGAGGTCACAATTTTTTTTTTCTGATTTTAAAAATCGTTTAAATATTTCACCATGCCACCATTTTGAAGGTTGAATTCGAATTTCGGGAAAATCGAAATTATTGCCCAACAAAATGGCCGCTCTTTGTACGCAAATTGTGTAAAAGTATGCAATATGAAGGTTGTCGACAATCTAGAGGTCACAAATTTATCCAATTCTGATGAAACTTAAAACAGATCTTTATATCCCAAAGACGTCAGTCCCCTATGATATTTGTGCATTTCAGACCATAACTTTCTGGATTATTGCCCCTGATTGTACAAAAAATCCTGTTTGTTTTTAGCTTGTTCTCTATCCATCTCTTGCAAAATGTGGGCGTATCCTGCCTGGCAGCTGCTGGTTATGTCTAGAAAAAGTATACAATGTAATATCACTCTGTATTTTCATAGAGTTAAAAGCTTCTTAGATTTTATTCTATTTAATATTACTCTTTATTTTCATAGAGTTAAAAGTTCTCTGCATGCCTTAACAAGAATAGTAGCAGAAGGGGGAGTGAGGGGTTTATGGAGTGGCTGGGTACCAAATTGTCAGAGGGCTGCATTAGTTAATATGGGAGGTGTGTTAATTACTGTTACTCCCTCTTATAGTCCCCAAAATGGACAGAATTCACGTTATATATCACTGGATTCTTATTAAATAACAAATATTTATTCGATCGGTTGTAATTAATTTTAATGGTCATTAAGACCAATCATGTGGTTTTGACTAAAAGTATTGTCCAATTTGAAATTTTTTTTTAAGGGGTTTTAGTTTCAGGCCATTGAAAGTCTTTTAAACAAGCTGCACTATCTTTCGCGAATTCTTTTGATGGACTTTTTTAAAATCTGATTGAATCCATGTCAGGAAACTGATTTTCCATAAAATGCAATTGATGCAATTAGGCTTTAATTGTGACCAATATGTTCTAGTCTTGTCTTTGTTATTCACCTGAAATTCTAGTACCATTGCCTAGATCGGTATTGGGAGCCAGCATGGCTCAGTAAGTAGGACGTTAATCCCCATTTGATTTCATTTTGATCAATATTATAAATGTTATTCAAATTAAATTGTAATGTTATATTTCAGATTTAGTGACATATGATACTGTCAAGCATCAGTTGTTGGCACATACAAGTCTTAAAGATAATTATGTCACACATATGATATCAAGGTATTATTGATATTTTATTATTGGGTCAAACCATTTCTTCAGGATCTTGATAAATAAATACTCACTTGAATCACATGAAAGATGTTTAGTTTAAAATTTCAAAACTTAACCTGTTAAGCGTGACGTTTTTAAAACGTTAACTACCCCCTATTGTGTAATTGTGACGAAGAACTATGCACTATTGTCTAAGAATAGATTGGGCAAAATACCTCCAAGGCGTTATATTACGCCCTACACACAGTGAGTGGCAGTTGTCCAGGACGTAATATAATGTCCTACACATGCTGCGATCGTGGCAAATTATATTCTAAGAATAGGTTGGGAAAAATACCTCCAAGACATTAAATAACGTCCTACACACAGTGAGTGGCAGTTGTCCAGGACGTTATATAACGACCTACGCACTTAACGGGTTAAACTTTGGTAATAAAAGCCTTTGAACACCGTAACAAAGTATTTTTTCCGGATGAAATAAGAAAAAATATTTTAACAGATGTTTCCGAAGAACAGAAAATCAAATTGGTGTAGCTCAACTTTAATATTTTATAATAATAGTACTAGTAGTTGTCTTGGCTGTAATTTGGCATTGTAGTATGCTTATTGAGCATACCATTGGCTCATAAACTGGGATGTTTTGGCTTCTATTCTGATGTTGTCCAAAAAATTTCCTTGGAATTTTCCAGTCTGGTTTCTCCTTGGTCAGTGGTGCAGGATAGGGGGACTGGCAAGATAAGTGTGTAGTCATTCGAATGGAACCAAAAAATCCAGGAGTCCCATGTATAACATTGCCAGCTGGTTAAAGATCCATTAACAGTTGGAAATTAAAATAAGAGTAGGCTGTAGTGTCACTATTGGGCCAAAATATCCCTTATAGAGTGAATGCACTTTACTGCATGGTAGTTTCACAGTTGGTAGAGAAAGACATTAAAACCCATTTCATTTCAATTTGTTTAAGATCATAAAACAAAAATTGATGTGTTTCTTTACAACCATATGTAAGACAATGGCTATACCAACGATTATTTCCTTATATTTCTTTTGTCTTTTATCCTTTTTGCTCAGTTACAAGAATTATGAAATCTTACAAATTAACACAGGCTAAAAAAAATCCATTTTTCTGTCTCTTTTTTTCAGTGGTTGTTCTGGAATAATGGCAGCCCTTCTAGGTACACCAGCGGATGTGATTAAAACTAGAATAATGAATCAACCAACAAAAGATGGCAAGTAAGTTTCCTTTCGACAATCAGTTTGTGTCTTTTACACTAGAACATGGTCACCTGCGTCCATCAATGATAAATAAATTTGATGACAGGAAATTTGGTATGGAAAGATCCGTGGAGGAGCGAGAAATTTACAAAGGATAGAGCTTTGTTAACAAATGTAATCTCTCATAATTCTGCATTCTTCGTGAGAAGTCTTTCATTAGTTTCAATTGGAAACACTATCCTCAATCTCAAAAACCTACCCATAATTAACACATTTCATAAGTTGTTATGCTTGAACTGAAACACTTAATTTTGCGACATGACTTACAAAACCATCGCATATATTTTGGGGGTTACACTATGTGTTTTGGTAAATTTCCGGAGCATAACTTTTCAGAGGTTCTCAGCGGTCAATTGCAGCCGAAATTTCAAGAACATGACTTCAGAAATCAATCAATTGCTGCTGGAATTTCAAAAACATGATTTCTCAGATGTTCTAAGTAATCAATTGTAGCTGGAATTGCTGTAACATGACTTTTTGGATGTTCTAAGCAATCAATTGCCACTGGTGTTTCAGCTTGACTTCTCAGATGCTCTAAGCAATAAATTGCAGTTGACTTATGATTTATTTTCTATTTTTAATTGTGATGTAATTTTATAATATAATGATTTGTTTCAGGGGTTTATTATATCATGGGTCTGTAGATTGTCTCATCAAAACTATAAAACAAGAAGGATTTTTTGCTCTTTATAAAGGACTAATACCCATTTGGATACGAATGGTAATTATAATTCATACGTTTAACAGTTTGCATCTGCTCCAAAGGACTGCTTAAAGCTCTTGAATTTTATTTTGCTGGTTCTTGGGCATAATTTTAACTCTCAGATTTTCAGTCGAAATGACTTTTTGTGATGGCTCGCACCCCCCTTGAGATTAGAGATAGAGATATGTTAAAACTTTGTATCATTCCAAAGGACTGCTTATTTTATAAAGCCCCATAGTTTACTTTGTGGGTTCTTGGGAATAATTTGAAAGGGCATGCCTCTCCTTGATATTAAAGATGGAGATATATTAAAACGAAAAACTTTATTTTGGGATTTTTTTTTCACTTTTCGTAATATTTATATTGCAGGCTCCATGGTCATGTACTTTCTGGTTGTGTTATGAAAAGATACGGAAATATGCTGGGACGACCTCATTCTAAATAATCAGGCATGGTTAATATGGAAATATTATTTCCTATTCATAGAGGATATAATAAATATTTACATTTAATTAGTTCCAATAAATCTGATATTATGATTAATTGTAAGCACCCAGAATAATATTTGTATTGTTGTCATTGATTTCTACAGTGAACCGACATATTTAAAACATGATTAGGAGCCTGGAATCAACCAGAATGTCCCAAGTGGACCAAGGTGCATCTTCAGGACTTTTCAAGTCACATTTGTCAGGGCAGACCTGAAAATAATTAGTATCTGATAATTTGAATGTAATAAAGTTATCGATGAAGACACAGAAATAAGACAAGTCTTTGCCCGACAAATTGGCAGGCAGTAGGGTGGTAGTGCCTGTCAAAACCCAGATCTGTGCTATGTTTGTGACAAGTGCCTTATTTCCAGGATTGTAGAGGAGGCAGAGCTTGAAAAGCGAACAAGACAAGGAAAGTAAACTAACCCTTTTGTCACTGTCTAGGCAAAATTCTCCTCCTTAGCCTTGTACAACATATGACCATAGAAATAAAAACTGTATTAAAGTTACAATTTCATATTTTTAAGTTATATTTTTAAAATTTATTAAAATAAAGCCCTTAAATAGTTGGTATCTATAAACAGTCTACCTTCTTAAAGAATAATCCTATTAATCCTATAATTCACTATTGCCAGTGGAGAAATTGACAAAAATATCATTTTCAACTTCAAATTCAAACATTTGAAGATAGCTATTCCATGGTGGGGAATAGGAAAACAAAGGAGGTAATTGTGTTATTATTTCCGGTGTGAAGATTTTTAAGTGTGAGAAAGATAACCTATGATCGTATAATAGTGAGTTGACAACCTATTGAGCAAAAGACATAGAAATAGTTATGTTTTGACTTTCTTAGAAAATATGAAATTGTAACTTTAATCTCATAATGACCACTGTTCCTTTTCTTGTCAAATTCTCAAAACTAGAAGTGTTTAAATGAGTTGGATTAAACTGGTTTAGGCCAGCTTTCCATATATGCATTTCCATGTAAAGAGACAAATTTCTGAAACATTTGGGGAATCCTGACATCATAAGTGAGGATTTCTCTTTACAGCATGGAACCCAACATTGTTTACGTTCAGTCACCGCCTTTTTATAATTACACCATGTCCAAAAAAAACCTGCCATTTGCAAGCTGAGCGATTGATTGACTTAGTGGAAGAGAACCCATGTTTATATGTCAGAACATAGACACTGGTTTGGGCATGCATACTTCATCACATTTGTACATTTGCATTAGACCAACTTTTTGCCAGCTGAAACGTGTACATGGAAAGTGGGCCTAAGAATGATAGGGAAGTAATGATGATTTCATACAATATAAAATTTGATGATTGATTTCATTTAATCTGACTTTGAAATTTATTCATCATTTTTAGTTTATATATTATTTTGTTTGTAGACACAACTTAAAGAGTTGTAAATGTTTGAATTATATTAATTCATGGACTATGTGCTGTATTACCTCACTGAAATGTAAATATTGAAAAGAAAATACCTCAGTAAAGCCATTATCCAGGTTTTTTTTTGTGATAATGGTGAGTTTGTTACTGAAATGATTTTTATTGCATGTATTTAAAACATATACCAGTGAATAAAATGTACAAAATAGCTATAAATATTTTTTCTGTACAGACTTTACTAAATTATCATTTTAAATGTCCAATCTATAATGTTGAGAGTAGTGATATGTATGATTTGGCTAACCTTAATTCAAAATTTTTGTGTGGCTTCTGACAAACTACAGTAGAATTTGTACACAAAGGCATACCAGCAGGATATGCTTGGTACATCAAGGCAAGGATTCTGATGCATATTGGGTTATCAGTAGATCTCAGGTTTCCCTGTTCATCTGTGTCTTTGATTACCAGTTGCCAAAAAGTGGGATGTATGAGATTTCCTGGATATAAATTATTTTCCGCCTAGTGTTTTACATTATTTCATAAAATGCAACTACCAGACTTTTACTAACAAAAAGAGATAAATATTTGTCAATACAACTGTAAGATGAGCCTCAGGTGAGATATAAATCATTCTATCATTACCATTTACCGGTACACAGATTTTATACTGGTGACTTGTTAAACTTATTGATGTTATTGTTACAAATATAAGGTAAATTTATAATGTAAAATAAATATCTATGACTTCAGGGTAATATATGAATATAATTTGCTATATTAAGATGTTAATTGTTTGTTTAATGAATGAAATTACATATGGAAATGATTCTTAACCCTTTAGCACTTAGACCTCTCCACACCACTAGTCACGTGGCACAGCTTTTTGCACGCACAAACTAACGAATACAGAAACCTATTCGTATTTTTTAGGCAGTCTGAGGCAGTCTAAGAAACAGCAATTTTAGTGTGTCCATAACCTGTATTAGTTCATCACTTTTTAAAATATTCTTCAAGGAACCAGGGCATTCATTATATACATGTACCAGGTGATAAAGGGTTATATTGTATATATACCAGTGATTGTTAAATATAGTATATGTATGTTGGTCAGAGTTAAATATAGTATATGTATGTTGGTCAGTGTATGTCGATCATGACCCAATCATCCAAATAATTTGAAATTAGGGCCAATACAAAAGCTTTAATTGGATTCCTGCCCAAAAAATTTATGATACAATATTTTCCTAGCGTTTACTTTAGAAATATATTTTTAGCTATCTTACTTACATATTTTAATATTTATCATGATGTCATAAATTTTTTGTAGTGAACTGATTCACAGAGGAGATTAACTCATATTCTTGTTGATTAATATTTTGTTTATGAATTGTTGCTAATCTATGGGAAATTTTGATAATAATTGTATCTTGAAATAAATTTTCCTTTATATTGAAAAGTCTTTGATTCAAGTTTTTTTATGTTCTGTTTATGAATAATAATAATAATATGGTTATCAATGACAGTGGGTTAGGCCCTACATTTTTATTACAAAATATAAACTGTATTTCTCTCCCTTGGAGTAGAAAGAAGACTCTTTTTTTTTCTCTCTCAAATCCTAGTCTATACCGAGCCTGCTCAAATCATCGTATTTATACTTTTTTTAGTTGAAAACTGGACATATTATGCTTAATAAAATTTGTTACAAAGTTAAATTATATTCATTGATTTCATATGTAGGCCTAGTCAAGAAAGGCACTCGCTAAAACAGAATGAAATGAAAAGACATGATCGTAGTAGTCTCAATCAAATGACGGTTTCCAGAGTTATCTACCAGAGGGCGCTAATTGCGAGGTAAACAAGAAAATTGGAAAATTGTACAAGCCGCAGGTAAAAGTGTTATGTTTTTACTTATTCAGTTGCATAACATAATGTGATTGAAATCAATCTCAGAAAAGTAAATTGAAATTTAGAATGTTGAGAAATATATAGTTTCCGCAACTGTATCTTTTGTATACATAGATTTTATCTGTTGTAAACATAATGTGTGTTAGACATTTGAACGTGTTTGTTCCTGTTTTCAAAGTAAACTATTAGCCTATATCAAACAGAAGTAACCACAATCCATCAACTGGACACCAGTTTTCTTCACTTAAATTGAACAGCGTATTTTACATTGAATTTGAAAATTAAACAAAAAAATCCCTTAGTTTAGAGAAGAGAAGCCTCTTAAATTTAAAAAAAGAAAGGCACGGCATGATAGATAGGCCTAACTTTTCTTCTTTTTTTTTTTTCTTTTTTTTTTAAATTCCTAACTGAAGTGAGGGTTCGAGACACAATTACAATACTCTTGTTTTCTTTCTTCAAATTTACCTGTAAATTATACATAAACTCAGAGCCACGGTGTCTAAAAGACGCTGGCTCGCTAGCCTGGAGGTTGCGTGTTCGATCCCTGCATTGACCTGTGATTTTCCGGCGTGTTTTCCCCTTGTCAGTGGTGCAGGATGGAGGACCTGACAAGGACAGCTGTCTAGTTGATTGGATAGGATGAAAAACCGAGGACCTGTGTTGTGTATATTTTGCGTGCACGTAAAAGATTCCTTGGCAGTTGAAATTTGATATAAGAGTAGGCCATAGGACACTGCATGGCGTATGCCCATCTTCATTAGCCCAGTCGGAGCAGAACAGCAGGACGTTAAACCCCATTTCAATTTATTTCATGTTTTGTATACATTAACTTTATTTTTTGGATCATATTTATAGCTAGATAATTATGCTTCAGATCGAAGTAATTAATTTTATTTGTTACATAACATTATACTGACTTCCTATTTATGTGAAAATACAACTCGACTCTCATATAAATAATGTTTTTATTATTAATCCAAAACAATTATATGTTTATTTAACAATAAATAATTAATTACATGTTTATTTAACAATACCATAAGTAAGTGTCTAACAGTTTAATTGGCCTTAACTTCGATGTAGGGGCCTACAACTCAGATAATTAACTGCTATTACAATAACAAAGGAGGTGATCGAAACAGCCCGACCAGAAAATAGATTGGGATGAAACAGCCCGAGGTGAAATGGTGTTGTGAAAAAGATCAAATTTCAATTAGATTGCTGTGAGAATTGTATATCAGACGACTAAAAATGATAGTTTTGATTTATAAACCCATAGTAAGCTACAGTGCCATAGCAGTGTTGACAAACAATTAAACTGAAAGGGCACAAGACCATAATTCATAGAAAATGGAAGTTCCATCTGTTGGTAAAATATTAAAATTGCAATACTTGTACCAGTCCATAAATTTCTAATGAAGAGAAAACTTCGTAGTATTTTGGTGTTTGTAAGACATATTTTTTAGTAGGCCTAATTCACAATTAAGAGCTTATTGAAATTATGAAAGTGTGCTGCTCTCCCTTTTTTCGCGAGGTCGTCAAATGGTTGTGTTTCAACACTAATTAATTTTAAAATCTGAAATTCAAATTGTCACCTTAAATTTTAAATTGAAAATTACAAAGGTAGAGATTGTACCATTCAATAAACCATACAGCATTTATTTAGTGATGGATGCCATCTCTGCGGGTTAAAAATCATTATTAAGCTTTCATATTACATATGAAAGCTTATTGTTTCTGTTAAGATTATTATTGTTATTTTTTTTTTGTGTTTTGTCCACAAATCGGATTTCTCAGAATCTAACCATAGGATCGTTCTGAAACTTTTACCTATCCCCCCAAAAATTGGTGGTGGCTGTTGATTAAATATATTTTCAAAACGTTTTACGAATCCGAAATCACCGAATTTTACGAAGGAATGCATTTGACCTACAATGCTGTAACTCTGTGACTATTTGACCTATTTTACTAATTCTTTTTTCTTTGAGTATCTTGAAACATTTACTTCAAATCTGCAATTTCGGATTTTGGCATTTCGAAAATTCGTCGCTGTCATTTCGAACCGGAAGTTATTACCAATTTGACAACTTCTTTAATAGTTGTGCGATTTTCGTGAAATTTAGAATGTGAGTAGATCTTGCCAATGCGACTTCAATGATGTCCTTGGAAATTTTCTAAATTATCTCCCCTTGGTGAAATTAAGGATCAAAGTTTTCAAAAAAATCGTCGAAATATAGGTCAGAATGACCTAAAAAAAATATTTGATACTAGACAAGTAATTACTGATTCGTACACAAAATATGGAGTTTGTCGATCGAACCGGAAGTGCCACCATCTTTAAACGTGAAAAATCAAAAAGGCTTTTTTGCTATTTTACTTACAGACTCGGGCGTCATATTTTCGGAATCCTGGAAGGAATGTCTAAAAATCTATCGGATCAGAATTTTGATTTCGGTCACGTGATGGTCACCATTTTGAATTGAAAATGAAAAATAGAAGCAATTTGAAGGGCCGGGACTTTGGAACACAAGAACTCTCCTTCTAATTAAGCTAGAATGTTCAAACTTGGTGTAGGCGTTCACTAGGTCAATGTCATGATTGAGTTCAAAGATGAGCATTTTTTGCCTAGGGTAAGCAGAGATAAGCAAGCTGATTTGTTGATTCTTTAGGGCACGATGACATTGGTTATAATGAATGGAGGGCGATGAAACTCTTGTCAATCGAGAGGCTAATAGCTGGCCTGTTGTGTGAATCATTGTATCATTTTTTGAAAATGTCCGGGGTAGCCGAAAAAAGGAGATCGAAATCCAAAAAGTCGTATTTTTACGATTTGGGGCATTTTTAGAGGTCGTGTAAAGTAAAATAAAGCATGCATATACATATATTATTGATATTAAATATATCATATAAAAAACTAAACAATGAATCAGCTGTCATTGACAGATTTTATATTATAAGCATGGTCAGTGGAAGGTCAGCGTATTGTCTAACTTGAACTCACTGACTCCGTAACATTATTGTGGGTATGGTATAAGCTGAATTTGATGAGATGCACATATCTCGTATGACTATTTGGTACTTACAGTGTTAGACTTTGTCGTAACGTAAATCAAATTTACGCTGTATTATTCATTACCAAGGATTTAGAAAGGAACGAGAACAATTACTTACAAAATCTCGCTGGGATAAATTCCGTGAATGTGCCCATGAATGGCTAAAACTTGATGGGCGAGCGAAATGGATAGCTGAACAGGCGACTTCGGGTGATATAATCAAACAAGGAATTTATCGACGCGCCAAAAGATACTGGATTTCACCCAACATGCTACAGGCCTTTTACAGACAAATTCCGAATTGGGTCTGCCCGTAATCGTATAGATAAAGAAAAATTAAAATCCCCGGCTACAATCCAACCAGGGAATAGCGGGAGTGTAGACGATCTGGGACCTAGCTCTCCAAACAAATTACGCTCCTGAAGCAAAAAGAAAGAGTAAATCGGTGCTGCCTGTTGTGTGTATTATATGTAAAAAACGTGACAGATTTGTCACTGTTGGAGAAAATAGGAAGAAGGATGTATTAACACAGACTCAGACCCAAACAGGCTCAGGTAGGCCTAATGTTAATATTATGTTACTTACTAAATTTATAATTATTACTAATAAATATTAAATATATTCATCCTACAGTTTTTAATTATTGTGTTGTTGTTTTTGTTGTAAATGGAATCAGAAGTGCTACTGCAATCACTGTAAAATTGTTATGAAGCTAGCCATTAAAGCCCTTTACCCCATTTGTTGATTTGGCACAGTCATTGGTTAAAGTGTTGCACATTTGCTTGCACAAGGGATGAAACATAGAGAAGTTAACTTGTTTTTTATTTTCTTGGCCCACTTGTAGGTGCCTTGCTAAGACGATCTGTCTCTAGACCATTTCCGCTCACACAAAGGATCTGAACTAAACCGCATGCCAGAGTTGACCAGCCAGGTACATGTACATGTAGGCCTCAAAGTGACATTCCCTCCCCCTCCTTGAGCACAAACAACATTCAACGCTATATGGTGTATAATTTGTTTGCAAATTTGTTTGTAGGCCAACTGTTGAAAGCTGCTGAATTGAAAGAGGATGAAGATATTTTAAGGCATATCAGAGGGCAAGATTGTGTGGCCATTGAGGTCAGATATCACCAAAAATGTTATAGGCAATATACATGTACTGAATTTCTTAGACAGTTATCAGAAAGGTAAATATTTGTGATGTTTTTTTTATTTGTATTCTCCGCCTTCTTGCCACTGGTATTATTCAAATAAAACTGAACCATGGGTGAGTCCTGAAATTACTATGTTTTTGTCCAGTGGACGTTAAACCGCAATTCTCCTCTCTATCTCTCCTTGTACTGCTAATGCCTTCCTGTCTTCATTAGCTGGTTTCTGCATGAAAATAAGATGTTAACCCCTGTGTAAGTGTCTTTTTCCTCTGTTGTACGAAATTAATGAGAGTAAACCAAGCTCCAGAATTTTGTTTTAATTGTGTACATGTATATGTTTATTTATATTTTTCAGCAAAGATGACTAGCCCTCCGTCGAATATTAAACCACATACAATATATTCTGTGAAGATGTCATAAGAGAAATAATCATAAATGGCCAGCAAAGTTGTCTTGTACAGAGAGAGAGAGAGAGAAATGGGGTTTAACGTCCACTCAATACAAACTAGGTCATTTTGGGACTAACATACGGTTTCAATTTTATTTCAATAATTCGCTTGCGCGTATGGGCCTTTAGCAGTGAGAGGAAACCGGAGTGCCCGGAGGAAACCCGCGAGGTTGAGAAGACGCCTCTATCTCCATGCCACATACGCTCACACCTGGGATCAAAGCCACAGCCACAAGCCAGAGGTGACCGACCAGCTAGAGGTCGAAGCGCGGCACTCTAGGCCATCCCAACCCCCCTTTCTTGTACAGACCTGTGCATGTGTAGTCAATGTGAAAATGAAAAAAAAACTGTTAAAGAGACCGAATTTGATGTTAATACATTTAGTGACAGTGATGATGATAATGAAGATTAACTTTGATGACATTTGATGTGCAGAGTAACTGTTTAATTTTGATTTTCAATGATTGTTTCACTTTAATAAATAATTTCACAACTGTTCATCCTGTTTTCTAACCTTTCCCTTCATTCCAGCCCAGATACACAATTATTTTTTTTAACTTATATCTACATGTATGTTTGTAATTTGACCATTAATCATATCCGAAATAGTAGTTCACAGCTACATGTACAGTTGTAAAAATACTGTAGTGGCTAATTGAAAGGGAACATGTATGTGGGTTTAGAATGTTTATCTTAGTGGAAAAAAATCATGTGGTTCAATGCTTATAAAGTGCTACTGATCTCCATTATTTCAAAAGCATATCACTCAACTACTGTCAAACATATCCCCTGGCTAGAATATGCTACAAATCGACTCTAGCATGTTCCATACAAGCGATAATTTCTGAGCAAACATCCAACAACCAACCCTAACAGGCCCTTGAGATCCAACAAACAAAATAATTATTGGGCTTGTTTGCCCACACCTGGTCTTATGATTCATACAAGACCTGATAGTCTATCAATTACAGGCATTTGACAGAAAGGGAGATAATTCTTTTTTACCGTTAATGGATTTCCACAATTCTTTATTCACCCATGACATTTGTGTTTTGAGCATTTTTATTTACATCAAAATCTGTCCAATAAACTGTTCATTGCCAAGGATGAAGGCATGAGGTGTTTTACCAACTATTTAATTTTATGTCAACTTCAGAATTGTTAGTACACAAATAGCATTTATTTGACAATTTTGACGAATTTCATCTGGCCCTAAATCAATAAATTGCAAACATTTTGCTTGGAACTCCCAGATTTTGTCTTCCTGGCATCATAAGCTTTCCAAAAATGTATAGCTTTTCTTTTATGGAAGACCGTGTAGCGGAGTTGTGTTTCTAAGCTAGCTAGAAATTTTGGCTGCAGGCCTACACCTCCCAAGCTAAATTTCCCTCATGTCATCCTGTATAGCAAAGGCATATGCCTGTCTTAATTAACCCAGTACTAAACACAATTTACTTGTTTAATTTTTCCAGCATTTTTCAGGATAGCTGATGGGATGCGGGTCAAGTTATGCCACTTGTCTATTTAATTATTTACCAGTGAAAAATCGAATTAACTTCACCAAATTTTTACTCATTATAATGATTTTTTTTTTCTGTTCATATTATTTCTATGACATGTGACAGTGACTGTGAATATGAAAGCTTTAATATCTGCTTAGCAGATCTAGTTTAAATTATTTTTTTTATACGCCCACATGTGGTCGTATATTGTCGTCGCTCCTGTCCATCTGTCTGGCGATCCACAATTGCTTGTTCAGGTTCTAGAGGCTAAAGTTAATATCCGATTGACTTGAAATTTATACACAGTGTATAAGGTCATGAGACAGAGAATTCTATTCATTTTCAGATTTCCAATAATTACTGCCAGAGTTAAGGCCCTTGATCACTTGTGGACACTCTAGAGGGTAAAGATATAATTGTTTAAGGTCATGAGACAAACAATCAAAACAAATTCTAATGTTTTCAGATAATTACTTCATGTGTTATTACTTGTAATCAGATTTTCATGTGTTGTAAATATTCTCATTACTGACACTCATGGTTGACTTAGCTGCTGTGGGCATATGTTTCGTTGTCTGGCAACCAATCTTTTTGTTTTTCATTTTAGACACAAAGACTTAAAGATGCCTTTAAATCTATTTGGTAACAAATTTAGCCCAAAGAAAACTCCACCAAGAAGAGCACAATCATTATCAAATCTTCACTTAGATTCCACTGCATCCCAAGCTGAATTTGGACTAGACTGTAATAATGTGAAACTAAATCTTGGTGGTAATGAGGTTATGTTTGAAGATGGCATGTGGATACAAGGTAGCCCTCCATGTTATAATATATATTGCATTCTATAAAACAAGGAATTAATGTGAACAAAAAATTATTGTATAAAATGCAACCTACTTAAAGTCATTTTGATTGTCACCCCATCTTTCGAAGAAGGTTGAAGTATTGTGTTGATGAGACCATAACTTCATTTGGTTCCTTCGCCAACCATTGTGGTTGATATAATGGTGTAACTTTCAGATATTTTAACCAGACTGTAACTACTTAGCTTGGCTTAATAGAATGTTAAAATTAGAATACACCAGGTCACATTAATCTTACCATTCATTTCTAGCTATACTTTATCAATCTTACCATTCAGTTCTAACTTTACAGTATCAATCTTATCATTCATTTCTAGCTATACAGTACTTTATCAATCTTTTTCGTCCTTAGAAAGCTGTGTAATTTTATGATTATTGGTAATATATTCACATGTATTCATTTTCTTTACTAGAGAACACAAAAGGAGGAGGTGCTAGTCATTATGAAGTTACAAGATTACGCAAACAAAACCAGCAATTACTAGAAGAAAATAATTTACTTAAATTAAAAATGGATATACTTTTAGATATGGTAAGACAATATATTTCATTTCTTATGTTCCTTTGAACATTAATTGTATTTATAATAAACTCATTAAACAAATTAATAATTTGGAAATGCTTATTCCGAACCACAGTATTTGGGGTTAGGGGCTAGAACAACTTATTATTGGGAGACTGAATAATAAAAAGGTTTAGAGTTAGCTCAGTTATTGTCATACTTTACAATGCTTCAAAAACTATACAAGGGAAGTGTAATTCATACTGTAAATACATGATTTACGAGTACAAGGTAATCGTTATTTGTAAGCACTGTGATTATGAATAGAATTATCCCTAAATATTAAACAACATCCGGCACTATGCCTTCCATTGCTATTTCTTCAGCTTTTATTTTCTGGCATGTTGTGGCTGTGACACCTCTCTGGCTAGTAATAGGGGTGACCTTTAAATTTGTGTAGTCTAAGCTTATCTTGAAATTTCTCCTTAGATACGTTTTTGACAATAAATATTGTTTTGCTCTAGTTTGCATGTAGGTTATTTATTTTGGAAATATATCTCACTCAGAACTGCAGAGATTAGTGAGTAGTGGTTGTAAAATGTCTTAGACATACCAGACTGTGAGAGACGAAGTTCCAGGGTTAGATACATTTAAGACAATCAAATCTCTAAATGATCATATCAAGTGGTCTGTAGAGTGGGTGTGCATGCACACAATAACAGAAACAGAGAAGGAAACAACTACAGTAACAGATTATTTAATGTCTGATATTGATATCATTTCATTAATTTATCACCATTCAGAGATATTTTATTCAATTTTCCTGTACTTTTGTTTTTTCAGTTGGCAGAAACATCAGCAGTTTCTAATTTACATGATAATGAACTTAAGCAGCTTAGAAATAGACCAAATCGATAAAATAATAAATATCTAAATACTCCAGATTTTGTATTTAATAATGTCATGCCGTCCTGTAAACATAAGTCAGTAGTAAAAGTCCAGATGGTTATTTCCCTTGCTTGCTGTTTCAGCGATTCAAATCTTATTGTCAGGTGCCTACAGAATCAATTCTATTACGAAATTTGAAGAAAATAGTTAAACAAGACATCTAGGAAACTTTAACGATTTATTTTTAAATAAACATTTTAATTATTAACCATTTAATGTATCTTATATTCTCAGCATGAGTCTGTGACAGTACAAATCTTTTTTAATTATAAATTTGTTTTGTCTCTTTATTTATCATATGGTACAGTACCATATAGTTGTATATTTATGTAATGTTGAATATTTTTGTAAATAAATCATTTCACTTTTTAATATGCTTGTATGTTAAGGATTTTATAAATTTATGTGAACGGATATTGTCGTCGCCCCTGTCTGTCGGGTCCACATTTTGTTTGTGGACACTCTACAGGTCACAATTTTTATCCTATTTTGACGAAACTTGAAATATAATGTAGGTTTATATCAAATAGATCTTGGTTCCTATCGATATTGGCATGTATTGGATGGTAACTTCATGAATAATAGCCCCCAATTGTACGAACAATCGCGTTTTATATATACATGTATATAAGGCGCATGGTGTTTGTTGATTAATTTTGGTAAATGCAGAAAATTTATTACCAATAAATATACTGAAGCAAACAAAAATACTTTAAATTACACTTTTGTTTAATTATTGCTGTTTCACATGGCATGGTTTCAATTCTCAGCTTGTATGTGATGAGGGGTAGGGTTGTCCATCCAACCTTGTGGGTTTTCTCTTGGTCCTTGGGTTTACCTCCACTGTTAAAGACCCTTATGCACAGGCGAATAAATGAAACAATATGTTAGTTTCTGTCGAGTGGATGTTAAACCCCATTTCACTCACTATTTATCACCAATTATTTTACATGCCAATTCATTCATGAAACTTCCCTCCAAATTAGAAAAGTAGCCTACTATATTATCTTGCTATGAAATGAGTGTTCTACAGGTATTTTCCCTTATTTATTTAATACTGGACACCGGTTTCTTGGGGGTGAACCTTTGCAGTATGAAATGCAGGTTTCTTAGCAAATGATTTAATTCATATAAATTTTAACATTTATGACAAATTGAGTATATCTCAATTGAATTTTAGTGAAATAAACAAAGAAATCAACAGGTTTGTGTCCTTTGAAAAATAAAAAACAATATTTGATTTTAAATATTCTATTATTTCATAGAACACAAACACAACTCCATGTTATAAATAGATATAGCATTCACTCTAAAAACAACCATACATTCAACAATCATCTCTGTGGGCATGTCTTCCTTGTATGACCTGAAATTATAAATAATAATACACACAATAATATTTTACACTAATTACCAAATTTTACTTAAAGTCGCTGACCATCATCTATATTTTTGGACATACCTAATTTTTCATGGCTCAAATTGATTTGTCAACATTTCTGCTTAACCTAAACACAAAATTCTCATTATCAAACTTAAACATCCAGGTAGCGTTGTAATGAAGCTCCTAGTCTGAGGCCTGAACAAAATTATATATTAGCTCAGATATAGGATAAACAAGTTTCCATTTTTAAGAGAACATACCTTCAACATGACATATTCCACATTTTCTTTTCTTGACACCACCACCACCATCTGTTTGAGGACCAGCCCCACCTTGTCTTTTATAACCCATCTGATTATTCCCAGCTCCACCACCATTTCCTCTTCCCATTCCTGTAAAATAATACATCTTATATTTCACAAGAATAGAACACTGGGAAGAAAATGTGGGACCTCAAGTCAAGTCTCAAGTAATTGCACATCAAGTCTGAGTTGAGTCATAAGTTGCTGACTTTAGTACTAAGGCGAGTCCAATCCCATGTCCTGTTCAAGTTGCCAGTTCATAAAATAAATCAGCAATTCATGGCAGTAAGGCGACTCTAGTCTTGGCTCTTTCAAGTGGTAAGTCGTCACAACTGCCGACCCAAGTTCCCACACATCTCCATAGCGATTGTTAAAATATATCAACAACAAATAAATATGTTTGTAGTTGTAGTTTGTTTAATATCATACAGTAAATTAATTGGGTTGTGAGTGTATCTACAAGGTGGTGATTGCGTCAGTCAATTGGTAAAGGCACTATACTGTCCTGAGTCTGAATTCTAGAGTAGGATGAGAAGAATATTTTTCAAAGCCAGGCTCCCACCTGCCATGTAGTGCCTACTGGGCTAACAAGTAAAGTTTTGGCTAGTTGTTGGGATGGTATGAAAAACCAAGATACACCCATGTACACATTGGCCGCAGATACGTAAAAGAGCCCTTGACAGTTGAAATTTGATGAAGAGTAGGTGGAATTGCCGCTGTGTTAGTCTCATAAGGGCTGATGTGTTGATGTGACATTAAAACTCCATTCAATTCCATCTACAGGAAACAGGACAAGGGAAAGATTTGGGCCATTCGAGCATCTAAAGAAAAACAGAGTACGGGGCAGGGCATAATAAGATGATATTCTATAGAAATTACCTCCCCCTGCATCAGAAGGTTGATCTCCCCACTGAAAAAATCCACAGGATTCAACTCTAGGTTTTGAACAACCATAAAATGGCCGCCCCTTGTTAGGACCATCTTTTTGTACTGTTAAACTACAATAAAATCAATTAAATATTATAAAGAAGAATTCTACTATGTATAGTAAAAGTCAAATAAATTACAGTATTAATATCTGGTTCTCAGACAATCCTTTAAAAACAATCTGATGGGTGAGGAAGGTTTTATTTATTGTATTTGATCTATACGTTTGTTGTTTATTGCTTGCAGTGTCTGTGTGGTTTGTGTGTCCCATTGTCCACAGAATAGTCCAATGGGTTTTGTTTTCGTTAGTGTGGTCAAAGGGTTGTGTGGCTCGATGACTTATCACAAACATCCCATTTCAATCATTTACATTTCCACGGATGAAATCACAGATTTGTAATTCAAATGCCCATGTTGCTCCTTTCATCTTTTTCTATGGAGTATTATCAGAACTAGAGATGCAGGGAACAATGAACTTGAAAGATCTTAAAAATTAAACAGATGAAACGATGAGCCAATTTAAGCCTACTTGATACTTTCAGATTCAACCGAAACGTTTAATAGAGTTACCCACCCTTTAACAAAGGAAAAAAGAAATTACTTTTCTCATTTTTAAAAAAAATAATAAAAACATATCATGTGGCCCTAAGCACCAGAATTGTGTTTCTATGACTTAATCAATGAACTATTGGCAAACAAATAATACCTTTTAGCTGGTAAACCACATGGACATTGAATATTATCACCCAATGAATTATTCCACTGATTGGCTTGTGGTGGTCTGTTATTATAGTTATCTTGTCTATAAATATAAACAAACAATTATATATTTATATGTAATACAACTACATGCACATATATAATGAAATATACTAAGACCCAATGAAAGGAAGTGTTGGAGAGATATAATAAGTCTGAAATGTGATTTTTGGCTTCACAAGATAATCAACAACAACCCACTGAGGTCAGAACAACTTACAGTAAAGTGTTAACAAAAGGGGTGAAAATCAATAGTCAGTATCTTGTGTGTCCACTACTGTCCTCCCTTAGCAGCTACACACGTCATGCAATGTTGCTGTAATGATTATTTAACAATTAAACATACATTATGCAAGAGCTAAATCTGTCTATTGCAGGTCTTTCTTTAGGCCTGAAATGTTATCTAAATTATTAATTAGACATTAATTAACTTATTCAGAAAATAATCAACTCTAGATGGCATCGCTAGCCTGCGATCTTAAGTGGATTGTGAGCCGATTTACTGCATAACTTTCCTTCTCGATTAAACGATTAAATAGATAATCGAGACTATGCTGTTTATCGTACTGACTTTAGTAATGATGACCGAGACTAGGCAGAAATTTCATTCACTTAGTTTTCGGTTCATAGTGGTTCAATTTGAATGAAATTTTCAGCAAATTGCCTTTACGTTATCTAGTTTTTAACTATTATAGTGAGAACTGCCAACTCGTTATTGAATCTCCCATAATGTATCTTTAAGTAAGAAAATTAAATTAAAATATCTATGGTAAATAATCTCCAGACTGGTCAGATTAAAAATAGGTCCATCAAAGATTTTATCAAAGATGATAGTGGCACTGGTTTGATATATTGTTTGCAGGGCATGCCAAATTTTGCAAAGTTTTCTATTCATACTGAACGAAATTGGACAATTTTGGATCGAAATTCTTTTAATGGATTCAACTTTCACAATATTCTGTTTAAAAGGTATTTAGTAATTAAACACATTAAAATAAACACAACAGTTCTATATATATAAAACAATTAGTACTGTATTTTTATACTGTTTAAACAGCATTTGAGTAATGGTTAAAATACACACAACAGTTCTATGGAAAACAATAATTGGCCTCTTGTCATTTTTAAGCACAATACTGATACAGTCAGAAATAATGAAAACATACAGTATATATAAAGTCGTTATTTCTGACTGTATCAGTATTACTATTGTGCTTGAGAATCATTGTAGAAACCTAGCTCCAATTAAAATACAGTAATTGTTGTCCATCAAACTGATGTGCACTATGCACAATATCGTTTGCAAGGTATTCCACATCCAAGGAAATATACCAATATTCATAGTTAAGTGTATAGCATAAATATGTTCAATGTACATATATTGCCTTACTGACTGTACAGTGAACAGTAATCTCACCTGTTAACTGTATAATTGTTATTATTAGTTGTATTACTGACTGTTGTTGTGTTTTCATCTGCCCACAGAAAGAAATTACAACCAGTACCAGTTGGTTTACTACATTTATAGAACTGACGACCTGTTCAAACATTTCAACATTACATATAACATTGGTAATGGATAGCATATTCATACACACTTTTTGTAACAAGAGTAATAAGGAAAACATTTTGTGCATACCTTTTAGGCCACATAAAACCACAACGCTACACACAACTTTAAATATAATCTGTTCAAAACTGTAGTCTCTATCATGTTCAAAAGCCAACTTTTGATAGAGGGACATGGCTGACAGTATAATATTGTCACACTAAAATCTGGGCGTATAAAAATGTCCCCATAAGCTGTTTTATTTGACAATACAGTTTTATCTTGAATCAATTTTAAGTTTACATTTGTACAAATATCTTGGGCACATACCATTATCACAGCAACAAAGTTTGCATATTAAATATTATAAGATTTTTCTGCACTCTGATAACTAAAAACTATAGAGAACATGGTAAATCATATCATTCCTCAACTTCTCAAGCAATGGTTACCAGATTTTATTAACTCTTTTAACCAAATAGAAATTATGGTTAAATGTTTTTCATTGGTGTACCAATCAAACATTCAAATTATTTTTGCAGATGTTTGATGTGTCCAATTAAAACAATCATAGAAATAATTATGACTATGAGCTAGTATTGCTAGTATGTTGATATAGGAAATTGTTATTTTGGGTATGTTCCTGTAAAAAAAAAGATTGCTTGCAAAAGACAAAGTTGTCACTTAAAGGCCCTTTATAGGCCACTTTTACAAATGAAAAAGATTTGTAAGAATCTTGTGCAGTAGATTATAAGTATTAAAATAAATACCTTGATTTGGTCCATCTTTTCTAACAGTAAGTAAAATACCATCATCACCACAATTACACACAATAGCTGAACCATGTCCACCATCACTATTACCACTATTCATATTATTCTGTTGTGATAAATGCAATGCAGGACGTGAATTACCTCCCCTATTCGCAACTGCTTGAGTTGTGTAGTTTTTATTGCCATTATTGCTATTTGATCTATTGAATGTGGTATTTCTGGTAATAGAGTTATTTTGTGATTGTGAATTATTAGTTCGTGTGCTGTTAAAACTAGAATTATTACTTCTTGTACTATTAAAACTATTATAACCACTATCTGGTATACCATTCTGACTTCGTATTGATGTATTCACATTCACTGGATTAGCTAAAAAGAAACAAAATTCACCATAGAAATATTCTGTTAGCAAAGAGTTATTTTAAAATTATTTAGTATCATTGTTACAGACAATTTAAAACTGTAGTGGATGATACTTGGATTGAACTGTTTGTTTGGTTACAATCTAATTAATATTAGATTACAATTTTGAGCATCCCTGTTTTCTGACAGTTGATGCTCTATTTATACCCACCAATCATACTTCATATTGGTAAAACCAATCAGAATCATTCTAAAATTCTCTTTATTCTCTCCATACAGCAACCCTGTATCCAGAAGTTGCTTTCAATAAATGAACCCTGGTTTCAAAGAAAACATGTAAGATGAAAATTCAGCAGCCGTAGATCCAAAATAAACGAAAACTTAACTAACATCTGTCTTTTAATTAGACTGACTCGGCCTATATATATATATTATACCTTGAGTTGGTGCTCTTGTTCTTTGTATATTTAAAACTTCTGATATCATCTCATCACAACCACCAATACATATTAAACTACTAAAAATAGAACAATTGATGAAGTTAATAAAACAGTGATTTAATTATACAAAATAAACTATATAGATCTTTACCTGGTTATCATGTCTGACAGAAAAACTATACCAGTGAAGGGAACGGTACAAAATTCTTTAAAAAAATTTATAAGTAAACAAGCCAACAAACTCTTCTTATCTTTTGTCTTATAGAACCAGCGGCTGCCAGGCAGGATACGCCCACATTTTCGAGAGATGGATAGAGAACAAGCTAAAAAGAAAGTGATTTTTCCTACAATCAAGGGCCATAATTCAGGAAATTACAATTCGATATGTGCAAATATCGAAAGGAACCGAGATCTTTGGGTTATAAACTTACATTTCAAGTTTCAACAAAATCGGATAAAAATTGTGACCTCTATAGGGTCCACAACCTTGATATACCATATTTTTACACTATTTGAGAGCGAGGGGTGGCCATTTTGTCTGTCAGTTTTGGGCCGATTTTCACGAAATTCAAACTCAGCCGTCCTTAGGGTGTAACGGTGATATAATAATACGGTTTTTTAAATTGGATAAAAATTATGACCTCTATAGGGGCTTAGGGTGTAACAGTGATATAATAATACGTTTTTTTAAATCAGATAAAAATTATGACCTCTATAGGGTCCATAAGCTAAAAATTTGATTTTTCGTACAATCAGGGGCCATAATTCAGGAAGTTACGGTCCGATATGCGCGAATATCGGCAGGAACCACGATCTTTGGGTTATAAACTTACATTTCAAGTTTCAACAAAATCGGATAAAAATTGTGACCTCTATAGGGTCCACAACCTTGATATACCATATTTTTACACTATTTGAAAACGAGGGGCGGACATTTTGTCTGTCAGTTTTGGGCCAATTTTCACGAAATTCAAACTCCTTAGGGTGTAACGGTGATATAATAATACGGTTTTTTAAATTGGATAAAAATTATGACCTCTATAGGGGCTACAAGCTAAAAACAAAATTTTTTGTACAATCAGGGGCCATAATTCAAGAAGTTACGTTCCGATATGCGCGAATATCGAAAGGAACCGAGATCTTTGGGTTATAAGCATACATTTCAAGTTTAAACCAAATCGGATAAAAATTGTGACCTCTACAGTGTTCCCAAGCTAAAAACATGATTTTTCGTACAATCAGGGGCCATAATCCATGAAGTTACAGTCCGATACATGCCAATATCGAAAGGAACCAAGATCTTAGGGTGATAAACCTATATTTCAAGTTTCATTGAAATTGGTTAAAAATTGTGACCTGTAGACTGTTCACAAACAATTGTGGATGGACGGACGTCCAGACGCACGGACAGGGGCGACGACAATATACTAAATGCCATTGAAACAAGGTATTCAGACTACACATTAAAATGATATAGCAGGTATTTTATATTGGTTAGCAAAAGAATTAATGAGTGTAAAATTGACACTAACTCTGCCAGCCAAGTTTGAAAATAAATTGAATCTGTTGTTACGCTTGTCATATGGTGGAATTACCTCCACACCCACAAATTGCTGAGGAACATGGGCTTCAACTGGGATACAGACAAAAACATATTATTTTGATGAGCTGTACTTGGTGGCTCAGTGAGTAAGGTGCTGGATCACCAACCGAGAGGTCACAGCTTCATTCCCGGTGTTGGCAGAGAAAATTCCTCTGGATTTTTCCGGCATGGTTTCCCTAGTCAGGGGTGCAGGACAAAGGGCACGGTAAGGAAAAATCCTAGTTTTTCCAAACATCAGAAGTGGGATTTATAGTGAATGTATAATATTTCTTATGGTATAGAGTGTTATATGAATTCATTAATATTACTTACTCTGGTTCTATCATGGGTGGAACTGATCCTCGTTTAAATTTAAATTTCATCTTGTTGATTTGACACTGAAAACATACACAAATACTGACATTGTCTATATATATGTGCGTAAAAATAAATTACAAAGAAATCTGCCACTTTCGGCTTCTGTATACTAAAGCCTTGATTTTTTTTCTCCTAATATAAGCTATAAGGCTCAATGTAAAAAAAAATGCTTACATGTACTAAGTGTAAAAGGGTTATAAAGGAAAATTAACCTAAGTGAAAACTTTATTTATCACCCACCCTGTCACATATTTCATCAACAACATTTGCTTCTAGCACAAAATCTGGCAGCCATATTGCATTTCTACAGTCTGGATATCCCATACATCCAATATAAAAACCTTTTCCATCTTTCTTGGTTTTAAGTACCATATCTTGGTTACAATTAGGACATGTTTTTACTCTTGGTTGTATTTCAGGCATTGGAGCTGAAAGAATGAGTATTTCTTATCAATGTAAATAGAAGAAAATAATACACATAAAAATATGTACAACACGTGAAAGTAACATCAAAAAGATCTTGAGTATAAATGAATCTGTATGAATAGATCATGTTTATGAATTTAATAATGAAATGAAATGGGGTTTAACGTCCTACTGTTTTGCTCCTAAACTTGGCTAATGAAGACGGGCATATGCTATACAGTGTGCTATGAGGGAAATTTTGCCCGGGCAGCGGTGCTACGGCCTACTCTTATATCGAATTCCAACTGTCAAGGGATCTTTTACGTGCACGCCATATGTACACGGGACCTCGGTTTTTCGTCCCATCCGAATGACTAGACAGCTGTCCTTGTCAGGCCCTCCAATTTAATTATGAGGAATTAAAATTTAAATAATACCTTGTGCTGCAGTAAAAGGTCTTGCTTCTCCTAAATACTGAGCAAGGGCTTCATCTAGTCTTGCTGCCTTTAAAATAATATAATGCACACATATAATGGATACCTCTTAAATTTTTCTAAACAAAATTTGAATCTTCGGCAATACAAACACATACTTTGCGTGAAGTCTAAAATCCTCTCACTCACTTAACAGTGTTTTCATCAAACCGCACCAAGTTATCTATCGGAACTAGTTTCAAAATGTCACCCTAGTCGAACACTACGATACACGAATCAAAACTTAGTTTGTGTCTATTAAAAACACATGTGTTTAGAGAAATTATGATACATAAAAACTGCCATAGCACATAAACCATAACGTTATTGGACTTTTTGTAGTACTATGAACATACTTATGGAGTTTAGAATGTTAAGTTATTATTATTATATTATTATAATTCTCTGGTTTTACTTACCTGCTCACATGCCTGAATAAAAACCTGTTTATATTTCTGTATTTGTTCTTGTAAGGCAACTGAAACAAATGAAGAGAAGAGAAATTAATTATTTAACGTCTACACACTTAAACTATGATCACAAAGGAACTACATATCATCCAATCTTATTTCAATTGTGCGTTAGGGTCTTTAGCAGTGGGAGGAAACTGAAGGACCTGGAAGAAATCCCCGAGGTTGGACAGGCAACCCTACTCCTTGTCATGTACAAGCTGAGAAAATGAAACCATGCAACTTGACTCCACAGCAGACCTTATGATCTAAAGAGCATGCGTTAAACATTCGGCCATCACATCCCTCCAACAAATCACGAACAAATCGCAATATGAAAGAGATGAATTCCAACTTATTAGTGATCTACCAGAAAATAATTAATCAATTTCAAAATGACTCTATGATTTTTTGAAAAAACAAATGAAATGGGATTTACTGTTTCATCAAACACAATTCTTCTATCATTTAGAGACAAACATAGAATGGTAATTTTTTCTTTCTATCGTTACATGAGTAATGCAAGGTAGGAGAATATCATAGCACAGCAATTAACGCTTCCCCATACTCTTGTTCAATTTCCAACTGTCTAGGATTATTTTACATGAACAAACAATTTGTCTCATCCAAATGACTCGGCAAACTTTCCTTGTTAGTGAAGGCTGGGCTACAAAAATCTTGAAGGTTCTACTTGGCTGAATCCAAGTCAAAAGGACAGTGTCCTGATCGCTTGACTACCACAAGCCTTTTGTCTTAAAAATAAAGATAAACAAAGAAACTAATAAAAACATCCCTTACTATTTTTGTCTTTTCTACCATCACAAATCCTGGAATGAATTGATATTTGATTTACAAGATATAAGATGTATCTATGTATTATTTTTACTTACGAAACAAAATTAGCATTTGCTTTATTTTGTGACTAAAGATAGAAATGAAATTAAATGGGTTTAACGTCCTACTGTTGACTAAAGATAGCTCAAACAATCTGATTAAAATGCAGATCTATATTGTAGCACTATTGTCGTTGCGACATTGTTTTTAAATTTAATATTTTTGGCAAGTTAGTAATTTCAAACATATTCACATATATAGTGTGCACTAAATCAACTTAGTCTGTAATTGACATATTATTACATAAAAAGAGCTCTTAAACCAAAACAGGTGTCACAATTTACCACCAGAATTACACTTGAGTGGAATTATTCTAATTGCATCATTTGACTTAAAGTAACCAATCATATTGTTAATTGCACAGGTTCAGGGTCATGAACAGGCTTCCTGTGCATGATAAACATGGTTGCTATATAAGATATCTATTTGAACCTTTCAAGACAGGCTTCTATTAGGTTCCAGAGAGCTTACATCTGAGTTCCTAGACAGTCGCGAGGCTGGCTAGGGTAGAGAAATGGTTTTAGCTAGTATTGCTATCTATTATGCTTGTATACCTGTATTCAGCTATATATATATATAAAATATGTAGAAGCAAGAAACTGTAAGAAGTAAATACACAACGTGAAGCAGAAGTAAAGACAGCTAGAGACAAATTCTAGACGATCACAAGGCTACAGAAATATGTAGTAAGAAAAGATGCATGGGTTCTACGTAGGATGTGGCGACCGGTTCCCTTAATCTGCTACAAAAGACCTATGGTGCTACATATTCGATTTGGTGCCGTAACGCAGTTTCGAACTTTAGGGTAAGCAGCAAATTTGGAAGAATACATATTCGATTTGGTGCACGTGACTACGAGATCGAGTAACCTGGAAGAAGATTAGAAGAAAATAGAGTATGCATCACACGTTGGATGTGGGAAGTTCTCCCGACATATTTTCTACATCTAATCAGTGACTGCATAGCACTGCATAGTCTTACATATTCGATTTGGTGCCGTGCTAAAGTTTCGACCTTTGGGGTAAGAAGTCACTTTAGAAGACAAATACATATTTGAAGACGTTAAGAAGAAAACCTGTACAATCCAGCAACAGAAAAAGTCTGGTGGAAAAAATCTGGTGGAGATATTCGAAAAATTGGGTAAATACATTTTGTTTGGAAAATTAAATGTGTTAAATTTGTTTAAAGACCAAATAATATTAATTTAAAGTTAAAATCTGATAAGAAACTAAATATTTAAAATTTAACTGTATAGAGATAAAATTACAGTCATTCATAAGTTTTGATTGATAGGTATATTAAACAATATAATATCACTGGTTAGGTGTGTATATTGCCAGGTTAACATGACCTGTAGTAAATTTGAGTAAAATTTAAGTTAAAGTGAGGGTCTTTAGGGAGTAGGTTTTAAAAATAATAATGATAAGGAAACGGAATAGGGAATAAAGTAAGGAACTAATGTTGTCTTCGGATCGCAGTTAGAACGACGGCAGAGCTAAGGATGAAATTTGTGAGTGATTAACTCTAGTTTCCTAGTTGGCCGTGGTTTCTACTGAGATTCGTTAATTTGTGTTTTTTCGTATATGTGTGGTTAATTAGCTATATAATTTTGAGGCCCTTAGTCCAGGCCTAAGAGTTGTTGTAATTTAACTTTTGATTAAAAAGTTAGGTTATGTTAAAAATCCCATATGGTTCATCTAGGGATGTTGGTTATAGTTTTCCTGGGGAAAAACTAAAATTATTGGCTCGTTAAATTGTGAGATTATCGCAAAGTCATTAATACGAGTTTTATAGGAGGTTAAAGTTAAGAATTCGACACGGTAGATTTTGTCCGTATATAATTTTATGTAATTAAATTTTTGCTTAGAAACGTAATATTAACGTTTAATATATACTGCTAATTGCTTTAAGCTGTCTACATGTACACGAGATGATTAGAATGTGTAATTTGACATTAGGTCAGATTATTATAAACAATAGGTTCTAACATTGTGTTAAATTTGACGTGTGTGAAAGTCACAATATATAGGATATAGTAAACTGTATGTGTATAGACTAATAATCCTGCGGATGAAAGTGCACTCATTCACTTGGGGCATGGTTATAAATTAAATGAAATGGGCTTTCACGTCATACTGTAGGATAAAATGGAATGTCATTCATATACTGGCCATATTTGATTGACATTCTCGATAGTGTTATGTCATACTAATGTTGGAATAAGCTAAAGATCCGGTTTGTTTTAGACATTCAGTGGTGTACGATAACAATATAGTTGTTTTGGTTGGCATGTAAAAAAAGGAAATAGTAGTCAAAACAGAAATTAGAATTGTATAGTGATTAGGTCGAAAGGTCACATTACTGACGGTGAAATATAAAATAACAATGTAGGAATTCTAAAACAGAAACGGAAATTATAAAACATAAACGTAAATTATAAAACATAAACGTAATTATAAAATTGTCCATTACCGGTACTTATCGAGTTAGGTCATGAGGTCAAAGTTAGTTTGAAATTTATAATTAAAGGGACACATCAAAGTTTATTAATAATTAAATAAAGTTTAATTTTAATTAAAAGTAAGATTTACTAATAATTTTTCGAAATAATAATGTTAGACTAATAAATAGCAAAATAAAGTTTTACTAATTTAGGAATAGTTAGTTCTTGGTCTGATGGCAATGACATGTTTGATTGACGGATAAAATTGTACAACCCAATCATACTTAGAAGAAAAAAAAGAAAGTTTCAACTTGATACCATGGTAGCTGAAACAGACCAATACAAATCCAAGAAGAAGAAATGGTTTACCAGTTTACCAAATTGACATTTCCCGAGACAGAATTTAAAGCGAAACCTGAACTTTATAAATATTTCGTGTTGTGTTATAGTGTTTTGAAATTAGGACACTTGAAGATTTTAAAAAGACAATTTGTGTTTTCTGTATTTAGGCTTAGTGAATTTTCATAGGATTTTACAGTGATGAACTTTTTAGAGAACTTTTGCATGCAACTTTTGACTTTTGATTTTTGATTGTTTGTGTTTTTCTTTCATAGCTTGGTTTTATAGTATAGTAATCATTTATATTTGCCTGATGCGTGAATAATTAGTTAGAATATCTATATTTTATATATATTCTTAAAGGGGGAAGAATTGTAGCACTATCGTCATTGCGACATTGTTTTTAAATTTATAGACAAGGAATAGAGAAATAAGATGCCTTTATATTTCATTAATTAATATCTTTGGCAAGTTAGTAATTTCAAACATATTCACATATATAGTGTGCACTAAATCAACTTAGTCTGTAATTGACATATTGTTACATAAAAAGAGCTCTTAAACCAAAACAGGTGTCACAATTTACCACCAGAATTACACGTGAGTGGAATTATTCTAATTGCATCATTTGACTTAAAGTAACCAATCATATCGTTAATTGCACAGGTTCAAGGCCATGAACAGGCTTCCTGTGCATGATAAACGTGGTTGCTATATAAGATATCTATTTGAACCTTTCAAGACAGGCTTCTATTAGGTTCCAGAGAGCTTACATCTGAGTTCCTAGACAGCCGCGAGGCTGGCTAGGGTAGAGAAATGGTTTTAGCTAGTATTGTTATCTATTATGCTTGTAATTGTATACCTGTATTCAGCTATATATATATATAAAATATGTAGAAGCAAACTGTCGCATTGTTATTCCTGGTAAGACAAACGTCTTAAGAAACTGTAAGAAGTAAATACACAACGTGAAGCAGAAGTAAAGACAGCTAGAGACAAATTCTAGACGATCACAAGGCTACAGAAATATGTAGTAAGAAAAGATGCATGGGTTCTACGTAGGATGTGGCGACCGGTTCCCTTAATCCGCTCTCCACGTCAGACAAAAGACCTATGGTGCTACAATATTTCATTGTGATGGCCTCAACTACATGAAGATCAGACCGGTTGTAGTGGGAGGTCACATCAGGGGGTTATAGGAATGGTTTTTCACACTATGACATCCGACATTTGATTAACCAATCAGTGTTGATGTTTCCCGTGGGTATTTGGAAATACAACTTTTGCTTTGACTTCACAGCAAATGTCTACCCACAGTTCTGTGCACTGCACGACAAGAATTCGCAGCAACAGAATGTTTCATTGGCTACTCCCTGACATCAACCAAAACACGGGTTATATAACAGAAATTTAGAACTATAAAAAGCAAAACAAAAGAGGATTTGCGTTTTAATCAGATTGATAGCTCAAATTAGTTATTTAGAGTTTTGCTATCAAACCAAGAAATACATTACATATTCACCCCAAAAGACTATCTTATTCTTACAGAATAAATAGCACCTAATATAATGTTCAAGATATTCTACATAAAATATGTTCTGGTACTTACAGTTTGAGATCATTCTCTAAGTTTGCACGTAGATTAGGTTTAGACATTTCATACCCCATCGAATCATAACCTGTATAAAGACAATAAAATACAGATTACAGGATAGGATCCAATACGTTTAATTCTAACACAATGAAATGGGGTTTAATGTCCTATTTTCTGCACCGACAGGTCTAATGAAGACAGGCAAACAACATGCAGTGTGCAAGGAGGTGCTGGGGCTACAGCCTACTCTTATTTCGAATTCCAACTGTCAAGGGTTCTTTTACTTGCAAGCCAATGTGTACATAGGGCCTCAGTTTTTTGTTCCATCCGAATGACTATACACTGTTCCTTGTCAGGATCTAAACGACCAATAAAATAATAATATAAGTAAAAAAAAACTAGTGACAGTGTAATCAATTTCTTGTTACTTCATTCTTTTTCTAATAGGGTTGGCTAATGTAGCACATATTTTCAAGTGGAGAGTGAGGGGTGGAGAAAGGAAGGGCAGCAGAGAGAGGGTCAGTTGCTAATATACATACATATATCTCAATATAATCTTAATAAAGTATTTCATACAGTAATGGGCATGACTCAATTGTGATAGGGTTTTGCTCACAAAGATTTAAGTGTCCATATTGATGACAGATGATATTGTTTTTTCAAAATTTATATCATATAATTGAGGATTAGGTATTTCTAAAATAAAATAGCAGTACATGCTTTTCCTGTTGCTGATACACTTGTAATATCTGACTGCTAGACAAGAATTACCTTCAACAAGTCCCATGCCTAAATGTCCTGGCACAAATTTACCATCTGGCCTTAAACCAACATAAGATCGACTTTTAATAGTTTCTATATGTTCAGCATGTGTAGCATCAGTACCTATAAAAAGACATTTTCTTAAGTGTTTAAGGTATCAACATTGATCTTAATATCCTTCAATAAATTTTCACAAAAGTATGCAGGTCAATAAAAATTAATGTGCTTCAACGCCACAAACTGGTTAATGAAGATAGTCATAAATCATGCAGTGCACTAATAGTATACGGTAAATTTTTGCCTGTAGAGCAGTGTTTACGGTCAGGCCAACGTGCCCACGGGTGGACCTTGATTATTCATCCCATCTAAGATAGTTATCTACGCCAGGTCCTATGTCCTTTACCACTGACAATGGGAAACCAATTTGGAAGATTCCACTGAACTTTCTTGACCAACACCAGAATCGAACCTGGCTCCTTCATGACAACAGAATTTATAATGATCTTATTTATCAATATGTGACTCGCTACAGCAAAATGAGTCAGAAGTTGTAAGTCATTGTTTTTTTAAGATATGAACAGAAATGTTGAAATATGCTAAACATATCAATGTTAATGATATAACATTAAAGATAAAACTTTAAAAAGCAAATTCAAAAAAAAATTATGTTTATAATATATTTTTATTTGTATTGTAAAACAATGACTTTCAACTTCCATTTCATTTTGCTGTCACAGGTCACATACAATCAAAATATCTTTCTGACATGAGTAAATTATTACTGAAGAAGTAAATCAGTACCAAAATTATTTAAACTTACCAATGCCATGTTTATCCATTAAAGCTATAAGGTCAGCTTCAGTAAGTAATGGTGGTGCTGCAGTTTCACCACTGATCAACTAAAACAGAACAAAATATCAACAATATTACTCATTTCAATCACAATTGGTCATCTTTTTACAGATTGAAAGACATAAATAATATTCAAATTTTAAACAATGTAAATATTGAATATTTCAGTTCCTGGAAGAAAATTGAGGAAAGTGATATATCAATACCAGTACATCCCTGAACTAACCGAACCTACGTTTCCTTGGATCGCCTCAAACCTGCGAGATGACAGTGATATGGTGGTTTGAATGGATGAAGGAGCTAACTGAGGTCATAAATCAATCGGTTAAAGAAATCTCCTCTAAATTCTGTAGTTCTTGGGGAAATTCAATTTAAAGACCTAGAAAAAATATCAGAAGTAACATTCTCATAATTATTTTCTAATAAAGTTTAAATTACCTCAATTGATGATGGTTCAAATTTATCACCAATATTATATACTGGAATTTCCTATAAAATAAACATTTAAACTGAGAGAGAGAAATCGGGTTTAATGGTCACTCAAAACAAATCACTGGTATGTCATTTCAGGACTAACATTTCAATAATTCGCTTACATACAGGGGTCTTTGGCAATGGGAAGAGACTGGAGGACCTAGAGAAAACCCCACAAGGAAATCCTACTCCTTGTCACATACAAGCTGGGAATCGAAATTACACCAGTTACTCAATAACAGACCTTATGATCTAAAGCGTACATGTTAGACCACTCAGCCACCCCAATTACAAAAGGCCATTGAAACAGAGGACAATAAACCTTGATTACCATCATTGATTGATGATCTTATATGTAAGTATCTTAAATATTTAATTACCTTTGCATTCCATTTTTCATATGGATAAACTTCTAAATAATTCTTAGCTATTATCATGAGTCCCGATGCAGTAAACTAAAATTAGATAATATATAATTAATTTTTATATGGTAAAATTTGAAACCAAGATACATCTGGCCAAAATCTTTGAGAATTGCATTCATCTTTACAAATGTTCTTGAAAAAGACAATTTTTGCCACTCAGTTGGCAATATAAATGCTTGGCTGAAATAACGATATTTAATTTATTAAAACATAATGAATATTATTTTTAAATACTTTTAAAAAGAGAGAGAATGAAATGGGTTTTTTAAAAAAGAGAGAAAGAAATGGGGTTTCACGTTAACTCGACATAATCTAGGTTACTAACAGGCGATCCTCTTCTTTGTCACATCCAAGTAGAGATCAAAAACAATGCTAAGGGCAGATTTTATGATCTAAAGTTCATGCATTAAACCATTCAGCTAACAAACCCCAAATGCTTTAAGGAAAAAACACCTAAAAATAATAGTATATTTGTATGTGTAATATACTGTGAACAAACATCAATATCATTTACTTCTTCCTATCCATTTACCTTTTCGTCTGCTATTTCAATATCAACCGTTGTTTCAAAGCCTTGCGCATCTTGAGAAACACAAGCCAGAAAATGACGCACTATGAATTCATACACTTTCTGTTCATTTCCCTGAAAAAATTATTACATTGTAAAATTATATTATGATAGTTATCCTGGAGTACAGTTACATGTACCAGTAAAAATATATTTTACCTGTAAAGAAGCTGTATATCTAATGTTTTATCTATATTATTATTATTATTATTATTGAATGTTATCTGTAAAGTAGCTGTATATTGAATGTTTTACCTGTAAAGTAGCTGCCTATTAAATGTTATAACTGTAAAATAGCTGTATATTGAATGTTTTACCTGTCAAATAGCTGTATATTAAATTTATACCTGTAAAATAGCTGTATATTGGATGTTTTACCTGTCAGGTAGTTGTATATTGAATGTTTTACCTGTAAAGTAGATGTATATTGAATGTTTTACCTGTAATGTAGCTGTATATTTTATGGGGTGTATCGGTGGATGAGCATTATCTGTTTTTTTACCATTTCTAGGATTTGGTCCATTCTGTAATATCCCCTCAGCAAATGCTACAAAGATGATAATCTAAATGTCAAACTAACACAGAATAAATTATGTTGAGTCATGTTCAATGAAGAGTATATAAAATTCAATATATAGTAGTATATAGTTCACCTACCTCCCCAATTAGGATCTCTAGTTTGATCTTCAACAAGAGCTGTCAAATTCAGTTCTTTAGGAAATATATTAGTTTCTGTACGTGGATAGCTAATAAAACCATTAGTGTACAGTTTCTCGGCTATCTTCATTGTCTCTTTGGCATTTATTCGCAATTTTCTTGAAGCAAGCTTTTCCATTTCCTGTAAGAAACACATAATATAAGCTTATGGTGATAATAAATTGAGCAGAAAGTTGTGGCTATAGAAATTATATATAATTACAATACTGATCCATCAAAGGAATCATGATTCATTTAATGCCAGATAAAATGAAAAGGTCAAGAAGTATATAGGCCATTAATTGTATCAAAACTAAGTAACAAACAAATAATCACTATAATAAACATGAAGAGGTTCAAGTTTTTAATTAATTTTTGCACCATGATAAAAAAAAAAAAAGACTTGGCTACTTACGACTGTATCTAAAGCTTGTGGTCTCCATTTACTTTTACTTTTACTTCTGACATCAACAACAGTTGCTATAGGTAACTACAATAATAGTCAAAAATACCTATTTAGGTGAGGAAATTAATAAGTTTATGAGTAACATATTCATTTCTTTCTATTCAATGCAGAGAAGGAAAGTTTTAAAAGACTTCAACATAAACTTTTAAAAAATCAGCCCAATGAATAGTTTTTGTGCCTGACAACAAGTGGAAATTGGGAGGTTTTTCATAGGCCGGGGGTGACAGTGTAGGCTGTAGGTCTAGAATGTCATACATTGGCCGAGAAGAACAAGAGGGGACTGAAAAGGAAAGTGTGTCTAGTCGATCAGATGGTATGGGGTTTAACATTTCATATACATAATACCGCATTCATTTTGAGACTAACAAATGGTAATTTTATCTAAGCAATGCAAGTGCGAGAAGTTTGCCATGGCAGCAGCATTTCTGTCTACTAATCTTTTAATCAAACACTATGCTAATGTGTACTCTGGTGGACCTTGGTTTTTAATCCCCATTCTATCTTTTCAGCCCACACCAGGATTTGCATCCTGGACATGCTGCAAAATCAATCATGTGATATCTCTTATTTATCAAAGATAAAAAGATTATTTTACCTCTGTGCATTGTTCATATAGGACTAGACATGCTAAATGATTGAAGAGACGATTTCTGAAATTTAGATAAGAATAATTTAAACTTGCAATGTTTACTATACTAGACATGTTTCATTAATTAACCAATTCTACTGTAAGCTTACATCACTATATAATTGACAGATCTGATCATCATGAAATTAAAGCCACCAATTGTCATTGGAGAAATTTTGAATCCCTCGCAAACTATGTTATTGTAAAACAAATATAAATCCAGAAATGGTTCAATTTCGTTCAGTATTTACAAAGATATGATGATGTGAAAATTTCTCAACATTCAGCTTTCTCTGGATTAGATATACACATCTCTTCATAAAATTTTAAATAGTCTTCTTTAAAAAATATTTTTATTCAGGATATCTGAATCGGATTGGGAAAAAGACTTAGCATACATAAAACACCTCTCCCTAAATAATATATATATAAGCTTACATAATATTAATACAAATGAACAAAGGGGTGTATATACATGGTTAATTTTAAATAGTCAATCTAGGTACATTTTAGCGAAGACAGAGCAGTGCCAAAATTAGCTATTGTCCAAAAACTTCAAATGACAGTTAGCAACTTTAATTCTTGGTGCCAGCAACCATATCAAATAATTTGAGATCACATTAAATTAAAAGCACAATATCATTTCAATATCATAATATCGAATAATAACTTCTATGTACTGAACTCTAAAATATGAGCACTTAATAATTTGTTAATTAGTGCATTGTTACCCGTTTGTATATATAGCGGCTATATATACAAACGGGTAACAATGCACTAATTAACAAATTAGTAAGTGCTCATAGAAGTTATTATTATAGCCTTCTGTAACATGTTTGATTGTATCATTTCTTGATAAAGATGAGGGTATCCTCATTCAAATGTTGCAGAATAAACCTAGTAATCTTATCCATAAAGCTGTCTATTCTTATATATTGTTTTTACTAAATGCCCTTTAAAGATACATTATGGGAGATAAGATAATGTGATGGCAGTTCTCGCTATAATAGTTAAAAACTAAATAGTGTAAAGGTAATTTGCTGAAAATTTCAGTCAAATTGATCCACTATGAGCCGAGAAAGAAGCGGGTGAAATTTTGGCATAGTCTCGGTCATCATTACTAAAATCATTAATATAAACAGCTTAGTCTCGATTATCCACTTTTTTTTATTTAATTATCAACGGTCGTTAGCGGCATAAAGGAATCTAATCCAGCCAACATCGAAGGCTAGCCTTGACATCGAGAGTTTATTATGGTCTGGATAAGTTGATTAATGTCTAATTGATAATTTAGATAACATTTCAGGCCTAAAGAAAGACTTGTAATAAGCAGATTTTGCTCTTGCATAATGCATGTTTAAAGATATTTAAGACAAGTAAACTACGTATACAACCTCACCTTTTCCAACTAAAATCAGCTTTTATTTCATCATTCAAATGAGTAACTATAAAAAATTGAACCAGTAGAATAAGTAACACATAAGTCTAAAATTCATATTACTCTGAACACAATGTTTGTTAAGGCTCAGATAAACATAACTTATCATATAAGATATCATGGGTCAAACTTTCAAAGAGATACATTATATTTTATCAATGGTTATAATATAGGTGTCATGGAAAATGCCATGGTGTACATACTATTATAAAACTATATACTGTTTATTTTTAAAATATACACAGCCAACAATTTTGGGGTTCTTTTGTTTTATTAGTGGTTCATACCTTTTATTTTCCAAAATGGTTCTGGAATAAAGGCCTCTACTTGTTTATATCTTTCTACAACAAAACCTAATGTAGGAAACTGACAACTTCCATAACTTATCAACTGATCACTTAATACATCTGGAAAAACTTTCTGTAATCGAAGTGTCTGAAATCTAGTGAATGCAGCTCCTTTAAAAAAAAAAAAAAAAAAAAAAAAGCAGCTATATTTTTTGATGAAGACCTGGCTAATAGAGACAGGCATAAACCATGCAGAGGGAAATCTCTAAATATGAAACAGCACTTGAATAAGACATTTGAAAGTAAAAGTACCTTACATTGTTGTTGAATTAAACAGAAAATAAAGGCTAACATATCTACCTATTCTAAGATCAAGCTCTGAACGAACATCAACAGCGTCGCTAACATTTTTATCTGGTGGCCCTAGATTCTGAATGGCACGATTAATAGCACTAAAAAATAAAGCACAAAACTTGAACATCAAAATTAAGTTAAGCAACAAAGCATCTATTTAAACATTGAATAATTATGTGATCATGATAGATATCAATGTTTCGAAATACGTGTGCCTACTATTTTTAAAGAGTTGTAATAAATCGCTATCGAGTTGGTACCAGTCTCTAAAAGTTAATCGATCTGTCTGAAACACACACATAGACATGAGTATAGTTAGTGCCACTCTAAATGAATATTTAGATAAGTAAATTGATATTTGAAGTTTCTGTCAAGCAACATTTTTCATAATCAATGTTTCTGGTCATATAGCATGACATCTAAGGACTCAATAACAACACTATATAGATAATTACACAGTGAAATGTCCTTAAAACATTTCAAAACAAGTTCCAAGCTTCTATCTTGGATACTATTATAGCATGATTCTTTTTAAGCTTAAACTTAAATTCTCCATTTCCAAGATAACCAACAAAACAAATTCCCCCAAACCGCTGAAACTCAGTGTAAGTCATATTCTTGTATTACTTACTGTGGAGTTATTTCAGAAAATCTTGCCCTGTACACTTGAATAGAAGGTTTAGCTACAAAATAAACATACAGCAGTAAATTGTTGTGAATTTTATATGTAACTGAGGTATATCACATACAGCAATAAATTTTGTATTAATTTTACATATGATATACAGGTAAATATCAACCCTATAGTCAATTAATAAAATTTCAAATAAATTACCTATAATTCCTACAAATTAATAAAAAAAATCTGTCATGAATTCTTACATTCAGAGTGGTCACCAGAAATTATAGTTGATCGCCACAGCTTCCAACAGCGTCAAACAGAGGCATTTGTGGCTATTACGTATATATAAATGTAATGATCTAGTGTCAGTGCTCAAGTGAAATCCCGCCCTTACATTAGGTAATAAAAGAAATGAAATTAAATGGGGTTTAATGTCCTACTATTCTGCTCCGAACTGGGCTAATGAAGAGGGACATACGCCATACAGTGTGCTATGAGGGAAATTTTGCCCGGACAGCGGCACTACAGCCTACTCTTATATCGAATTCGTCCCATCCGAACGACTAGACAGCTGTACTTGTCAGACCCTCCGTCCTGTCGCACTGACAAGGGGGAACCACGCCGGAAAATCTGGATGAACTTTCTCAGCCAATGCAGGGATCGAAACTCCGACCTCCATGCTAGGGAGCCAGCGTCTTACCCACTTAGCCACCGTGACCCCCTAGTTAATAAACAAACCTTCTTTACAGACTTGTATAACTTCATATCCAATATTTTCTCCTTCTCTATCACAATCTGTCCATATAATCAAATATTTACAACCTTTTACTTCTCTTTCCAACGTACGCTACAAAATATAATATATACGCTACAAAGTATAATACACACCTGATTAGTCCTACTTTCTAATATACGCTACAAAGTATAATGCACCTCATTATCCAACTTTTTTTAATACCGCTGAACATAACCATCTTCTATGCATATCACTTCTAACAAGAAAATAAACTATTTTTATGCAATGCCATGTTCAAAAAAGGGGGTAAAATTGAGCTTGTGCCAGTGTCTTACAGATTGTCAGTATATTCATGTATTTTCTTGCTGTTTTTTAACGCTTGTATCTAAACTAATCTTACTATATATAATATTCCATTTGCAAAGCATGGATCACTTTTTTCTATAAATATCTGAAATTATTATTCTTTTGTTTTTAGCAAATCTATATAAAATGCCTTGGCTGGTGGCAACCCTCGTCAGCTTTATCATCAAGAATGCAATAACGCTGTTGGCATGCAGTTTCCAATCTGGATTATCAAGATTTCCAAAATGTTAGTCTGATTAAAATCTATATTTCGTTTCATCTTTTTATACTTTCGATTAAGTTCTGACTGGTCATACAAGCGTCTTTTGACCCTAAGATGTTAGTTATTTTATTAATCAATCAGTGTTTGTGTTTTAAGTGTGTATTTGTAGATACTACTTTTGCTTTGATTTGTTGTCTATCACGGTGAATGGCTACCCATAATTCCTCATGCTAGACAACAAAAACTTGACTCAACACATAATTGATTGGCACATCAACCAGAATAAAGTTTATTTAATAAATGATCCTAGTATAGTTAAGACAAGTAAAACAGAATTATGAACTATAAAAAAAAAAAAAACTAAATAGGATCTGTATTTTAATCAGATTTCCAAAATGTCAGTGAAAGTTATATTTTTAAGAAATGAGACAAGTAGAATGTAAATTAAATTAACCCAAGGCTCACCTAATCATCAAAATCTAAGCACTGGCCTAATTAGTACAAAGCATTTTTTTTACAAACCTCTGCTGCATTTCGAGAAAACCACTATACAGATTTAGTGCTCATAACTTGAAATGAATTTTATCCCAGTGTTCGATTGCAATAAGTGTCTGATATTTTGCATAAAATCAAATTTGAAAATTATTTTTGTACTGATGTATTGTACTCTCTCCTGGCTTGAGACTTTGATAAAATAAATCTGATCTTATTTTACCTTTATATCAATGAAATTATCTGGACAGTGTTTTGTAACTGGAATATCAAATAATTGAACAGGATTACATGAATACCTGAAAAAATAATCAAAAAAACAAACTAAATGTAGTTGATTTTGAACATATCAATATCAATAATAATTTAATTATTAAATTCTAAGCACAGATTTCATAATCCTTAGACTGGAGTAAGGTATGGTAAACTTCTCAAAGTCTTGATGGATCATTTTAGCGCTATACTATAAAAAAACCTCTTGCAATCTACAATGTTGTGAAAGTTTAATCTGTAATCATGTTAATTGAAATTTCATTGGATTTATGCTGCTTGCGATTAACAAGATGAAGCCATCTTTTATTTGAAGCGGAGAAACATGATGGGTGCTGGGAGATAATCTAGTATTGTTATTTTTGATTTCTTAATTTAATGTTAAATCTGAGTACATATTTCGATTGGATAAGCCATCAGAAATTTGAATTTTTAGCGGTAATTCAAATGACACATCAAGCCTCTTTAAAATTTCTAAAAAATATGTGGTTCAACTCATAAATTGGAAGTTAAAGGACTATCTCGATTTGAACAGAGTCTCAAAAATAAAAGTCTGAGTACGTATGAAATTTAAGGGAAAAAATATAGAGGAATGGTGTATTTACCTTGTCTCAAAATTTCAACTCAAAATATTGAGTAGTTTGGACGAGAACGACAAAAATATTTATCCGGACACGTAACCCTTTTAAGATTATTGTAAACAGTTTTTACAAATTTTTAAACAAAGATTGGATATTAAACGAATGTGAAAGAAATTAGTGCTAGATACACAACATTAAATGATACCTGGGTTACAGTGTTATTTAATTACGTATTTGATATTCATGTCCATGAATCGCATGCATTTTTCATGCCAAAATCTAACCTTAGTTACTACGCTTGTAGTTGGCATGGAACCGTACATGGTATTAAGATTCCTAGCGTTGATTGGCTGAGAAATGAGGGCGATCTATTGTTATGCAAAGTCATCGGAAAATTCCATATTCGCTGTGAATTTCAAAAGGAGTTACGATAATAGTTGTTCTTTGTGTATAGAAATGGTTATTATTATTATAGCTAATAATGAATATATAGACTGACACCATTTGGGCATTTGTATTTCTGTACTTATAGAGAATAGTTTGGGATATCAAGTATTATGGGGTTATCCAAATTACAGGTAAATGCGCTAATTGCTTGGATCGTCTTCATTTGCCACGTGGCCCATTTAAACAAAGGCAGCTTAAATGGATCTTTGGTGGAAGTGGACGTAAAACCTCATAAACGAACGAACCAATTCACTCTAAAAATATTCCAATCACAAATGTCTAATCTATAACAATGCAAGACGATAATTCGGTGATTATGATTAGGCCAGTCATACATGTATGTTAATTGGACCATGAATAAACACTTGTCAACTGGTGGTATGTATAGGCAATCTGACCTATATTTTGTTGATTTTTTTTAAAACTTTGATCCTTAATTTCTCCTAGGGGAGATAATTTATAAAATTTCTAATGACATCTTTCAAGTCGCATTAGGAAGATCTACTTATTCCAAATTTCATGAGTATCGTGCAAATATTAAAGAAGATCACAAGTTGGTATCAACTTAACTTCCGGGACGAAATCACAGCGATGAATTTTCGAAATTTGAAAATCTGAAATTGCAGGTAAAAATGAATTCGTCAAGGTACTCAAAATTTCAGAAAGATTCCATGGTTAGATTCTGAGATATAAGGTTTGTGGGAAAATAAACAAAAAAAAAAATAATTATAATAATATCCTTAACAAAAATAATAAGCTTTCAAATGAAATATGAAACCTTAATTAACATTTTGGGCAAATGTTTTGTGAGGTTTCGTTTATGTGAGAATATGTATGATACCGTAACTTACCATTTTTTATATTGTCCTACAAAATCAAGGCCTAATAAATGACCAGAAACAGATGTCATACTCATCTGGCAATTCTGACGGAACACATTATAGTCAAATTCATAGATTTTGTTGAACTTTGAAAAACCTTCTCTCTGTAAATATAAAAAAACCATAAGACTTAATAGATGTATGGTAGTCGTACTGAGGTTACTGGATACGTGAAGGTGCTATATCCCATCTCTACCAGTTCCTGTGACTTCATGTGACTTCTTGATATGAGTGGATCATGAGTGGTGATTGGCTAATGAATTCTACATTCGGGCGTATGCTTCGGAACGGTGAAGCGGACACACTAGGCGAATATATCAAACATTGTTTGATTTCGGGTGAATCATTCGGACGTATATATCAAACATTGTTTAATCATTCGGCCAAAAAGTTCAGCTAGTCCCTAGTGTGTCCACAGCATTAAGACTCAGGGATGATAAGCTGTCCTAATTATTGAATTACTGAAATAAGATCGTACCATATAAAATGAATTAGTTGTGTTGAGTGGATGTAAACTATCTCTCCCCCCCACACCCCTACACACAAACACATATCACCCTTTGAAAACATTTCAAAAGGCATGCACCACAAATCCCATTCTCTTGACACCATTTTTTAATGGAACTCCCCACTACAAGGATGGATCGAAGATTCTGTGCCCCCTCGTCTCAGGTATATATATAAGACCTGAGAAATGTAAGTTAGTGAACAGGTGTAGTCAATGAATCACTAAGTAAGTGAGACCTAGGTCCAGTAGGTAGCACGTCATTTCGGTCCCGCAGCATTTTTCGGACTTAACACAAATGTGTTTCGGACTTACTTGGCAACTTTTCGGACTCGGTCTGGCGATGTTTCGGACTCAGTGAAAGTTGAAAGACTGTGTGTATATATTAGTAATAGCTGTTTTTTCTTTCGTTTTAGGTGATGCTGAAGACAGATCATTCACAATAATAAAGAAATAAAGCTGTTGTTTTGTTGTTATTACAGATTTAAACCTCCAAGACATTAAATATGATATTATGGAAAGGTTGTTTTAATTTAATTATTTACACTTAAAGGGTTGAAAATTGGTAAAAACACAAAATAAAAAAGTCCTTGTGTATCAAAAATTCACCTTAAAACACACCTATAAAATCGGTGTCATGAGAAGAGAGGGCGGATCATCTTCTCCCTTTGTCATAATTAAAAACAAGTCAAAACAAGAGGTCCAGCTGACTGATGTTTCGTGCCATCAGTGCGGATAGAAAAAAAAACTGTGGAGAAAAAGAATCTGTTTGCTTTATGTGGAAAAGCTGAGATGATGTAAGTCCAAAATGACGCAGCGGACCGAAATGACAGAATCAACCAGTAAGGGTCACGACAGGAGTGATGGCCAGTCAGTCACAAGTGTTTTAGTGGATCTGACACATATATATGGCCATATCATATATGGAATAATTTTAATTGAATCAGATTCATGTAGCCTACAATTGGCTATTGCATAGGCTATGCTTAAAGTATATTCCATTTTCAAATACATGGTCATTTTATGTGCTCTCCGTCTTTTAAAGTCTGTAACACATCCATCCATAATTCATAATATCATGTATAATGAGACTAGAAGATAAACAAAAGCAACAATAATAACAGCATAGATAGGTGATGAAACAGCCCAAGACTTAAATATGCATTATGCAAGAGCCAAATCTGCCTATTACAGGTCTTTCTTTAGGCCTGAAATGTTTTCTAAAGTATTAATTAGACATTAATTAACTGATCCGGGCCTTAATCAACTCTCGATGGCATCAGATTTCTCCGATATTAAATAGATTAAAATGGTTCAACGATGGTTCATCTACTTTCGAACTATTATAGCAAGAATGGCTAGTTCTTTATCTAAATCTTACATAATGTATCTTTAAAGTTACATTATAGGAGATTAGATAACATGTTGGCAGTTCTCACTATAATAGTTAAAAACTAGATAATGATAATGTAAGGGCAATTTGCTGAAAATTTCATTCAATTTGATCCACTATGAACCGAGAACTAAGCGGTTGAAATTTCTGCCAAGCCTCGATCATCATTAAAGTCAGTACGATAAACAGCATAGTCTCGATTATCCATTTAATTGTTAAATCGTGAAGGAAAGTTATGCAGGAAAATCGGCTCATAATCCACTAAAAATCGCAGGCTAGCATAATCATCTAGAGTTGATTATGGTCTGGTATAGGTTAATTAATGTCTAATAATTAATAATTTAGATAACATTTTAGTCCTAAAGAAAGACCTGCAAGAGACAGATTTAGCTCTTGCATAATGTATGTTTAACTAGACTTTTCGTGTGGACGAGTTTGCTTGAGGATGAGTTAAGTGGCATTCGGTAAAACGACCCACCACCACTGCTATCTTGCCGGAAAAAATGTGAAGTAAAAATACTTTTCGATAGCCTCCTCTGGACATAACTTCAGCAATACATTTAGCAGCATCATTCTTTTCCGCTACATTCAGTACTCGAACCATTGTTGGAATATTGCTGTAGAATCTGACACAAATTTTAAGCATGACATGTGATAAATAAGTACATTATTATTTTATTGACTTTCGACATCTTTTACTTTCATTTAGCGCCATTTTAGGGTGAAGGTCATTAGCCAACTTCCACTTCCGCTTATATAATAACAAACCAACATGTAAAGTTGAAACCAGCCAGAGGTCGTTCATATATTTCGGCGTAGTTTAACCACAGTATCCTACACACTGCGTTGATTATGACCAGTTTAAACCAAATAATCTTGAAAATTCCCCATAGATGTACTGCAGTTAGAGGATTTTTTTTTCGTGACAGAAGCTGTTTGAACCAGATTCAGAGGTTGGTGTTGTGGGCGATTTATTTTATATTCCTAATAGTAATAATAAATATATTCTGCTTCTTGCCATATTTTGAGTCAAGTTTTTTTAACACAAAATATAACGTTATCAGTTACTATGGTTTATAACAAGACAAGGTCAATATTTACTAAGAATTGAGAAAACAACAGGATAAATCATGAATTGGACCTTCTAATCTATTATATGACTATTGTCCATGGAATGAATTATTGATATTTTTTAGTCCTGCGACTTGTGGAATATGTCCAGCCTTGTTCTTCGAGTCCCTTGTTACAAATGGCGCTGAAACACATTATGATACATTCCAGTTTTATAACTATATAACAAAGATAGTTTCCAATAAGACAAATGTTTCACGTCAGATTTTTAACCAAAACTGTGCTTGTTTTAGACCTTGGATGCCATGGCAAAACAGGAAATGTTGTTTAATCTTACTGTAATGAATTTGGATTGATAATTCGTCGCAAACATTAAAATAGCTAAATGTCTTTGATTAAGAAATTCAAAAGTAATGTTTTCAATTTAATTGGATTTTATGTGTTGAATTTGTTTTATTTCTTGGATTTTTTGTATGTCTGTAGTAATAGTAATATAGTAGTATAGATAAAAGCTAATAATTTGATAATGTGTTCCAGAGATTGTCAAAAGAAACCTTTCGAAAAACATAAATATGATGACTAATGGTGTTTGCATGGGCGTAGGGGCTGGATGACTGTTAGGGGGGCAGAAGTCGAAATGCCCCCCAAAATTTGGGTTAGCCCCCAAACAAAATGGGAAAATTTGATGAACGCAAACGCCTGTGAATACAGTGACTTCAATGTGGTCTAAATAAGCCTAATTTTAGGTAGCTGACTCGAATTCCAATCAACCAATCAATCATTTACAGTTCACATAAATGGGTCTGTCGGGGAAAAATGCGTTTTCCTGCTATTCCAACCCTTGAATACAGCAACTTCAATGTGGTCCAATATAGCTAACATTAGGTGGCTAACCTGAATCCCAAACAAACAACCAATCGTCGCAGGGTATTGGGTCAACTCCAAAGTTGTCCTATGGTTTTGTAACACGTCACTCAATGCCGACCTGAATTCCAACCATTCAATCAGAGTGTTGCAGCTGCATTCTCAAATAATAATCGCTGCCCGAAAATGTCGCACAAAGTAGAGTGACTCCAGACAAAATGTTTTAATCCATAGTCAATTCAGTACAAATTTGTGGTATTCAAATTAAAAGAAAAGTAAAAATTGTGTTTTATGAGATTTGGGACACTTTCAACTTGGGCTTTATCTTAATAGACATGAAAATTTTCAACAATGTGTCACCACATCACACAAAACCAATCAGCATATACATCCAATGAAATTGACAGTTTTATTAATCAATTTTTAAAGTCTAAATGTTGTTCTTTATTGGAAGTAGACGCAAATCATTGACTTCTATCTAGTAATTACATTATAAACGATTTTGTAATGAAATGTATTGATCTCTCCTTTTTATATTATTTTTTTAGGGTAAGGTGGCATGTAAATAACAGACTATATTCTGCAAACCAAACAGCTAAAGATCCAATTAAATTTACCTCAAGTAAAGCTGCTACATGGTCTTCAGCTGATAGTTTTGGACCTCCTCCAAAACAAATTCCTGATATACAGGCCTATTCTGTAATTTTTAGTGTGGTTTCTCTCTTAATATACTTTGCTTTTCTTCGAGAAGAAAATGATTTGGACATTGAATTGGAATCAACTTTACTGGAAAGATTTCCAGGTTATGAGGAAGATGAATTACAGAAAGCTATTTCAGTTGGTGAAGGAAGCAAACAAGATGTATCAAAATTAAAAGCAAGATTAGCTGAAATAGAGCGGACAAGGAAATCTTAGATTGGATTCATCTCCTTGACCTATTATTGATTGGATGGATAGATTTTGAAAGTGGATGTGGAAAGAACAGCTTTATGGTCCATATTATATTAAAACACATTGTCCCACCCACACTTGTGTCAGATTTGTTCCTACATGTGTAAACATTGGAAAAGTAGTGAGAATCAAGACTTGATGTATATTAGAGCAGGTTATCCAGTTACCTGTAACTAATCTAGTACAGACTATCAAGAATTATTAACCCAGTCAGTGCAGGAAATGAAATGAGGTTTAACATCCTACTGTTGTGCTCCAACTGAGCAGTAAAGTAGGACTAAGCCCCATTTTGTTTCGAATGGAATTGAAGTGAAAAAATTTATGAAAAAAGGAAAACATTTTGGACCAAAGAATTTGATCATTTAGTTCTTCAGCAAAACTGATGTACATTATTATCAATTCAATTTATAAGATACCCAACATTGAGATACTATTTCGATCCTGCCAGGGTGAAGTGTACATGCACTGGTTCAGCATTGTATTTTACTGTAAAAATTATCACTGTCCAATGTTAGAACAATAAAAATAATTAAATATGGTTGCTTACGAAATCCCATGTGATTTGATAATTTGGTCTGTGACTTTGATAATGTGACTTTTCAGGGAATCCAGTATCTTTTCTAACAAGGTTGTGTATCACTACTTCACATCTATACTCTGACATAATGACTCATGAAATACCCTGACCCCATTGTAGTGCCGATATTCTGCCCCCAAAATATAAGACCCCTAAACCAAGATAACCACGTTTTCTTAATTTGTTTTACTTGGTACTTTTAACAAAAACTTAGTCTGTTATTGATCTGTATAAAATGGTCCACTTGGAAAAGTTTGTCGGTGCACATTATTGGGGGTACTAAGATGGCTGAAAAATCTATATTTTAATGAATTAACAGCCACCAAGCCCATTGAATTTATAAAATATCCAGTCACTAAACAATTGTGCATTTCAATGGTCACGAATTTTCAGAGGTGTGTTGAAATTCACACGTTGCCAGAATGTCAGTAATCATTCAAAATTTCACTGTCACGGAAAGTGATGCAACTTCAACTGAAATGTTCTATTACCCATGTGCCATCTGTAGGTTGATCATCCAGACACTTTTTTTATGATGTGGACAACTGACCAAGACCCACGAAGAAAATAAAATACAAATGGGTTAGCATTCATTTTATTAATTCTAAGCCAAATCAATATTCACTGATATGTGATCTTTCCAAAAAGTATAAACTCCACATACAAATTTATTAAAAAAATTCTTCAAGGATTATCTACCAAAATAAATGTATGGATGATGGCTGCCAATAGTAAATGTGCTAAAGTTGATGATGGGAGAAAACAGAATTTTATGTTGTTTCAAATGTTCACAACTACAGGCATAGGAGATCAAGTCAACAACAATACAAATGCTAATTTGAATATTATATGTATTTGACAAATGAGATGATATATTTACAGATGAGCTAAAATGATTACACAAGGACAATAACATAATACCTAAATATTTATTACTGATAGATGGTACAAATAAAAATATGACATGTTCTAATCTGTTAAAAGAGCTTGAATTGAGAGATAAGAATTGAAGGAAATAACTTAGGCTTGTTCAGTTCACGGACATATCACAAACTCTACATGTTCTGTGATGAAATAAAAAAAATGTTCACACCATCTATTATGAAATTTGTAAAATCACATTCAAAAACGATGTTTTTTGATGTTAAATGAAATATGAAATAGTCATTTTTATGCACGTTCTCCTCGAATACGTCTGGCCAACTGAATATCCTTGGGCATAATAGTAACTCTCTTGGCGTGGATAGCACACAAGTTGGTATCTTCAAAAAGTCCAACTAGGTAAGCTTCACTGGCTTCCTAAAAATACAGAAATAATAAATACATTAGTTTTTCAAACACTACATCAAATCACTTGAATTCTATTTCAATAATTTGCCTGCGCGTAGGGGTCTTTAGCAGTGGGAGGAAAACCGGATGACCCGGAGAAAACCCATGAGGTTGGAAAATCACTTGAAAGTTCAAATATTACAAATTCTATGGTCATCAACCAATAAATGACCCAAATACAATGCCATTAATTGATTCATACATTAGATTAGGAAAATACAAACCAATTAATGTATTGGCCAAAATGCACAAACAAAATCAAAATACAGTAAACTACGCACAAGTCTGATTCAATCAAAGGCACATTTCATTGTCATGTACATGCAGATAACTTCTGTTTTGTCACCATCTTTGAAAAATGTCAAATTTTCCAAGAAAAATGCCGGAATTAGATCAAATGGACCTATTCAGGAAATCTAACTTGCTCGCAGAAATTATAACATGCAGGGTCAAAACAATTTAATCAGAGTTGAACAAAGATCCGACTTGTGCGAGGTTTACTGTATGTAATATCAATTAATCATTTACCTGTAAAGCACCAATAGCTGCACTCTGAAAACGCAAGTCTGTCTTAAAATCCTGAGCAATTTCTCTAACTAAACGTTGGAAGGGTAATTTTCTGATCAGTAACTCAGTTGATTTTTGGTATCTTCGGATTTCTCTCAGAGCAACAGTACCTGGTCTGTATCTGTGAGGTTTCTTTACACCACCGGTTGATGGGGCACTTTTTCTGGCAGCTTTGGTAGCCAGCTGTTTTCTTGGAGCCTTACCTCCAGTGGATTTACGGGCGGTCTGTTTTGTACGGGCCATTGTTTTACCTAAAAAAATAATAAAAAGACTGGGATAAAATATTTAATCATTTATTAGATCTACTTTGATTAATCAATTATGAGAGACACCACTATTTTGACTATTATTTACAAGCAGATATGAAGACAACTGAGGAGTGAGGACTATTAATTATATTTATAGGGTGACTAGTTTAATTTCAGCAGATATTCAACAAAATAATTAGGCTACGACTGCATCCATTTCCTTATCCCAATGCGTACATAAGCTTACTTCATGTTATATGTAAACAATCTTTGTTCTAACCACCTAATCTGCCATTAATTTTCCGAAAAAAAAATAAACCGGATGAACTACAACTACTATAAATAATTAATCTTAACTTGATTTGGCCTAACACGTGACCTATTTGTTAGGAGAGAATGGATTTGTTTATGTTAGATCAACAAGACTATAATACTTTAAATACTTATATAACTATTAGTCCCACATCAAGAGATTTCGTAAAAATCTTGATCTTATTCTTTTATCTGAGCATCCATGTGTGACCGGGGCATAACCTGTGGTCGATCTAAAAATAGTAACATGAATAACGGTCCTTTCCATCACAATACGTGGGTTTTTACCCCATAATACTAGGAAATTATTAATCTAGGGCAACAAAATTGACAAAGAGAATTATCGAACATTGTGACCAAGACGTATTAGATCTATAATCATAAAATTGTTGTCCAATGGAAGAAGAAAACCGCGCCAACACTTTATTTTCTGATGACAAAGTGCCGTCTTAAAAACATTCAGCCGCCATTATTGATAAAACACGGCTAGAAATCGGGCATAAAAACAGCAGAGAAGGGGTAAACCATCCCGATAAGGATTTTATTTTATATTAACTAATTCATTTTATGGTTTATATCAACATAATATAAAACAAACACTCACTCTAAGTCGATCTTCTATAGTTTCTGTCAGTCTGAGGTAGAACTATTTGCAATTTGCCGCACAATTCGCAACGAACTCTGGTAATGACATGAATTTTGACTGTCTGAGGTAGTCATTGGTTGTAAGAGCCACAAAGATCAAGGCAGCGATTGGTTATTCAAGGTATGATTTTATTGGTCAGACAAATCACTGGTTGAGTAATCCGATTGGTTGAGATATTAGGCTTTTCATTGGCTTATTCTCGATCCTATTTTTCCCGAATTTGTACAGTGACTAGAGAATTGACTTGGTTGAGAAAGATTCGAATGATCACACAATGGTACATTCACTTCACTCACACTGTGTTGATTAAAAATGCAAAATCAAGATATAGGTAATTAGATCTGCAGGTATAAAAATAAAATACTTGGAAAATGGTCAAAATATAATAACACACATCGAAGGGGGAGCTGGAGGTGCCCATAGCCATATAATTATATGATAAGGTGAAAGGGATAGGTCGTAGCGGTGGAAATTGGATCAAAATGAAGACTATACTATAGTGGGGGGGGGGGGGATAGTTCCTCCCGATGCATGATCAGCTGTAATTAGTCTATTCAGTTGATTAGATTCTCATCATTTGTGGAAATGTTTAGAAAACATGCTCAGCTAGATTCAGTCGATGAGATTCTCGAGATCCTCGTTTAATAGTAATACATACTATATAGGCCTAATAATATTGTGGGAATGTTTTGACGTTATAATTATAGGCTACTTACTTGGTGGGGTGGGGCGGGGGCTCAAGCTACTAAAATTCTGTGGGTGAAATAGCTTTATTTTACGTCCGCTTCCACCGAGTGATATCGCAGACAAGCCACGTAGGCCTACTGCTGGTTAGAGCTAAATGGCAAGGTCAGCTCAATTTTTCGTCACCGGTCACGAGATGTAATTCACAGGGCTATGGCGCTAATGACCTAACCCTGGACCTAGCCCCAATGCTTCCTTAACCTATAATCTCGCCAACAATCACATGCCCTTCTTACCTTATTTTCATCTCAGCAACCTTGACAAAAATTAAGTTAGCCTTAACAAATAGATTTAGTCAGCCAACCCACCCTTCCTGGAAATACTTTAAATGCAAAATGGGATCCCTGTAACAGTAGGCTAACCTAGATCGGTAAAATGTAGCCCAACACACATCCGAAAATGTAAATAAGCCTATAACTTCTACGATTAAAACACACCATAATGCATGCAGACAAGGCAATATATGTTGTTTTTTTTGTTTTTTTTGAAATTACACTACAGGCTATAGGCCTACTAGGTCTCATCTTAATAGAATTTGTAATTTCCAGTAATGAAAAGCAGAATCAATGTTAAGTGGCGATATTAAGAAAAATCAAATCAGCTGAAACTGATATTCTAGTCTATACAAAATGTAGTTTAAAATCGATATGAATTTATATAGCGCGCGCTCTAAATTTAATCGTAAGTATTGCACAATACATATGAAATTCCAAAAATATTGTTTATATGGCATTTTTCTAGTTCGACCAGGAGCCGAACTGGACAAACATCGGACTATCATGTTACTAAAAATAATGCTTATGGAATAAGGGTGTGTTTGTTGAAGCAAATCGAAATTTTAAAAAAAAAGCGACGCGCGACGCAAAATTCGAGTAGCCCGTCGCTTTATTAATGTTCAGCTATGGAGAAAAAAAGCGACGTCGTCTTTTTAACACGACGTCGCCCTATTTATAAAGCGACGCGTCACCCTTTGCGTAAATACTGATATTCTAGCCTATACAAAATGTAGTTTAAAATCGATATGAATTTATATAGCGCGCGCTCTAAATTTAATCGTAAGTATTGCACAATACATATGAAATTCCAAAAATATTTTTTATGTGGCATATTTCTAGTTACTATCATGTTACTAAAAATAATGCTTATGGAATAAGGGTGTGTTTGTTGAAGCAAATCGAAATTTTTTTTTAAAAAAAAGCGACGCAAAATTCGTGTAGCCCGTCGCTATATTAATGTTAATAAAGAAAAAAGGCGACGTCGACTTTTTAACACGACCTCGCCCTCTTTATAAAGCGACGCGTCGACCTTTGCGTCGCGCGTTGTTTTTCAAAATTATTAATAGATTGACTTCGCTTAGGGAGACTTCGTTATTTTACATTTTTAATTTAATGTAAATACAATAATTGAAACTTTTGCCCTTGGGTGTTACATAGGCTTGTGAGAACCCTGCTCGTAGCTGACTATCGTTCCCTATATTTCATTCAATGATATATACTCTAGGTTAAAAGGGTTGCTAATATATTTCTGTAGGATATCCCCACAAATATATATTCTCGTATTAATTCTGTCTGTAAAAATGTCAAGGAATGCTCTTCCTCCGACATAGTCAATAGCCAAATATAATAGAGTTTGATGGGGTGGGGTCGGGGACTAAAATGCGCGTATTCATGTTTGTTATGTAAATGCCGTTATAAATATCATTACGACTTTATGAAAGTACAAAATATTTTAGGCCGTACAAAGTATAATAATATTTTGTGATAATATAAAATTGAAGGGTGGGTTTGTTGGAGCGAGATTGTTAAGGCAAGCAGATTCGGATACAGTACAGTCAACCACGCCCATGATGTTTATATCAATTATCCTATTTTTAGATATTTTTTTCAGTCCTGTATCAAAATATGTGAGACAAGGCATAAATTAACAAAGAAATTTAATGTTTCTAAAAATAAAGGTTATTTAACAAACAAAAAAATAAAAATAAAAATTACTGTCAATAGCTTTATTTCGATGAACGGACGGCTCGATGAACTATACTGATTTTATTGAGCGCTTTAAGCTCAATATTCTTGGTAAATAGGGAATAACTTCTGTTAATAAATGTGAATGTACATGACCAAAGGACACTTGCATACAAATATACTATCAATTTTAATATGGACAGGATAATGTAGGCCTGTATATCCGAGTAATATCAAAATATAATGGAGATTATTTGAGGTGACTTTATTCCATTCATGTTGGTAATTACGTCGTAGACTATAATGTCGTTATGTTATATAGGCTGTCTTCGGATGTTAAACCTCATTTCATTTAATTTCTTTAATGTTGCATTATATATATTTGCGATTTCTTGCTCCGCACATTGGGTAAAAATATTGCTCGAGTAATAAATGACTACGGGATACATTTGGGTGCAAAATTCGGGATTCACCATAATTGATTAAATTACGTTTCCATTGTGCAATGCCTGGGTCCAAATTTACAGCACACGTCATGGTCAATACATTCAAATCGATACGATTTCGGTTGACTGTGTTCAGTTCGCCTTATTTTAACTAAAATATAACCCTTTATAAAACTGTTGTTGTTATAATGTATTAAATACACCAATAAGAAACTATGTGCATGTTTTTGTGTTTATGGATCAAAGATGGTTCTCATAAACAATGATTGAAAGTTGAGTAAATTCTTAACTTAAAGATGGATCCGAACTGGACAAACATGCCTCACGTCATTGTGTTACTAAAAATAATGCTTATGGAATACGGGCGTGTTTGTTTGAGCGAATGGGAATTCCGTGAATATTTTAAAATAAGTGCGGCTACAAATTTTATTTCTAATTTAATTCTTCAATGAAAACTCTCCAACTTTAAAGATTGTTAAGGCAAGCAGATTCGGATACAACACAATCAACCACGTCAATGTTGTTTTACTTTACCCGCGCAAATTTCGCGGTTCATCATAAATACCATGACCTTGTAATCAGATTATCCATTCCAGACTTCGCAACTGTAAAAGTGCTCTAAATTTCCATAGATTTTTAATGCATATTTCTGATAATCCGACATGTAAATGTGGTCATATCCAAGAAGACAGCGATCACTATTTTCTCCATTGCCCCAACTATATGCAACTCAGTGTAACACAACATTAAAATACCCGCCCACTTAAATCCAAACACTCAAAAGCTTTCCTTTATGGGGATCCCAACGAAAGTATCTCGTTCAACGAAGTCATTTTTAGTCAAGTTTACAAGTATTTTAAACTAACTAAACGCTTTGAATAAATAAGAATTAGTAGGCGATGGTGAGTAATGATAAATGACGGTGATGCTGATGACTTATTTATTTATTTGTGTATGTAAATATGCAATATATACTTGTACATTATGTACATTTTAGTAATTGTATTGATATGTATAATTTACATGGAGAGGAATTTATATAAGCTTTGGCTTGTTTTCTAATCCATTACAAGAGTGATGTAAATATTCGTTATGTACTTGAATAAAAAATATTGTTTAAACCAAATGTTCCCAACCTGTTGTGCAATAGGCCTACCAGTAACTGGGTCCAAATTGTTCTGATTTTCGATTCTTTAAGATTTTTGTAAAAATGATAAAATATGAAAATAAAGATATTTGATTTTTTGGGGGTGAAAGTATATCTAATTATTATATAGCTTTAAAATTATCGATCCCAAACTTTATGGGTAAAAATTTCAAAATTGTTTTCTCATTAGTTCTGAGCAGAAATTCTTTTATCTGTGGGACTGACAATAATTAGATTTTGAAAGTGCAATAAACTGTTTACAGTAATTTGCCTCACTTTTGGGTGTCAAATGTAAGTCTATGTGAGCCTACAAAGGAAATGAAATGAGGTTTAACGTCCCATTTTTCTGCACAATGAAGACAGGTTGCCCAGACTGCGCGGCTATGGCCTACTCTTTTACGCGCATGCCAAATTGTACACTGGACTTCATTTTTTTTGTACCATTCCAATGACTAGACACTGTCCTTGGGCCTAAATAGGCATATAGGTAATAACTTTCTGGACAGATGTCTTTCTCCTACCTATATATTTTCCAACAATTTCTGGAATCAAGTGTTTGTTGCTTGTCCAAATATTGCATGGAGTACTTCACTCCTTGAGAACACATTATTCAAATAAAAACAAACACAGAATGTAATGATGATCTTTTTTTTTGTCAAGGTTTTTTGTATTTTAAAAGAGTGTAGGAATTGACAAAACCCAGTTTAGTCATCCAATTTGTACATTTTTACTTTTATGTTTTTATTTTATCACAAATAGTAAGTAAGACTGTACTACACTACAATACAGTACACAGTAATTCACTTTACGTATATACATTTAAATACATCCCATAACAACACCTTGTTATCTACTATCCATTGTATTGTTCTTTAACAAAGTCCCCCAAAATTAAGAAAAAAACTATTGTCTTAACTACACCCAGAAAAAACACCCAATTTGAAATCTTTTAATTACATGTATAAAACTAGATTATATAATAATAACCTAAGGGGTTTTCAAAGAACAAAGGGTGTACTGTTTTAATGTCTACTTCAGGGGTGATGAAATGTACATTGTATATTAATCTTACTTCTAAAGAACTTTTAGAAAATGACTAGCACTTAATACTGATGACAAATCTGATTGGTTAAATGGCTAAAGCTTTTGTTTGTTGGACATCCTTGGTTCATTTCATTTAGTAATGTTTAAAGAACTAGGAAGAACTTTTTAAATATTGGAAAATGAAAAACAAAATTCTACAAAACATCCTATTTAAGCTGTAACCAAAATAAATTAGATTTGAACTCTATTTTAATGTATACACAAATACAGATCTCACAAAATGTAGAGGCAGACGAAATAGCAAAAGGTTAAAATAGAAATAACAGAGTGATTGAGGCATAGACGTGGGGGAAAAAAAAGAAGAATGGACAGGAATAAAGTTTCTTGAAGAATAATTATATGACCAGCATATACATATAGAACATAGATATATAATATGTACAGATTATAAGATTGGCAAGTAAATATAAAAATATTGTTGAATGGTCAAAGGTGAAATCAAGCATTAGGCCATACCAATTTGAATTTCTGTTTTGGGAACACCTATTAACAATTTTGCTTCCTATTTCTTGGGGTAAAAAAATCATTTAAAAACCAAAAGAACTCATTTAGATCCAAAAATTTGAGTGTTGAAATTTTAACAAAAAATTGGATACGCATCTCAAATGGCTATTTATTGATCAAGTCCCAAAGAACTAAAATTAAATTGGTTTGGCCTGACTAATAGTTACTTGAAGATTGATAGAACAATGTTTTTAGTAATTTCAGACAGCTTCAAACTGTGCACATCTAGTTGTTTGTTATTCAAACTAGACTGGAGTTCCAAGACTGTAGATGTCTAAAACACCTGTTAACAATTAGCACTGTGGACAGTTTATCACCCAATCCTACTGATTAAATTTTCAATTGACAAACAATCCCTTTATGATAAATTCAATACTTGTTAATTTTATTATCCATGTTGGGCTTTAAATAAATAAAATCCTCTGTGTGTTTCTCAACAATAATAATAGACATTTTTGATAATAAAAGATATTAGCAATTTTGTTACACTTGTTCACAGAGTCTGACTCATAGTAAATGAAGCCTATACTTGTGTAATTATAAATTTTACTAGCGCTTATAATTTTACATAAAATGGTAGTTTGGAAGCTAATATAATGGGATTTTCCTATATTCTTGGAGGTTCGATACAAATTAGCGACTGGTATAATTTTAAATTATTGAAATACTATAGCACACTCTGTATACTTTTTCAATATATTTATCTGTGTATGGACAAAACATAAGTAAATACATTTTAAATTCCTTTTCCACTTCCTTGAAATTTTCCAAAACCCTTCTCTTTAGATTTACAAAATGAAATAAGCTTGTCAAAACCTGCCTTATTTAGACATCCCAACTGACAAGCTTGTTTCATTGCCAATCTTCAGTAACTCAAAGAGCACAGATAAATGGAAAATATTTTGCAGTGTTCAATATGGTGTCTAGAATATGTTCAGTATTTTCTAGCTGCACCGGGTCTACAAAATATACACAAGAACACTGGTAAGACTTTTTTTTTAATCAAAACATTAATAAACTAAAGAAAGGCCCATTTCTAGTTAAATATCACACACAAAAGGTTTGCTACAGGTATATAAATCTTATAATAATAATAATAAAAAGAATCCAATGACGTCATATTCAGTTTTGGAAAACTAACGGGCACCAAAACCTATAAAACATATTCAATATCCAATTCAAAATATGTGTTTTTCAACAAAATATTAAAATCGTCCTGTATGAATGTAAAGACTGGTGTAATTAAGAAATTGGATTCTACAAAAACCTTATGAAGAACGGGATGGCTTGCTGAATTATTATTGCACAAACTTTATTTGTCTAAAACAAAAAGATTGCAAGTTAAAATCATTGAAAACCAATGTAAACTTTAAATGGTAATAATTTAAGTTGAAAGTGATGTTAGACCATTTAAGATCAATCTTGGTAATTGCAACATTTTTAGATGATTTAATCTAGAAATGGGCTTTCATTAAAATAGTCTTTAAGCTTTAACTAGGATATAGACTGATAAATTAAAACGTGCTAATTCACACAATTTTGAACCGCTTTCTTACAAAATGTTTATGTAAATGTCTGAAAGTACTAACTAAATCATTAATTAGATCTGAATAAATAGGCATTAACTAGTGAACTAAACTTATATACACATGCAATTAATGTCTAGAAGACTGAAAAACAAGACACTAAAAATATTTTCCTATTTTCTGAAAAAAAACTTTAAGAACGTGAACTTCGAAAAACAATTGCCTCTTGTTAATATACTAACTCTGTGTGCTTGCTAGCAAAACCCCTAAAATACTTCTCAGAAGGGTAGGATTTAGGTGGGTCAGACAATTCCTTCATATGTTTTATTTCCAATAGAAGTATAATGAATTTCAAAACTTATTTTATGATTTAAACGATATATGGTCACAGTGCTATTATAATGAGAGACAATAGGTTTCTAATAATGTTAAAGACTAAGATAAAGAAACTTGTATAGTATTCAATTCAGTGAGTATTAGCACAATTTATAATATAAGAATTTTGTCTAAAATGTTGCCTCATTTCAGAGTGTTAACAATAACATCTTAAATAACTTAATATAAAATTACCGGTAATTATTGTATTCAGAATTCAGCCAAAATTTTTGTCAACTTATTTCATTGAATAATAAATTAAACATCAATAGCACTTGGCTCTATATTATATATGACAGCAGAATGAAATGATAATGTGTAATATATTCATCACAAATTTTGACAAAAATAACTTACTGATTTCTTCCAGTAATAACATTAACAAAAAAGAAAAGAAAAAAATTACCATCTTAATTTTCTTCATAAACGAATGAAAAATTTCCAATATACTAGCATTTTGTAAGTTTTAACAAAAGCGATGGTGAAAATAGCACTCTGAAAATGGGTAAATACTACCTTGAAAAAAATTAATTTCTTAATTAATAATAAAATATAGTAATTCTAATTTATTTAATAATTGCTAAGTAGATGAACTAAACAAATTCTTCATTAGCAATTAAAGTTAACCGATGCTGTCTGTATTTTCACTTGACAAAAAGGACATTCTCGTGTTCTCTGTGCACACGTTTCACACATTACACGATGATTACAGGGTAATACAGCTATTGTTCTATTTTTTTCTTGACACACTAAGCACTTTGATGATGTATGGTGGCTTATAATCTGAAAAAAAAAAAAAAAATAAGTTTAATAATAGTTATACTTGTTCTCTTTTCAAATGGGGGAGAGAGAGAAATGGGGTTTAACTTAACCTTTAAGGTCCACTTGAGACAAATAGGTCATTTCGGCACTAACATGGTTCACTTTTATTTCAATAATTCCATTGCACGTAGCGGTTTTTGGCTGTGGGATGAAACCGGAGGACCTGGAGAGAAAACCCACCCGGTTGTGGACCCTCGACCCTACTTCTTGTCACGTACAAGCTGAGAATCAAAACCTTGCCACTTGACTCAATGACAGACCTCGTGATCTTATGCACATGCGTTTAACGATTCGGCCAAACAACACCTCCTCTTCAAATGGACTTATTCGCAACAACCAATCGTCAATGATTCTATTGTCTTTATTAAGAAAATATTCTGATAATTTCATTATCAAAGTATTTTTCTAGAAATATCCAGCGTTTAAAGTCGTGGAAAACAACTATCATTTGTCATGCATTTGTCGACTTTTTGTCACATCTGAATGATTAGATATTGGTCTTTGCCAGACCTTCCATCCTGCCCAACTGACAAGGGGAAATCACACAAAACTACAGTCCCTGGCTGCCCAAAACTACTGCTCTATTTAGCACCTGACTGCCTAAAACCACTGCCCCCTTTTAGCAACTGACTGCTCAAAACTACTGCTCCCTTTAGCACCTGACTGCCCGAGTCATGTGAATAGCTATGAATTATTTAAGGACCGTAAGGGAGCAGCAGTATTTAGCAGTTTTGAAAATGGACTACAGACTCGATGTAAAAAAGATCACTTCTCTCTAATTTTTTCAGAGAACTTTGTTAGTTAATATTAAGTGCTAGATGTTTAACAAAAGCCCAGATAATAGTATGAAATGTTGCGTAAATGTTTTAATAGTCAACAGTTATCATACCTTATCTACACGTTCTAAATCTAGTTGTAATTGCTGTCGTATCTGACGTAATTGGGCTACATTAGATAATGTATCTATTTCACTAGATTTAGATAAACATCTAAAATATGGTCCACCTTTAACTCTGTCTATTTCTTGTTTTAACCTCTGAGCTTGTATAACAGCCTAAAAACACAGAAAACAATTTGTTGATTAATATTGATTTCAAACGACTTTATCAAACTTGGAGAAATTCTTATAAATTTAAGGATGTGCGGTATGAAGTATAACATCAAATCACTCTCTATATTCTGAACTTGACAGTCATTATAAAACATCTTAATTTAATAAACATTATCCTTAGCCGTCGAAGATAATAAGCAGAAATGGTTGATAGAATTCTCCAATGGGATCAAGGGAGTTAACTCCTGATCAGAAATTACTGACGATTCTTCAATATGATCAAGAGCATTAACTCTTGCTGCAGAAAATACTAAAATTTGTTAGAGAGAAATGTGGTTTAAAGTCCACTTGACACTAAGACGGTTATTTCAGGAACAACATAAGGTTCAATTTTATTTCAATGATTTGCTTGTGCGTAGTAGAGGTCTTTAGCAGTATGAGGAAACCCGAGGACCTGGAGAAATCACACAAGGTTGTACAGACCCTACTCCTTGTCCAACCCCCCGAAACTGCATTGGCTATAAAGTCTTGCAGACATTACAAATGCATATTATAACTTATTTACATTTTTTCTACTTACTTCATCTCTTTGTTTAATAGCATATAATTTATCTTCTTCTGCCTGTTTCGTTTTTGCATGTGACTCCTCTGCAGCTTTTTTCCATGCATCACATGCCTGCAATAAAAAAAATAAAATGTCAAAGCTGAAAACAATAATGGCCTTCATTAGAGTGGGAGCTGCTATCAATAAGAAAGAAATATGTTGCCAGCAAATGAAACATTGTTATTTGGATACACGTAACAGACTTATTAATGGCCACTATTGGAAACAATGGAAATGGAAGTGACCAAGACAGAAAGAATGTCCCACACTTCACAGTGTGACATCATTGAGGCAACTTGACTCAAGTTACTTTATGCTAACAGTGAGGCTAGGTCCCCCACTGCAATCCCAAAATAAATAGATGACACATATTAATTAATTGCACATTTATCTTATTGAAAGGTATCAAGCAATCAAACTGATTATCTATACTTAGTCCAAGGCTGGGGACATTAATTACGGGTATATACATGTAGATCCTATTTTACATACATCCACAATCCCTGAAGATTGATGCATTGTGAATCTTGAGGTAGCATTTACATAGATAGGTTACTTGACAATGAAACAAGAATGCAATTATGACCATCAGAAATAATTAGATACTGTAGTAAAGCATAAAAACTTTGCGTGAAAATACAAGTGATGATGACTGTTCAAGTTTGAAGATATCAATTAGCAATTATCGGAAATAATTAGATACTGTAAAGCAGCAAAATACCAGTGATGACAACTGTTCACAATAATCATGTAATGCTTAAATAACAAAATCTTTATACTTTAAAACATCACAAATTTCTAGTGACGCAGAAGATGACACCTGTTCCTAAAATATTCACAAATTTCTACCAAGTGAGCCAGGAAAAAACTGGTCACATTATTTCTATTAATTACGTCTTTCTTGTAAATATTTTTTTCATTTTGTTGAGTTAAGTCTGTACCATTACAGTGCAGTGGACGCTTTTTGTTAGTGTGTTTTGTCCACAGGTTTGCTCTTGCACTGACTAATATTTAGCAGTAATCAACAACAAAAAAATTGCTAAAAATTCCAATTTTCTGAATGATGTACATGTATATGGCCAAACCGTTCTAATCTACTTAAAATCAGAGCCATCCAATGGCATCAAGATTATGGTCTTGTCATGTTAATAAATGTCTAATCAATAATTTACAATATCATTTAAGGCCCAGGGGGTCACGGTGGCTAAGTGGGTAAGACGCTGGCTTGCTAGCCTGGAGGTCAGATGTTCGATCCCTGCATTGGCCGAGAAAGTTCATCCAGATTTTCCGGTGTGGTTCCCCCTTGTCAGTGATGCAGGACGGAGGGCCCGACAAGGACAGCTGTCTAGTCGTTCAGATGGGACTAAAAACCGAGGTGCCATGTACACATTGGCATGCACGTAAAAGATCCCTTGACAGTTGGGATTCTATATAAGAGTATGCCTGATTAGTCCAGTTTGGAGCAGAACAGTAGGACATTAAACCACATTCCATTTCATTTCAATTTAAGGCCGAAAGAAAGATCAACCCCATTCCATTTCATTTCATTTTAAGGCCGAAAGAAAGATCTACAATTGGCATATTTAGCTTTTACATAATGCCTGTTTAAGTATACAGGTAGAATGGTATATTTACACAAATCATTTAAGACAGGAAATGAGGTTTGATACCATATAATATATCTGGACATACATAAAGCATGTGCACCTCAATATGTGCATCTGCTATGTGGTGCAGATTATTAAAATAAATTAGCCTGTAGCTAAGGCCAATGTCATTAAATGCACAGTGCCTTGTTTTAGCTCGATATCTAACTACGTGTATTTCAATATCACAGATTGTTTGGTCAAATGCCTGAAAATATGCCTCATTATGTCAGAAATATTGAGCCTTAAATCAGAATGGGAAATATAACATCTTCTTCCAAGATATATTTTAAACATATAGGGAAATACTGAAATACATCAAGATCTCGGGTGTGAAGAAAATAGCATGGTAGGATTGACAGAAATCGGTTTAACATCTACTCAACACAAAACCCCCTCAGAACTACAGGAGGGTAACCTGACATAAACTGTATCATTCTTTGCTTGATAAAGAGGGGAGAACCCTTGTCGAAATGTCACCAGAAATAAATATTTTAAGTAACTTGTATTCCATATAATTGTGTCATGTGTTACTCTCATTGAGTTTGTAAATGCCACTTTAAACAATGTATCCAACTAAGCAGAGTTATCATTGTCAGCATCTGAGAACAGGGTAAGGCTTATCGTCATGTTTCTGGCGAACTGACGAACTGATATATTCAAGTATATATTTAAGAAGTATGCGTTTGAAATTCGCGTTCCGTTGTTATCTCTGTAGCCATCAAATAATAACATTTATGTAAATGACGTTCGGTGTCCTGATGTATATGTATGAAATATTAAATCACAAATGAATGTTATTATTATTTGATGTCCACAGATATAACAACAGAACGCAAATTTCAAACACATAATTCTTAATACTTAAATATATCAGATTCATCCGTTCGCCAGAAAAGCGACGTTATGTCTATGCCTCCCCTCTGGTGCACTTGATCATTAAAATTGAATGAAATACTCACTGTTCTATATACACCTTCTAAATCTTTAGTTTTAGAATCTTTTATCCTTAACATTTCTCCACCATGATTATTATTCGTATATCCATAATTCATAGGGGATTGAGGTCCTGTACTACGAGGTGACATAGAGTTCATTTCACTATAAGAATTGGGATATTTACTACTACTAGGATGTCCAAGAAATGGACTTGATAACTGAAATTAAAAAGAAAACAACACTTATAAAGATTCTTAACTCTTAATTGACTCATAAGCATAACATTACCCATATCAACAAAAGTCAACATTACGATGAGCCGAATGTAGCGGCTCGTGCGTAATGAGAGTTACTTCCCTTACCATTTTTTTAACGTGATAGAAGTAATTAATAAATTAATTTTGATATGCTTATTCTGATATTTATGAAAATGGAATTATCGGTACATGTTGTGACAATACCAGTATATGGAAATCACAATTATATACATGAATTTGATAGGAAGTATCTAAATTAGAGCACTTCAATAGTAATTTGTGACATACAATTCATATTTATGAAAATGGCACCATATATAGGAATATATCACTATATATGAAAACATAACAATAAAGAAGTATATTTACTTGTTCATCTTTCTGTAATTGATGTAAAGGTACCATTGAATGTGCGAAACTACCAAACGGTGACGGGGGAGACTGGGAGAGACTGCCTACACTACCTCTTTGCTGTACTTTATTAGGAGGAATACCTATAGGTCCTGATATTGATGACGAACCGAGACAACCTGATGCTGATAGTCCACAACTTATAGAACTACTCACAGAATTATTATCATTGTCAAATTCAAAATCATCCAAGCTAATATCATCTAAAGCTTTACCTAAAAATAAGAAGAACACAACAATAAAATATTTGAAGAATAAAGATAACAAGTAGTTGCCATGCAAAACATGCCCACAGTTTGCAAGAGATGGATAGAGAAGAAGCTAAAAAAGCTATTTTTCCTATTTTTCGGAGATCTCTGGGATATAAACAAATTTTTAAAGTTTCATCAAAAGTGGATAAAAATTGTGACCTAATCCAGGGAGTTACGGTCGGATAAGTGCCAATTGGATATTAACTTTAGCCTCTAGAGCATCAACAAGATATTTCAAAGAGATCAAGGGCCATAACTCTGGCAGTAACTATCAGAAATTGCTGAAAAACACTAGGATTCTTCGTCTCATGACCTTAAACACTTTGTATAGAAGTCAAACGGATATTAACTTTAGCATCTAGAGCGTCCACAAGATTTTTCAAAGTGATCATGGGTAATTATCTGAAATCGCTGCAAATCAATAAGATTCTTCGTCTCATGATCTTAAACACTGTGTATAAATTTAAAGTCAATCAGATATTAACTTTAGCCTCTAGCAATTGTGGATGCGGGACGGACCGACGAGCGGGGACGATGAAAAAATATGACCACATTTCAATGTGGGCGTATAAAAATCAATAAGAATTGTGACCCCTCAAGTGTCCACAATCTAAAAGCGTTATTTTTTTCGTACAATCAGGGGTCATAATCAATGAAGTTACGGTCTCATATATACCAATATCGAAAGGAACCAAGATCTTTAAGATATAAACCTATACTTCAAGTAAGCTCTCCAGCCAGTCAATTTCACTGTCAGTCAGTCAAGACTGACACAAGCGCCCTAGACTCGCCCTGAACATCAAATGGAAGTTATGCTAGTTAATCATGCTTTTTAACAACACCCAAAGTTTGCTTATTACAAATTAATTCATCTGGACAACTTCAAAAACATAAAATCAGGAAATGTATGACAAGGGGCCTTTTTCATGAAATCCTAAACTGAAATATTTTAAGAATGCGGTCTCTTCATTAGATAAAATTTGTATTACCAGGTAGGATTTTTACTCTCAGACAACGAAAATACTGAATTCTTAAACTGTTCTATAGGTGTATTTTATGATCACATTAATAGGTTTTGGAAAAATAATGGTATTTTCTGTAATTTTCTGTTTCAAATGCCAGATTCCACGTTTTTATTGGAAAATCGTCACCATTGGTTCTAGTTCAAAGTTTTCATGAATAAAGTCAACCATATAGTATTATAATAACTCACCAATAACTGATTCAACTGTATCACCTGGGGGATAAAATGCTGGAGCTAGAGCAGACATCAAAGAACCTGTTGCTACTGTTCCTGTCTGACTACATGTAACTGATGACGTATTAAAGGCACTTGGTACAGTATTACTCACATTCATATTATGTAATAGTATCAAATTTTGTTTCCGTTTATTTTTTTCATTAGCATCTATTGATAGATCACTATCTATAGCTTGAAGCTGTTTCCGTAATAATCCCTGATAAACAATATATAAAAAATAATCATTAATAACACAGAAAATATTATTGAGAGTTGTCAAATAATCAAATACTCTTTTTAAACATCTAATCCAAATCATCTTGGACATCGCATTTCATATAACTTACTGTCAGTTTTCCAAGCTGTTAAAAATCGCAGGCCATGACCAACTCTGCCAGTGGGTTTGCTTTGAAAAAATTATCTTAAGTCGCCATCAAAAAAACATGGGAATGTTTCTTTTGTAGGTAATAGGAGCATTTAAAAGTCACTATAAACTGATCGAGGGCAACAACCAATGAAGTAATGATCAGAAATAGTTCAAATTCAATAATCTTCTAGTTCTTGCTGGCGCTAACATAAACAAGACGTACTGAAATTCAACTAATAACTTTAGCTGTTCTGAGTTACCGAAAAAAAATTAAAATTAATAAGCTTTTTCATCTCAAGAACAGAAATAATGTTTATAAATTTCAAGTCAATCAGATGATAACTTAGAGGTATTGCAAACATCTGGTTTTGCATTAAACAGATAGAAAGAATGTCGGGCGCAAAATTCATATCAAAAACTGCAAAAACTATACTTTAAAATGACCAAAGCAATTTTCATTACAATAGCGCAGCAGTTGATGGATAAAATCTAACCTGATAGTCATCCCGTTCACTGCCTGGTGCTTTTAAATATTGTGTCCATGGCATACCAACATCTGAACTAATACTGCTTGAAACACTACTAGATCGACCTTTACCTATAGGTTCTGGTAACGGACTACTATTCGAATGATTTATACCTATATAATTATTACCATTACCTAAACTCTGAAAGAGATAGAAAGAAATTGTGTTTAATGTCATTTAGCTGTGGGGCACGCAAAATAGTCCTACAATACGGAAATCTCTTCAGTTTGAGGCTGTCTAAGAAACAGCAGTTTCAGACTGTTTTTGTCTGTTCATGGATGTACCACTTTTCTTTAATTTTCTTCAAGGAACTGGGGTAGTCAATATTTACATGTACCAAGACATACTAAAGGTTTAATGATAAAATGAAATGTTGAATTTGATCAGATATTATGTCCTAAATGTATTCCATACATTTCTAAACAATAACAAATTTAATAATTTTGTAAGGTGGAATCGAGATATAATTTTTTTTTTGCTTCTTCATATACATGTAACATTAGATAAATGGTACATGTATTAACACTTGACATTTTTACCAAATCAAAGTGGTTATTTTTCTAGTTACATCTTTCGTAGTTCAATAGATTCAATGTAATTTTTTATTTATTTAAAAAAAAAAACCAAGACAAAAAAATAGATTTGAAATTGTGTAAAGTTAACTATATGTGGTATTGTATATTAGGCCATACAGAAAAATTATATTCTGGTTCTCTGACAATTCATCAAAAAAATCTGATGCGGAAGAGAAGTTATAATTTTTAATTGATGACAATGGGTCAGTTTTGGGGTGCCATTTTGATTGCCAATAACATCTATCAGGATTGTGTACTTGATAATTGAGCCTACTAGTCACTTTCCAATACGACCAGAAATGTTTAATAACATTACCTCTCTTTACCAAAGGAAATATGAACTTGCAGTAATCAACAACAATGTTTCTATACGACCATATTTATGAGACACAGCACTACCTGAGAAACAGATTTTAATATTAAATATGGCCTTACTATGATACTTACTGAACTAGTACTATTTGTCCTTTCTTTACCTATAGGATCAGGTAACCTTACATTACTACTTATCACATGTTTACCATTCTGATCTGTATATAACTGAAATCAAATCAAATGTGGTTAAATTTACTGTACAAACCAGACTCATGATGTCAGGAGATCCTGAGCTTGTTGCCATGGTGTACAAATACCTATCGTCTTGCAGTGTGCTATGGGGGAACTTGTGTCTGAACAGCAGCACTAAGGCCTACTCTTATTTTCATTTCCAGTCTGATATACACATGACCTTGCTTTTTCATACAATCTAAACTATTAGCTGATTTTCCTTTTCAGACCCTTCCTTCTACAACACTGACACAGGAAAAAAAAGCCTGAAGCTCTTTCTCTGCCAGTACTGAGCAGATTGAACCTCCTGGTTAGTGAGCCAGTGCCATACTAACCCGGCCACTTTCGGTTCCCTGTATATAACTACAATAATATTCACATTGCTGATATTGTCTGCCAGATCTCTGTATGGTGATGGAAGACATTAACGTATTTCACACATTGTTACAACTATAAATTATATAAATAATAAATCTTAAAGGGTAATTGGGTACAGCAATAGCAATATAGTACCAGACTTCAAACTAACTTTACACTGGACACAATCATATATATTGTAAATAGTGTTTATTTCTGTTTAATACCCCTACAAAATAAGTAAAAATATTTACAGAGAATTGTGTCCATAGATATCAAAGGTCAATTTGATAGTATTACCTTTTTTGCATTGAGCTTGCTTTCACCATTATCAGAGCCACTACCCGAGTTAGGCAAGGCATTAGTTAGAAATGCTGCTAAAGAATTATCACTAGAAGGGGCTACATCCCTTTCAGATGTCATTTCCTCTGTAATCGAAACAATATCTTAGAATTAGATATATATTTACGAAAATGAAATGAAATTGGGTTTAACCTCCCACTGGTCTGAAGATGGGAGTTACCAATGAGGGAAATTTTGATTAGACAGCGATGCTACTGCCTACTCTTATTACAAATTCCAACTGTTAAGGGTTCTTTTACATGCACGACAATGTGTACACAGGACCTTAGTTTATTGTCACATCCAAATAACAATGTGGTGTCCCTTGAAAGGCCTTCACTCCTCCACAAATGACAAAGGGGAACCACACCACAGAATGACAAGACAAATATATTTAAGAGAAATAGACCTCCTAACTGACATCATCCAAATATTGATCATTTTCAACTATGAATTCTGAATTCATACCATTGTGGGTTTTTTTCTAGATTCCAATATTTTGAGTGCAACAAATTACATTGACACAAAAATGCCCAAATAACAAGAGTTCTTCCCCTTTATGAAGAGAAAATGTTGAGAAAGTATTTAATGTGTATTGCTGACAGATTCTTCAGTAGTTCAATTAACATAAATAGAAGAAAAACTTACGTTCTACATGAGCAAATGCACAAAATGGCCCCCTCGGACAATAACCACTCTGAACCATATCATTACATTTAGTTGATTTATATATCTGCAATTAAAAGAAAGGTATAAACGAAGAATAATATTAATTAAAAAGAAAGACATTTCCATACATCTGTATCAGCTGCAGATTATTACAAGTCTAAATTAAAATTAAGAAAAAGTTGCCGGACACCAAAATAATGTAATATAAGCAGTTCAAGCAGTCCATCAAAGTGTTACAAATGGAGAGTAACTCCAGACCTAAAAGTGTCAACAATGTTTTTCAAAACAATCAAGGGAACTACCTTTGGAAATAGTAATCATAAATTGTTAACTGTGTTCACAGTGATCAGTTTATTTTAAGTAGAATCTTATCAACCATGTATTTTACTTACTTCTGTATGAAATTGTTGTTCAGTTCTAGTATGACAATATGCACAGTTATCATTATTTTCACATAAAGACGGATCTCCCCACTCATCACCATGTTTAACATTCGGACAAGGAGTAGACCTATAACATAACGAAATTGATCATCTTGTAATTAATTACTGCTAGGATGAGTCACAATGTTCTAGCAGCATGTAATAAATAGAAAGGAATGTAAACGTCAAATAACCACATTTAGCTTTCAAGGGTAATAATTGATATATTGTTAGCCTATTATAATTTGTCTTTTGTGAAGAGTACTTAGTGTGATCTAAAAATTATACATTTAACTTTTAATTTGATATTACATATGGCTTAGTGCCGTCAGGTCACTAACCAGGAGGTCCTAGGTTCGATCATAGTGCAAGCTGAGAAACATGCTCAGTGTTTTCCAGTCTGCTCTCCTCTTGTCACAGGCGTAGCACGGAGGGTCTGGCAAGGAAAAGTATCTAGTCAGTCAGATAGTATGAAAAAATGAGGTATACCCTTGCCTAGTGGCATGTAAAAGATCCCCCAACAGTTGGAAATATGCCTGTCATTATCAAACCAAATGGTACAGAAACGTAAAACGTCTGGTGAGCAGATTTGCTCTGGACAACAACACATACATGTAACATTACGTAACAGATTGTCCAATACACACTTCAACTTCTTTCATATAATCATCTGTTAAAATGATAATAAATAATTACTGTACCTATATTTATTATTTTTAGGAGATCTACGCCTATCTCTCGTATTATGATACTGCGGACATGCATAGCCCTGTCGACATAATCTTGGTGGCCTTTTACATGGTTCAGTTTTATAATAATGTAATACATAATTTGTATCTGAAAAAGAAAAGAAATCTATCTTTTAATTGAAAATAGCTGCATAAATTCCACTTGTTAAATGTATGACATTAAACTTTTTTGAAAGTAACAGATTTGTATTTTTGTGAAAGGTCAACCCACACATTCACACTACTAACAATCTAGGTAAAATCTCATAATGTTTCCTGTACATGGATATTGGGGTTATTGTACCAACGAAAACATTTAAGGAGATTTATTGTTCCTACATAATTTTTCGGATTTTACTGCTGAATAATATCTGGCATTATACACACACTATTGATATGGCATGGTGCTTATAAAAGGCTCTCCTAAGAAATTTTAGCTATAGCTCTCCTTTTATTTCAAGCACTACACAGACTTTTATGTAATTGGTGATGTGATAGTCTGGTTAACTCAGTCTTCTATATCTTAGACTGGTATGCATAAAAATTGATAATTAACTAGACATTCACACAATTAACCAGTCTATGTTCAATAGCTCAGACAGAATTCAACTAGCAAATGAGGGTACCGGTAAATTCAATTGTAAATTTACTAACGTTACAATGCACACACAAACTCTGAAGAGGCAATAGCCGTATGCTATCACTGCAGAAATTCCAATGAGTGCTCTTCTCTTTTCAAATATATATAATACAGAAAGATGTCACATTTAATAACATTAACCATAAAAGCATTTTTATACATGTTTATGAGTGAAACCCGTGAGATGGGACATTTTCACCACATTGTGTGACTTCTGATTGTCAATACAAGATGAATCAGTCTATTTGAAATAATTACACATGACAACATGCGGAGTTTATTCAATAGTAAAGGTCAATTTATCTATTTAAAAGTTATGATAATCATATTCTAGAAGTTCAGATAACTTATTTTAAGTTGTCACAAAACAAAACATACAACCAAAATTTCAATAAGTTTGAATTTTTTTTTTTACCATGTTTCAATGTGGGAGTATAAAAATGTAAACTTTGATTACAGTTATGATAAGGGCAATAACTCAAATTTATATTTTCTGAAAAGCAATTCTGAATCTCTGATACTGTTTATCCATACATGTGTAACTGCTAGTATACTGGCAGTCAACCGAAACAATCCCAAAAAGAGTTCACCATAAAAATCTGAATTCTATGATCCAAAGAGCTACCGTACATATACATGTACCGTACATGTATTTTACAAGGTTTCGTGAAATAATAGATATGTGACTCTGATAGTAGGAGGGTTCATGACTTTTAATCTTTGTAAGTTAATGAATATTCCACATCCATACTGAAAATCAAAAGGCTATGTCTATGACTTGAACACCGGTTTGTTTACATTCATTCATAAGAAATTTAGAAGAAAATTATGGATGTTACAAGGGATGATCTTTTTATTCGTGGGTATGAATATTTTATTGTAGTAGCAACCGAAAATAACACAAAATCTAGTGGTGTGTGTTTTAAAATTGTTAATTGCTCAGATTGTTCATACATGACAGTAGGCACATCAGCACTAATTTAACACAATAAAATATGTTGTTGTCGTTGTTTATTACAATTTCAACCTCTATTACATTATACACGATATTATGGACTGGTTGATTTAATTAAGATTATTTACATTTGAAGAAGGCACAAAAAAAGGTAAAACCATCAAAATCTCACAGTGTTCAAATTTACTGTCCTGAGAAGAGTGGGCTGGTCATCTAAATTAAGTTTTATCCAATAAATATACATAGTTGTTTATTTACATGTAGGTGCCTTCAATTATCTATATAAACATGCTGATTGGTGCATCAATTTAGTAATCAATATTATAATTGGATTATTAATGTCTATTCAACTATCTCAAACTTGTGTTTATACACAGGACGCATTCCTATGGGATACAATTACTGATTATTACAGTAAAATTTGGACTTGGCTTCTACTGTCTTTATCAAGCAAAGATACTGTTTATTTAAACTTGACAGCTACATAATAACTTCAATTTCTTTATTTGCACATTACGTCCATTAAGGAATCCAAATTTGGGATAATAATTGATAACATGAAGTGTAATTTCTTTTCTTCTTTTCTGAAACTATTTTCCATTGTGAGGCAATATAAATGAAACCTCTTTTTAACCAAGCCTACCATAATGTTACATTTATGTTGATTGGTTTAACAATATTTCTTTATTTCAAATATTACATCATATTTGCACAATAGTACAAGAGGATTTGACAACAAGCTGAAGGTTATGCTGAATTGTTTCCTGCTGCCTAAAGTAGAATAAATAAGTAATATTTACCCAAATTAAAGGAGCTAAATCGCTAATATTTGGGACCTAGAAATTGACACAAGTGGGTCGCAACTCATATAATACTGTAATATGAATGTATATAAACTGATTTACATTCAACCGTTTCCGTTTTTACTCTAATTTCAAATCAGTTACTGTATGTTCCATGAAATAAGCCAGCAGTGTCAATCAAGTGCAAATTCCTAGCGTCTGGTTATTCCAGTCTACATACGCCGTTTAGTTTGCTGCAATATGTCTAGCCTCGTTCCTCTAGTCTCTTGCTAGAACTGGGGCTGAAATGCATTATGGTACACGATTTGTGTACCAATGGTAAAATATTTATTTTGTCTTAAATATTGGATATCAGAAGCCCACCATTTTCCGGTAAGATCACAGCATCAATGTTGTTTTAAATTGACAAATAATTCGTGTTTTAAATGTTGAAGATTTTGGATGATACTGAGTTAGAGACTTAGCTCCTTTAAGGAAGAAATACATGTTCCTTTCCAAAAGGAAGAAACAGTTTGGCTTGAAAGTTTCAGGTTGTAGGGCGTTGGTAAAAATAAGTTTGTAACTTAAGTAACCTAAATATCAAAACTTGATATAAACTTTTCTGATTGAGAAAATCATACATTTAAGTAACTTACCATTCCATTTAGGATCTTCAGCTAAAATTTGTTCCTTTTCTAAGCTACTAGGTGAACTTGAGAGGGTTGTAACTTTTTCTAGGTCTATTTGATCAACAGTTTTAAGTTCATGTATATCATATACTGGCGGGCGTAAATCGGCTGCACCGTGTGCAAATGCACAATGTGGTCCATTTTTAGCACAATGTCCTCTAGGATCAGTTTCATATACACAGGTACCAGTTTTATAGTATCGTAAATGATATCTTCTTTCTGTATCACCTGCTGTCCTATGTAGATATGGACAACTAAAAAACAAAACACAACCAAGAGTAAAAGAAAAGAAAATGGTCAAGTAATAATCCCCTAATTATTGAAAACAAACATAACATGGTTGTTCTAAATCCCCAATAGTCATGGTATTATTTACTTTTCTTAAATTTATGTAATATCTTGATTACATCAAGTCAGCTAGATTTAAATTGATTGCTGACAACTAGGAAAGAAATTACTGTCTGAGTCTTGGTAAATTTTAAACAGATTTCTTCGATTATGAACGAACTACTTAACTTTGGTTATTATAAACTTACCTGTGTGTTTGTAATCAACTCCCGTTCGATAAAATCCATTGCACAACTAATTATCACAATGATGAAAACAAGTTCTCTCTTGAAAAATTGAAATATCACAAACTTTTCCCAGAGAAAAATACCAATATGGAAAATGGTTACGTCACTCTGCGGAGGATATCATTTCGTATTAGGGGTGACAGCATAGGAAATTCAAGTACAATTACGACAAGAATCCATGACCACTCGGACCAAAGACCACCCGGTTCAAGACCAGTCGGACCAACTGATAGACCACTCAGCCCAAACAAATAGACTACTCGGACCATACAAAAAGACTATTCGGACCCAACAGAAAGACGACTCGGACCAATAATATAGTGTTGTTTTAATAAATTGATAATTGCGTTTGTTTTAATATGATTACTCGAACCAATAATAAAGTGTTATTTTAATAAATTGATAATTGTGTTTATTTTAATATGACTACTCGAACCAATAATAAAGTGTTATTTGAATAAATTGCTAATTGTGTGTGTTTTAATATGACTACTCGAACTAATAATAACGTGTTGTTTGAATAAATTGATAATTGTATCCCAAATTGCAAAATATCGAGAACCACACTTGTAGTCACGTTTAAAAAGGTGCATATTATAAACGTCCGGTCTTCGTATTATTATGGGCTGTTTATATTAACGCATCAAGGGCGGATAACTTGAAAACGTGTTCCCCCCCCCCATATATTAATCGAGAATTAATGTTCCGCTTCTTACGGGGTCATACGGGCTTAGCAGCATTATATACCCACCCTGGCACCCAATAGGCACGTTGAGGGCTGTCGCAACACGCTTAAAGATGTTACTGAAGCGGTTATTATTCGATCGAAAGAATGCGTATAAAATTAAAAATACACTCAGAGAATTCGGAGGTAAGCTTCATGATCCTTGATAAATTATTTATAACAGAAAGAAGATAGGATATTTATAGTTTATATATGACTTTATTTTTACGACTATCCGTGCAATCAGTGATAATTTAATTGTGGAGAAAATTTGATAGACTGGCGATCAATGGTTTCCATATAAATCTCCTATGTAATTGCCTTCAATTGATATTTTTCGTCGCCCAAACCCATAGACGATCAAAATGATCGCGCTGTCAAACTATCTTTCAATGTTAACCAACCCCCGCAACAGGTATATTGGATTCGACCAATACGTCACGAAGACATTGTCGACATTGACTCTGTCGAAATTACAAGTCAATTTTCAAATTTTTCAAGAGAGAACTTGTTTTCATCGTTGTGATAATTAGTTGTGCAATGGATTTTATCGAACGGGAGTTGATTACAAACACACAGGTAAGTTTATAATAACCAAAGTTAAGTAGTTTGTTCATAATCGAAGAAATCTGTTTAAAATTTACGATGGTTCACACAGTAAATAAAATTTTTGTACATGAAATCTAGTAAATATTACATCTTTTAGTTTTTACAATTTATTCATACAATTTGTCATCTTTTTATTTAACATACATATTAATGTTTATTTTGTAAATTTAAATTAATGTTAAAAAAAAAATCTAATCTCAACTAAAGTACCCAATACACTCATATTCAATTCCAAGGCCCTTTCAGAATAAATGGAGATTGTACCATCATAAGGTCAAGGTTGCGGATTGACCCAAATAATAATTACAGCTGATATAAATAACACAAAAGAGAATCCGAAAAAAATCAGTATAAACCTCTTGGGCAGCAACAAAATTATGGCTACAGCTCCATATTTTATTTTGCTATCTAAATCCAAATCAACTAACAGGTAACACACAGTACAAATGTATAAATGATAACAAAAGCGGGAACTATTTCTGTACTTGACACTGACAGCCGTGTACCAACACTAACAATGTGCTGAATGCATGGGGGCTGTCATAATACAGCAACAAAAACACGGGATAATCCAATCTAACTGTAACAGGTCTAGCCGTTGTCATCACGCAACTCTTTCTAAAAACCGAGATTACTACTAAACCAATTCGTTCAAATACTCAAACAATCACAGGCGACAAACGCGCAGTTAGAAATATGTTTACATTTGTACTACTTTGTTGCGATCTAAAATAGAACAAGATGGCCGCCATTTTTGTTTACAACATGTCAAAATAACTTGCAGACATTTTTCTATCTTGCTGACTAGAAATCCACGAGTTGTGTTCACTGTGTTTCACACTGTTACATCGTCAGCCATTCAGTTACGGTCAAAAGGCATATATTCTTAGAAAATATAACTTTCTCAAAGAGAAAAATAGCAATGGTATCTCCGTATGGTCATTTCCCACCAAAATTTGAAAGAACCGACAAGATTACTTACTCATTTCCATTCGGACATATTCCAGTAGTTTCATCATACTTTGTACAGTATATATCTGGACTATAATTGAACGTTCCATCTCTTCTTCGCACCGGTCGGCGTCTCCTTTGATTCAAAAAATGCCAATGAAAACAAGTAAAAGGTCTATGAAGTGTACATTTGTGTTGCAAGAAAAGTGGGCATTGTTGTGTACGGAACTCTTTTAAGTATCTGTAAAAGATTCACAAAATATACATAAATGACAGCCCCTCGAATCTATTGATATACCATCTAGCTATATTTTTTTATGTAAAAAGTCATACTTACGTGAAATGTTGAGGTTTTTCAACCTCAGTTTGTAAAAGTGGGGTCTCCGACGGCATTTTTGTTGTCAATACTTTCCCTTCGCGCAGCCTTTCGGCGCAAGTGTAATTTCAATACTTTGATTGGCTGAAACTGGTCATGTGACTGGGTATTCCCATATCAGACAACGGGCACCTGTCAATTCCACTTTCACTAGTATTATATTAGCCTCCAGGTTATGGAAAATACAATATTTTACAATTTTGCAATAAATTTACATTGTAGTAATATAAATCTATGCAAATAATTTGCAAAGCACGTATTCTTAAAAAGAATTATCGGTTGTTTGTGACATAATTATTGACTTAAATAACGGACACGAATCACAAAGCACCCGCTTTCTTAACGGGACCGTTGTTAATGTCCCATTGTTTGCCTTCAAATTCCTGTCAACAAATGGAAAGTTGGTTCGGTGAAACTATTTGAGGAAGCTTTTATTTTAGCAACTAAAGTGGACAATAAAGTCTTTCTCAGTACTCAATAATTTGGATTATTGGCCTTTTTCACGAGTAGCTGTTACAGAAAGACAGAAATTAAGCTGAGTCTGATATAATTAAGTTTTCGACCGGTTTCATATCTGCAAATAGACAAAACATATAATATAAAATCTGTATATTTGCATCTATATTCGCCTTGATCAAAATCGCTTATTTCACAACAAGGGTCAACCTGTCGATTGGATGGTACGAGATAATAAATTTATAGCTGAAACCATGATGGCGGGCATGTACATGTTCGGACATCTTTCCAAATACAACCAGAAACTCAAGCGACTAATATAAACTTTATTGGAAATGGCGTTAGCTTTCTTGTAACTATTCGATTTCGTTTTAAAAACCGATGTCTATATACATGTATATATAGTTTCTCCGTGGTTTTACCTGGAATTAGACGCCTTACATTACGAGTTAGGCCTCTGCAATTTGGTTCAAAATCAAGTATTTAATCAGATTAAAATTATTTGATAAAGCAGTTGAATCTATATTCGCCTTGATGAAAATCGCTTATTTCAAAACAAGTACCATTCTGTCGAATGGATACGAAATAATAAATTTATAGCTGAAACCATGACGACGGGCATGTAATGTTCGGACATCTTTCCAAATACAACCAGAAGCTCAACCATGGAGGTGTATATAGTCACCTCTATGAGCTCAACCGATTAATATAAACTTTATTGGAAATGGTGTTAGCGTTCTTGTAACTACTCGATTTCGTTTTGTCTATATATAGGGGATATTCAGAAACAATAAAAACTGCGGAAATGCACTACTGCTGTTTTTATTAGAGGTTACCAGTACGTATGTTAATAACAGGCCAATTGCCTACACATGAACATAAACGGTTCATATGGGCGGCTTATCTGACGGCCCCATTTCACTCGCAAAGAGATACACCGTCAAAAGTGAAAATGGACGTTTTTGATTTTTGTCTTAATAGTTTGCTCCACCAATCCTCAGACATTCAGCAATTCGTCGTGGCTTGCTCCTAATCACCCTTCCAATCACGATTTGGGGCAATCTGACCCACTCCGCTTGCAGTACCACGGCCAATTCTTGCAGTGTTGTCGGTTGACGTTGACGAACAAGTCTTCCGATCAAATTAAACGTAACACACTAAAGCAAAGATACGATAAACAGTAAATCATATGCAAGAACCGATAGGAAAGCAAACATGGATAGATAAACCAGCGCGCGGCAGTTTTCATCAACCCTTCCTTGAAGTGTCAAATTTGACAATGAACCCCTCCCACCTGTATGGCGCTATTGCGTGTTGCATGTGCAGCTCAGTGGTTCTGTCGGGGCGATAAGTTCTCCATCTGTGAACATACTCTCAAAGCATGTCAAGTGTCCATGACTATTTATCATATCACTACCTGCATAAGTATTTGCTTTTCAATATCCCCTACTTTTTTTTAGGAGTATATTAAGTGTAAGGCCTCTTTAATTTGGTTCAAAATCAAAAGTATTTAATCAGATCAATATTATTTGATAAAGCAGTTGAAGTCGTTTAAAACACAACACAAAACAATATATATGTAATTTTAGTTTCATTATTTCGACACATTAACACACAATCAATGATCTCACTATTGGTTGTATATGAACTTAAATTTTGAAGGAAAAAAAACCGAACTGTCATACTACAAAGCGATTTGTCAACATATAAAATTAATGAAATGAACAATTCGATGTGCGACCCAGATACGGGGGAATTACTTGTGAGATTCGTTGATAATAATGAACCGTTCACGTGGTAATTGTCCCCCGCCTTTCGAAGAAAGCAGGGGACTATTAAAATGGGTTCGTCCGTCTTTCTGTCTGTCGGCCCGTCCGTCTGTCTGTCCGTCACACTTTTTGGGACACAATAACTCTCTTTGTAATTGAGCTAGAATGTTCAAACTTTGTGTAGGTGTTTATTAGGTCGATGCCTTGATGGAGTTCGAAGACGAGCATTTTCTGCTTAGGGTAAGCAGAGATAAGCAATTTGATTGGTTGATGCTTTGAGACAGGATAACTTTAGTTCTAATTAAGTGAGAGTGATGGAACTTAGTGTATAGTTTCATTACATCAATACCTTGACTAAGTTCGATATTGAGCATTTTCTGCTTAGGTTAAGCAGACGATAAGTAATTTGATTGGCCGAGACTTTGGAACACAATAATTTTAACTCTCATTCTAATTAAGTTAGAATGTTCACACTTGGCGTAGGTGTCTATTAGGTGAATGCCTTGATGGAGTTCGAAGATGAGCATTTTCTGCTTAGGGTAAGCAGAGATAAGCAATTTGATTGGTTGATGCTTTGGGACACGATGACTTTAGTTCTAATTAAGCGACTAAAGCGAGAGTGATATAACTTAGTGTATATAGTTTCATTACATCAATACATTGACTAAGGTCGATAATGAACATTTTCTGTCGAAGGTAAGCAGAGCGATAAGCAATTTGATTTGTCGAGACTTTGGAACACAATAACTCTCCTTCTAATTGAGGTAGAATGTTCAAACTTGGTGTAGGCGTTCATTTTGTGAATGCCTTGATGGTGGTCGATGATGAACATTGTCTGCTCCGCTTATCTTATTGGTTGATGCTTTGGGGCAATCTGTTTCACAGAGAATTACGAGTCTCGTATAATATCTCTGTCATAGATGACTGCCTTAACACGTGCTGTCACAGCACGCGGTGTGAATCATTGGCTGAATGGCGCGTGCATTGTTTACATAAGACATAACTGCTTCGGAGAGACTGCTGCATTTTAGTCAATTTAATACCCATTTACACTAAATCGGAAATAATTTTTACCTACAAATACGTCAAACGCCTTTATTTATTTTTCCAATATATACAAAAAATGTTTTAGAATTTAATTTGTCGCAGGAAAAAAGTTAATATTTCTAGCTCATTAAGCCGCATCAATGTCATCCTTATCAGTGATTGTCGCGGCCAAGCAAATATTCACTGCGGATCAGTGTGGCTTTGGGGCACAATAACTTTGGTTATAATGAAGTGAGAGCGATGAAACTCAGAATATAGATTCATTATATTATTACCTTGACCAAGTTCGATGGTGAGGATTTTTTGCCCAAGCTAAGAGCGATAAGCAATTTGATTGGTCAAGACTTTGGAACATAACAACTCTGCTTTTAATTGAGGTAGAATGTTTAAACTTGATGTAGATATTCATTAGGTGAATGTCTTGACTGATTTCAATGATTAACATTTCGAGATGAAGCTAAGCAGAGCTAATCAATTTCATTGGTCGATGCTTTGGGACAAGATAATCTTGATAATATCTGATAGAGAGTGATTGCTCGATACTTTTGAAAAAAATAAATGTGCGATTGATTAATATGTGTCATCTGTTTATTTTCGGATTTCGGCGGGGGTAGGGGGCATCAGCCTTACTGTTGGTTTGTTTCATACAAATAGATCCTACAGAAATTCCTATTTGTACAGCAGCCGTGACAAACGCCTATAGGCCTATCCAAGATGCTTTGTAACCGATGGAGACACCAAATAATTAACCGGAAAATGGTCATTTGCCTTCCTATGGCAGATTTTAAGTAAAGAGTTTGTTATTGTTTGGTTTAGACGCGTTTATTTTTTACACGCGATTAAAATTCGGTTGTGTTCGCAGTTAAAGTTCGTATATAGGCCTACGGAGAGAGGCCGGGCGCCCCTCCCTCCCCCGCCATGCACGTTGACGCATGCAAGTTGAAATTCGAAAAAATATCCCTTCTGGTATGGCGTACGCTTGTCTTCATTAGACAGTCGGTGAAGAAAGGTATAGGGCGTTAAACCCGATTTCATTTCGTTTCGTATAAACGACCCTTTAGTATAAACGACTTCATTGAGTTATAAAAAAATAATCAAATTGGCGCATTGGCGCTCACGAAACGGCGCTTTATTTCTAACTTCGAAAATCGGGGCCTATTTTGCTTGGTTTTTTTGTTTGTTTTTATTTTGTTTTTGTTTTTTTTGGGAGGGGGGGTACAATCGTCCTTAATTTTTATATTAAAGAGGTAATGATGAACGTGTAAGAGAGGCAAGTTCTATTTGATGACCGAGAGATTCGGTTCAAAATCCGGGACCCCATATAACTGCTGCATTCGATAGTTCCCATATTACACCAAATAGGGCGCCGATGGGTAATTTTAACTTTGGCAGGTAAACACATATATATGTTATAGTGCAGCCAGTTGGTCAGAAAATGTAAGCTAATTCGTACATTAATACGGATATAACTGGTCATGGGGTTTGATCTGAAATTTGACGAAAGATTGATACAATCGACTGGGTTACGTAACTTGATCGACTATTGGCTAAAGGTTTCTCATGGCCTTTTTATTAGTGACTGCAGTTTGTCTTTAAAGGACTGTTGGGATTCGTCCCTTGATTGAAGTTTGAAACTTATGTTTTATATACATATAATTGTTCAATATTTCTATTTTATTTAACTTGTGTTACTCGCCCAGAATATATCACAGAATACAAGAAATCGAATCTATTTTTTATTCTGGGGGAGGTCCCCAGCGCGCAGGGGTTTCGGCCACACTCCTGCGCCTTTTTTCATAATTCAGCCTCCCTCCCTTCGGTCCCATTGACTTGTCCCGGGCCCACCACAATGTTAATCCGGGCCTGGCCAGTTTCCCAGACCCTGTGTACAGTGCAGGTCGCATTCGGGGTCGCTTTCATGCTCACAAAAAACTGTCCCTAGCCCTTTAGGGTCGTATAATATGGCCGTCTTAATAATAGCTGGCCCATGTAGTTTTCAAGCCGAAATGGCTTTATTTATTGGACCATAAGTGGTGGGGGTATACACTCACTCACAGTTGCACATCAAATAGGGTTTAACGTCCTATATTGTTCTGCTCCGACTGGGACAATAATTAAGGGCGGATCCAGAGACCATGGATCACCAAAGGCGCGAAGCGCACAACGGAAGGAGGGAGGGGGACTAGAAGCCCGGAAATGCCATTTCCCGTGATCTGAGACAAGAATCCGGTTCTAAAATATGACTTATAATGGGTCTTTTTCTACGTCCCATCCGAAGGACTATATAGATACGCTGTTCCTTGCCAGGCTCTCTGTCCGGCGTCATGATCCCAGCCAGATTGCACAACATTCATTTTATATTCAAGTCATTGCTATTAATAATATAATAAACGAATGGAACACGGATTTTATTGTACTGAACATTCAATTAGGCCAGGATATAATTAAGCCTACAACATTAAAATATACTTTTTTTTATTTTCCAATTTGAATCTGAGGACCCTATGAGTCATGAGGAGGGGCACAGGGGAATATCTGCCGCTGTATGTTTTAATTAGACGTCCTTAAAAGTCCTTAATTATGTTACATTTTCGTGTATTTATGACATGCTACGGTTTCAGTTACTGATCTCCGATTAAACAATTTACATATACATATAGGCTATTATTGGGAATCTGATTGGTTGATTAAGATTAATGTCTGTTTTTACGGGACTTGTATTGGGATACCTTTCAGATTATAAAGTGGCACACTTAGTGACTTACGTCTTACTTACAGTGATCAATCGGCTGACTTCGTGTGAAAATAAAATGGTTGAGAGATTATATGTCATCATCATGTTAACTCTCGAATTCCGACATGACAGGTCAACCTGAACCTTTTCAGGTGCACCTGATAGTCGAGCGCACTGACAACATTCTTGCTCATATCCACGAATTCTATCAACAGAGAAGACTTGGTTATCCAGTTGCATGAAAGTATAAACAAAGTATTTATCCGACCTGGCCTTATCATAACTTGACCAGTTTCTAAGTGGGTCACGTTGAAAAGTTGGTGCACTGCATCAATATAGCTGATAATATTGTTAGTGAGTGGATCAGGCAGAGTAAGTTAGTTCAGCAAACACACATTGCAATAATTTGCTCATGTTGTTAATCAGATTGGCTAAATTATAACTGAAGAACTTTTGTATTCTTCGGGCTTGTGAAGAAATTACCCCCCATTCCTCCATTGCAACGGACATTACAGCCACCGGTATGCATTCATTATAAAAAAGCCTTTGAAGATGTCACTGTAGTATGCGTGCATAATATCATTCATTATATTACAGGTTAAATGTGTTATGTATCCCTGACTATGCAGATGTGCACGTAAAACACCCACATTATGACTTGGATTGTTGGATTTATTAATTAATATTTTTCTCAGTGAATTATATCATAGAACTAAAAGTTATGAGAATATTATGCTGAAAAGTAAATGAATGGCCTGCAATGAAGAGTAAATTAGTATGAACATGTCTAAAGTTTATTTTTCCTGGCAATTTATAGCATGATATGATTATGAAGGGGTTTTGTGACTGTTTTGTGGTGTGGGGGTGTGGGTGGGGGTGGGGTGAGAGAGAGAGAGAGAGGTTTAAGGTCCACTTGACACAAACTAGGTCATTTTGGGACTAACATATGGTGTTAATTTTATTTCAATAATTCGCTTGCGCGTAGGGGTTTAAGCAGTAGGAGGAAACCGGAAGACCCAGAGAAAACCCTCGAGGTTGGACAGGCGACCCTACTCCTTGTCACGTACAACCGGGGATTCGAAACCACGCCAGTTGACTCAATGGCAGGCCTTATGATACAGCACACACGTGCTAACCATTCGACCATCCATGGGGTGGGGTGGGGAACATGATTTATTAATCAGTGCTGACCTGCTTTTTATTTTGGTACAGATAATACACATATATGTAATTTAACAGTATTCTGGGGCAGATCTGGCCTACATGTACATGTATATATGAAAAGTGAGGACACTGAAGATCTCCTTTGCTGCAGCGAAGCTATCATATAAGATCAGTTAAAGAAGCCTACAGGAGTTTTGCATTATATAGATTGTATCGGAGGGGTGCACCCCTTTTTGCGAACCCAAATGATGATAGTGGCTTTAAAGCAAATTGCAATGATTAAAAAGTTTTAATATTGAAGGCATTCATATCTTTAAAAATGGACGATTATAGCCTCTAATGTGTCTTGTTGAGAACAGCAATATAGATCTAAAAAGGATTCACAAATTCCATATGGCACACAATTTACAGATTTTCATTAGTTCTCAATGTACCCCTATTAGTCAACACATATTTTGGTGGTGTAAATACCAAATGATGTCCTCTTTGTCACTATAACTGAATGAAGGCTTGTAGATTTTGATATTTTATATTCATATTTTTTCTTTACATACAGAAATAGCAGATATGTCAGTGTTATTGAGATTAAGACCATTGGGTCTGTTACAGTATTCAAAAACAGAAGTTAATGTCTTTTCTAAGAAACTTGAACTATCATTTTGTGTTGCAAGTAGTAATGCCACACGACACAAATATTCAACTAACAGTGGAAGAAACAACGGAACTGCTGTGTTTGACTATGAAAAAGAAAGGAAAAATTTCAGACTAGATGTACCAAAATATTTTAATTTTGCTGCAGATGTCATAGATAGTTGGGCTGAAAAAGAAAGAGTAAGGATTTTCTAAGACTATTTATTTATAAAACTTCAAGACTTTTGGTCATGCAGTTTGTCATTAAGTCAAGTGGCATGGTTTAAATTGGTTTTGATCCCACACTTGTACCTGACAAAGAGTAGGATCACTGGCTTCACCTTGTGCGTTTTCTCCCACTGTTAAGACCCCTATGATGAAACACCATTTATATAGTTGTCTTGTCACCCTGCCCACTGGTACGTCCGTCAACAATTGGCTTGTGAATTTGATAGAGGCTACAGATTTGAAAGGATTCTTTTGAAATTTGGTGTTAACCCTATTAATATTCAGTGTTCCGTTCCAGAGTTATCCACCTTTTGTCAAAATCCTTGGGAACGTGATAGAGGCTAGAGTTTTAACAGATTCTTTTCAAATTTTGTGTTAAGCATTGTGGTCATGTGATGACAAATCCCATTAAAATTCAGCACTGTGGGATCTTTTGTGTCAGAATACCATGTGAATCAGATATAGAGGCTACTGTTTTTAACAGATTCTTTTCAAACTTGCTGACAAGCATTGGGGTCATGAGATACTCACATTCTGTGATGTTCCATTCCAGAGTTGCCTGTTGTGCTGAAAACCTTATGAGTGCAATAAAGGCTATAGTTTTTTAACGCATGCATTTCAAATTTGGTGTAAAGCATTGTGGTCATGTGAGGACTAATCCTATTGATATTCAGCATGCTGCAACTTTCCATTCTTGCGCGCTACAGTTTATGCCAGAATTCTTAAAAATTTGTAGTAAAACATTGTGGTCAATGGAAGATGAACATTCTTGATAATCGACAGTCCATGAGGCTACAGTTTTTAACAGATTTTGTGGGGAGCTTTAGGGTCATGAAATGACGAACCCTATTGATGTTCAACGTTCCACGATAGTCAGTGTTTAAGATTTACTCCCCCTTTTAAAAAAAAATCTTTTGAACATGACAGAAGCTGCAGTTTTTAATGGATTTTTTTTAAAAATCTGGTGTGAAGTATTGTGGTCATGAGAGGACAAATCGTATCGATATTCAGCTTTCTGTGATTTTTGTTCTAGAGTTATTTTGCCTTTGCTGAAAACCTTGTGAACGCTATAGATGCAACAGTTACGACAGAGATCAGATTTCTTGAAAACATCTCTTATCAAAGTTGGTCAACATCCAAGTTTTCCCTTCGATAAGCTGCTGTTGAAACATAGCTGCTGTTTGGGCATATTTCCATGCATTGCATGATTATCTTAATTATTCCTAGCCAGCTATCTTTATTTGTGGTTGATGTTATATTTATGCTGTAAAGACAGGGAAGCGTGATATAAGTATACCAGCATTTTGGTGGATTGATGATAAAGGAAGTCAATTACAATGGAATTTTCAAGAATTATCGTCTAATTCCAAAAGGTAATAACTAATGGTATAATATGGTATGTTATAATTTCATGGAAAGACTGGAAGGATTTGTTATCATAAATGCTCCTTTAAAAGATTTTTTTGTGCATTTGATGTAAAGCATGCAATTAAACTATCACCAGCCACATTAATTTCAGTGTTTTTGTGGGTTCTCTGGGTTGAGTGCAATCTGATTAAAACACAGATCCTATTTTGTTTCCTTTTTTATAGTTCAAAATCTCGTTTTACTTGTCTTTACTACACTAGGATCTGGAAGAGATAAGCCAATGAAACGGTCTGTTACAACGACTTCTTGGCGTGCCATGCATGGAATTGTGGGTAAACTACTAGAAACATCAATGCTGATCAATTAATCAATGTCTACCGTCATAGGGTCAAAAGCCGCTTGTATGATGCCTGACACAACCTTCGCGTACAACTTGTCAGATCTTCAGTGAAGGCCATCGAAAGTATAAAAAAAATGAAATGAAGAATAGATCTGTATTTGAATCAGATTGGGTTGAGCGGGGGTGAGGGAAGGAGTGTACTCCCATGTAATTCTTAATAATTGTGACACGTACCACATTCTCGTCCTATTAGAGAATTCTGCATACAGCACTGTGTGACCTAAATCATACAAGTAGTGGAGTTATTACACTGATTAATCATACTATATTATTTTACAGGGTAGCTAGATTATTAACAGAAGAGTTTGAACTATCAAAGGGAGATAAATTAATTCTTATATTATCTCGGATACCAGAATGGTGGTTAATTAATTTAGCATGTATTAGAGCAGGTTAGTCTTATTATTAACTGCTGGGTTTTTTTTCCACCACTTGTCACTGCTTGTGATTAGATGGATAACTAAAGGATTAACCCAGCCATGTCAGATTTGAATGAAAATGGTATACATGTTTGTTATCAACCCAAAAGACAATAATTCAAATTTTGTGTCCTACATACACATATGTATGCCGATTTTCATCAAAACTGGAGATTGTTGAGTTAATTTTTCCATTTGTTTGGGTGATTTGAATAGAATTAAGTTTTTGCAGAAACTGGTCTTTCTTTAGGCCTGAAATGTTATACAGACATTTATTTAAAAAAAAAACAAGACCATAATCAACTCTTGATGGCATTGAATAATCAAGATTTTAACTAGATTAGAACGGTTCGTCATTTAAAGATTTAATTTAAAGTAGCTAAGTCCGTAACTCAATATCATCCAAAATCTTCGACATTGAAAACACAAATTTTTTTGCAATTTAAATCAGCATTGGTGTTGTGATCTTACCTGGAAAAGATGGGCTTCTGATATCCAATATTTAAGACAAAATAAACATTTTACCATTGGTACACAAATCGTGTACCATAATGCGTTTCAGCGCCATTTGTAACAAGGTGCTCAAAGAATGAGTCTAGACATATTCCACAAGTCATGTCAAACGGTGATATCATATTCTTATTTGGAGAGCATGCGCAATAAATAATATCGGTGTTGACTGGAATAACCAGACGCTAGAAACTGACTTGCGTATTTCGCCGAACGTAACTGATGACAATTCACAGTAAAACGGACACGATTGAATGTAAAACAGTTTATATAAATTCATATTACATTATTATATGTGTTGCGACTCATTTGTGCCAATTTCTAGGTCCAAAATATTAGCGATTTAGCTCCTTTAAGAATGGGAAAGCGAGGCTAAGTCTTGAATATACCAGTGCCCTGGTTACTACAAACAGTGATAACTTGGCTCAGAGTGAAGTAATTTGAATTTAATTTTTTAATATTTTCATTTTACATTATCTATTTTTGAGCTATTAGAGCAAGAATGGTCAGCTCTTTATCTAAATCTTACATAATGTATCTTTAAGGAATATATATTTGACCTTACAGGTACCCAAATTTCCTGAGATTTTTGTTAAATTTGATTTATTTATCTGTTGTTTTTGAAAAGGTATTATTTTAAGTGCTGGTACAACCTTACTAAGAGCTCATGATATTCAACATAGACTGCTAGCATCACAAGCTAAATGTATCATTACAGATTCTAATATAGCTGATATGGTTGACAAAGTGAGTGAAATACTACTAGTCTAGAAAAAACGCACCTATCACTACAGATATTGTCGGACATAATCCCTCTTGTTTGATTTTGTCATTTTGTCCAATCAAAGTTTTTATCTATGTTTTTAGCACACAAAGTTCAAAATTTCGGGGTACTACTCAGTAGTTCATTAATGTTGACATTTTGTCAGATATAACTAAAGTCATTTAGAACATCAAGAGGTTAAGTATGGTGGCCCATGGTTATCATATTATAAATACTTGAAAACCCCCTCAAAAACCTAATAAAACAATATGATGAAAATTACACTAAAAATAATGATTAAGCTAAAAATGATAATTACACAAAAATGATAATTACACAAAAAATAAATAAAGCTTAAATTAAAATAAATCATTTAAAAAATTAAATTAAGCTCAAATTGTTTTTTGAAAAATAAAAAGGAATAAATAAATGTAAATCAAATATTGAAATGAAAATAGAAAATTAAGGTTATTTTTGAAAAAAGAGTGAAATAAATGTAAACAAAAAAACTGAAATGAAAATAAAAAAAAAAAAGTAAAATGAAAGAATTGTAAATTGAAAACTGAAATGAACAAAAATTAAATTAAAATTCTAATAAAAAAAGTAATCTGATACTTGTGGGGACAACTTTCCCTCATAGCACACTGCATGGCATATGTCCATCTTATTTAGCCCAGGCGGTGTAGAAAAGTAGGTCTTTTAACCCCTTTCAATATTGATTTATCTGATATATAATTGTGGGTGAAGGGATGGAACCTAGGAAATCCTGGGTTAATGTGACAGGACCTTACTCACTGAGCTACTGGTGCTCCCTCTAAACGAGATGAACCACCAGACTGTGAAATGTATACACAATGTTATTAATGAAGATTGTAGTATATTGTACCGCAAATATAAAATTACCTGCTTTTTGAATTGTCGAAAAGTGTTATACGAAAATTTTGGGGGAACGAAACCATGCCACATGCCTCAATGACAGACCTTATGATCTAAAATGCATGCATTGGACCACTAGACCACCCAACTACACACTCTCAATAGCATAGATAACTATGTGGCCACCATAGTATTGTTATCATTGCTGTTCATCATCTAACATTCTGGTCATTTGTCCATCGTAAACAATATTTATTTTTGATTTTTCTTTAGATGAAGGATTTTTACTGAATTTTATATATAGGAAGTACTGGCGTAAACAATGTTTATTTTTTATCTTATCTACAGAGGAGGGATTTTTAATGAATTTCATGCATAGAAAGTACTGGCATACATTATACTTTGTGTTGTATTACATATTGGTGTAAGCTATTGCGTATGTCCATAGATCGATATCCTAAACAAGTATTTATTATGTTAAAACAATTAGACAAAATCAACAGGGTTCGTTGGGTGACAAAGTTCAGAATTATGTTATATATTCCGAAATGATCGGCAATTTTAACATGTTTATAAGAAAAATTAAGTTACTATTATCAGATATAAACTTACAAGAATGGTCAGCTGAATTATCAGAAAGTGAAAGTTTAATAGATTATTGCATATTCAAAATAAATCTAGTTCAGGAAGCTTATTTATTGTCAAACATTCAATATAAACACAGAAGAAATATTAGAAAATTTAGGCTAAATATATTACCAACATATTTGAGTTTGCATAGACGAAATCAAACTACTTTTCCATTTTATCCATAACATCCATCAATGAGATGAAGATTTGTTTCATTTCATGCTTGAATGCATAGAAACGAAGAACACCAGAAATGTTTGTTTTGAACATGTACATTTGGTAATATCAGTCATTGTAACTTCCTAAACCTGTCAAATTCTAGCGGTCCTTGTATATTATTATCGATCTCCAATTATATAGAAAGGGTCACCAAGTATCATATATGAATTGCTGTAAATAATTATGCCCATGCCAGTTGATTGTTTGTAAATATAGCCTACCCATTTGCATATTTCCTAGTACCAGAAGTATACTTATTTATACAGATATGTTGAAATTTAATAACATAAACACATATTTTAAAAATTTTATAAATCTATCATCAGACTTGCTTATAGTTTTTATATGTTAAATATATCAGAATAGGAGAATTGTATATAAACCTCCAATTGTCAACAATTAATAATTTTGTAATGAATCCCAACTTTTAAAATATAATTGTACATATCATTTTCTAGTTGATTCAAACTTGTAACTTTTGGTCTTTGACCTATATTACTGCAATAAACATATTCTATTCTATTCTACTGGCATAAACAGCTTTATATCTTTTCTTCAGTGTAAGGACTTTTAAGGAGTTTCATATAAGTGCCTGTTACTAATTAACATAAGATATATTAACATTTGTGTTTTGTGTAAATCCAGGTGATTGATAATTGTCCAGATGTATTAAATAAAGTTGTAGTTGCCGATAAAACGAGGTAAATGAATTTTATAACACTTACAATAGTTTATTACACTGCGACTTCAACAAGATTTCACAAGCCGTTATCAAGCATATATAAAACACAAATATATGAAATGAAAACATACTGATGTATCAAATCATTTTAGATAGGTATCTATATACATACCCACAAAAATATTAAATATTAAAGATATTTTTGACAAGAAGATACTACGAGTGTCTGATAGAGCAAATTGGATATTTTCCAGTGTATTGTATGTTTATATACTTCAGGGATAACTGGAAGAATTTTAATTTGCTGCTTCAAAAATATGACAACAAATTTAAGGTAGCTTATATGATCTTTTTATTTTTTGTAATTGTCCTTTGACTTTCTTTACATCAATACCTTTACTAAGTTCGTTAATGAACATTTCTGCTCAGGGTCAGCAGAGTGATAAGCAATTTGATTGGTTGAGACTTTGGAATACAATAACTCTCCTTCTAATTGAGCCACAATTTCCACATTTGATGTAGGTGTTTATTAGGTGAATGCTTTGACGGAGTTGGAAGATGACAATTTTGCTATGGGTAAGCAGGGATAAGCAATTTGATTGGTTAATGCTTTGGGACATGATAAGTTCAGTTCTAATTAAGTGAGAGTGATGAAACTTGGTGTATAGTTTCTTCACATCAATACCTTGACTAAGTTCGATAATGTACATTTTCTGCTGAGGGTAAGCATAGCGATAAGCAATTTGATTGGTGGAGACTTTGGAACACAATAACTCTTCTGCTAATTGAGGTAGAATGGAGTTCGATGATGAACATAAGCAATTTCTTTGACTTTGATTCTGTCTGATAGAGAGTGATGAAACTTAGTGTATAGTTGATAATCAGTTTGATTGTTCGATACTTTGAAAAAGATAGATGTGGAATTAATTAATATATATTTGTTTCATCTATTTATTTCGGTATTTTGGCAGGGGATATCAGCCTCACTGTTGGCTTGTTTTTCTTTATATTATGCCTACATGGAAGTGTCGTGTCACTTCTTTATTTCAGATTATAACCTCTTCTAGAGTTATTGCCCTGGATCATTTTGTAGAATTTTGTGAATACTCAAATGAAAAAAAGTTATGATCTGATCTGTTTCAATATACATTATCCTGCTCAGTTTGACTATTGGCTGATCTAGAGGGTCGGATGGTTAATTGTTCTAATGTGCACTTTAGTTCATAGGTATGCCATATTTTGAACCAATGGCATGGCTTGAGGTCACACTTGTATGTGACAAGGAGTAGGATTGCCTGTCCAACCTTGTAGGTTTTTTCCATGTCCCCTGGCTTTCTCCCACAGCTAAAGACCTCTATGTGCAAGCAAACTATTGAAATAAAATTGAACCATATGTTAGTCCCAAAATGACCTGGTTCATGACAAATTGATGTTAATCCTTACCATGGCTAATCCTTACCATCTTCTGTTTCTAGGATGTACAAACATTATCCAGTGAAACAATGATGTTATTTTTTACCAGCGGTACAACAGGTGCACCAAAGATGGCCGAACATACACATTCAAGTTATGGTATAGGTCATAAAATCACAGCAGAGTTAGTATATATATTGTTCTGGTTGCCGGTCGTAGTTTACCTAACAGCTTATTAAATAAAAACAATCAGTTGCTTTTGTCTGCCCACTTTTATTGTCGTAAATCTTTTCCGTCCATCTGTTCACTGGGCTGCAGAATTGGCTAGAGAGAGAAATGGGGTTTGACGTCCACTCGACACAAACTAGGTCATTTTGGGACTAACATATGTCCTTTTGCAGTGGGGGGGAATCGGAGGACCCAGAGAAAACCCATGATGTTGGACAGGCTACCCTACTCTTTGTCACGTACAAGCAGGGAATCGAACCACAACACTTGACTCAATAACAGAACCTGTGGTTTCATGTGCACGCGATAAAGCAAAATTTAAGACGTAAGTGATTGTGTTGTTTATCAACACAGACAGCCAAAAATGAAACTAATATATTATGTCTCTGGTTGCCATTTGAGGGATTGTAAGTCTCTTGCAAACTACAATATTGTGGAAGTTGAAAGGAATATCAGTACAAAGATATGATGAATTGAAAATTTGTCAACATTCAGCATTCTCTGTGGACAATATAAATGGAACATGGTCAAAACAAGCCAGTGCCATTTATAATCTTATCTAAAATCTTTTGATGGGCCTCTTTTAAATCAAATGGAATCCAAGCTTGGGTATTTTGGTTTCGTTTTCTTAATTAGATGTTAGATAATTCACTTAAGTACATTTTAGCATGGATATTAGGTCTTGTCCAAAAGATGCATTTGACAAAATTATTTAATCACATAATATGTATACATTATTTTAAAATTGCAACTTAGGTCATACAAATTTGAAATTTTGTTCTTTGGGAAAACCTGTTAAAATTTTGCTTCCTATTTCTTGAAAAAAAAAAGAATTTAAAATTAAAAAATGATTTTAAGAGCACTTTCCTCAAAAGCTCATTATTCCAAGAGGATATATATTTATCAAGACCCGAAAGACCTTAGAATTAAATTGGTATAGCCTTAATTTGAACTTTTCTTTGAATTTAAAGGTATTTCTTGAGACTAACTTCAAAGGATGTGATTTGGAATATGTCGGATACAGGTTGGGCTAAATCTGCTTGGAGTAATTTGTTTGCTCCGTGGACTAATGGTTCTTGTGTATTTATTCATCATTCAGTGAAATTTGATGCTCGAGTCATGCTTCAGGTCTGTATGATTTATCAAAAAAAGAAATGAAAAAAAAATGGAAATCTTACAACAATATGATGTTTACCATGCATTATTCCAGTGACCTAAACGAAAGAGAGAGAGAGAAATGGGGTTTAACGTCCACTTGATGACCTAAATGAAATAAACAAATATAGCAATATTTTTGTTTAGTTTTTGGTGCAGCTTTATAAACACCATGTATAATGAGGCGTGGTGTCATGTCTAGTTCGATAACTATTTTGATGATGGACTGTGATGTTTTACCATAGAATATTAAAGCTTCAACATTCTTGAATAAAGGTTAAATATAAGACCCCACAGTATCAAATGTACTTTAAGTAGATATAATCTGGTCAAATCAGTATTAAAATCAATTAACTCTATCTCAGGTTACAGCAAATTTTCGTAGCAGATAGTCCATTCTACATGACAGTTTATTTTATACCCGAATGTGCTTCCTTATATTATAACAACACTCTTTACATTAAAATATATTTTTTGATATTCAGTTTGTGAGTAATCAGTCTGCAATTGTTGCATCCTTAATAAAAATTATCTTATTAGTTCTTATATTCTTGTTTTTGCTCTTTCAGAATTTATGTAAATTCCCAATAAGTCATTGCTGTACAGCACCAACAGCCTACCGAACAGCAGTCAAATTACCACTATGTGAATATAAATTTCATAGTTTGAAATATTGTTTTGGTGCTGGTGAACCTGTTGTAAGTTTCATTTTTTATTTCGTTTAGTTCATTTATTTCATTTCAATTATATGAAATGATAAATTGTAATAAATATTATCAGTATCTTTAAGAATCTGATGATATATGTGGTGTATAATGCCAAACCAATTTAATTTTATCTCTTCAGGGTTGTGATGAATAAACGGCCACTTTGGTTTCATGAACAATGTTTTGTTTGTAATTTCAAAACTTAAAACTTTGAACTAAATGCTATTGAGAAGAACAAAAATTCATTTGTTCGTTTCTCTGGATGAAGGCCTGACAAGGAACTGTCTTGTCTTTCGGATGGGATGAAAAACAGCCCTGCACATAAAAGAACCCTTGACAGATGGAATTTGGAATATGAATAGGCCACAGAACAGCTGTCTGGGCAAAATTTTCCTCATAGCACACTGCATGGCATATGCCTGTCTTTATTAGCCCTGTCAGTGCAGAAAAGTAGGACGTTAAACCCCGTTTCATTTCATATTAGTGAGGCCTATTGAAATTTACACACAATTACAATAGGATGGGATTTCTGTTCTTCTTTATTCATTCAGAACTTTTATCATTGCTTTTATTTATCAGATTGATTTTCATGGCCTTTGTATTGCTGAACCTTTATTTTTTGTACTGTTTTTATATTTTAGAATCCGGAATTAATAGAAGAATGGCAAGATGGAACGGGTTTAAGATTATATGAAGGTTACGGACAAACTGAAACTGTGAGTTGATTTACTTATATTTTAGAATTAAATTAGCTTATTTTTATATTATTTACAAAGGAATTATCTTGGTTTTGTTCTCTTAATCAAATTTTAAATAATCAGTTTGATTACCAATAGATTTTAGTGTGGATTAAACCATGAAAAATTTGATATTATCTGAAAAATACAATATCATGCTCTGTGACTAAATGCAGTGTTCACCAGTTAACTTATTTCCAAAATGAGCAACTTTTGTTAAAGCTCTATTTTGAAATTGATGGGGATAGTGGCATTAATCCATGATCTCGCATGGAAATCAACACTTTGTACTCTAATGTCAAATAAATCACTATATATAAGTAACAATATAAGGCATTGATACTACAAAAATTTAATAACTGGCAATGTATTTCTTGGATTTTAATCATTTTTTTAAAGTCCTGATCTGATGCACCATTTTAGCGCTATAGGGATAACTTGCAATAAATCTCTAATAGGAATGAATATCAGTCCGAAAATGGTTCAATATTTTGATTTTGTTTTCCTAATAAGATATTAAATAATCAATCTGATTGCATATTAGTGTGGATTGAACCCTGAGAAATTAGATTTTTTAGCAAAAAATGCAAAGTGTTTTCTATTTAATATAGACTTTTCTCTGTGGAACTAATTATCCTGGTATGGAATATAGAGCTGGTTCTATGGGCAAACCTCCTCCTGGTTACGACTTACAAGTAGGTAAAACTAGAGTTACCTCCCTTTACTAAAGATTCATCCAAAAATATTATTTAACTTCAGGGGGGAGGAGGGGGGGATGGAGCATTCTGTTGATATTGCAGACAAAATAAATGTTTCCTAAGAAACTTGCAAGAAGAGTCAGCCATTTATGAGAGGCAGGTCTAGCGTAGGGTAAAAATGGAAGGACTAAAAAGGATATTTGCAGCCCGCTATTCCTCTGGTTATTTATTATATATATATATACATATAAATATCTACATTTGATATGATCGTATATGTTTTTGTCATCTTCTGTAGGTCTGTTGGTCAATCTGTCATAGGCCTCTCATTTCCATAATTTGACAGTCGATCAATTTTGATATGGCAGACTTTTGCAAATTAAAATCATATACATGTACCCTCTTTATTACTATCATAAACCTTCAAAAATCATCAATAATTATCAACAAATCACACAATTTTGATTCTTTATTGATGACTGTGTGTACTGTTTTATTGTATTTCAACACATCAATCATGATTTGTTACTTTCCATGTGGGGGCTTGGTTGGCCTAATGGGTGTGCGTCAGATCATAAGGTCTGTCATTGAGTCAACTAAATATAGTTGAACCATGTGTTAGTCCTGATTTAAATCTACTTTGTGTCGAGTGGATGTTAAAACTCCATTCCTCTCCCTGTCTCACCTGCCATGGCTTCTGTAACCTCGAAATTGGGAGTTAAGGGATTAAAACTAACCATAGGATTAGTATGTTTGCTTCTTGTGTGAGTTATCTTTTTAGGTTCAACAATCAGTCTTTGATTATGATGTACTTATGGCATATTCTGGGTACTTGGTCTGTATCATACTTTGTAACAAATGATGTTGTTTATTTTTCTCATCAGACCATTCACCTTCTTGTAGCCTGGAAATCTCTTCATCATATAAGGATGGGATTGGTTTAATAGACAATTTGATTGCTTTTTAAATTTTTCTTATAAAGAAATATTAGTTTTTGAGTGAACACATTTCAAATTGTAGGCAATGACCAAATCAATACTGCCAAATTCGCGAACACTGTTTAAGTAAAAATTTAGAAACAAAATCTCTTAACACCAATAATTGTTATAACAACAGACGTTCATTAAAAAAAGCAGTCAGATTTCACCCTACACCCTTTTACAAATTTATGTTTGAAAAATGAATTTCGATATGACTTCTATTGACTACACATTATGTTTATTGTTTCCATCTCATAAACTGTTCAAGTCATATCTTTATGAAACTTTCACACATTAACCTATTATAACGAGATTTAAACATACATTATGCAAGAGCTAAATCTATCTATTGCAGGTCTTTCTTTAGGCCTGAAATGTTATCTAAACTATTAATTAGACATAATTAACTTATCCAGACCGTAATCAACTCTCGATGGCATCGCTAGTCTGTGATATTTACTGGATTGGAATCTGCTCAATGCTCATTGATGATTAAATCAAAAAATGGATTATCAAAACTATGTTTTTATCGTACCGACTTTATTAATGATAATTGAGGCTAGGCCTAAAATTCAATTGCTAAATTCTCGGTTCAGAGTGGATCAATTTGACTGAAATTTTCAGCAAATTCCCTTTACATTATCTAGTTTTTAACTATTATACTGAGAACTGCCAGCTCTTTATCTAATCTTCCATAATGTATCTTTAATGTTTTTTTTGGAAAGACATTTAATGATTTTTTGGAAACACATTTAATGATTTTTTGAAAACACATTTAATTATTTTATGGAAACACATTTAATTTTATTTTGGAAACACATTTCACATAGTTTTTGATATTTAAGCATGCTGGATGTTTATGATTGCATTTTCTTGATGAAAGTGCCCCTTTAATGTATGTTGATAAAAACAATTCCTTATCTTGAAATTGTATTGACCATATAAAATCCAATGAAAATTTAGTTCATGATTTATGCATGACTTGCTTAATTCTTTATGCTGTTATTAGTTTGGGAGAAAATTCGTTATTTTTGAGACCAAAGTAATTTAATTTTTAGTTCTTCTGTGTCTTAAATAAATAACCACTTGAGTCTTGTGGGTAATGTTTCAAGACATAAAAATTTGTCCTAAGAGTTTTTGAGAAGAGCGACCAAGTATATTTTTATTTTTCATTTATTTTTTTCCCCCAAGAAATAGGAATCAAAATTTAATAGGTGTTCTAGAAGAATAAAAATTTAAATTGTGTGGCCTTAACTATGTTGTTGACAAGGAATAGAAGTAGCAAAAGTTATCTAGATCAGCATATTGATTCCTCTCAAAATATGGTTTCTCCCTCCGGGCCTTATTGTATTTTTGTTAGCATACTGACCGACTGCTCTTGTTATTGTTGGCTGATTGACAACGAATATAGCATTATTGTCAGTTAACAAGTTTTAAATAAGCATTCAGATGTTATCCGTTGTGGATTTAGGTAAGCAAATCATTGTCACCTAACTGTCGTTAATCAAATAAAGAATTTATGTGTAATGAGTACATGAGACACAGGATAAGTTTGTTACGACAAGCTTATAGGCATGGTTAACCATATATTATTGTAATCTTTAAATAAAACCACTCTACCACTTATATATCAGAGATGGATTGTGGACACTCCTACATTCTTTGATTATAACATCAAACAAACAAATATTTTAGCTTTAGCTTCTAATTTTTTAAAATTCCTGGGTAATCCCCAAAATTGACATTGGTGTCTTCATCTTGGCTCCTGCATTGCTAAAATTCCCGAACACGCCCCTGACTATCTAATAATGTGGTGGCATCTCCAAGTGTTTTTTTCCATTCCAGTGGGTCTTATTGCTAGGAAGTCGATAACCTAAATTGGGCATCATCAAACAATAGCAACTGGATCATTCTGCTCCGCAGACCATATTCATTAATCGAAGCCCAAAAATAACCTTTTATGAGAATCTTGATAATCTTGACTTAAAACTTTAAATCATGAGGTTTGCACTCAGTGCTGACCAATTTTAACTAAATATTCCGAATATAACTAAGGGGGTTGGGTAGCCTAATGGTTAACATGTGGAAGGGTTGGATCATTGAGTCAAGTGGCGGGGTGGGGGGGTATCTAGTGGTTTAATGCATGTGTGTGAAGTTATAAGGTCTGTCATTGAGTCAAGTGGGTTTTATCCAGGTCCTCCGGTTTCCGCCGGTGATTTTTGAAATAAAATTGAACCATGTGTTAGTCTCGAAAAGACCTAGTATGTTTTTTTCTAGTGGAAGTTAAACCCCATTTCTCTCACTCTCAGAATATAACTTAAAAGAATAATAGATGGTATATTGTTCTCCAAATGAGTTTAAACCATCCTTCCTTTCTTCAACAGATCTGGGTTATATTTTTATCAAGTAAAAGCTTTTATCATTTTGCCCCATATTGTCTAATTATCAAACAGTCAACTGGAGTGTTATTAATTTTCCTGCCTAAAAATGTCTGAAGACATCTGCTGTAGTGTTGTATAATAATATAGATTGGTAGTGATATATTGTTTAAACTATCTTTTCCTTATTATATGGGTTCTGTAATTTCATAGGCTCATATTGAAATGCGGTCATTTAATGTTGTCATCACTGTCTGTCTCTCCGTCTGTCATCTACAATTGTTTGTGTATGCTCCAGGCTCCAGAGGCTAAAGTGATCTTCTGATTTACTTGACATTTCTGCTATTGTTATTGCCCTTCATGAATATTATATTACATTATTGACAGTATATATATTGTGACATTGTCTAGATGGATATTATATTATTTGCAGTATATAATGTTGAGTTTTTTGTGTAGATAGTTGATGATGAAGGGAATATTTTACCACCTGAACAAGAGGGGAATATCGCTGTCCGCTGTAAACCAGATAAACCAGTTGGACTGTTCACTAAATATTTGGTAAATATTCTACACTTTACAATTAAGTATAAAACGTTACTACATAGCAGAGGTTTTGTATTTCTAGCAAAATATGTCTGTAATATCTTAGAGGTAATAATATAACATAGGTTTAATAAAAACAACAATATTGGTCATTAGATATTTATGACAATCTGATTAAAACACAGATCCTATTTCATTTCGTTTTTTATAGTTCAAAATTTTGTTTTACTTGTCTTTACTACGCTAGGATCTGGAAGACTTGTTACATTACCAGCATTTTGGTTGAAGTGAGGGATAAGTCAATGAAACGGTCTGTTACGGTGATTTCGTGGCGTGCCATGCACGGAACTGTGGGTAAACCACTAGAAACGTCAACGCTGATTGATTAATCAATGTCTGACATCATAGGGTCAAAAGCCGTTGAGTACAACTGGTCAGATCTTCATGTAGTGTAGGCCATCAAAAGTATAAAAAAAAGCGAAACGAAATATAGATCTGTATTTTAATCAGATTGTTATTTATTATTGAGTTGAACCTATTAAAGCCAGAGGAAATGGACATGTTTACATGCCAAGAGGTTTTATAATTCGAGCAAAATGTGAGTCTGTAATATATACATAGGTTTAATAAAACAAAAGTGGTCACTTCCAGATTGTACATGACAAGGTGTAGGTTCACCTGTCCAAAATCGTGGGTTTTTCTCTGGGCCCTCCGGTTTCCTCCCGCTGCTAAAGACCGCAGCCTCACTTTTCCCCTTATATGACTGGTTTTTGCCCATAACCTGGGTTGTCTGTAGGACTGAGTAAATGGTCATGTCTAGCAGACCAGATATCTATAAATATTAAATGTATGATTTTGAGCAGCTTTATTGGTATTCTTTCAGGATGATTCAAATAGAACTAAGTCTGTGTTTGTTGGAGATTTTTATCTAACAGGAGATAGAGGTAAAGTAGATGATGATGGCTACTTTTATTTTATAGGACGAGCTGATGATGTCATACTATCTGCTGGGTAATGAACTTTTTGCTCATTACACTTAATTAATTCTTAGCCAAAATTCTATCCTGATTAACGCCCCTTATTATTTTATTTTTTTATATTTTTTTTTTACATTCTAACTCACTTAGTCATCTGGCACACTATCGCCACCAGGAAACCCATCAGGAGACGAACACCATCAAGACTTTTTGCATTATTGCGTTCTTCTTGTAAATCCTTGTTTTGTTTTTCAATTTGAATGAAGTCTGTATTATTACAGGTCCCCGACTGTACAATAAATTTATTTTAAAGACTTAGAAACATTTTATACTTTATTTTAAGACCCAAGTGAATCAGTGACATTTATTACAATCGTGACGTTGATACAAAGAGAAATTAGGTATTAAAATTGGTAAATTTAGACACTTTTGCAAATGTGAAAACAAACATTGAAATAAAATGGGAACTATTTGAAAATTTTGGTGAATTACAATAAATATTGGTCAACTTGACAGAAAAAAATGAGGGTGGAGACCAGGTAAAATTTGTAATTCCATGTCATCCATCTGATTATAGTGCCTTGATAGATGAGTTTTAACTGCATTGATATAGTGCCTTGATAGATGAGTTTTAACTGTGCCATTATAGATGAGTTTTAACTGCATGGATATAGTGCCACTATAGATGAGTTTTAACTGTGCCATTATAGATGAGTTTTAACTGCAGGGATATAGTGCCACTATAGATGAGTTTTAACTGCAGGAATATAGTGCCACTATAGAAGAGTTTTAACTGTGCCACTATAGATGAGTTTTACACTATAGATGAGTTTTAACTGTGCCATTATAGATGAGTTTTAACTGCAGGGATATAGTGCCACTATAGATGAGTTTTAACTGCAGGGATATAGTGCCACTATAGATTGGTTTAAACTGCAGGGATATAGTGCCACTATAGATTGGTTTTAACTGCAGGGATAAAATGCCACTATAGATTGGTTTTAACTGCAGTAATATAGTGCTGTTAAAGGTGAGTTTTAACTGAAGTACCATATATTTATTATCAGATATCGTATTGGACCTTTTGAAGTAGAGAGTGCTTTGTTAGAACATCCTTCTGTGTTAGAGTCAGCTGTAGTTAGTAGTCCTGATGATACTAGAGGAGAGGTAATAACATTTTATCTACAATATACTTGGGAGCTACCAGTGTGTAGTTGAGGCAAAATTATTTCTCAATCATCTGAGTAATGTATGAAGTAATGAACATAGAGACATGCATGGAGTGGCATATGATTAATATATTATTTATCTTATTGTGTGTTGGCATATGATTAATATATTGATTATTTTATTGTAGATTGTGAAAGCATTTGTAATACTTACTGATAAATATAAAACCACCAACCAATCAGATTTAATTAAAGAACTACAGAACCATGTTAAACAATCAACAGCTCCATATAAATATCCTAGAAAGGTACAATTATTTCTTACATATAAATATCCTAGAAAGGTACAATTATTTCTTACATATAAATATCCTAGAAAGGTACAATTATTTCTTACATATAAATATCCTAGAAAGGTACAATTTTTTCTTACATATAAATATCCTAGAAAGGTACAATTATTTCTTATCTCGTACATATAAATATCCTAGAAAGGTACATTTATTTCTTTCATATAAATATCCTAGAAAGGTACAATTTTTTCTTACATATAAATATCCTAGTATGGTATGATTATTTCTTACATATAAATATCCTAGTAGAAAGGTATGATTATTTCTTAGATATAAATATCCTAGTAGAAAGGTATGATTATTTCTTAGATATAAATATCCTAGAAAGGTACAATTTTTTCTTACATATAAATATCCTAGACAGGTATGATTATTTTTTACATATAAATATCCTAGAAAGGTACAATTATTTCTTACATATAAATATCCTAGAAAGGTACAATTTTTTCTTACATATAAATATCCTAGAAAGGTACAATTATTTCTTATCTCGTACATATAAATATCCTAGAAAGGTACATTTATTTCTTACATATAAATATCCTAGAAAGGTACAATTTTTTCTTACATATAAATATCCTAGTAAGGTATGATTATTTCTTACATATAAATATCCTAGTAGAAAGGTATGATTATTTCTTACATATAAATATCCTAGAAAGGTACAATTTTTTCTTACATATAAATATCCTAGAAAGGTGTGATTATTTTTTACATATAAATATCCTAGTAGAAACATATGATTATTTCTTACATATAAATATCCTAGAAAGGTACAATTTTTTCTTACATATAAATATCCTAGAAAGGTATTATTATTTCTTACATATAAATATCCTAGAAAGGTACAATTATTTCTTACATATCAATATTCTAGAAAGGTATGATTATTTCTTACATATAAATATCCTAGTAGAAAGGTATGATTATTTCTTACATTTAAATATCCTAGAAAGGTACAATTATTTCTTACATATAAATATCCTAGTAGAAAGGTATGATCATTATTTACATATAAATATCCTAGAAAGGTACAATTTTTTCTTACATATTAATATCCTAGAAAGGTACAATTATTTCTTACATATAAATATCCTAGAAAGGTATGATTATTTCTTATATATAAATATTCTAGTAGAAAGGTAAAGGTATATTTGTTGCATTAAAACACATATAGATATCCTACAAAGATACAAATATATTAGGAGCTGCATTTGCCAAGTGATAAAGGTGCTTGCTTACTAACCAGGAGGTCCCGGGCTCGGGACTGGTGTTGGCCAAGAAAGTTCCCTGGGTCTTGCAGGCGTGGTTTCCTCATATCAGTGGTGTAGGATGAAGGGCATGGCAAAGAACAGCATCTAGATGTTCGAAAAAGACAAAAAAAAACCTAGGGTAATAAATTTCCTAGGAATATAGCATAATAGAGTAATTTTTAATGAAATTTAAGAGGCACTGTTGTAGATTTGAATATGATTGGCCACAGTTCGGTAGCCGATATAGACAAGCTATTGTCACCTATAAGTGTTAGTTAAAATCTTTTTATGGGCCCCCTTTTGTTCCAATTGAATTCAAGCAAGGAGATTATCTGCCTCAATTTCATGCCAAAAAATACATTTATACGATTATGCCACTGAAAATTGGATATTAAAGAATTGAAATTGGATATTGTCTGAAAATTGCAAATGGTAATCAACAGCTTCAAGATTTACTAATAATCCCAATCACTGGTCAAACGGTCATAATTGGATGAGGTTTGTGAAATTTTGAAGAATGTTTCACTTTATTATATTTTACAGATTGAATTTGTGGAAAATTTACCAAAAACTGTGAGTGGTAAAATAAGACGAGTGGAATTACGAAATAAAGAATGGGGAAAAAATTGATATTTTGGTTGATCAGTTGCCTTACATTGATTGATGAGTATTGGTTAATACTATCCTGCACACATAATCATTATGTAACACTCCCTTTTGTTTTATTCATTTTATTGATTTAACATTTTTAATAGCAAAGGGTGAGTATATTGAAATCAAAGAAAATTAGAAGACTTCCAATATTTATGTCCAATTCAAGAAAATGATCTTTTATTTTCTTTATTATCAACAATAACTAGGACTTTGTTGAAGGATGTATTCAGTAAAAAGACACTTACGTTACATTTGTATGGAAGTTCAACAGAGCTGCAAAATAAATAGATAGAACTCAATGACCATTGAATACCGCTCGGGTTATTCAATGGTTCAAGAGAGTGTCAGGAATACACTCGAGTGTACCATTGAATAACCTGAGCAGTATTCAATGGTCATTGAGTTCTTTTTTTATTCTATAACTACATGTAAATCTCAAAATACACTGTACTATCCATATTATCAAAAACAAAATCACAAATAGCGTTAAAATTCGTCATAGGTTCCGCCCTTTTTTCGTTCTTTTTTTTTTACAAAAATTGTGGTTCCTAGTGTTGACGTCATTACGGTTTGACGTAATTCTGAAAGTGACGTCATTCTGGACAAAAGTAGTATGTGTTGAAGTCATTGAATACAACCATAGGTTATTCAATGGCAGTATTCATTGGCTGTATTCAATGATATTTGCTTGTATTTGCATGTAGTTATAGAATAAAATGTTTAATTAATAGCACATAATGCTGAAACTTAAATATGATGTATTTTCCCATTTTTATATGCTCGCAATGGGATTTGGTTAACCTAGCAGTTTATGCATTGACCTAGGAACTTCAAAGTCTGTGACCCAAAAATGTATGTGATTGTGTAGTTTTAGTTGGTGAGCTACAAGCTCAAGCACCTAGCACTTTCAAATACTTAAGCTTAATGTTGATGCACCATTGTATGCAATTTCTAGAACACATCAAAAGGTATATATTTTTCTAAACTGAACCCTTATTTTTTGCTGTACCTTCTCTTCTTAATCCTAAGCTTTAGGTTCTTAGATATATGTTTCCGGAAGAAAAAATGTAGGTAGGTAGGTAGCAAATAAACACCATTGGTGTTACAGGTTAACAGTGCAGAAATGAACTATCAGTTTTTAAGGTAGGTGCATTTTTTCCTAACGGGTTTCAGAATTTAATTATCATATAACTTGTTTTCTTTATATTGGTGCAAAAGGTAGAATATATACCCCTTCTACAATATAAGTGAAATCTATATCAGATTCTTTATTTGTTATAGCCCAAATCAGGCATTGATGATTACATCAGTGCTTAATATTATATATTATACTCATTTTTATACACACACATTGAAATGTGGTCCTATATTGTCATGGCCCCCGTCCGTCCGTCCGTCCGGCGGTTCGGCGTCTTGTGGACGCTCTAGAGGCTTAATTTAATTTCCAGTTGACTTTAAATTTATACACAGTGTTTAAGGTCATGAGACGAAGAAGCCTGTTGATTTCCGATAATTACTGTCAGAGTTATGGCCCTTGATCACTTTGAAAAATCTGTGGACGCTCTAAGAGGCTAAAGTTAATACCCAATTGACTTTAAATTTATACACAGTGTTTAAGGTTGTGAGACGAAAAAGCCCAGTGATTTTCAATGATTTCCGATAATTACTACAAGAGTTATGGCCCTTGATCACTTTGAAATAATCTTGTGGACGCTCTAGACGCTAAAGTTAATATCTAATTGACTTTAAATTTATACACAGTGGTTAAGGTTGTGAGACAAAGAAGTCCAGTGATTTTCAATGATTTCCGATAGTTACTACAAGAGTTATGGCCCTTGATCACTTTAAAAAACGAAAGTTATCATTGACTTTAGAGTGATACACAAAGTTTAAGGTCTTGACACGAACAAGTATATTGATTTTCAATGAATTTTGATAATTTAAACAGCTAAATCCATGATATTACATGTTTTGTATACAAAACGTTAGCATGGGGCAGAACTGAAAGCCAAACAAATTCTAATGATTTTCTGATAATTAATGAATTGTCAATCTTAATCAGATTTTAGTATTATAAATGTTTCATTACCGACAATAGAAAACATATGCCACAACTCTTGTTGACTGCTCGGATGACTTAGCTGCTGTGGGCATATGTTTCGTTGCATGGCAACCTATCTTATAGTTAACTCATACATTATGCATCAGTTTATGTTGATGATTACACCAGTGTCTAACATTATACTTTTTTATACATGTAATTTACTCGTGTTTATACGTCAGTTTATGTATTATATATCTGTTTATATTGTTATATTAACTCTTGTATTAAATATCAGTTTATATTGTGATATTAACAAATGTATTATCTATATCAATTTATACTGTTATATTAACACTTGTATTAAATATCAGATTCTATTGTGATATTAACTCATGTATTAAGTATTAGTGTTTATATTGTTATATTTTTTTGTCTATAATTTACCAGAATTATATATTGTTATCTTTTATATATATTTCAATAATTAAAGCCACTGATAGTCATTTGCATTTTTTGAAAATATCAAAAGTTTCAGGGCTTAATCCACCAACATATACAAAGATTGATTATTAAACAAATCAAAACAATAATATCGACTGTGCATAATAGCACGGGCTTGGATTTAATGAGATGAAAAATAGGCCCATCAAACGATTTATAGGTGGCAGGTGGCACTATATCATCTGTAAACTGCAGAGGATGTTGAATGTTGTGAACTTTTCAATTGTTCATAATTTTTATTTGTAAATACTGAACCGAATTGAAGAATTACTGATATTCCATTTAGAGATTCAACTACATGTATAACGGTATTGTAGTGAAGGGAGTTCAAAACCCTCAATTGAAAAGCAGCAGATATATTCACCAGCTTGGTTTAATATAAATTATGTTACACTAGTATGATATATTGTTATGTTTATATATGAGACAAAGTTAAAAGTGGTATATTATGCTGCTGTAATCTGTGAAGAATTGTTTGATTTATTTCTTTTTAGTGGAATTTACTTTTTTAAAAAGATAATAATATTGTTTTGCTCAAATCAGAATATATGTAAATGATTATATTAGTTATATTAAAAATAAATGATTGAGTCAAGGGCTGTTGGCAGAAATATTGGTAATACATGTAGAAGATTAAAAAAAACAAGTTCTTTTCAACAAAGTCTCCAGTCATTGTTGAATTGCTCAGTGAGTAAGAGATTGGCTCAATATACCCAGGACGTCCCGGCTTCAATCCCTGTGTTCGCCAAGAAAGTTCCTCGGTATTTTCCAGCGTGATTTCCCCTTGTGCTGCAAGATAATGTGGTTCGATCCCGGTGTTGGCCGAGACATTTTCCAATCTGGTTTGCCCTTGTCAGTGTTGCAGGACGGGGAGTCTAGCAAGGAAAGTGTCTAGTCGCTCGAATTGTCCAAAAATCCGGCGCCCCATGTACACATTGGCATGTACCAATCTGTTTAAAACACAGACCCTCTTTTGTTTCGTTTTTTATAGTTTTAAATTTTGTTTTACTTATCTGTACCACACCACAGTACACGCGTTCTGGTTGATGTGAGGGATTAGCCAATGAAGTTGCGTACAGTGCATGGAACTGGGTATTCCACTAGAAACATCAACGCTGATTGCTTAATCAAATGTCTGACGTCATAGGACCAAAAGTCGCTCTTATGACCCCGATGCGACCTCCCACTACAACAGGCCAGATCTTCATGTAGTCGAGGTTATCGAAAGTATAAAAAAAGCGAAACGAAATATAGATTTGTATTTTAATCAGATTGGGTATGCACATAAAAGAACCCTTCTGTACGGGCAAATTTCCCTCCTAGCACACTGTATGACGTATGCCCGTCTTCATTAGCCAATTCGGCGCCGAAAAGGATCTGTGTTTTATTAGCCCAGTAGATGCAGAATAGGATCGTGGAACTGTCGAATTCAACGAGTAGTTCGCATTGGGCCAATGCTATAGAAAAAAGTCTTAAGTTATTTGTAATATATTTTTGTTCTTTCCAGCAGTGAAACATCCATGTCTATAACATCCAAGCGATGGGGTGAACATGTATAATCCTTATATTACTATGTTTGATTGAAAAAAATAACACATTAGAACATCATAATATATTTGATAAGCTTTTATTAAACATCAAATCTGTTGGGCAAACATGGCAACGCGAAATAAATACTACTTAATAAGATTGATTAAAATTTATTCTTGAACACTGTATGCTCTAAGATCAAACTAATACCATGGCTTTGTTCCAAACATTATCTGATGTTTTGTACTGCAAAAAGAAAAGAACATGGTTAACAAAAATGGTGGTCAACAAAAGCAGATCTTGTTTTGGTTTGTATGGTGAGAAACAATTCCAAACGGGTACTGCTGGTGAAAAACATAGGGAAGGAATTTTATGAGTTATTACCACCAATATAACTTTACTGACATGTTGTGTTGAATATGCATGTTGTCCTAAAATATAATACATTGATTTAAACACCGAATATAGTCAACACCAGAGTCACACAAAGGTACAGTAAAAAATATTTTTTTGGGTCCTAAAAATTATTATAACTGAAGTTTACAATGGTTTCTTCACGGCGCCATCTTTATCTCTCTTTGACAGATTATAATTGTGCAATCTTTTTCGTACAAGTATACATATGACGTTTAAAATACATGTGAACGATTTGGTATTTTGTGCATTTAAGGCCAATGTTATTAGGTTCAGATCACCTGATTCAACGATCAAAATATACTTTATTTTAAAAAAACTTTATAAATGATTCTGACAGGTCTGGAGACAAAAGATTGTGATTGTATGCACTCGTTTTGAATGAAATGGTTCAATACATTTTATATATCGAAACTTTTTGACAGAAAAATATCAGTTTTACTTGAAAAACATGGGCAAAGCGACCATTGGTAGACGTAATATTATATAATTGTTACACAGTAAGCAGTGTTCTATGAAAATAACATCCCAATTAGACTCAATATACGCACATGAGATACAATTCCAAATATACTATTCAAAAAAAGTAGGGGATATTTGATTTAGGGGGCATAATACTAAAATATGCAAATTACTACGAAAAAAGTCACTATAGAACCTAACAGAAGAAACATTTCCAGTTACATGTGACGCCCAAACGCACCAATAGCTACCGCATGGAATGCAGGTGATGCTTGGGATCATCATGGGGGTCCAACCCAAGATTTGCACGACTCTGACTTTGAATGTTACAGTCATTGTGGCATTGAATTCCAGGGTGGAAACATCAGTTTAATTGTTTTAGTGACCAGAAAACAAATTTTGATATGCGTCGGCTTACCCAAAATGAAAGGTTACGTGCCCTTGGCATGCTACAGATCGGCACAACACAGGCGGTTGTGGCGCGGACGATGAATGTTTCTCAGTCTGTCATAAGCAGGCTATGGTCCAGATACCGTGATACACAATCTGTACAGGACAGACCACGCTCAGGTCGACCAAGGGCGACAACTCAAGCCCAGGATCGATTTATCCGTACCTTGGCCTTGAGAAATCGTGTCATCACAGCAAATCAGATCAGTGCTCGTCTTCAAACAGACACTGGTGTGAGAGTGAGTGGCCAGACGATTCGGAATCGACTGCATAGGGGTCACCTTCGCGCCCGACGTCCTCGCGTGATCCCTTGTTTGAGAGATCATCACATTCAGGCAAGACGTCGTTGGTGTAGGGATCGTCAACACTGGGATAATCGACGCTGGAGCAATGTGATGTTTTCAGATGAGTCAAGGTTCACTATTGATTTTTTGGACAGACGTAGGAGGGTGTGGCGTCGTCGAAACGAGCGCTTCCAAGACGTTAACGTCATCAGACATGATCGATTTGGGGGTGGTTCTGTTATGGTGTGGGGAGGCATCACTGTTGCTGGAAGAACGGCTTTACATGTTGTTGCAGGGCGTGTTACAGGCCAGTACTACCGGGACAACATCTTGGCAGTCCATGTTGTGCCGTTCGCACGACGTCATGGCCGCCGTTTCATCTTCCAGGATGACAACGCAAGATGTCACAGGGCCAGGATCGTTACAGGTTACCTCCAACAACAGAACATCACCACATTACCTTGGCCAGCACTGAGTCCCGACCTCTCCCCCATCGAGCATGTCTGGGACATGCTTGGACAGAGGTTACGTCAACGTCAACAACGTCCTGCCAATGTCCAAGAACTTGCTGCTGCGTTGCAACAGGAATGGGACAATCTGGACCAAAATGACCTTAGACGTCTCATTAGGAGTATGCCACGTCGGATCAATGCTTGTTTGGCAAACAGAGGAGGATTTACCCGTTACTGACTTGGTTGTGATGCTGTGGTAACTTTGCTGTTTGACCCCGGGTATCATTTTACCCTTATAATGGCCAGTCTGTGCCTTACTTAGTCTAACGATCATTTGGAATAAATCGATGAATGTGAAATTCATTTCATTTTGTCATTTGTTTCTTCGTCAGTTTCATTAGGTGACTTTAATAACACTTAAAAATCAAATATCCCCTACTTTTTTTGAATAGTATATATTGAAAGACAAAAGAAACACCACCCAGAATACCATATAATTTACAACATTTTTTTAAACGCATATTCTGTTTAACATGACTCTTCTTGATTTGGGTCTTGCAGTTAAGAATTGTCTCACACTATAATATCTAAATACGCTGGCTGATAAGGGACATGAAAAATAATATAATTTGTTTTTTTTAATATTCACCCAAGTCAATTTTAATATAATTTGTTTTTTATAATTTTCACCCAAGTCAATTTTAATATAATTTGTTTTTTTATATTTTTCACCCAAGTCAATTTTAATATAATTTGTTTTTTGTAATTTTCACCCAAGTCAATTTTAATATAATTTTTTTTTTTTTATAATTTTCACCCAAGTCAATTTTAATATAATTTGTTTTTTATATTTTTCACCCAAGTCAATTTTAATATAATTTGTTTTTTATAATTTTCACCCAAGTCAATTTTAATATAATTTGATTTTTATAATTTTCACCCAAGAATTTCCACCCAGCGCGTGACTCTCTCTCAAAGTTTGCGTACGAGGGGCGACCATTTTGTCCAGCAGTTTCGATCAGATTTTCAGAAAATTCGAACTCAATCATCATTAGGGCGTAAGGGTGATATATTCAAACGTTTTTTTTTAAATCGGATACAAATTGTGACCTCTAGAGGGACCAAAAGCTAAAAACGAGATTTTTCGTACAATCAAGGGTCGTAATTCAGAAAGTTAAGATCCGATAAGCGCGAATATCGAAAGAAACCAGATGATAATTGTGACCTCCACACGCTAAAAAAGGTGACTTTTCGTACAATCAGGGGCCATAATTCATGAAGTTTCAATCCGATACATGCCAATATTGAAAGGAACCTAGATCTTTTGGGGATAAACCTATATTTCAAGTCTCGTCAAAATCGGATGGGCGTCCGGACGGACAGGGGTGACGACAATATACGTCCATATGAATATACGTCCATTTCCAACAAATCTGTGAATGTGATACAAGACAATGGTCACTAAGGCCTATTTTAAATCTTTGTGGGACTTTTCATCGGGGCGTGTTAGTCGCTTAATTATCCAGCAGTTTTCCACAACTTTGCTAAAGGGCGCGGTACAATTAATATAAGAATTTACGTTAAGGACATATTCCAGACTAAAAGGCGTGGGACAATTAATTTAAGAACTTACGTTAAGGGCATATACCACACATAGTTCTACAATCTGATGGAAAATTACTGTATTGTTGGCAAGCACTGGTCCCGAACTGCTCACAGAAAAACAAATCTGGTATACTACAATCAGCTAAAAAACGAAAGTTAATATATTGAAATAAATAATATCATAACATAATAAATAACTCAATAATTCATGTTAGATTGGTAACAAAGGCGTGGCACAATTAATATATAAACTTACGTTAAGGACATATGCAACACGTTATGCTACAAGCTGATGGTAAATTGCTGTATTCTGTGCACAACTCGGAGGCAGAATATTGAAACAATACTAACTTAATAATCCTAGAATTCAATTTAGATTGGTAAGAAAAAAGTTTGTACTTGATTATCGGTATAAATACTCGCCATACAAAACAGTATTTACCAACTTGTATTCTGTGGGATGCAACGTGGAATTCTTTATGCAGAAAACAGAATACCCTTCGTGCATGGGTCTTAATTAGTATATCCTAGTTAGTTATTATCAACGGTCATCGGAGCGGGGGGGGGGGGGGGGGCTCATTTTTTTCACAGGAAACAGAAAACTCTTCATAGGACTACAAGGTATATTAACAATACCGCATTCATATATAACAAGTTTTCATCCATGCAGCCCTGAGGGACCCGCTATTGAAGCAACCACGCTGTTACAGGCCCCCTAGTTGTATCACCAAACATCTATAGAAATATTAGGGTCATCATCGGAGCGGGGGCTCATTTTTACAGGAAACAGAAAACTCTTCATAGGACTACAAGGTATATTAACAATACCGCACTCACATATAACAAATTTTGATCCATGCTACCCTGCAACTTCAATAGAAGGCTTGATCTCGCTTTAACTACGTACATCTTATCAAGACCTTCACGTAATAGCCTGCATATTTCGGCACTAATTTCGATTGGATACAAGCCCAACTTGTGAGCCTATCAGATTCCTCGACCGTCGCGAATACCAAGTCTCGCGCTTTCAAGCTAAAATGTCTACCTGTGATAATCGAGTTGCAAATCTAAAAGTTCATTCAATGTTAAGGTTTCCGTGGAGGTGACGATGTCAGAACCTCTGGACGCTACTGCTCACGTGTCTGTAGATAACATAGCTATAAGTTCGGGAATTGTGAAGTAAACAAGCAACGGCCAGAAGTTGTAAAACTCGCAGTCGTTGCTCCAGGAACATGCCAGAAGTTGTAAAACTTGCAGTCGTTGCTCCAGGAACATGGCCTCCCTGAGGGACCCGCTATTGAAGCAGTCACGCTGTTAGTGTTAGTGTTACAGACCTTCACCGGTCACGGAAAGCCTCCTATCTATAGAAATATTAGGGTCATCTCCATATTATGAAATGAAATGAGGGTTTAAGGTCCAACATTTTTGCCCTGACCGTCCTTATGAAGACGGGCATAGCCATGCAGTATGCTATGAGGGATTTTGCCCGGACAGCGGCGACAAGGCCTACTCTTATTCCGAAATGAAACTGCCAATGGTTATTTTACGTGAACGCCAATGTGTAAATGGGAATTCGGGTTTTTCGTCCCATCCGAACGACTAAACACTGTCCCATATTATGACGGACACAGTGCTATATAATACACAGTTACTGTATGATATACATAACCTATTATAGCAGATACTACCAATATATAAGCATATATCAATTATACAATAAAGATAATAGAAAGGTACAAGATGTTACAGAGAATAATTTATATTTGGATTTGTCTTGAATAAATATATAAGAGGGTTATGTGTTTTAGATTAAAGAAAAGAGTTTCGCACTTTATTCAACTCAATTATAATGGGCGTTTCCCTTACTAAGGTATGCTAATATTGAAATCACTAAATAACCTAACGAACACGAAACTCTGGTTTTTCCAACAGAGTTATTACACCTGAGAACTTGCCATCGTCGTGTATGTTATTGCCTGATTGACTTCAAAGATACTTGAGTACGAGTCATGCATGTGTTGTTTGAAAACATTTATCCGTCAGTCCAACGTGTCACACTTTCATGTGGCGTTGACTGTGGGAACACCTTTGTATGTATAAATGCACCTTCTCGATTTAGCCTATTCAAAATTTTAAATCATTCGAATTTGAAGATAAGCCATTTAAAAAAAAAGAAGAATAAATAAATAATAAGTGAGAGGAATGTGGTTTTATGAACACTCGACACAAACTATGTCATTTTGGGACTAACATGGTTTAATTCTTATTTCAATAATCCGCTTGTGCGTAGCGGTCTTAATTAGTGGGATGAAACAGGAGAACCCGGAGAAAACCCAAAGGTTGGACAGGCGACATGCTCGAAAACACACCACTTGATGCAATGACAGATCTTCTGATCCAAAGCGCACGCGTTAAACCATCCGAACATCCAATATCCCATAAATAAATATCACTTACTCTCAGTACATGTATCACCGGTGTATGGTGACTTGCACGTGCACGAACACGATGAAATGTCCAAAGTACCGCCATTTTCACAGGTCTTTCCATCACAAGCTGAAATGGTAACAAAGTCATGATATTAACACATGATAGTAAAGAAACATTCCCACGAAAATAATTAATAGCGTAGTTAATCAAAAAAAAAATATGACATATTTAGTATAAATGGAAAGCAGAGATACTTAATGTCACTATAAAAATACCCGATTCCCTGAAAACACCATGGGGCGCCCACAGGAGAACAATGTAGGTGTATAGCTAACTGGTAACTTTCCGCTTGTTGTCAACTCGAGTGACGTGAGGAGCGCTTCGTATGATCTGAAAGAATAGCCGGAGGTTGTGAGAACCTGGGGAGACTTAAACATACAGCAGACTCGTCAATTAAACGACGGGCAAGGAAGCTAGCAAAGAATAATCGAAGAAGTTACTTAGGCTTCGATATTTATGGCAAATGACAGCGAGTGACGACAAATGCCAGATGAAATATATTCACTCTCTTGGCAAATAAGGGGGCTTAAAATAGACTATTGCGGTTTGGGGCAATTTTATTGACATTAAAATGATTCGAGAGGGATTTGAAGCAAAAGCTTGCTTTGATAAATTAGTCACCAAAAAACATTGCTTGCTTGAGTATGTAATTAATTCCCCTTACATATTAATCCACAAAAAAAGACAGCTCAAACTTTATAAATCATTATAAACCTGTAACAGTAAATCTCTTTGATATTTGGGGTATATACTATGCCCGGAATAACTTGAGGTCTGAAAGTCGGGCTTTGGGTATATACAGGTGAATTTGGTGTTATTCTTCTGAAAGTTTTTCTTTAAACCTATAACAGGTTATTCTTCCAGGGTAGGGTTTTTTCCATAAGAAAACATGGTCTAAGGTTTTTCTTATTGGAATTCTGGGATATTCTCATTTTGCGTACATGTAAACATAGACGGTTTATAAGCAAGATAAAGTCCTCGACTTCGGTTATGCTGGGGAAGAAAGACTTCAGAAAAAAATCCTCGACAGAAAAACCTCGACCTGCCGGCCTCGGTTTTTCTTTTTCTCAGGTCATTTTCTTCATTCATTCTTTCCCCAGTAAAACCTCAGTCTCGTGCTTTATCCTACACAGAAAATATATAAATAAACACAATTTCTCATAGAAGACATAAGTAAAGAACAAAACGTATTAAAGAATTATACATGTAGTATTGGTGTGGGAACGGTTGGTAGATTGGACACATGTAACATTTATCTTTCTCCCCAAGTATTCGAATAATATGAATAAAACGAACATTCGACCACCGTGTCTTTTGGGATATAGGCACATGTAAGTTATAATTCTTACAAAGTTAGCAGCATTTATATTGAAACTAAAAACAATGCCAACCAATTAGACTCCATATAAACACAATGAGATAGATTACCACTGAGAATGGTCTGATAACACCCTAATCGGCTGATAGAAGCCTCTTTAATTCAATCTTTTTCTATCTTTTGAACGCAATACGGACAGCGATTGTATATTTAAAACATCGGTATTCCCAAATGACCATTGAAGTATTAAACTAACCTACCGATATTCAAAGTAGTTGGGGGATCTGTCTAGTCTATTGATATCAAAAGCAGCGGGAAACATCATATCCTAGAGATATTCACAGCAGCAAAATAATCCTAGCCTATTGGTATCCAAAGCAACAGGAAGAGATCTAACCTATTAGTATCCAACATTTTCGGATAAAAATTGCGAACGCAGATTGATGGTATTCATATTGTGATACAGAAGAAGGTTTGTGGAACTTTTCATTGAGGCGCGTTGCCCGTTTATTTACTAGCACACTTCAACTGCTTACGTATAGGACATATTCCACACTAAAAGGCGTAGCACAATTAATTTAAGAACTTACGTGGAGGGCATATACCACACATAATGCTACAATCTGATGGAAAATTACTGTATTGTTGGCAAGCACTGGTCGGGTAATTCGTGCAGAAAGACTTGTCTAGTGTAGTACAACTTGCTAGAAAACGAAATTTAGTATATTGAAACAAATAATATCATAACATAATAAAAAACTCAATAATTCATTGGTAACAAAACTTTGCTTTTGATAATCAGTATAATCATATAGTTTGGAATGGAGACTTTTATGATACAGTAAAACAGAATACGCTCCATACGTCTAAGAGGCGTATTAACAAGGACACATTTATGTATAGTTTAATGGTCGAGAGCGAGACATAAAGTAATAAATATTGATACTGCAGGAGGCGTTAGCTCGAGACCATTAAACGACTTAAAATACACTGTCCCGCAGGTGCTTTTCAATGAAATACGTCACGCAAGTCCAATATTTCATCTAGTATAGATAATGTACGATTGCCAAGCTGCCCGTACATTATTGGAAATAATGGCATGCCAACACCAAAGGATGACGTCACATCTGTATTTTAAATATATATTATAATATAAGTTGTCATCAGAATAACATAGAAAGTATAACGGTAAATTGCTACGTGGCTATAATGAACCATTTCGGAAAATAGACAACCACCAAGGTTTCTATTATGCGTGCGCACACGACCTCGGGCAACTAGACGATATTCCTTGCCAGCCAACATCATGGCGAACGATCCTTACTCACTGAGTCCCCGTGGCTCCATACAAGGCTACACCGTGAGGCCAATATCCAAAGCAGCCACACAGCTACTGAACATCCTGAAGCAGTTTCACCAACCAGCTATAAATTACACAAGTGAAATGCGCTTTATTGTAAAATGTGATATTAGACTTACTTTCTGTACATGTATCACCGGTGTATGGTGAGTTACATGTGCACGTACACGTGTTAATATTCAAAGCGCCGCCATTTTCACATTTCTTTCCATTACAAGCTGAAAGGGTAATACCATCATGAAGAAAAATAACACGTGATATCTATATATACACAATCATATATTGATAATAATACGTGATGTTAATATATACACAATAACACGTGATATTAAATATATACATAATATCACGTGATATTAATATATACACCATAGCACGTGACATAAAAATATATACACAATACCACGTGATAATAATATATATATATCCAATACCACGTGATATTATTATATACACAATTTAATGTGATATTAATATATATATATATATATATATATACACAATAACGCGTTATATTTATGTAAACACAATAGCACGTGATATTAATACATACACAATAACATGTGATATTAATATATACACAATAAATGGTAGTCTTCAATATGTAATCTCCCTTATATATTAACCCATACAGGAAGACTTCATGAATATAGAGCATTTACATTTACATTTAAATAGTTACAGTAGAAGAAGTAAGTGAAACGGAAAGAACAAGAAGCGTTAAAATTAAAACACATTATATCTGTATTATGGGTTTCGGAAAGATTTGTATCTCGACTAATAAAATCACCCTTCTTTCAAGATTCATTTTACTAAGGAACGTTTTAAGTATTTTGCCAGGAATGACACAACTTACATTTTCCACAAACTTTAAATATATAATATAGGGACTTACGATAAGGACAAACTCCACAAAGCATGTTACAATCGGTTGGATAGTTTGAATATGTTTCACAATCTGCAGCATCAGCAGTAGCACACCAAGCCTTCTCTACGTTGTTGCAGGATACTGAAATTGAAACCGATTTATATAACTACATGGAAAACGTTGGATTATACTAAACAAAATCCATCGTCACTTAAATAGATTGGTCGACCTCAATAAGAAGAGGCGGTATGAAGACCCCCCCCCCCCCACCATCCCCATAATCCTTTTTGTTGTCATCGTGAATGTGAAACAAGAGGATATAATTTCGCTTCCAATATCATAAGGTATTATTCAAGGCTTATATGTTTTGTCTTTCACTCGTCTTCATAATACACCCTTGTCCCCACCACATCCACCTACTCTCGCCCATATCATGGAAACGGAGAAGGTATTCGACAATGCATTTGATCATGACATTTAGAATAGATTATAAAGAAAATAAAGATGAAAACGTACATGTTTCGCATTGGTCACCTGTGTATATACTTGGACAAGTACAGCTACAGGTATTTATATCTAGAGTACCAGAATTAAAACACAGTTTACCTTGACAATCTGTAAATAATTAGAGTTTATTTTACAATACTACAAAATGTGCCGAATAGAATAATTTCATATATATCATCCTATTATATGTTTTGTATTTTATATAGTTTTGTATAGTAACATTCTGGTCCAATAAATTTCACGTTATTGTGTGTTATCCATGAGTTATCCATGCGAGAGCATTTTAGTTTTACTGTCTCATTATTTTGAGTTATCCATGAAAGAGAATTTTAGTTTTACTTTCTCAGTATTAGAGGTTATCCATAATAGAGAATTGTGGATTTATTATACTAGTATTGTAAGTTATCCATGAAAGAGAATTTTAGTTTTACTATTTCAGTATTAGGGGTTATCCATAATAGAGAAATTTGTATTTACTATACTAGTATTGTAAGTTATCCGTGAAAGAAAATTTTGGTTTTACTATGTCAATATTGTGAATTGTTCGTGAAAGAGAATTTCTATTTTACTATCACAGCGTTGTGAGTTATCCACGAGAGACTGTTTTAATTTCAGTTTTCATACCCGTTTATGCATGCAATGACAGTAACGACACTATATTTTCGCGGACATCTTGAAACAAGAAAAACAAAACGGACAATGCCGTATCTTACCACAGAGTTTATTAGAACATTTACTGGGACATGCTGAACAACTCTCGCCGCTTGTATAGGGATTTTTGATACTGCCTTGACTAAAAAAATATAATAAATTAACTTACACTTAGGTACAAATAACAGTATATTAATACATCAAGTATAATATGAATGTGTGAATATCCAACCTTTGCCTTTCTTCTGACTGCAATCGGAATATGAGAACTTGATAGACTATTCGACAGTGTAAGAAACAAAGGCCCAAATTGGCTTAATCAACGAATCCATATTTTCACATTGGCCGATGAGATTTGCAGTGTGATTCATCCTTGTCTGGGGTGCAGGGCGGGGACCTGACAAGGACAGTGTCTAGTCATTTGGATGGGACGAAACGCCGAGGTCCCTTTCACACATCGGCTTGCATGTAAAAAAAACCCCTTACCAGTTGGATTTCGAAATAAGAGTAGACCGTAGCACACTGCACGACGTACGTCTATAGAATCGAAAAGGTTCAGAAGTGTTAACGGGGTCGACCAAATTTATGACATGAATATTCCAGTAAGTTGTCTAGGAGAAGCGGTTGAAAACAACCGAATTGTTCCTTTCAATTTTAGCACCTATGGCGTACCAAGCAACTATGTTTTATGAAATCTAAGTAAGTACCACGTGCCTACAGAACGCTTATATGTCCAAAAATGTCATAATTTGCGCCCTTAATACGTTAACTCTCCAACCACCAATAAACAAACATTAAATAAATACCAAATTTAATTTTGCTGAATTATATATAAGCTGAATTAGCCACGGACCAAAACGGCTTCATTTGAACCACCTTTTCAGATGGACGCCGGATTGACAGGGGGATGGATGGACGTCGGACTGACAGACGATAGACAGGGGTCACACACCCTTAGGGTTCACATCTGCATTTCTTCACAAAGATCTTGCGATGCCTCAGACTCGGCCATACAATATGACGTTTTAGTTTCGAATATCAAATACTTTTCCAATTTATAATTCCCAGAAAATTTATCCGTGAATAAGAAAGGAATTCCGGAAATGCAAATTGTTGAAAAAAAGGTAATACATACCCTATGGCATAATTACATATATAGTATTGTGTACCATCACAATCAGCTTGGCCACATCCAACACGTGCTGATTTATGTTGGACAACCTTTTAGTTAATAACAATAAACATAATTTAACATAAGTAATGTTTTCACATAAAGTACGGTATAATTATTGTGAGTATCAATTAATCAATTATAATGATGTCAATTTTATAAGCAATAGAATCTACTAATAATGTGTCTGTATATGATCGACAATTATTATTTTCATTTGTACATATTTTAGAAGACGCGGTGGCCCAATCAATATGACACTGACTCTCTTACCAGGAGATCCAAGATTCGATCTTGGCCGAAAAACCCGGAATTTTCCAGAGTGGCGTCCCCTTGTCAGTGGCACAGAACGGGGTGGGTACAGCATCTAATCGTTTGGACTGGACGAGAACCCGTGTACACGAGAGCCGAGGTCCCGTGTACACGTTGGCATGTACGTAAAAGAGTCCTTGACACAGTTGGAATTAGAACCCCGGGAAAAAATTTCCTCATAACACACTGCATGGCGTGTGTGCGTCTTCATTATCTTTGTTGACACAATGTAGGACGCTAAAACCCCCTTTCAATTTCATTTTATTTGAATATTTAGAACAATGATTTTATAAGCAGAAGTTGTATGCGTCTTGATAATCATAATTCAGTGTAAACCAAAGCCATACAGAATCTAGCCAATCATTGGCTCAATATGAGTAATAAAATGGCTTTTTTGTCTAATATAATGTAATGCTTTGCAATTATAGATTTTTACATAGTTCCCACCTCTGACCCACCCATATATCTTATACAGAACTATCATTCTGTTCGTTACTGACACTCATTATTTTACATTTGTTTTGTACTACTCTAGATCTATTAGGCATACAGAATGGGTTACTAACAGAATGGCGACCATGGTCGTAGTTGACCAGACTCTTTTGGCTCTGGCGGAAACCATTGTTAATAATATCAGTGTAAACATTGTATAGTTACTTGTGTATAATGACCGACATCCTTCCCGTTAATAGACCCAACACCATATTGGTAATCTACAACTTCATCATGCCATGCTGTGACAGCACCAACAAACGTGCTCATCCCTGCGGCCATGTTCTGGCCGTTGTATATATTTGGTAATGCTTAAATGAAAATCAACCATGTAGTTAAAGTAACAGTGCGTGAATTGCATTTTTCTGAAAATATCAAATTTCTCACGACTTAATTCACGCTGATAAGTATTCAGATTGATGCACCAAAATCAAAATATCAACGCCGGCGTGTTATAATATCATGACGTCATCGACCAGATCCATGGAATTTCGCTTTTTTATGGCATGCAAATACTGCAATGGAACTGAACCTTTCCTTTGCTGATATTCTTATTAGAAATTCGACTTTCACACTATTGTATTTGAAAAGTTCTTCCCATGGCGCTTAAATCACACACAGTAACTTTAAAGGTGCATTATGTAAGATGTTGAAAATTTCAGTCAAATTACTTTGTTCTGAGCGGAATTATTGGCATGACTGCCATTGCTTCTGATAACAAACAAAGTATCGATTAATTAAATTACTAAATCATTTGAAAATCAAAACCATCCGATGCTCTAGAGAATTGATTATATGGGCTTGTCATGTGATTAATTGTCTAATTAATGATTTATATATCAGTTTTGGTCTAGCGAAAGATTTAGCTCTGACATAATGCATCTACAAAGGGATACTACATATAAGTCGGTTCCGTCCTTAAACAAGAATATGGAGACGACCATATATCCTGCTCGCTGTTCCCAGGCCCGTAGCTAGCTGGGAAGTTGGTGGGGTGGGGGGCAAGGGGGCAGTATGGGCGACCCCCATAAAGCCGAGTGACATTGGCTAGGCGCCTACGACCAGATTAGCGGGGCGCCCAACCAATGTCACTTGGTTTTATGGCGAGGCGCCTCATAATTAATCACACAATTAACACCATAATTGATTGATGGGCCGCCCAAAACGGCGTGATCTGTGGGGTGCCTTATTCCGGAGGGCGGTCATAATGACATGATTGGTGGGGCGCCTTATAATGACACTATATGATTGTCGGGCCGCACATAATACACAATAACGAGTGAGATTGACTTAGCACCCACAACTTGATCAATGGGGCGCCCAAAACGGCATGATGTGTGGGGTGCCTGAACCCAGAGAGGCGAACATAATGCCGAGATTAGTAGGCCCCCCACGACGAGATCATTGGCGCCCATGATATAATTGGCGGGGCACCCATAATGTCGAGTGAGATTGGTAAGGCGCCCACAAATAAATTCGTATTCCTTCCTTCAAATTTTTATGATGTTCATATCAAAATATCATAATACGCCAAAATCGCAAATTCAGCCTCAAAATTGAAAGTTCCCGTCATTGTCATAGTTCCTTTCCTCAGGTGAACCCTATCTTCCAAAATTTTTTTGGGGGGGAGAGCACCCTAGACCCTTCCTCGAAGGGAGGCGCGGCCTCGGAGCAGATCGCCGTGGACCGTCAAGTGTAGGTACATCGCCCCCCCCCCCCCGAAGCCCCATCGGCGCCCAAGAAACCCTTGCCCTCACCCCAACATTTTGGGCTAGCTACGGGCCTGTGTTCCTCTTATTCATCACTGGCTTTTCAGGCTGCGATATCACCCTAGGTGGAAGCGGACGTGAAACTTGAAAAAAATTGAACTGAAATATATTGCCTCTAATATTAATTAACTGATCGAAAATAAATTTAAAAATAAAAGATACTTACAAATAGCAGTTCTAGCTACACCTGTATCATGTCCAGATCGACATTGTTGGGCCCATTTTGTAGCAATTTTTGCAAGTTCATCATCCCAGGCCTAAAAATATAAATATATTATTATTATAAGATCAGGCGAGAAATATGAGAGTCGGGTGTGCCATATTTTCCTTTCCCTGTAGCAGTGAAAGATATCTATATCCCAATTGTTCAGTTTACAGATAATATCAAATTTGGCTATGTAGAGAAGAATTCACAAATTATTATGTTTTTTTAAGAGCATCGAGGCTATAATATATTATAATTAAATTGAAAGAATATAATCCCGCTGGCTTGTAGCCTATATATCAACTGCAGTAGATGCCGAACGTTTCGAAAACTTTAATTCATCATTACTTTTTTAAATAACGAACGGCATTGAACCATTTTTGAACTGTTATTTATTTGAGAGATTCGGGTACCACAATATTACAGGGAATTCAAAATCGCTCAAATGACGCTCAATGACTTTAATTAATGTTGACGTAGATGGGTCAAACGTCCCCTTTCAATGTTATAACCCATACTGATCCGCAGTGAATATTCGTTAGGCCGCGACAATCACTAATAAGGATGACATCGGTGCGGCTTAATGCGTCACAAATATTAACTTTTTTCCTCCGACAAATTAAATTCCAAAACAATTTTTTTATGTATTAGAAAAATACAAAAAGACATTTGAAGTATGTGTAGGTAAAATTATTTCCTATTTAGTGTAAGTGGGTATTAAAATGACTAAAAGACAGCATTCTGCCCGAAGCAGTAACGTCTTATGTAAACAATGCACGCGCCATTCAGCCAATGATTGACGTCGTGTGCTGTGACGGCACGTGTTAAAGGCAGTCATCTTTTACAGAACTATTAGAAGATTTTCGTAATACTCTAAGAAACAGATTGGTTATAACCCTATGATAATTAACATATAATCTGGCGTAACTCAAAAATGTGAATTTGTGAATTTATTTTACGTGGGACGCAACAGACGTATGGTGTGTCCGGTTAGTATGAAATATATCATAATACTACCGGTACCTTAATTGACAATGACATACCCATCCTTTATTCACAGGAAATCCGTTGTTAGATAAAATAAATACGTAACAAATCAGGTAAACAATATATATAACGGAAATTTTTAGATAATCAGTCAGCTTACCATTTTTTGCATATTAGTAGCCGTAGGACTAACAGCAGTCCTATGGCCATTGTGGGCCTGGAGTACGGCGTTTTTTACTGTTTGGCTTAACGTTACTGCTGTGCCTACATCAACTAAACACATAGAATGGCTGGCACTAATACTTTTATAGTCTGGATCACAATTAGACTGAAATTTAGACAAAAGAAAATACAGCTAGCTAAATTAGAAATATACAGTAGAAATGTAAATTTTTAACGAAAGGTGTCAGAAATTTGGGTATCCGATTAAATTCGTTTAAAATAATCGACTGAATAAAACACAGAACTTTGTGGAAAATAATTATTAATAAATTAAGTCGAAATGACATTTCAGCATTTCCGTTATCAAGTGCAATATGGACACAGTGTGTGTGTATTAATAAGTTTATTTAACGCCTGGTTCCATCGTGGTGATATCGCAGACAAACATAATTTTAAAATAAAATATCTTGGTAAAATTTAATGAAAAAATTAAAAACACTCAAACTCTAAGTTTCTTTCATTATCCCGGTTGGTGCAAAAAAGTAGGACGGTACTTAAATCCTATTTCATTTAATTCATTCAAAAACTGTCAATACAACAAGTTAGGACGTTAAACCCAATTTCATTTCACTCATTCAAAACCTGTCCACACAGTACTATAGACAGGACGTTAAACGTCAGTTCGTTCATTTATTTTAAAACTGTCCATACAATAAGAACTACGTATTTTAACATTATGTAATATACATATAATTGTATAAAATATTCTAACATTATCTAATATACATGTACGTATAAAATAATTTAACATTTTCTTATATACAAGAGGCGCATAAAATGTTTTAACATTACATGTGCGTATAAAACAAATATATCGTACGTCATATACTAATCCTGTTTGTTCAGCTGCGGAATCTGCTGATCTTCTCTCTCTGACAACTTCGCCCTTCATACCCAGTTCTTGTATAGACACTGAAAGTCAAATTTCCTCAAAATTTGAATAGAGTATAAAATATCATAAACAATTGTTGTTTCCTAAATATTTCTGCTATAGGAAACCAAACGGGAGCCATGGTAACCCAATGAGTAATAGGCTCGCTAATCAGGAGATCTCGGTTTGCTCCCGGTGTCGGAAAAAAAGTTCCTCGGAACTTGTCAATGGTGCAGAACGACGTGTCTGGCAAGGACAGGGTCTAATCGTTCGGATGGAACGAAAAACCGGGGAATCCTTGACAGTTGGAATTCGAAATAAGAAGAGAACATATGGACGCTATTTGGGCAACATGTCCCACATATAGCACAATGTGTGGCATAGGCTTCATCAACCTATATAGTCGGTGCAGAAAAGTAGGACGTTAAACCACAGCTCATTTTATTTGGAAACCAAACAGTTGAACTGCGGTATATACTGGTATATAATTATAATATTGACAATTACGGATTATTCCTTAACTAACGATGTTAAACAGATGGAGATTTTTCACACAAACAACACCTGGTAACTAAACCAGATGAGTAATATTTAAAATTCATTTATCTATTAATTCATTAATTATCTTCCCATCTTGAGGGCAGCTGTGAAGTTGAAACCACCGACATGTGATACATTTATGTTTTTTAGTTCACATTTAGATATATACAGCTATTGGCCTAGAGTACAGGTAAAATATTAACATTAAGACTTAGTATTAAGTTTATAACATATGCAAATAAATACAGCATCTAATGATCTACCCGAGAGTATCAAAAAGTCTAAATCTCAAGATAGTTTTAGGAAATCACTAAAACCGTATCTCTTTAAAAGGACCTTCACGAATTAATTATTCATTAATATACTACATTTATATGTATGATACATTTTATATATTTATTAATTGTACAGTGCCATTGAATGTATATATTGCAGTATACTGCATTTAATATAGCACTCATTATAATGAGTGCTATATTAAATGTAATAAACTTAAACTTAAACTTAATTATGCAGAATTACTGAATATCAAATACTACTGACACAACATTATGAGCCGTTTAAATTGCTTAGCGTTCGCGCATTGTATATGACGGAATGTTTCAAAATTTAAAAAAAAAAGTACTTTAGCAGATATGACTATCTGAGCAACTTGATTTGAAGTGCACTTTACATCCACACAAAAAAAATGCATTTCGTTTAATTATTTTTGTCAAACTGACAACCACGCCGTTGCCGACTAAATTTAGGGTTGTTATTTCCGATTTTATATCCACCTCAGCTTTTGTTGTTGTAAATAAATCATACTTCATGAAAATATGCAAAATTACTAGTAAATTTACAACAGAATCAAAATAAATAAAAAATTACTCATATACAGATATTGAATATCTTAAATATTAGCTATAGTTTAAATTAAGATTTTGAACATGAGCTATAGTCAAAATTAAGGTTTTAAACAATTCGCTAGTCTCAACTAAGATTTAAACATAAGCTAGTCTAAACTAAGATTTTAATAGTATCTAGTCTTCCAACTCTCGTTAAAATGTATTAACTATTTAAACAAATATATTATGCGTGACACATAATTTCAAATATTTTCATTTAAAAGAGCACTGAAATGAGAATTTTCTTAAACTATAATACTTTAAAGATATTTAGCTACTAATACCCCAAGTGATATTTTAACTAGCCTACATAACTAACGATTATGAAAAATGAGCATTTAAAAAGCATGATTTTTCTACACTAAAATGTCCAACATTATAACGTCATGTAAGTTATATGTAACATTTTAAGTAATATTTTAATGCTAAGCATGTTGTATACTAACGATTATGTATTGTTTAATGGTCGAGAGCGAGACATTAAGTAATATATTGTAACAACATGAGGGACGTAGGCCCGAATGTTTTTACAATATATTACGCAATGTCGTAAGCTCGAGACCATTAAACATCTTAAAATACTGACACTCCGCACGAGCTTTTACGTCACACTAGTCCAATATCTCACTGGTATGAATAAAGTACTATTGGCAAGTTGCCCGTACGATTATTTGAAATAATGGTACGCCAACATCAAAGGGTGACGTCACATCTGTATTTTAAGAAAAGTTAACGTTTAAAAAGAACTAATGCAGGACTTTTCTAAAGTAAATTTCAAACATATTAAACTAATTAGTAATTTATCAAGGTAAACTGTGTCACTCTCACGGCCAATAAAATTTCAGTAGTGAGTAGCGTATATTTATATAGAAAAATACATACAAATATAATTTAAACTTACATATTTCTTTCAGCAAGTCAGCTGAAATGGTAGCTGCTTGGAAACACAAAATCGATGCCAAAATAATTCGCCACATCTTGTCAACTTGTATACACGATTTAACTTCAAGTTAGGTGTGTTCCGTTTTCTATTCATATTTATAGTAAAGTTTTGTGTCATTATTAAATCCCTGTTCCGGTTAGATTAATTTATATTCTTATAGTTCTCCCCTATCTGTGTCAATTTTATTAGCATTTTTTTTATCTGTTTTCCTGTACATCTCTGTCGATTTAATAAGTGGTCATTGTTTTCTTTATCTATAAATCAAATAAAAAGATCTAAGCTGATTGACAATGAATTTTTATTAATTCCAGTATGTATTGTCTAAAAACAAGATAGAGCTAGATTAATTCATATATACCATTATGTTCTATTCACCCCAAAATTGATAAATACAGTAAAAGTATAATAGATGTATTGGCTTAATACATAAGTATGTAGATTGATAGAATCAAAACAAAATAATAATACAGCAGAATGACAATCCCATTCGACAGGCAGTCGTAGAGCATTGTTTTAAAATTTGATTTAAGAGAACTCTTTGTTTCGTTTTATATAATATGATAATTTGATAATACTTTAAAATTTGATTGAAAAGAAATGTTTTAATTTTCTATGGTCTTTATTCGTTTCGTTTCGTACGATAATTCGATAATACTTAACGTAGTTGACGTTTAAAAAGCTGTATAACCCATTTTTTTTAGAACAGAACTATAAATCCTAAAGTGTCCATTACCAGGTGATAAAGCTGTGCAATAGGGAAACAACTGATTATGTATGATCAGGTGTTTAAAAAAGAGTAAGTATGCCCTGTCTCGCGCCTGACACCCGTCAATATTATAATAACACCTAAGTTGGGAACATTCATGTGCAGATAGAGAGATAGTAATGGGGTTTAACGTTCACTCAACAGATAGGCCCCCCCTACTATGTCATTTCGGGACAAAATATGGTAAAATTGTATTTCAATAATAATGTAATGCAGTTTTCAGGACTCTTGACAGTTGGACTTCGAAATAGGAATAAGCCATGGCACCGCTGCCCGGGAAAGATTTCTGAAAAGATTATCAGTTCAAGAGTTGTTCAGTTCCGTTCAGTATTTATAAAGATATGATTTTAAAATATAAAATGGATCAGTCAATATTCGGCATTTAGCGTAGTTAAATCGTCAAAATAAAATATAGACAATCAGTGGCTTTTATCTATTATAGACCACTACCATGCTCTCCTAAGGCCGGAGATGCTCGATATGTTCTAAGTACCACTTTTACACCCAATGGATAAACTATATATTATCTTTTGTGGTCCACTGCATAATATCTCGTTTTGTCGTTCTTTATTGTGGACAACACTCTTCAAGTACGACAGACCATACAATCGGTGTGCTTGTTCTTTGGACAATTGCTCATAAATTGATGATATGATGTCACAATTCCAAAATCGCGACGATGGCGTCATTCTCGGTTTCTGGTCAATAAAGTGCTATCGTACTTGTTCATGTTGTATAGTAGCTTATAAACTAAATCGGGTGGCCCAGATACAAAACAGTACACTTTAATTTTTTTCTGGCTTACACATATACAATTTTATGTAATTACTTAGTAATTGAATTTTTCCTCGATAATTAAATGAGATAGCCCACCACCTGTTTGTATATTCTAAAAAGAGATAAATAATGATGCCATAGTTATTTTTTGTTATTAAAGTACAATAAGATGTCAAATTGACGTTAACGAGAAAGTGAAATCTAAAACTATACGACCACTCTTAATCAAACAAACACCAATGGATCATAATCAGTTTT